GGGGGGGGGGGGGGGGGGGGGGGGGGGGGGGGGGGGGGGGGGGGGGGGGGGGGGGGGGGGGGGGGGGGGAGAGCGGGGGGGGGGGAGACGCCGCCCCACGGCGCGAGGCCAGCGGGCGGATTATTGCGCGATCGGCTGCCAGCGCGGGTTCCGCCCGCGCGTTGTGCCAATAGCGGAGGGCGATTCCCGGCGGATGCCCCAAAACGGCACCGCGAAAGGGCCTGCGGTGCGCGCGTGCTGATTGGCCACGGGAGGCAGCGCCTGTAAGATTACCGGATATTTGGTATTGCGGGCGTGGAGCCCCGGAGTGGCTAGTCGGCTAGCGGTAATCTGGCTGGGCCCTGCACCCCCGAACCGGCCTAGCGCGCTGCCGGGCGTCTTGCCGCAACAGGCAGCTCCCCGGCCGGGCCCAGCCACTGGAGGGCGCGCACGCGGCGGCAGCCGGCAGGGTCGTTAGTGCGCTCGTTTAGGGGGGAGCAAGGGAAGGAGCGAGCGAGCGGGCGGGAGGGCAGGCAGGAGAGGCCACGCAGGGTAGGGCAGGGCCCGTCGTCTCGGCCGCCGCGCAAACAGCAACCGCCCGAATTTAAAAGGGGTGGCGGGCTCAAGCCTGGCCTAGCGCCGGCTTAGCGACCTTCTGGAAGGCTTCGAAGTCGCGTGGGCGGCAAAAAGCCTAAACGTTTGCTTTTTTTGCGCTCTCTCACTCGCCGCCTCTGTCTCTAGTCTTGTGTGAAGGATTCGCGCACGATATCGCCGCCGCTCGTCACTGGCCAGCCACCACGGCGCTGCCAAAACACTAACTACTTGACTACTGAAAAAACTCTGCCAGTCGCCGGGCCCCAAGCACTGATCTGCGCCGCGCAAGTCATGACGCCAGCCGGGTCCCGTGGCTCGGCCGCCCAATATTAATTAATTCGCCAACAATAATAATAATCTTACAATTAACATTGATATTATTGTAAAATTACTATTATTATTTCTTCGTCTTAGCCTGCGTACTCCGTATGCGGAATTGCGCCCACAAAAAATCCCCCCGGTGCGTTGCCCCACGGGCGGTGCCGCGCTGGGGAACCATCCTTCTTGCGCGAAACTCTGGCCAACAAACAACAGAAAAAAAATCCACCGCCCACCGCAGCACACAATCGCTGTACCCACAACGGTGATTGCTTTTACGGACCTCGGCGCCGACACTGCGTCTCCGCCGCCCGCATCTGGTTTGTTGTGCCACGACAGCGCCCCTGCTGGTGAGACTCCATACCGGAGTACCTCCTTACTGCTGTGCTCCGCTCTTCCTCCACCCCCCCGGCCGCCTCCCAGCCTCCAGGTCCAATCGAAATCTGTCAATTCTAAAGGCCGCGCCCAAAATCAAGTTGCCTTCCGTCTCACTTCACTATATAATACCATCCCTGCTACTGGCCAGGGGGCAGTCACGTTGCACCCCTGTCTAGTCGAGCTTCACATGGCATTTTGTCCTGATCTTCTAGAAGCAAAGATTTTAAAATAGGTGTGGCCCAAGGCCGCGCATCGGCGCCGTACCACTAGAGAATTGGTCATCGTTCTGTCATCTTCTCCCAAAAACTATCTCGGGTAGCCAACTCGGCAAATAGACCGCTAGGCTGGGGTATAGCCGGCCCTAGATCATTTACTCCATTCTGCATACGTGAACCCCAGATTCTCACCCACACCGCTAAACGCTCAACTATTGTAACACACTGTAGATCCCTCTAAACAGGAGCTCGGGAATTTCAAATCACTATTTTACTCCGTAAAACCCAAAAAAATCAAAATTTCCGGGGTACACCGGGCTCCGTATGCACATAAGGCCTCAACCTTCAAAGCTAGCCTGGACCACCAGCACACTAGCCCTCACCTCGTGCGCCTTGAGCGCCATCGACTCACCTAGAACACCCAATGCCCGTCGCGCCTCTGTGCCAATTTCTCCAGACGACGAGGACTGCGACTGAGACACGCCGGGCACCACGCTGCGGCGGCCGACAATGACGACATCTCCCCGGTTTTGTTTCGACCGACCGACGTCCAATTTGGCATTTTGCAGCGCTGCCGCGACCATCTCGCCCGCCGTGGCCTGGGCTGTCTGGAAAATAACCCGGGATACGAGCTCGGCCGGCATGGACTCGCGGATAGTATTGAAGAACGCGGCGTCGGCCTCCCGCTCCTGCGGGGAAAGAGACAGCCGGTGAGCCAGTGGCGGCGCGGTTTCAGATGGAGAATCCACCCCTTTCACTTCCTCGTCCACCGCCAGCCGCAAGATCGTAGCCGTTATCGTGGTGTTCTTGGCGAGCTGCAGTACCAAACGAAGCGCGACCTGGTCATCACTCCCGCCGAAATAGGGTAGGAAGATGTGGTGCCCCGCATCCGACGACGGCAGCATCGTCAAGTCATTAGTTCGGTAAACACTATGTCCACTAACCGTGCGTTTGAGATAACCTGGTGTCGGCTGGTTCAAGGCGGGTCCGCCAAAGCCATTGTTGACAAAGATGCCAACGTGGTTCTTCGCGTTTTTCAGGATATTGGAGATAAATGCGCTATGCGCACCAGGCGAGAACTTGTCCCCGGTATTATCCAGGAGCGGGATCTGGTGCTCACTCATCCCGCCGGTCTCACTCCACGGAATCAAGACAAAATCAGAAGCAAAGTCTCGAGCTTTATTAACAAGCGTTTCCGCATATGCATGCTCTGGTGCAATGACCACTGCACCAGACACAGCGACCTTGTTCAGTTGCCCAAAGGTGCGGAACGTGTTCAGGATGGGATCACTGAAACTGTAGTCCTGGGCTTCAGAGACCTTCATGACACTCGAATCACGGTCTGTGAGTTCGATCAGTCTAATGCCATGGACTTCCACTGGCCGCTTTTTCTGTGGAGCCCTTGGAGCTCTATCCTCATCGGCGTCGTGGCTATGATGCGTCTTAGACACATCAACAGATGTAGTGTCAGCAGCACCCAGCAACGAGACAAAAGTGAAAAGGCTGGGGAGGTTATCCAGGCGAAGATAAACAAGTAATTTTCTGATGGGCAAGGCATGTGCCTTTTGTTGAACAATATCAGACGATCCACCGCTATGGTCGCCCTCAGAGTCGACAGGATTCCCATCCCAGTCAATTTCTCCACGTCTCCACCTATCCACTTTGATCCTATACCACTCAGGGTACAGCAACAAGGTGAGAGGAGTTGTTGTGAAAGTCGTAATTAACGCCATTACTACGAAAATGGTGAACGTGCGTATACTAAGAATCTTTGCTTGGAAACCAATATTCTGGAAAATCGTTAGACGGGGCAGGCCACGCAAGTTCCCATCCCGACTTACCAAGACAATAAGTTCAACCAAGCCTTTGCAACTCATCAGCACACCAATGGTCGCACTTTCTCTCCACAACAAGCCATTGAGCCGAGATGCCAACAGGCCGCCGGCAACTTTGGCAGTGAACGCAATCAGCACAACAGCGACGACATACCCCCAAACAAGGCCTGAGTCGAGCAGGCCAACGTTCGTGTTCAATCCCGAAAGCGCAAAGTATAACGGCAAGAAAAGAGCTCCAACAACATCTTCGATTTTTTCTGTAAGTTTGATGCCAAACCCTCCATCGTGGGGGCATATAATGCCAACAAGAAAGCCACCAAAAATGGCATGAACTCCGATAACCTGGGTAAAAAATGCAGATGCTAGGGCTAACAGCAAGGTTAATGCAACTACGGATTGGCTGGGGCCGTCATGCAGGCTCCCTGTGCGTCGTAAAAACCAGTGGAAAACGGGTCGAACCGCATAAATCAGGAATAAGGTAAAGCCAACGCAAGTGAGCAAGACCCACAGGGCAGTCAGACCCGTGCTCGCATTGACCAGCGCAACGCAAAGAGCAAGCAAGATCCAGCCGATAACGTCGTTGCCGACACCGGCGGATAGGACGATCACACCGACATTAGTGTGCAGCAGCTCCAGTTCGGTCAAGATGCGGCAGAGAACCGGGAAAGCCTAATCGGCGAGTCAGACTATACGGCCCACTATTCAGACGAAAGGATTAGAACACATACTGTGATGGCCATGGCAATGCCGATGAACAGCATGTAGGTGCCGAAGCCAATCGGTGCCAAGCCAGGGTCATCCCGAAAGTGGTGATACAGTCCATACGCGATGCCGCAACCCAGCGCGAATGGAAGGATCATACCAGCCGCGGAAACGCTGACGGCAACCTTCCAGTTATTTCTCAAGGTCTTGATATTTGTTTCGACGCCGATCATGAAGAGAAACAACACCAGGCCGAGATTAGCCACCAGGTTCAGGTTTGGCAAGGACTCATCTGGGAAGATGGCCTGTCGAAAGCCAGGAATGCGGCCCATCACGGACGGGCCTAGGAGGATGCCGCCAATAACCTCCGATATCACACGGGGCTGCCGGATTTTTGAGAGCGGGAAATGCAAGAGCCGACAGAAAATCACGATGATGGAGGCCTATAGAGACGTTTTGAAACATGCTTGGTTAGACGTGCAGTAGAAACGGTAGCACAACGGCGTAACTACGCACCTGGATAATGAACAGGGTAAGCGGGTTCTTCGGATCATAATGGGACGGGTTGGCGTGATCGAATATGCCGCCTTGCGGAGCTGCTCTGTTTTTCGGTGTTGCAGAGGCGGCAGCAGCAGCTGTTGTGGCCGCAACCTGTGCTACCGTCGATGCCATGACAGGGACGAGCAAGAAAAGCAAGCAGCGTGCAACAGAAACAACAACAAAACACAGAAGGGAACGAAGAGCACTCCACGCGGAGCAGGGAGATGGGTGTTGGGCGTCACATTAAGAGCAACGGGGGCGAGTGTTGGGAGGGGAGATACGCACGCCGCTCCGGAACGTTCCCAACTCTCCGCGCGTGGTGGCGGCGGAGCGTCGCTGGATGCGGCTCGCCATGGCCTGCGTTGGCCCAACCCTAAACAGCCCGCGGGCGAATCAGGCACCCGGGCATCGTACACCGACCGCCCACGCGTTGGAACCCAGCGAGGATCGCGTTAGGCCGCCCAGCCCTTGCCCATGCCAGCCAGCCAGCCAGCATTGAAATCCAAAACCCGCCATGTTTTTTGTCGTCAGGAGGCCAGCAGCCACACACGCTACCAGGCCATGCCCCAGTCTGCTCATGTGAGGTGTGTTGCAGGCTAGTGTCTGGGCTGTCTATTATCTGTCTACTCCGTACCAGCTCGCCCAATACTCGTCTTGCTAACACAACCTCGCTCGACAATCCCCGCCCTGAGAAAAGCTTGTGTGGAGCCGCTGATCAGGTCGGGGAACGGGTGTCGGTACCGGATTAATAAATTTCCGGGCTTGGCTTCAACGCGCTAAACCCTAAATAGACGAAATTGATCACATGTTGCTTAGTCATAGCGCGGCAATCCGTCGGCTTGGCGTTTATGTCCAAGCATCTCCTCCTCTTGGTATGAAGTAAACAATGCAGCACAGCCCCCATGGTGTGCTCTCTATGATGTTATTCACGGAGAAATGAAGACAGACTGGAAGCTAAGCTTACAGGCTGCCTATATCCTAATTTTCACATTATTGCTACGGCCATGAATCAGGTCATCCATTCCACGCAAATGACCTCAATTCTCAACTTTGGAAATAACAAAATGCTCAAATTTGAGCTATCCCATGGGAGTGAGGTTATATGCAACGTGTGCCAACACTGCTTTTCTTGTATGGACTGCCTTGGATATATGAACTGCCTCGTGATGGACTTAAAACCGGTATCGTGATGGGATGGCCTGGCTGGGACTATACTTGAAGAGGCTTGGAAGCGTTTCATAAATGAACATAGAATTACTACTCATAGAGAATTGTGCTCATAGTTCTTGTAACTCTGCCATATAGTCTCAGTGCCCTGAATCAAGCACGGTTATTGTTGATCAATGTACTCCGTAGCTGAGTACTAGGTGGGTTGTTATTTCTACAGCGAACAGGAGATTTGATGAATTTTCTTTAAAAGATTGTCAGCTCTCACTGTTGGCTGACACGCGACGATCTGCTCCCAAAAAAACCGTACCATGACTCTCCAGCCTTGTTTCTGCCATTCTTGGCTGAAAAGACTTACCATGGTATCTCAATGATTGGGAATAACACAAGACTTTGGTCTTATCTAAGTCTCTAGCCTGGCTGAGTATGGCATCATATGCCCCCAGACGCGCATCAATTAAAGTCATAAGATATCCCACCTAGGGTAGATCCAACCTTGCTGAACATTAATTACCCTCGAGCCTTGTTCCAAAGATTTTCCGTTTGGAACTATTGCGTATGAACAAATAGTAATGGACAGTGGGCTCTTTTGGAGCACCTATGGACCGCATTCATTCTTAAGTATACACACTCCTTGAGCGGGACGGCTTTGGCACCAATCAACATCGTAGAAAGCCAATACCGCGCTTGACGATGCTTAGCCAGAACCTTCGAAAACTCTGTAAGAAGAGAGTGTTATGGTAGCCACAGTATTTTGGTTGATATGTTATATCTATACACATAGATCAAATGAAACAGTGCTCGATTGTACGTATTCGTATGGCTATTGAACTAAAATATAATGCCTGCTATTAGGGCTATTATGTATTTGCTGAGAGTTGAATTATGCAATGAAAAGTTCCCCGGATCGTCATTTCATGGCTTCACTGAAGAATGTTGATACTTGTGTCGCCGTCTTCTGGGTCTGCCAACGGGATACCAGGCATGACTTTGGGGTCAAGGTGGGGGTCCGCCGGGCTTAAATCAAAATTACTACTGTATATTACCGCTGCAAACGCCTCTAGTTCGCGGACTTCACGCTCCATTATCGACAGGTACTCGTTGGGCGGGTTAATTCCATTTCCAATGAGATGGGCTTGGCGAGCCACCACCGCCAGGATAGATGCCAATTTTGCTTTCAAAGCAGATGACTCGGTGACGGAAATCATGGTGGCAGTGGAAGAGAAAGGCTGTGACAGGTTGTGTTTTGGCGCTTGTGGTGGATTGTTGAAGGCCTCTGTGGCACATTTGGTGTCAATGAGGTATGAGAACGCCTCGTTGTTTAAGAGTGAGAAGACGTGAGTAAAGGAGGGTGAATCAATCAGATCAGACGTCTCGTCGATAAGGCGCCTAAGACTTGCAGCACTCTGGGGTGTTGCCTCAGTTGCTGAGAGGACGCCTGACTCTTGTAAGACAAAATCTTCCTTTTCTCGTGGGGGTAGTAGGTAAGGGAGCCATTTTCGCACTCTGTATAAATCAGTTAGATCAAGTGGTGACAGGATACCATAGAGCAAAATTGACGCACTGTCTCTCCTCACTAGTGTTTCCTTCCACTCTCTTTCGTACGGCCAGCGTCAACTCGGATAGTTTTTCATGGCTCATGTCTTCTCTAGGATTCATCTCTCCAAACACGGCCTTTACCGCTGCCTCTACTTCCTCCATTAAATCTTTCCATCCCATATGTAGAAGCCACCAGCTAAATGTCAGATATCGTCTGTTTGTCTCGAAGTCGTTTCCAAACGCGTGTTCCGGCTTATCGTCGTCTTCAAGGCTGATTTTAGATGGGTTCTGTGAAGGTGCTGCCAACGCTACAACACTAGAAAGATAGTTCCGCCGGCCAAGAAGATTCAATTGAATACGTGTTAGGAGCGTGAGGAGCGAGAGGGTGTAGAGTAAGGTGAAGGATCTAGTTAGAGCTGATACGGTCAACTTTGGGGATAATGAAGGCAGGTAATAATAATACCCACAGTTGATTTTCAGGTCATTCCATAGCTGTATACGAGATCTCGACTTCTTTTCCTGCTCTCGTGCTGTCGACTCACCCATCATCTGGCTCGCGTGCACATAGTTGTCACTCCGTAAGCTCGAGACATCATCCTCTGTCATGCTCGGAGACCCAGAGCTCATCTCTGAACCTTGTACTTCACTTCCAGTAAGTTTAGCCAGCCTAGCGGCCCGCTTCATCTGGAGTTCATTGGTTAGTTCTTCCACAGGCAGTGCCCCCAAAATGTTCTCTGTCGCTGTAGGAAGAAGCGCAAGAACAGTGAATGTGCAGTCTGTTTGGTTTTGCTCAAAGCGGCGACGAAGACTAGTAAAAAGGTATGTCGTTAGGTTCAATTATCGAATTAGTGAGCGAGTCAGAAGCCACTACTAACTTGTCCCGGGCTATTCTCTCGCTGCTCATGCGCTCGCTTGCTTCTGAGATCTTTGAGAAAATATATTGTGTTGCCAAATATCCCACACCAATAACACCAGCCCCGATCGCAAGGCCATTGCGATTCCTCCGCAGCCAGCGCTTTGTTGCGCTAATCATCCTGATAGGGAATGCTTTCAGGACGCGGTGGATGGATTCAGGATAGCTCGTTGACCATTATAAATGGCGATATTCAAAGTAATGGCGTATATAATTGACCGGTATTTTAGAGTAAAGCTTGTGGGGCGTCGTTGTTCAAAGATTCGTGGTTGTGCGAGTCGTTCACTGTCGTCCTGAGCTTCCTTGTCCAGATGTCAACGACAAGACCAACCTCGGCTACGGATGAGTCAGCAATGATGTAATAAGTGTTTAGGCATCGGCTGGCCTGTGCACCAGCCACATCATTCACTAACTAGCGCATTTAGCGTTGAGCTGGGTTAGTCGCTCTGAGGGTGAACGGCGGCCGCCGCAACACGAACACGGAGTCCGGAGGAGAAGCTGAAGCAACCTGGACTCAAAAAAGGAGGCCGGCTGGAATCGCAATGCTTCCGCCATCGGCAGCGCGGCCAAACCTGCCAGACGTTTTCCACCCTATCCGTTTCCTGGTGACGCTGCCACTATCTAATCTGACTGACAGCACCGTCCGTGCATCGCCAAACCACGCGCTATTCTAGCCCACGGCGGCGGCCAGCGACTACAGTGCCGCCGAATAGAGGGGCGGGCTCAACTGACTCAGCTAGCTAGCCTGTCGCTTTCCCCACCAATCTCGACGGCTGAAAAGCGTGAAACGAGCACGGTCAGAAGGCACTTGGACTACGTAGTTAGTGGTTGCTTAGCTGACAATTCGACCTTGCCACCCCGCCTGAACTGGAACAAGCGCCCACGCAACCGGAAAGCTGGTCTCAAGACAACCGCTGGATCATCATCTTCATTCTTCTTCTCCTCCTCAGCGGAAATTTCTCTCATCCCTGAATCACCGTCCTGTCCTCTCCTCCAGATGGACCCGCGAAAACCACCCGAGTATATTATTGAAGTCTTTGCAGACCCCGCATCTGTCAGAGATGTCCTTAAAGGTATGCAAGCGCATGGACCCGGCCCGTTCTCTATGACATAATCTTTCTGCGTCGCAGAGACACAGCATAACATGCGGCACAATGCGAGCATCGCTCGAGATGGGGACGCCATAAGCTAACCAGCAGAATGCAGGTATCCTTCATACAATTTTCTTCCACCGATATTTCCCCTGTGTACGCCCAGAATCATTCGACGTCCTCGACCTTACCCTCCCCGCTATTGACGACCATGAACTTGAGACCCTGATCGATTCTCGCGTAAACACTCTTTTCCGACAACACCTCTCTCCTACACCGAATTCCCCAAATAGTGGTGTCCGTGGGCGCATAGCAGTGAAATTCTTCGAGAAGAAGCGTAGGAAGGCGGGTTTATGGTTCGGAGGCCTCGCTGGCAACAATGAAGAAGAAGTGTGTTGGGAGACATGGACTCTGAACGTAACGATGGCTACTCCGAGAACTGAGGCAGGTGCGTGCTGCTAGTCGGATACCCCCATCAGCATTATATTCTAATCGATATATCCAGACCGTGCAAAGACCCGGAACGCCATGGAAAAGACGCTACATACGGCGGCGTTCAGGATACTCGCCATTGTCAACCAAGGGAAAGATCATATACCACCCATAACTACAAGTGACGCAAATCCGTTTCCTTACCAAATCATTTTGAACCCGAAGCCTGAAAATTGGAGCAACCGTCTTGGCCTCTACTGATCCACTGGCGTTGATCAGTCGTCCATTACCTTAATGCCGCACGCTCGAGACATACTTCGCAGGGAAAAACGATATCAGTCATGAAATACCTAGCTTTGAGGGCATATAACGTCAAGTCGATTTGTATACTGAAATAAAGTTCCACAGAAAGCTCAAAAAACAAACAAATAAACAAATGAAGCATATAACAATAACACAACACACCCGAATGACGTCCGTTTTCTAATACATGGATATTCATCAAGGCTCGAGACAGGTGACATTCAACTGAATCTTGTATATAACCAACAACCCCAAGTCTGGCCCACCGGAACTCGTGTCTTCATGCCCTGCCGGTCAAGAGCTTGGGTACCTGGCAGAAACAAAGGAATCGTGAAGCTGGACCGGAATATGAAGTACAAAGAGGCTTCAACGTCCTCCTCTATTGACTTGAAGCTATTATTATGATAATGCTAAGTGGAGTGCTCCTTGGTGGCTTGATCGGCTTGCGAACGCAAGTTTGCGGAGGTGGAGCCGCTCTGGAAATAGCGGGAAAAGGCAGGCTGGATCAAAGAGTTGAACACAATTTGGGCACCGCTATGTTACTCATTAACATTACTGTAATATGAAAGATATATGAGGGCAAGTTCTTACCGTGTCTGTGGGAGGGCCATCCACAAGACCAGAACAAACTTGAAGATGTAGTAAAATGCTAGTATTATTAGCAAACACGACATTGTTAGTCCAACAGCAATGAATAACATACGGAACCAATAAGCAGCATTAATTGCGCTCTCGATGACAGTTAAAAATGCGTACACGACCCAGTACTATATGAAGTTGTGTCAGCTTGGAGAAATCTTCGGCATTTCGGACAGAGCCGAGGTCACTAACAGTCAACCACTAAAAATATATCAGCATCCATAAATTCAAGCGCCTTGAAGGGTAAGGGAATGAGCTAGAACGTACCTGAGTGTCATCATTTTTACTGGTTGTAAAAAGTGCATGAAGCGACCAATATCCAGGAATGAGAAACCCAGCAAAGTTGACAAGAAATTCTCCGGCGATATTAAAAAATACCAAGAAGAAATAAATGCCAACGAGGCCCAAAAAGGCATATACCTTGGGCACTGAAGTCTGTCGTTCAAGGTTGTTGAGGACTGGATATTTTGAAAGCTATAGATCAATAGCTGTTAGCACGGGTTATAGAGAGAAACAGCACTAAATCAATTGTAGTTTGATTCTTTGAATTCGCTAATAGGGATAGGTGACTGTGGCGATCACAAGATCCCGAAAGGAGTGAGCATGGGAGCTTCCAAGGCACCGACCTCTTTGTCAATCTGAGCGATTTGGTGCTGAGCGCGATCTTGGAACGACATGATGAAGGGGTGGATGGATGGCGGGCGCTAGAATGGCAAGCAAATCTCAGGTGATGCAGGTGTGTGATGATAATTTTTTGTGTGGAGCGAGGGAAGTCGAGAAGTTGATGTGGTGAGCTAGGAAGTTGGTGGAAGGAAGTTGGTCGCGAGCCAGGGAGGACCTAAGACGTAATCGCCCAATTTCGCCAATAATGCCCGGTTCCCGTGTGTGCCGCAGCTGACTGACACGTGATGCGGACGTGCGGGTGGCGGCATGTGGCGGTGAAATGGTGACTCAGCACCTACTTCTCGCAGCCACCGTCCGCCCAGCCACCCGTATAGCCGCGGGTCCCGTGACTCCACTGGCTAAACCGAAAACAAATGCGGCGTTTCCCCATCAACAAACAGTTGTTTACACGGTGAAGAGGCTGCACCACGACGCCAGTTTGCCGACATTGGAGCCGCAACATCAAAGACTGCAACTCGGCTGCTTGGATCTATGCTATTCTTTACTGATTCGTCGCTCTCTGCTCTAACTATTTTTACTGCAACGCCTTGGGCTTGCAGCGAATGCCAAATCGAGGTCAAACGATCCCAGCCTCAAACAACGAAGTCCTGGGGCAAAGTGAACTCGATAGCGGCAAGACGTATCGATAGCTAGCACAGCACAGTACTTCCAAACCGCCTCAAAATGCCTGCTGGTACAAGTGAGACCCACAGACCACCTGGTGTATCGAGTCGCGTGGCGATTGAGTGACGTCGCTAACTATGCATATTGTGTACAGGAAGCGATGCCTTCCCCGCTCAGAGAGGCCAGAAGCGAACCCGAAGCCGCCAGACTACAGTAGAGCCTGGAAGATCGCGCTCAAACACTGCAGCTTCGAAGCTCGGCCGGCCTCCTAGATCCCGTGGTTCAACTGCCAGCATTCAATCGTGCAGCACGCAGTACCTACCAGAGCAACAACAAGTCCCCGACGGGTATGAGCCATACCTGCGCTCACAATTTGCACCCTCACAACCAGCATACCATGGCAATCCCGAAGAAATGATAATGCGATTCGGAGACCAGCTGGCCAATTCCACCAATGCCGCTGTCCTTGACCCCGCTCTTCAGGAAAATCACAACTCGGTTAAACCGCGTATGGATATACACTATCAACACCACGACATCCATGGGCACAATATTTCTGCGCATGGTATTCCTGCAGAACTAGCGCAGCACGGGATAGCAGGAGATATCCATTCGACACACTATCCTGGGTTATTTGAAGGGGTGGAGAATCAAATTCCTGAACATATCCTGGATGGCAACGACGGATCTGAACAGGGGCCGCGCAAAAAGAGGGGTACCAGTTCTTCAATTGCCAATGATAATGAGCTCCGGAGGCTTCTACGGCAATACGATGGCTATACTCTGCAACAGATGGCGGCTGAGGTCCAAAAACATGAGGGTGCCGGTGGAAAATCCGAAAAGGTTAAGCAGGTGTTTGCTATGGTTTGGTATGACATTTCCCTCGAAAAATCAAGCATTCTTCGTTTTAACCAATGTCCAGGCTGCGAGAAAACTGCCAAAAGAGCAATGGCTCTGTTCGTCGAGATCGTGTATATTGCTGCTATGCTGAAAAGTGTGGAACCGAACGCGTTTCTGTACTTAACCCTGCATCTTTTGGAAAGCTTGTCCGAATCATATTTCCGAACGTGCAAACTCGACGGCTTGGGGTAAGAGGTGAATCAAAGTACCATTATGTGGATTTATCCATCATAGAGTCTGAGCCAACACTTGTTTCGGATAATAACGCAATTGTGGATCGAAGCACGGCAACCACTGGTGAAAATGTCCAGGAGAGCCATACCAAAGAGAAAAGGTAGATGACTACAGATGCCTTATAATGTTTTTTTTCTCTAATCAGATTCTAGCCCGAACTCTTCTCATGACTCTCTGGATATGAAAAAATTACGACTTTCAGATGCATCTAGCCTAGCACAGCATACCCTCAGGTCACATAAAAATTGTGGATGCCACCCGTATACACCAAAGCTAGGCTCCGTTTCAGATCTTGACTTCTCAACAATGACTGCCCAAGAGAGGCTCCATCTCATCCTTCATTTTGGAGGCACAGATGACTCTCCCACCGCTAGCAATGATACACTTCGCTTACCAAGCATCCAAGGCTATTTACCCCCTAACTCCGATTGCGACGTTGCCGATGCTCTAATGGCCCTGTATCGATCACACTGCATCTCGGTCATCGATAGTTTCAGGTTTTGCAAAGAAAAAAATCTTTTTCGTCACTTTTCAGCATTTCAAGGCACTCTCACGGTCCCAGTCCATAAACTTCTTGTCAACCCCAGCATTGCGCCCTGGATACAGGAGTGTGACTGGCTCATGTATCAGAAGATGGTAGCATTTATTGCTCCATTGACGACACAAGTTATTCCAGAGCCGGTGGTGAAAGCTTTTGCGTCTATTTCCCGTCGCCTAGTCTCTCATGTTGAGGAGACGTTCAAATCTCAGCCCGATCATGTATCGTCAGCTCGAATTGTCCCAGCTCGCCTTTTTTGTCACCTACTTAAAAGAATGTTGGATGTCAATCGGTCCGCGAATTCCGCTGCTGCTTGGCTATGCCACATCGAAAACAGAGCGAAGATGTGGGAAGAGTTTCATTCGTTCCTTAATGTCACAGATATGGTCTGTCAAGCGAGGATTCCGCGCTGTTCTTTTCAAGGAATTATTGATATATTCAAAGACCATGTCAAGCCGTTACTGAGTCCCCTTGAAGACCAGCAGACTCCTCCAGACTTGTATGTCTACGATCAGAGCCTTGGGTTCCAGAAGTTTACTTCATCAGCTGCCGATGGTCGTGAATATACATGCTTTCCTGATCGGTGGGTCGCTTTCATTCTGCACCTTCCTGAGGCCTTCCCTGGTCACGCTCCTCAGTGCATCATCGATAAGGCGGACGCTTTATGGACAGCAGTCCTCCATCGGCTCACACTAGAGAATGCTGAGAGCTTTAGTGCTTGGTGGATGACCAAAGTGTTTTTCATGGAGATGGTACGGTGGCAAGCTGAAATGGGCGGGTTCATGCTATATACCCCCAGCACTCTCCATCAGTTTTTAAAAAATTCTTCGGATAATTCGCGATCGACTCAAAGCGAAATTTCCGCCAATAATGGACTCGATTCCACTGTCGGCCCACCTCCGGATAATCAAATACGCGATGAAAATGAAAATGGAAATAGTGGGGCCGTAGATGGTTCCATCGGGCGACGCAGTTTGGGTAATGATGATAGTGCTATTGCTTTGGATGACGATTCCCTGATTCTTTCTGGAAATAAATATGCCGACATGACTGTTTCGGATCCGGCGGATGCTGAAGGCGATGTGGTGGTTGTTTAACACGATTCATGACCAGACGAGGGATGAATATGCTGGTTTGCTCTTACTTTTTTCCCCGAAACTCACTTGCGCCTTTTTCCTCCCAAGGCCTCGATAAACAGTGCGCCCCTAACTACGATACGTGAAGTGATGCCGGCTATTTCTCTTGGTGGGCTGGACTGGGGCATGCCACCCACTACCCTTGAGAATTATCCGATTACCCTCTTTCCAAGTCTACAATTACTATGGAAATTTTGGTTCAGTACTTCGACCAATCAGGATTTTCGAACATCTCAAATTAATTGGGAATGAATTCTATCACTTTCACTGTCAATCCTCATCTCATATAATTAGCTGCAGTTTGGATGATGACTTCTTCCCCCATCTCCAACTTTTCATTTTCCGTATTTGTCTTCTGTCTTGTTCTTCTGTTGTATTTCGTTTTATTCGCTGTTGATGTTGTTTTGTCCCGGCCGTGACCCAGAACCTGACAGTTATTTTTATCTTGTTTTTTTTGACGTTTGCTTCCCTTTTTGGTCAACATATAAATGTGTATGGCCTCTTGTTGGCAATTATCGGGTCACATACCTACCATGTTTAATGTACGAGTTAGAACCGAATGTGTCTACATATGTATGGGTGTTATTGGCGAGTGACGGGTTGCTTTGCTTTACTTACTGTTGGAGGTATTCTGATCCTTAGTTGTCTTGCAGGTTGGGTATTGGCCTTGGGTTTCTGTTGCTTCAATGCATCTTAAAAAAGGGGAGTGGGGTACGGCTGGCTGTTCTAACTTACTTTGAATATCTATCTCTTTGAGTCTTTAGCCATTTTTCTTGTTAGCGAGAGGTTTCATCATAGTAGCTGTATTTCTGATGACTTCAATTGGAACGGTTCTTGAAAACCACTACAACACTACAGTAACTACATAGTTCTAGACATACTAAATAAAATCTTGATAGTCTTCAACAAACTTAAGGACTTTTCTTAATACCAAGCGAATAAATACGGCACATCCTATATAAATACAATATGGAGAGGTGGCATGGATATGCTCAAACCAATTAGCAACGGAAGAAATTAGTGGCTTTTATTCTTCTTATTCGCCGTGGCCCTAGACACACCACAAATATTGAAGGAACCATTTGAAACACTACCCAGCTTATATAAAATCCATAGAAACCCAAGTAAAATAACCGCAATGGTGCCGTATTCGATGGCCCTTGCTTGCTGGACTACCGGATTTGAATTCTTGTCAACTCGCAATACGGGAACTTGAATGTTCTCAACCAGTTCAGAAGCCTGGAGCTCCAAGGGATTCATTGGTTTCCTAGGCAAGGGATGAAGATGGTAAAAATAGGTTTGAGGCCCGAACAGATCATCCCAGCCCAATCGAGTTCGGTCGAACGGGTTTGTTTTCATTTTTTCCGTATCTTTAGACACACATGCCCAGAAAACAACTGGCCAAGGGATAGAGACATTTCTGTAGCCAGACTTGGAGGGATGTAAATAGCGAAGATGAAGCGGAATAGTAGCCTCCCAGTCACCATATACGTGTGTACCCGTGTTCTTTCCTTGTTTATCGTTAGACGGAGGGGTAGCCAACTCCACCAACATGTGTGAACCCCAACGTTGGGTTAACCAGTCAGGGGCCTCAAGGTCGGTCTCTCCGGCAATATGGTCGAGTTTATGGATATTGTGCGATTTTAAGAAGAGAGTGTCAGTAGTGGAGAGCTGATATCTATCGGCAAATATATATGAAGGTAAAGTGATGTAGGTATACAATCCGCATGTTATATCTGACGGAGCGGGGGGTCGCGAAAGCCCTGGCTGAGGTATTGACAGTTGAAGAGTCGGATGCAAGCCAGTAGGAGACAGAAATTCAGATCTATATGTTGCAGAATTCGGTAATGGGTGATGACGTGAAGGAAAAGAAAAAAGTGTTGGCTCTGTCTAAGGCATCAGCAAGGAGGTAGGCAAGATAAGGCGATTTCAAGCAGGCGTACTTAGTTCGGTGTCTCGACCCACAACGGCTAAAAGGCCCCCAAATTTCAGCTCATCCAGTTCCAGAGGCTCTTGTGATGCCAAAATGCCAACATCAACTTTGTCCTTGCTAATGTTGCGATTACGAACGATATCAGTCCATCCCGATTTCCGCGTCGGCTCGGACCAATACACCGTGACGTCAAACGAGTGGAGGGCTTGGTTATAGTCTATATCAAGTGTGTCTGCCGATCGTACCAAAGAAGCGTAATCTCCGCATTCGGTATCTTGTTCCGAGCAGATAGCGGCTTGTAGATAGACAACTAGCTGATCAAGGGACGGGAGGAGTTGATAGAATTGCATTGACGAGGATGCTCCGGATTTCGATGGTCCATTGGAAACGAATGAAACCTTTCAGGTAAAGAATTATAAGATATAACCTAAATGAAGCAAAAGAGCGGCGCGGAAGTTTTGATTACCTCTGGTGTTGTGCAGGTTACATCCGCCCCAAAAGCTTTACGCAGTAGAGGACATAACTGTGGTCTAGACAAGTCAAATCAGTATGCAAGTAATATGGTAATATTTAAAAGGCAATTAGGAACGTACGAGTTATTCCGGCGTGGTGATAGGAAGACATGGATGCCAGGAGACACGCGGCTTGTCAGAGGAGAAACGGCTGAGTACGCGCGCTCCGACGCCCAACGGATACGCAATTCATGACATTGTTTGACGACTTGCTGAATCTATTAGTGATAATATTAGTGCGATTAAATACTGGTTTTCATCTCTGGAGTGCGCTTGAATACCTCACCAGGAAGCTCCTGAATTCCAAAGGTTAATCTCTCCTGTCGAGCTCCGTGCAACGACTGGATGGTTATTGAATCAGGACCCAAACGAGCTTTCTTGGGGTCAAAATCCCCTTCTGCATCGTGAATAAAGGAAACTCTTCGTTTCATATTGTTGGAAGTATTTGATGGCGATCTGTTCTCATCTTCGTTGAAGTGTGTAACTACCTCCAAGGAAACAAACATGCCAAACATCCAGAGTAGTCGTCATCTACTCCGTACTTAGCCTGTTAACTACTTCTGTAAATGTTAGTTAACTAACTAGATATGTTAGGCAGTTGGCTAGTTAAGTTATTAGTTCGCGGTACAGAGTATAGTAGGACATATGGATGGGATATGTACTCCGTACTCCAAATCACTACGGACTACCAGTTTGGGCTGGTATGGACAGCACCTGTAGTTAACTATATAGAGAAAGCCTGTGAGTATTCATACTAGACTGATTCAGCGAACATGCTGATTAAAAGGCAACCATGTATCTTCTGATCAGCGGTTCCTCTCATATTAAATTGAATTACTGTTGCGGCGAGCTTCATGGGTTGGGTAAAACCAACCTGTCTTATGACAGCCTAAACTTAGCTCACGATCCCTATTAGGGGGTTAACAATCCAACTAACAATATGTATATAAACGAATTGAGCAGAGAAAAGAGATAAAAAGCCACATTGTATCTACATACTATACAAATCTGGCAAATCCAAAACATCAAGAAGTCCTAAATAATCATATAATCGTCACCTGAAACGCCATAACATGCATCCGTTGCCTTTGAGTTCGTTAGAGAGAAGATGTATAGCCCCATCACAGGTCAAGCATTTAGTGATTAGAGGATTTCTTTCAGTTTTGATTTCTGAGCCGACGTCAGGCTGGACGGGAATTTGACTTTGATTTGAACTATGAAGTCGCCGCGTTGACCTGGTGCTTTTGGCTTTGGCATACCCTGTTGAGGAAAGACTTCCTCGTACCCCGGCTGGGTTGGTCCGCTTCCAGAAACGCGTAGCTGTTTGCCATCGATAGTTGTTACAGTCTGGCTCCATCCCGTCAAAGCTTCTTTGAGGTCAATTTCAACAGTAGTAACAAGATCGTCTCCCACACGCTTTAACCATGGGTGCTCTTTCTAAATTAGCAAGTTAGCATCTCTCAATTCGCGCCACGTAAGTCATAGGAAAAACATACCTCTTGGATGATAAAATGGAGGTCTTGAGTTCCACCCTCTTCCTGATCTCCTACACCCTTGAATTTGATCTTGCTTCCAGCTTTTAACCCGGGCTTCACGTCAAACTCCAGGATTTTGTCTTCCACGCTTCTCTTCCCAGTTCTCTCATCAAAAGTCTTTCTCTTTATTTTCATCTTTTTGTGCACGCCTTTGTAAATATCTTCCAGTGCTACTGGGAGACTCTTTTCCACCGTCGTTACTTCTGGAGTTGGCGGTCGTCTGGCTTCGTGGGACGCTTTAAAACGCGGCTGCCCACCACTTGATGTCCGAAAGGACCTGCCTCCACCACCACCGCCTCCTCCTCCACCAAGATTACTAAACATTGAGAAAATATCAGGTCCTTCAGAACCGAAACCACCTGAGCGCGCAAAGCCAGAAAATATATCGTCCGGATCGCTAAATTTAAAGCCTCCGGGTCCCCCTGAGGTAGAAAAGTGGAACGTTCGTGCGCCGCCGGGCATGCCACCAGCGGGCATGCCACCGAATCCCTGAAATCCACCGGGCATTCCGCCCTCGAAAGGCGCTCCTCCAGGGCCTCCAGGAGGAGCTTCACCGCCGCCCCGAAGAAGGAACTCTAAGCCATATTGATCGTATACTTTGCGTTTTTCGGGATCAGAAAGTACTTCATAAGCCTGTGAAACCTCTATCCTGCAGGTTAGCAATTGGTATAACTTTAGTCAAGTGACAACAGTGAAAAGACAGGGTCACCAGCGAACCTTTGAATTTCTCAGACGCTTGAGGGCTATCTCTATTTTTATCTGGATGCCATTTTAGGGCCTGCTTCCTGTGTAAGAGTAGCATTAGTAAAGGGGTAATTTGCGAGTAGAGAAACTGCACACTTACTTGTAGGCCTTTTTTATCTCATCTTGCGAAGCACTTGGTTGAACTCCTAGAGAATCGTATAACTTCGTTTCAGCGACCATGTCTATAAAAGCAATTCAAGGCTAGCGAGTGCGAGGGAGAGGAAATGGAGGGTGAGCTGTGGTGTTGAGGTTGAATGAAGTAGGAGTACAGCTTGAAGGTTGGTTGGACGGCGCTCGTTGGGTGAGGGGTGATTAAGGTTTGGTGATGTCAGAACAGTCGATCGGTCACGCTACAGCTGAGTGCTCTGTTGAACAGAAAGCAAGTCAGCGAGAAGAGAATTTTCAGGGCGAGATATAAGCATAAATGAGAGGTTGAAGATTCGGATGCAAAGTGCTGGCTAGCCGGGTTGTGTCGACAGGTTAAACTGCCAGATCGGATCGAAGCTTCCCGAAGGTTCTGTCTCGAACTTGGCCAGGCCAAAAGCCACACAGGCAACAATTATCTGCTCCCTAAAAACACAATTCAGGTATGAATATTGCAAAGTATGGCACAAGCATTTGGGATGAGCCTTGCGCGCCTGTTCCGACGAGAAACTTGGTATGTGGAATATAAAAATGGGACAATCAACTGGTAATTACCAGAAAGGCTGGTTATCTAGTGACTCTCCCTCCCAGCGACATATGTAACCCACAATCATACACTCATCAAGCTACGTACAGTATGCACATACAAACGTACCACTCTATTTAGTTACGATCGATACCACATCCTCGTCGGCCACGACATGGCCCAATCCAACTCGTTGAGGGATGTGCATTGCACTCTGACCCCAAACAAGTGCATATTTGAACTGCTCTTTGATGGTCCGATGTATCTGGTCGCAGACATCTTCAATGGTCGATTGATTTCGAACAATGAGCGCTTCGCTAAAGTCCGGTTCGACTCCCTTTCTAAAAAAAAAGTTAGACCAGATGTTTATATGCAGACTTGCAGATGTGCATACCGCTTTGTGTATACTCGGATCAATTGAAGCTCCTCCCAGCATCTATCAACAACATCCCTGACGCCCAAATCTAGTTCGCAACTCATCACGCATGTATTGGGCTCTCGCGCTAGTTTGTCTAGGAAATCTAGACTAACACTATCGATTTTGTTGTATACATACAGACTGTAAACTATTAGTTGTGTTCATTAGCGAAGAATAATGTACTTGCCATTTAATATATTTTCGGTGGTCTTTCATTATTACGTCAATAAAGTCATCAACCGTAGCTAATGAAAGGTAAACTTTAGCATATCCAAACAAACGCCATTGTTTCATAACTCACCATTTTCATCCCGAACTAGCACTTCACAGTTGAGCATCTTATAATCTCGAAGAATATTATATAGCATTTTCTCGTCTAAATTTTTTGGAGGGGCCTGAAACGTAATTTTCATACCTCCGGCCTTCTTTGCCTTAAGATAGATATTCCTAAAAGAAATTAGTATACGTTCAGAAAATCAAGACCTAGCAATATCCAGAAAGACGTACGGGGGCTCTCGGTTCAGTCGAATACCAACAGCTTCCAGTTCAGCTTCTAGCAAAGCTCTTTGCTCGGCACGTTTGGTAGCATCAAGCACCATTAAGATCAAGTCACTCGTCTAACGAGCCGTGAGAACAAGTCCAACATAAAAACCGTCGCGCTCACCTTAGCCGCAGATATAACTTGTCTTCCTCGTCCCTTTCCTTCAGCAGCACCCTCAATAATTCCAGGAAGATCAAGTACTTGAATTTCAGCTCCGCCATATTCAAGAACCCCTGGAATAGCTGTAAGAGTAGTGAAAGAGTATGCAGCAACTTCGCTCTTTGTTTTTGTAATTTTTGAAAGGAATGTTGATTTGCCTACGGATGGGAACCCGACAAGAGATATTCGGGCATCACCACTCTTGCTTACATCAAAACCCGTGCCACCGCCAGAACCAGCACCAGCTGTAGGCTCAAGCAATTGCGCACGTAGTCTAGCAAGTTTTCTATATGCACGGTCGTCAGTGAAATGTAGACCGGATTCAAACAAAGAGGCGCATATTTCGCGATAGTGCGTATTTAAATGACGTATGAATGAAATAGTGGAGATGGCAGTAGAGCTTTGAGCGCTTAACCTACCCCTTTAAGAGCCCAAGATGATACTCTGGTAATAATCAATATATGTACGCTTCTCTCAGCTGCGCCGCGTATAAAAATCAAGTTCAACGCACCAGTTGCCTTGTTCTCTTAGACGTCTGTTAGCAGGCATCCATAAGTATAGACAAAGGTCAAGACATAATCACTTTGCGTCCTCCGCATCTCCTCCTCAATCCTAAGAAGGTAACACTAGTTAGGATGCGGGCCATTTGCGGGGTGATCTGCCTCACTCTTTGATCTTGTCTGTAATGTTCACCATTTTGAAAATGATACAGCAATTATATTAAATTTTAAATACAGAATTTGCGACAAGCGTCTAATTCCAAGCCCGGCATGCAAATGCTCCTGGCCCCTCAAGACTTCCGCCAAAGTGTCTGATATCGGGCGTCTCTATCTTAGTCAGCCAAATGATTATCTAAGAAAAACCGAGTACGCCAAGAGTGAAACGGGCTAAAGAGCTTGGCCGTTATAAAAAAGAGATGACTAAGTTGAGTTTGCTATCTGACTCAGCAGCCAATTCCAAACGAGAAGTCAACAACCAACTGATCTTTTAGATGGCTGTCCCATTTGTTTATCCCAATATTGGCCTACGACGCTTAGCTATTAATACCTTTAGACTATGGCCAAACTGCTTTTCGTATACTTATCAAGCTCTCCATACAGTAATTATCCCCGACCCCTCCCCGGAGTATTCTATGGACTGAACAGAAAAATCTATTCCCCAAACTTGATATTTATTAAATTCGGGTTTACCGGCCACCAAGGATATTTTCCTTTTACCTCTTTTAACACCGACGAAGATGTTAACCCTTGGTGATAATAATTTGGGAAACCGTTGCCACCTGACGTTAATGTTCGTATTAGTATGCAACTGAAGGAAGCTCCCTGCAGCGCTCTTCTAGGACATCCTGCTCATAAAACAAGCATAAGCCGCTGTTACTACTTCTAGGGGAGATATGCTCTGTCTGGTAGCATTTATGGGCTTCGGGGGCCTACCCTTTCCGTATCCTTGAATCTACTTCCGACAATATGCTCCCCCCTGGATATTTTTAGTCTGCATGCCTTAGCGGCACTGCGCCATTGGCTCAGCTTCTCCCTGTCCTCGGTATTGTTGCTCTTGTGGCGATTTGATCTAGCGCAGCATATGGAGGATGATTGTACACAACAAGGTGTAGATTCTGCTGACTGATAATCTGTGTCGTACCCTGGCTCGATCGCCTCTCCACTCCGTAGCTGGCAATGCTGTGGTATGGAGGGTGGCATGCATGTCGCGGGGTAGTATTATGTTATAAACAGGCTGATGAATACCTGTTTCCGTTCCTTCGAGTTTGCTTCGCCCAAAAATCAATCACTCTTCTCCTCATACGGCTGCCTATTCTTCTAAAACACAATGAATGCCTCTACCTCTACTATAGTTGCAATTATCGCTGTTCTTTCCTCCGTGCATGCCGCCCCTTATCCAGGAAACGAAGTCAGTGATGTGCAGTCAGTGCCGCCACCAAATTGCTGGATTGCGTGCTGGAACGAGCGCCCGACCTGTCCCAAAATCAAGCCAGTAAGCATGCCATCTGTATCAGTATGCTCTATCTACGGATGCTAACTGTATTCTTATGCTAGATTCCATACCAAGATGGGGTATGTAATCTTACTCTATCATACTTCCACATTGACTTCACGTTAAGCCTTTTAATAGAACTGCTGGACTTGCTGCAGCTAGAGAGCTACCATGGGTGCATCTTTTGAAATGAAGCGCTATTACTAGTGCCCTTCTTGGTGACCATTATGACACTGTGCTTTATCATTATTTCTGTAGCGTAATTTGATATGCGATTTACTCTCAGTTGATATTCAATCCGACTTGCAGTTGCGATCCCGAATTTGTGAGCGCTACATTCGCTTTGGTGGCCAGCGTTACAAGGATCTGCTCTTTGGCATGCTTCCGTGCTCCCGCTCCTCAGTATATACCCATGGTGATATTGCTCCACGAAATATCATGGTGGATGAAAAATATCAAATCAGTGGGGTTCTTGATTGGGAATTTTCTGGATGGTATCCTGAGTATTGGGAATATGCGCAGATTATGAGGCCTGCTTGTGAGACTGGTGATTGGCAATCATGGATGGATGCTACTGCACCACAGAGATGGGACATAAGTGGCATCAATGCTGCTAGACGGATGCTCTTCTAAGAAAGATAATTGTCAGCCGCTCTATGGTGCATTTCGCACGATAACGCCACCCCGGCTCCCATTAATCTTCGCCATATAACTCATGCCCGGAGTTAGCCAATACTAAAATTAACAAACGAGAAAACAACTAGGAAATAAAATCGAAGCTTTTTATTACACGCTGATGAGTGATATTTATATTTGGATGGTTTAGAATAGCTTTGAATTGACCTTTGTACCTTTACTAACGCTTCGCCTTATCTCACGGTTGAGGGATGTCGAAAAGAAGCCCGTGCATAGAGTTTGCCTCCAATTGATTGTAGTGTACTTTCCGAACCCATTTGCAAATATGGCAGTGATGGTGGTTTGTGTGACGCTACGAGCTATGAGCTGGAGAGAAGTGCCTGATTCATCTGATCTCATATTGAAGAGGGATCTAGGTGAGTGGCTAGCCCTATGTGGGACAAAAGAGCCAATCAGAGCAAAGCTCTAATCATGGATACTAGTGATCCAAATCTATGCCCGTACAAAAAAACAAAAAAGAATGCTCTAATCTCGTGCCTAGCCTCGCCTAGGCCGCTGACAGTTTGGTCAATCAGGGTTTGAAGAGAGTTTGTTAGATATCTTGCTTGATCCAATAGGAGCTGTCCAGGGCTTGTCCTCAGAATGAATAAGAGCTAACCGTAAGTAGACTAGCTGTATCAAGCTGATTTAACGCCGCCCGAGTGACTGTAGATTCTTTGCGCGTGCCTCTCGCGCTGTGAAGTGATACACATATGAATATGGCGTCCACGGAATCTACATTCTCCGCAGCAGTATCTTCCTCTTCAAACCCCTTAGCAGTTTTCCCACCAGACAGTGACGCGGCAGCAACTGTACTGGCACAACAAAATGCTGTTTCAGCTTCTACCATCGAAACACCCGAAAATCCCGAGAAGAAGACGAAGATAATTCGTCGCAAGAGACGACCCGCCCGTGTACAGATCGACCCATCGACTATTAAATCAGAGCCACCTCCTCAAACTGGTACAATTTATAATATTTGGTACAACAAGTGGTCCGGTGGTGATCGTGAAGATAAATACCTATCCAAGCACAAAGCACCGTCGAGATGCAGCATCGCTACTGACAGTGGCTACACGCGTGCAGATAAGGTGACTGGGTCGTTTTTCTGTTTATATTTCGCTCGAGGGGTATGCCCTAGGGGCCACGAGTGTGAATATCTACATCGTCTACCAGGGATACATGATTTATTCAACCCCAACATCGATTGCTTCGGCCGCGATAAATTCAGTGACTACCGAGATGACATGGGTGGTGTCGGAACATTTATGAGACAAAATAGGACGTTGTATGTGGGAAGGATACACGTTACGGATGACATTGAAGAAGTTGTCGCGAGACACTTCGCAGAATGGGGCCAGATAGATAGAATACGCGTTCTGAACAACAGAGGTGTTGCTTTCGTTACATATATGAATGAAGCAAACTCGCAATTTGCCAAAGAAGCCATGGCTCATCAGAGCTTGGATCATAATGAGGTTTTAAATGTACGATGGGCCACTGTGGACCCAAATCCCTCAGCACAGAAACGTGAGGCGCAACGAATTGACGAACAAGCAGCTGAGGCAATACGAAAGGCCCTGCCAGCCGAATTCGTTGCCGAACTAGAAGGAAGGGATCCAGAAGCTCGGAAACGGAAAAAGATCGAGGGGGGGTTCGGCCTACAAGGATATGAACCCCCCGATGAAGTTTGGTATGCCCAGACAAAAAGAATCGAAGAGGCGGGGACCGATAAACTTGAACCACGGGCCCAGCAGCCCCTGATTCAAGATAGCCCTTCTGCTAACAATGCAAATGAAGGTGGTGGTATTCTGACAGATGCGGTACTCGCAACGTTGCGCGGATGTGCTGGACCCACTCTGGCAGCACCCCCTACAAAACAGATTACTGGGCCCTTAGTTGCTTATGGAAGTGATGATGACAGCGATTGAGATTTCAAGACAATGTATGTACATTAGGTTAGGCTCTTAGTATGCTAACTAAGCCCTTAAGATTTTCCTATTTCGAAATCATGAAATTCCAAATCCCGTTCAATTCCATAACAATTCATCACAGTCGTTAGATAATCATTTTCTCATTTTCCAAGCGTCAAATCATAAAGAATACAATTACCATTACGATAATTGTAGATAAAAGCGTTTCTATAGCGTTCAGCTCCGTCAGGCTCCTCTCTATCATTGGCAAGTTCATAGAGCAGGTTAAGCAAATCTGTCAAATACTTTCTCTCCACCAACGGAACGCCTTGAATGACAGTGCGCCATGTGTCAGTATCAGCAAGACGAGTGTTTCGGATTGCTTGTAGAACGTCATCTCGTATGTCGATTGCAGCAATAGGACCGTTTAGCGATTTGTCAGCTGTTTCACGGGCTCGAAGCATCGCTGAGGATATTATTAGTGAATCAACTAGGCTGAATAACGAAACGAGTAACGGCCATACCTGACTCAATGATATTCTGCCTATTTGTTTTCTTGCCTTTGTGCATTGGTGCAATAATTCTGACATCCATATCTCTTTCTCTGTTCAAAGGATTGGCATCCGGTACACTCGACTTGGACGACTTGGAGATCTCCGCTTTCTCTGTTTGATTGCGAGCGCGAATTTCATTTCGAAGCCAGGGTATGAGATCAGTGCATCTGACATCGAATTCCTCTCTTCTGGCAAGGCTTTTAATTTTCAGGCCACGGTCCAAACTATCTTGCTTCACAATGACCATCCAACTATGGCTTTCTTCTTTATATCGTGTAAGAAGTTCCTCTAATGATGCTGCGTCCACAGCTAATTCGCAACTGATACCGTGTGTCCACAGCTCAGATAAAATATCGAGAGCGAGAGTCCTAAGAACTGTGCTATCAAAGCTCGCCACAAGAACATCGCACTAAATCAGTTAGTGATGAGAATAACGAGCTATATGAAAGGATAAAATGGGCTCCTACCTTTCGTGTTCGCCAAACACCAGAAAAATCGGCTTCATGTTTTGAGGGACCCTTAGCTTTTCCTTTCAAAAGGCTTGCCATAGAGGCAGTGAGCTTATCGAGACTAAGATAAAACCCTACAGCATGACACTGAGATCGTGCCGAGAGCATTTTGGGCCGAAATTCCTGGATTAGGCTATCGTATCGACCACCAGCAGCGAAAACATCTTTCCTTCTTGTATCGACTATACACTGAAAGAGAATGCTTCCTCCGTAAAACTTGTTATTGACACTACTCAAAGGGCTGATATAGATCTTGCGCCTGACTCGAAACCTCTTTAGGTAAGCAATCACCCCATTTAGACGAGCAAAAATAGGGGAGATCTTGTCCACAAATTCAGTGTCCTCCATGATTAAGCGAAGCCGTTTCAGGGCCTTCTCTGGGGTATCTGGACTATGGTTAAGACAATTGCCATGTCTGAAGAGTCGGCATGCTTACCTCTGAAATCAAAACGAGCCAAATCGTCAATAGATGTGGATGTTACGCCAATAGCAGGCGCACGTAATTCGCTTCGAATTTTCTGCATCGTCCAATGGCCCACATTAAGCTTGCTAATTACTTCTTTCACTAGCGGTCTTTGTGTTGAGCTAATACGGCAAAAGGCGATTATTGTGTCTAAAAGATCTGAATGATTCAAATGGTAACACATTTGCGCGGATTTGAAGGATGGAAACTCATCAAGAACCTCGTCTAGTACCTTAATAGCTTCAGCCTCCTTTAAAGCAAGATCAAGTGTATTATGTGAAACGATGTCAAAGTCAACCTCATTATGGGCACGCGGTTGGCCCCCATGAAGAGATTCTCGGAAGACAGTTCCAAAGGAAAACATTTTCTCAATGGATGGGTGTTGACGGGAAACTGACCGGGCATTTGGAAGTGTCAGATCAAATGGTAACTGAACTTGGTTACCATCTGGGTCCAGTAGCCTGACAACACCGGGGCCATAGTGGCCTGAACGAGGGAATAGAGTCTGCCTTGTAGTCTCGACTGCCCCATGTTTTCGGAATATTGCGGTTAATTTATCTTTCACTGCACCTTGTATCAACATCTCATTGGCCGGCGGTGATTCCCGCGAATCAATTTCCCAAGTTAAATCCTCGAATTTATTTGCAGGCTGGGAAAAGATCGCAGAGAGAATCTTCTTATAATCTGCAGAGTTTGGATCGGATAAGAGACCCATGACAGCTTTTCTAAACATTTCTTCTTCAACCTGAAGGGGAATTTTCCCACTTTGAAGAATTTCAATAGCAGCTGGCCGCTCGCCTGGACGATGACTGATTAGCGATTCGATAATCTGCCCCTGGACAATTTTTTCTGGCAATTCAAACGTCTCAGGAAGTACGTGGTCTTTTTGACGAATCTCCTGCAAAGTGCGATCGCGCTCCATGGCCGTATTAAGAGGATGACACATCTCAAAAAAAATGATACCTAGGGAGAACATCTGCTTCAGTCAGCCTAACGCGGTGATATATGGAATACATAGTAACCTACATCCACTTTGTCGTTGTACTGTCCATTAGAAGCAGATTTCATTTCGGGCGCTACATAATAAGTCGTACCGATGCTGCGCGTGAAGCTTTCTCCTATATCTGGAGCTGATGATGATTGGACCGCTGTCGAGAACTGACCACGAGTTGCCAGGCCAAAGTCTCCGATGCGAGGATTACTCGTGACATCGAGAAATATATTGTCCGGCTTCAGGTCTCGATGGATTATGCCATGGGTATGGATATGGTTCAACCCATCCAGTATTTGTCGGAATAGCCTCCAGGAAGCGTCAGCATTCTCATGGAGCCCATCGCGGATTAAATCACGAAGCGTCTTCAAAGGATCATCAGTACGGAGCACTAAAAAGGTGAGAAAGCTAATCATACATGTTTTTCGCAGTATTCCATCTGAATATACAAAGTCGAAGTAACTTGCTGCGAGCTGGATCCCGAATTCACCAGGTGTAGGCCCTCAGCATCTTCACCTGTTATCGACTGAGTTGGCTCGTCATCATATTGGCCATTCTTATTATCATTATCAATGGTGCCATTCGATGCAGTTTGGTCATCCACCAGTCCATCCCGCTCAGGAGGCTGATTGTCACTATCGTATCCAAACTCAATCTTTGGATATCCTTGTGAGCTCATAAAGTCAAGTCCACTGGCACTATACCCAAATTCAATGTTGGCCTGAGAAAGTTCTTGATCTGTAGATTCAACGGCATCATCGTCCGCACCAAAGTAATCTTCTTCCAGCCAAGCTGTATAGTATCGCACGACATACGGGTGGTTCAATCGAGAGAGTAACATTATTTCTGAAAGAGTGTTTTTCAAAGCTCCCGATGATTTGTGTGATATCTTTTTTACAGCATAAAAACGTCCGTCGAGCTTGTTCCTTGCTTTGACAACCTGGCCAAATCCACCTCTGCCTAGACGACCAACTTCATCAAAATCATGTTCATACCTTGAAAAAGTCGGCAAAAATCCCTGCGAATCGGTTCGGGCTCGTCTTGGCAGGGGAGCAGTACTGGATGAGGTGTTCACAATAATGAGTGGCGTATCAACACGGAAAAATTCAAATGGATGAATTTGAAAAGCGGTCGGCCGCTTTTTGGGGTCTGCCTGGAAAATTTCGCGAAGCATATCCTGTAGAGGCTGTGATAAATCCAAAGAGTTAATAAGAGAGTTTGCAGATGTATATCGCTGCAGGACGTCCTTTCCGAAGCCCATTTGAAGAAAGACAATACCCAAATCCCACACATCGGATTTAATACTTGGCTTTGAGTCTTCCTGTACCAATTCAGGGGGTAGCCAAAATGTGGATTTCGAGGTCGCCACAGCCCTTTGAGTGCTGGATGGCAATGGCAAGGCTTCCTCGATACTTCCCAGTAACTTGACAGCTGTGCTGCCAGTAGAGCCTCGAAAGAGAAGTACACGCGCGCAATGAATATTCCCGTGAACGATTCGGTGCCGGTGATAAAATTCAAGACCCTCAACGAGTTGTATCATCCAAGCCTTGACATTTTCTGCGGGAAGTGTACCGACCAAATCCAGAAGCTCAGAAAGCGAGCCTTTGTTGGCATATTCAAAAAGGGCTGACACATGCCAAGTATTGTCTTGGGAAGTATACGGATCGAGGGGGCTGTAGATTTTATACCCAACAAAATCCACCAGGTTTGGATGGCGAAGGGATTTGAGAATTTCCAGCTTATCCTCGCTTGATCTTATTCGCTGTCGAACGTCAGACAGCTTTGTCTCTTTTTCGCGGATAAAAATTTCTTTTAACACCAAAAATGGGGCACGGGGTGCATTCCCAGGCACGACCGGTTTCACAGTAAATGTTTCCTTGTGATGAGTATGGCTGATTAATGTCCGCCCATATACAGACTTAAATGTGAGATTTCGGCCTTCATTGTCGATCACCGTCATCGGTCGGTCAAACGTGACAGCACCTGGAGTATCATCGTTAGATTCCAAACTCTCCGTATCTTCTAACATGGATCTGCTTTTTCGTCGATAGTTTTGTTCTTTCTCCCGCTGTCGGAGTTTAATCTGATTTTTGAATGCGGCTTCATATTCCTTTTCCTCCTCCTTAGTAGCTTCTTGTTGCTTTCTGATTTCTTCAAGTTTCGCCTTCTCCGCCTCTTCTAGGGCAGCCGCTTCTTGGGCCCTTCGTTCCTCTTCGAGACTCTGGCCGGCATCAGACTGTGCTTGCACCATGGCAGCGTCCTCCAGTATATCTTGTACGGAAACTGCCAACTCATAGACCATCTCATTCCCAACCAACTCGCTGGCTTTCGCGGTGATTAAGGCCTGAATGCGCGATTTGGTATCTCCTCGCAAATCGTCGACCCACGCCAAACTCAGGTTTGGTATGGTTTTGGGGTACGTTGCGGGCAATTCCACAAGTAAGTCTGTTCCAACTTTGGGATTAGATGATGCCTTTAAATGCAGTTTGAAGGCAATGTCAGAACATTGCTACTCAAAGGCATAACACAAGTTAACAAGGAACTTTCCAAGAATATATGTCATAGTTGGGACTTACCTTCCAAGCTGATTGCCGGGTTTCTACATACTCGAAATCATCGCCATAAATCGAACGTAAGGCCTCGGCCTCGTTCACATGAATTTCTCGATAATTCGTGACCGTAGTAGATGGGGAAATTTCCAGCATCGCATCCGGCGAAGAATGCGGCTTATTCTTTTGAGCTAGATGGTTATTTTTCTTGTTGCCTTTCTTCTGTTTTGCTGCCATGGTTGACTCGTTGACTCCATGAAGAGGTTGGCAGGGAATGGAAAAAATTTACGGCTGTTCCTCCGGAAAGGGAACAACAGAAGTGCAGCCGAAGCTGCAGCCCACTACCTTAGCATTTTAAGACAGCAGGTGACCAGCAATTACAATAGACAGTAGTGAATGACAAGAATGCACTGGAGTGGGAATTCAGATATTACCCTGACAAACCATGTCAACTGATGGCAGAACAGATAAGGCGGTGTGGACACCTGACACGGGGCTGGAACAACTATTCACCGCCATATATCCCAATCCTTCAAGTCTACACAATAGAAATGTTGCAGTTATGATCTATGCAGGTGAGTTTTCGTCGGATGTTGTGTACCTCAGCCATCACTTTTGTCTCACACTACTCATGTGTTATTAAGAGATGAAGTGAAAACATCACAGCACAGAAGGCCTGCCCTCATTGGATGCCTAACCATTAGTTCTTGCCCAACTCCTCTGCCTTACTTCGCCTTACAACACATGCGATTCAAGCAGTATGCAGTATACAGAGTACTAGTATGTTGTCTTGAAACCTGCTCAAATCTATGTATCACAAATGCCATCCATTATTAGTGCTACTCTGTACTGCTCACGCACCCCTTTAAACCCAGTGTAGCCGGGCGCATATCCACTAAAACTGCAGCCATACAAAGCATGTCAACCCCAAAGGCAAGGAAGAGATTGGTATTGGATAGCTACAAGAGACACCAGGCAATCATACACAGTACGGAGTGCTATTCTGAACAGTCCCATCAGTCAGTTTTGAAGCTGTTTTCGCGCTGTCAGAATGTAGAAATTAAAGTTGGGTGTTGGCGCTTTTGGCCCAGAACGGCTTAGCGCAACCGAGCTGCCAATTGCTTGATGTTCTGGATGGAGCGTTAGAGGTAAACAAACGTGGACCGCTGAACGAAGAGCCATTTAACACCATAACATAGCACCTACTGATAAGCAAGGGTGAATGAGACGCGTCTCTTTTTACAAAGCAAAATTGGAAATATTTTGGTCATGAATACTCCCTCTTAATAGTTGAAGAATATGCTTGGCTGGCTATCAGGTACTGGCGGCGGGGAGGGCGCCGGGGTCGGTAAGTTCTACACATATCCTCACTCGCCCTACCTAATATACCCAGGCTGACTTCAATCAATGATATTCAGATGGTTCTGAAACGCCGGCTCCTGTATTCGCTTATAAAGCCTTTAAGAACGCTGTCCTCGGCACTCCTGCCGAGGTTGACGAAGATAGAGAACTCACTATTCCAATCAAGACGCTAAATAGCACCTACCAACGAAGCGACAATCTTTTGAAACAGCTGGAAAAGGCTAGATCAGAGACCAACGAGAAAGTTCAGTCGCAAGAACCATTCCCGCTCCCCAAAGCACAGCCCATGGCGTCACCTACGAAAAGTATTCTACATACACCAGGCACTGCCCATGCGAGGAGAAAAACAGTGTCATTTGGTGAAAGTGTTGTCGACAACGAACGCAAGCGATCCACCTCAGATACTGTGCTTAAGAAAGACATCCTCTCTGGAAATATCAGCCGCCAATGGCCGGCTCCCACTTCAGACTTGTCGAAAAGAAACAGAAGCAAATTAACCCAGTCATTAATAGATGCACGAGAGCAGAAATCAATTGAAAATGATGATGATTTGTTTGACATTACTAGCGAAAAACCAACCATGTCTCCTGAGAAAGTCGTGCCAGCCGAGAATCAGCCAGGGGCCCCTATGGAAGAATCCGAAGATGACTTTACTACGAATCTCAATGAACCACACTCGCAATCGGGAAAGTACTGGAAATCCGAGTACGATAGCTACAGGGCCAAATCTGACCGCGAGATCAAGAAGTTGATTAAGTACCGCCTATTAGAAAGATCATTCGCATTGAAAAGTGGAACAGAGGTTCTTCGATTAACAGAAAGATTAAAACAAGAAGAGGAAAAAGTAAAAGAAATGGAGCGTTCTCTAGCGGAGCTGGCGGCTGGGATGGCTGGGAAAATCAATAATGGAGTTCCTGAGAACGAGGATATGGTCAAAGAGCTATGTCAACGGACTGCATTAACTTTGAAGCACAAGCATAAAGCTGCTAGCTTGCGAAAAACGCTTGAACGTCACGGGATATTGGACAGCGACGAAAGTGCTACTGACAATGAACTACAACAAGACATCGCACATCAGCTTCGCAAAGCGCAGGAAGAGCTGGGTAAATTAAAAGCCGAAAATCGACCATCGGATTTCAAAAAGTTAAAGGCAATGGCAGATGCTTCGGAAAAAAAGGCAGCCGAGCTTGAGAAAGAAAATGCATCCTTGAAACGTGATCTTGCTCGAGTCAAAAAAGAAATATCTACCTACGAAGAGAGGCGAAAAGCGAAAGAGGAAAGATTAGGCCGGCGACAGAAAACTTTGGAGGCAAGAGTGCAGCAATATAGTGAACGTTTGAGAGACTCATCCAAGGCACATCATGGTGCCCAAGAAACCCTTCAAAAGGCATTTGAGGCAGAAAAGACCCAAATGCTGGATACAATTAAGTCTCTGAAAAGCAAGTTAGCTGTTATGGATAAAAACTCCCTCGTGCAACCCCATTTTTCTACGGGCCAATCTGAAGCCCCTCGACACTCCTCTTCTGCTTCTAAGGAAGAAATCGATACGGTCTGCGCTACTAAGGAGCCGTTACCTAACAAGCATTTCTCTAGGGACAACTGTTTACCGACTAATGCTAAAAGAGGTAGAAGTTCGAAAAGGGAGCAAGCGAAAGACGGCGAAAATATCAAAACACGAGGGACGAATAAGCCATCTCCACTACCTTCGGAAAATCGGTTAAATCCCACTTCTAAAGTAGGAATACTTGTTGAGGATGACGACCTTTCTCCACCAAACACTGTCAAGCGCCGCCAAAACAATATAGATCTCTTAACGTCAGCAAAGCTGTCTCAACTACATCGCTCTCGCTCAGTCTCACCTAAAAAGTTGGTACCAGCTACGGATTCTATTGTCACCAGCCTTTCCCCAAAACCATCAATGATATACCTGGAGGTTTCCCAAGCTCAACCACAACCTAAGCCTATGGATGCCAACCCTCCCCGAAAGATGTCCAGCAAATCGTCTGGATTAAATCGCCCACTCTCGCTTGTCCCAGACAGCTTCATACCTACCGGTGCCGCGGCGGAGAAGCTAAAGTCTATGTCGCCAGAGCGCATTGCAGCTGCACAAGCGCGACTTCAACGGAAAAGCGAGGATGCAATAAAGGATAGACCCCGCGGGAAAGAAAATGTGTGGGCAGCCGCCTAAGATCCACTACTTTCCTTATCTGTTCGTTTGTGTGGATGCCTTCGATTGGCATTATTTTCAATTTTGGTGACATTTTCATTTGTTTGATTTCGTGCTAGGCAGCGTGACGATTATACCAATTTGCTTTGTATTAGCGATTCGATGGCAAAGATAACCCTGGCAGAGTGGAGCTTACGGCGTTAAATTTCACAAGAATGACGCTCCTGTCACTTCTTGTATTTTTAGAGTGCTTCTAAATGCATCTATATTTTCCTTTTTCTCCGCCAAATTTTACATTAAATTTTTCAAGGCTACTCCGTACATTTCAAGATATTCCATAACTATATGCTGTTAGCTCATTTTCTAAATCTACCACCTATTTACACCTTGTTTACACTCTTAGCTCAAGCTTTTCCATCGCAGAATTGCACAACAGCCCACTTTCCGCTCCAAGCCCATTTACGAGCCCCTGATTCTCCTCCTCCTCCTTCTGTTTGACGGATACGCTCATCTTCCCCTTGAGGAAGGCCAACGATTACATCTGCCTTACATGTACGAAGTGCAAGAGTACGGATCCGGGATCCGGGACCGAGAGGTCCAATGGCATCTGAGAAAGGGGTCGCAGGATCCCAGTGCGCCTGGGGATGATGTGGTTAGTTGTTATGACTAGATAGGTGGGGGGTATCATGCTCACATCCGCTGTCAGTTTTCGGTAGTTAAGATCTCCCTTGAATAAAACTAATTCACTTTCCTTTAGATCATCCCATAGGGTGGGCGCTTCGCCTGGAATCCGCCAGTAGCTTCCAGCCGTGGTCCAGAAACGGTTGGGTCGTATGATCAACTTTCCATCGGCGTGAAATTGGCTCCACTGTTCGGATAGAAACTGCAGCTCAGCCACCTCTTGTTCCGACAGCGGCTGGGAAGTCTGGGTATTGCTTTTTGGGTCATGTTTGTCGGCTGTGGCCGTGAAGAATGATTGGGGATCCGCGAGAGCCGAGACTAGGTCACCAAAATCTTTGGGGAGGACATCAGAAACGAACCAAGGCATTGACTTGGGGTGAAGAATAACTGTCGTTGCGAGATCAGAGAGGAGAAGATAACCCGCGAGGATTAGGTCCACGAAAAGCTCGAATCCCGCATTATCAAGAACTATATCAACCCGACGCTCCTCGTTTTTCCTAGTCTTTCGAGCATTGTTCAACACAGCAAATGCAGCAGACAGATCATTTACGAGTATGTTCTCCTCGGCTGCCTTGCGCGCTTTAGCACCCTGGAGCTTCTGTATATCTTCGTATGTGAGCGAAGTCAGGAGGGATAGATCAGTGGCATTGCCCCATAAGCAAATTTCACACATTTCTGTAAAGAGCAGCTCGTCTGCTTTTTCCGATTGAGTGTCGGAATGATTGGCTTTTATTTCTTTGTCTAAGTCTCCATATCTTGCGCCTAGCTCCAGAACCGCTGGACGTGAGGACCTGAATGTAGACATTTTCTGGCGGGCGAAAATATCATAGCTCTTCCAGTGGGTAGAACGTGTGAAAAGAGTGTTTATCCGCCTGTCTATGCCGTTTGAAGTCAGTACCCCCCTATCAACCAAAACGGTAAAAACGCACAGAGATAACATTCTGCGTATAGCCACGGCGAATAAAACCAAGAGACGTCACCCCTCTGCTCCAGCTCCTTATTGTATGTCTTGATGTCATCTTCGCCATCGTCCTGTAAGGGTCTTCATCGACGGTTATCATCTATGCATAATCCAAGCTTCACTCCATACGTAGAATAGGAGCCATACGTCAATTTCCTATTGTGTAATAGCTCATATTTTAGTGCTGCAAGCTGAGAAACAATTTCCTTCCCTTCCTTCTGCTTATCATCTTCTCCGTCGGGAATTTGGATCAGCGAGCGATGAAGGTCGTCGATGGCACCCGTCTAGTTGAACAACCTTAGGCTTAGAAATCGTTGCATATGGTAGTACGAATGAGGTATTCTCACCAGAATCACAGGCCATCTTTCCAATGCCGAAGTGTATGCGAACGTATGTCGTTCGGACGTAAGAACGGGAGCTGGTTGTTGGCGGGGTTAGTTTGCCCCTCACGAACGCGATCTGGCATAGAGGAACATACGGGTCTTTGGGTCGAACTCCATATCTGATGAAAAATTCAATGCTCTAATAGAAGTACTGAGAGGATATCAAACTAATGAAGCACAGCTGCAAGGCTAGGAGCACCTTTGTCGTGGCCATGTATTTGCTACCACACTAATCGGTGGGCCCGAAAACAACTACAGATTTATGTTTACATGCCTCGCGCAATCCCCCTAGAGCTTATCCATACTGGGGTGGGCCGATCTGTGTATCTAAAAGAGATGCATTCTAGATGCCTAAAGCTCGAAAAAAATCGCGCCTACATTAGGGTGTGTACTGTACAGATCGATGAATGCAAAAATGGAAGATTTCTCATCATCTTAGCCAGCGATGCAACTTTGAAGAAAGAAGTGCTCAGGGGAGGAACCAATTCCCTCTATTCCAGCCGACTCCACGCTATAGGAACCCAAAAACACGAATCTGACTCAAACGACTACTCCGGCCTTCGGCAAATCATTGATAGTACCCAAAGCACATGGTTCATCACCAGACACGGAAAGGTAACGAGTTCTGCAGAAGTACGCCGCCGCTTTTAAAAGACGACCGTGGATCCTGGATCATATGTATGTACATGGTCGCAGGTAGCTGGGTGGTGAGTGGGCCGTTCACATAAGAGACATGATAGAATTTTGAGCATAAGCCTAGTTATGAAATAGGTTAGCCCATCAGCCAAAAAGACAATAATCGTTTCACAGTGTGGACAAGAGATGATGTATGTACGGACCATTGGTTTAATATCGGGGTGCGGGACGGCCTCGAATTTATGGAAATCGAGGTCGAGCTTAGGATCAATATTGATATAGGCGCCTTTATTATCTGTGTTATCACAGTACTTTGGTGCGGAGAAAACTAGATTACTTGTCAACATCATGTTTTCTTTTGTGGACGAGTAACAGTACGAACCTGTGATACACTGGCCATTGTGTTCAACATCATAACCCTCCATTCGTACTTCATGACTACGAATGATCGCCTTCAGGCCATTTTTGTCACAGAAACGTTTCGTTACGTCGGGACCAAACTCTGTGCCAACACCTCGCTTGCTAGGGCTGCGACCAGGGAGAACTTGGGGATCCGCCCATAGCATTTCCATCATTAAGCCAGATTGGCCAGGCTGTCGCTGGTTATGTCGGTTAAACTTGCGTATGTCGTCAAGGGTAATATCATCATTTGAGAAAAGGCCTCCATGGAGAACCAGGTATTTTTCACCAATTAGGGTTGCAAGCGGAAGCGCAGAGAAAGTTTCTGAAAACACCTTAAAGAGGCGCTCTGTATATTTGGCCTTGCATTCGCCCTCAAAGCCGTAGACACGGTTCATATCATCTGTCTCATGGTTCCCTCGGTTGAGGAAGAATTTATCAGGGCGTAGCCATTTGAATGCAAAAAGGAGGAGAGCAATTTCAGTTGACCAGGATCCTCTATCAACAAAATCACCATTGAACAAGTAGGCGTGTTTATCAGAGGGGAGACCATTGAGTCTAAAAATTTCCATGAGGTCGAAATATTGGCCTGGAGAAACAATTAGTATGCCTAGGCGACAGTTGTGTGTTTGCACCATAATTCTTACCATGCGTGTCACCACAAACAGTCAACTTTGTGCCTTCTTTCACGCCAATCTCCACCATTGTCGGCTCATTATAAACAATTTCCTTCACCGCTTGCACAATCTGATAGGCATATTTCTTGTGAATCTTCTTTCCTGTTTTGAATCGCGACATCATATCATCTATAAATTCTTGCGTCATCTCATCTTTTAGTCGAACGCCATCGTACGAGTCTTCAACGTTGATAGCATCGACATCAAGTCCTTCAAATGCAGACGGCGGCTCGGCAACCTCAATCGCCTTTTCAAATTCGATCCGCCGCACCAACTTTTCGCACTCAGCCAACTTTAATTTTGCATCACGGTCGTGAGGTGCCTTGTTTACGACAGTCCTAAAATCTTTTAAAGCCGCGCGAGGGTTTAAGATGGCGGTGTTTGCAACGGCTCTTCTCCAATAAGCCTGCAGCAAATATTAGAAATGTGCAGACCACTGGAAAATTTCTTTTTCACCTTGACATAGGAAGGATCGAGCTCGATAGCTTTGGTCGCATCGGCGACAGCATATCCGAATGCTTCGAGTTTAATATTCACCTAGCCACAGCGATAATAACGTTTTAGCCATGAAAAAAATAGAAGCCCAGACCAGATGACTATCCCAGGCCTATTACTGAGTCATGAAACTTGGACACACCTGCGCTCTATTGCACCAAAAAGATGGGTCCTGGTCATACTTTTCAATCGCTTTCGAATAGAAATCCAATGCCTCTGGCCAGGAATGTTTCGTGAAGGCTTTGTTGCCTTGCACCTTTAAAGCCGTCGCGGCTTCGATGTCCGCCGTAGCCATGAAGGAAAGGGGAATAGAGAGAGTACGCTGTCACGCTGGGTTTGGCAAAGGAAAAAAAGTCTTGGGAGTGTGGGGATGATGGGGACGGGTCACGAGGGGCGAGAAATCCACCGGCGGCAAAAACAACAACGGAGAAGATTTACAATAATGGAGAAGAGTTGAGGAGACGTACAAACGGAACAGGCAGTACAGGTGGGGTGTAGCGCCTTCGCAGGCAACGGGGGCAGACGGGGTGGGGGACGGCGAGGCCGCAGACGACGAAGATCGAGGCTACTCGGGTGTGACTTTCACGCGTGTCTTGGGAGAGGCCGTGTGCAGCCAATGGGCGGGCCGTGCGCGATCTGATAACAAACCTTGTCCGGCCCAATGGAAACCAACATACTTCATTCGGGCCCCAGGGCAAGAGAGGCAAAACGGCGGACAGACAACGTTTCAGTCGACTGGGGTCACATTGTTCAAATACATACATCATAAGTAGAGAGCAGAGGCACACATGCGATACTCATTCATGGCTTTGCTAAGTAGGGGAACACAATACGCTGTAACAAAAGAAAAAGGAGGACTACGACTTCGCGATTTTCTCTAAGCACTCAAGGAGAATGTCGGCTGTTACAGTGTCGGTTGTTAGTAAATTCCAGTTGCCAATGGAGAACGTGAAGACTTACCATGATGTTTCTGGAAAATCAGCATTGGTCGCAATCTCACCGCGGCATCTCCGCAGCCACCGATATTGATTCCTAGGCTCTTGCCCTTTCGCAAAACGGCATCTCTCTGAGGGCTATCCCACGAAATAAAGGTACCCTGGCCTTTGCCGCGGAGATTTTGGAATTCAGCGGGGTATTTCTGGGCAAGACGTTCCAGTTGGGAGAACAGGTAGTTGCCAGTGTCAGCAGTGTTTTGAACCAAGTTCAACCGCTCAATTTCCTCAACTATCGCACGGAAAATGATGGCACGCGCAGGATCACCCATCCAGGTGTTGAACTGGCGGTAGGGCTTATTGGGCCGGAGTGCGGGGTTTCCGTAGAAATATCCAGCAGCTTGTGCTTTCTTCGAGAAGGTGACGATATCTGGGGGGTTCTGGAGATTCCAGTGGTCATGAGCCCAGAACTTGCCGGTAGCTCCAAGTCCAGTCTGCACCTCATCAACAATCAAGAGAACATCGTGGCGTTTTGTAATCTCTCGGAGGCCTTGGAAGAAAGAAGGGGAGGCGTGGTTATCACCACCCTCGGACTGAATTGGCTCAACAACAACAGCAGCTACGGGGTTGTGGAATTCTTTAATGATTCTTTCCGCTTCTTGGAGACAACGCTTCTCCTCAGCAGCATTTTCAGCGGCGAATTCCTCCAGGGGATACTTGAGTGCTGGGAAAGGCGCTTTGGGCCAGTCGAACGCCGGGATATCAAGCTTGTGAATTGGCTTGCTTCGTGTGGTGGAAAGACTGCCGAAAAGACGGCCATGGAAAGCTGATTCGAACGACATGATAGAATACTTTGGTGAACCCGGAGATTGGTTGGACATTGAGGTTGAAATTTCTTCCTCTGTAAACTCCTTTTCCGGTCCTCCGCGTCTTTTCTGGGCATGGTACATGAATGCAGCTTTATATGCGGTCTCGTTGGCGTCAGATCCGGTTGTAGACGTGAAGACCTGGTTCATTCCCTTGGGAGCAACTCGAAGAAGGCCAGTTTCAAGAAGCTCCGACCATTCGGGAGAAGGAAAGTTACCCAAGGCGGGTCTGTTGATCAAAGCACTCGCCATCTGAGGTGACTTTGTAGCTTCGAGCAAGTGGGGGTTGTTGTATCCCACCGGGATGGACGCAATCTGGGAAAATCTGCGGACCGGGGTGAGCTATCCATGTCCGTATGAAGGGATAGTTGTAGGGCCGCTTACACATCTAGCAATACGTTAGCATCGGGATCGGCGATGCTAAAAAGTACAGGCGGCCAACGTTAGCTGTGCTCTTGAATTGAAATCTCGGGGTTGGGGCTTACTAGTTTCCAACGGATGACTGATAGTCCACCATCATATTTAAAGCCCTGGTATCAAACACACGAGTGAGCTTTGCAATCTCCTTCTGACTCTTCGGGCCAGGAATTTCCGTTCGGACAGTAGGGCCGGAAGGCTCATTGGGGAAATAGGCCTGCACGGCTTGTGATTTGGTAGCAGTGGCGGCGCTGGCGCGTAGTGCTGGGTATGTTGAAAGAGGACGGGTGCTGACACGAGCAGCGACACCAAATCGGGCCGATGATCGGACCATGGAAGCCATTTCGGACGTGAGTGGTGATCTCAATTGAGAGGAGAAGGCGGCGGGCGAACACGTATGATGTCAGTGGGAGTCCTCCAGCGAACACGCAATGCGAGGGAGCGAATTGGGAGAGAAGCGGAAGAGAACGAGGAAGATTGAGAGGTATGGAGAAGAACGAGTGATCGGCTGGCCAAGCACAGGTCTTTTAAATACTGGCAGCGGGCGTGTTTGTGTTCCCCCTCCTCAGTGCGATTTGGCATGCTTGGAGCTTCCAGACAGCAAAGCTTTGGATTCCGGGGAAAGGCGCTGTATCTCGGCCAATAGGCGTGCTGAATTCGCCCCACAGTACAATTATCGGTTCCTCTGGCCAATTGCACCCCAAGATTTTTGCCGAGCTTGAGCACGAGGAGTGGCGTGCTAAGCCGAATAAGGAATGTTTTTGCGGTACTTCGGGCTGGATCAACGATGACCCGAGCCGAGCAGCGTCGGACTTCGGCCAAAACAAGCAAGCAGCCGGCCTGGACGCGCCTTCTTGAAGCGAGCGGCTCTCCGGCGCGGCGTTTTATTTCTCCGGTGCCGGCCGGCTGTCGCTTGCCGGTTTCCTCTCCCGCGCTGCGGCCGAAGTCGCCAGGTGGAACAACGACCTCCCCAGATCGTTGTTGTGACCCGCCCGATCGACCGGAGCGTCCAAGAAAAATAGCCCATTGACTATGTCTGCCATACCTGTGCTTGCCTCGCTGTTGTTGCGTGGAGACTTGTTGATACACGTCAGCCGCGTTTGCCGCGGCGTGAGAAAGTGAGTGGTCGTTAAGCGAAATGCTGTTGAGAGGGCGGATTTATATGGCGGGATACGAAGTTGTCCATTTCTTCTCCTTCTTTGCCCGGAGGTCAGTGCAAATCGATAACAGATTGATGGCAGCTCTACAGAGTGCAGCTCAATTCAAGGCCAGCAGCTGGCTTCTCTTCCTTTTTCCAGTACTTGTTGCTTCTGCCAGGTGGCTGTAACCAAGTGTCGGACGATCGCCCTGGTGGCTTTCAGGTGCAGCAGCCCCCAAACACGATAGACTTTCGCAGCTGAATCGTCTTGTCTGTATGTAAAACGAGGATGTTCTCGACTCTTGACAGCTCGCAGAGGGGGTCTGGCCATTATTTTATTGCTACACCAGACTGCTCCTCTAGATTTTGTAAACCCTCTCCCCGCCCAATCACTGTTGTCCTTCCCTGTTGTGGCTCTAGTAGAGTCGGTCTACTTGCAATAATCCGGTGGGCCAGATGTTCAGCACTCCTTCGGTGGGTTGGCAGCGGGTCCCGCTTCAGCTAGGCTTTGCGACCATCGAACACGTTACTGTCCCACCGCACGGCTGCCATGCTCCCGCAGCACACCGGCCACGCCCAAAATAATATCAGCAATGATGCCCTTGTGCCTGAAATTTCCACCGCAGATCGCTGGGTAGGCCAATCCAATGCGGCATATAACCAAACTTCCCGCTCCGGCCCAGATGGCAAAAAGGGGACCAGGGACAATTTACCTTCTCACCAATAACGGGTGTCGATGCTTAACTTCTGGCGTTGCGGGCTCGACGCTGATTGAGGACTAGCCCATGCAGACTATGTTTCAGTCACCCCTGTTCTGAGGCTGGGCACCGAACTCCTGCTTCCTTTGACGGAGGGCACGTAAGCGGTGCAGCAAACGGCCCCCAAGTTGATTTATTCTCGTTCATTTCCTCGCACTTTTCCTTTAATACTGTGTATTGAGACTCAAGCATAACATATCGCTCTTTTTGGCTGCGCTGTGCCGCCGTCTTTTCCTTAAAATTTTGCTTCAATTTTCAATATTAATTTTAGGGCTCTTAGTAGTTGTTATATTCAACTGCTCCCTTCATAAGAAACACTCATTCCAACCCTTCCACGGAAGCCCTTGCCACTCACTCCTTTCATTTCCATTCTTTGCACCGACAGGCACCCATCGTTAGGCGCTATTAACTGAGCTCATTATTAATTATGGCTGATGTTGCAATTGACCACACCGAACCCGCTCTAGCACAACCACCACCCGAGAAACCACCCAAGCAGACCGAATACGCCTCGTCGACCACCACCACATTGGCTACCAACAAAACAACCTCGCGTAGGCCTACCTATATAAGTGACGGATTCGTCGAACGCGAGACCAAGCTTCCCCAACAACTACTAGCTAGGAGATCGAGCATTGAAATCGATGATTATTTTGTATGGCCCCCTCAAGAAAACGCGACCCCTGTAATTGCACGATCTCCTGACGGTTGAGCAGGTTGGACCGCGAAATCTTGACCGTCATTCTAAATGGCCAACTTTCCTACGATTGCACGGCAGCGTTTTGCCGCGCATGATCATTCCCTTATCTCTGACCGCATTATGGTCTGCCCTGATCGTCGCCATTACAACATACGTCCATAATTGTGCGTTTTAGAAGTCTTCTCTACGACCTTCAACAAGCCGTTTCTAATGTTTTGGCTTAGTGGGCGTATCGTCTATTCTCCTTACTGTTCTCGGTTTTGTTGTCGGTCTTTCTCTCTCATTACGCAGTTCCACCGCATATGAACGGTATGCAACTTACCACTTATCATTGGAACTCCCTTGTTAACTTTAGTATAGATATGCCGAAGGGCGGAAGTACTGGGCTCTATTAATGCAATCATCCCGAACTCTGGCTCGCATAATCTGGATCAACAACGAGGAACGGGAAGGAGAAGAAGGGAAGGAAGATGTGATCGCCAAACTGTACGCCCTCTCGTTGCAAATTTCACGTTATACCTACCGCGGATTTGATGCTAAAGTTTAATTTTAGGACGGGAATCAATTTGATTCTGTCTTTTGCAATTGCATTGAAGCACAAGTTGCGATTCGAGCCTGAAATGGCGTACGAAGATCTTTCCGATCTTATTGGACACTTGGATACCTACGCCAAAGCCGCTCATGACCCTGATTCTACTGATCGACATCCAATCGGTCGTTTCAAGGCTATCGGGCAATACCTTAGTGTACCAATGGCAATGTCGAACCCTAGAAAGGCAATCAAAAAATCTACGAAACCTCTTGGAAACTTGCCCGTTGAAATCTTATCTTACTTGTCTGCCTACGTCGACGTGTTGATGGTTGAGGGTAAAATTAAGCTACCAGTATACCAGTCTCAAACCGGTAATTACTAGCCTTCTTGTGACTCCCTGCATATTAAATGCTAAGTGATATGCTTTAGGCGCCCTTTTGTATGCAATGGAAGAGGTTATGACTGGTACTGAACGCGTTCTTAATACCCCCCTCCCTCTCGCATATACCATTCTTATTTCGCAAATTACCTGGGTATATGTCCTTATCTTACCTTTCCAGCTTGTTGGAAGCCTGGGATGGATCACCATTCCAGGAGTTGTCGGTAAGTTGCTACTTGGATCACCTACCACTCTGTCTTCAGTTACTAAGCGCTCATTATTCCAGTTGCTACCTATATCATTCAAGGTATTGCTGCTATCTGTGCTGAGATTGAGAACCCATTTGGCAACGATGTCAATGATCTTCCTCTCGACGTTTTCTGTGAGCAGCTTGCGGCCGACCTCGACATCATTACCTCCTTGCCGCCGCCAAAGCCTAAGGAGTTCATCCCCCGTGCTGACAACCTTGTGTTGCACCCTCTGAGCAAGAGCGGTGCAGACGTCTGGAAAGATCGCAGTTTGGAAGACATCCGTGCTGCTTTACGGGCGAAAGCTACAATAACCCCCTCCGCCATAGCCGCTTCTGGCTCAAGAGATAAAATATTAGCAGCAAACCGCGCCAGCTCCGAAGGAGCGTGACTCTACTAAACATTTTTGGCCGTTTGACCTGCTTGGGGGTTTGATTTGCTTGTTTGGGTCTTTTCCAGAATACCGTCAAATTTGTTTGGCTTGTTGGCCGATCCACATCACCGTAAAATTTGCCGCCGAGAATATCTATTAGCTTGGAGTTTTGAAACCGGCGTGCGAAGTATAGACAATTGCATAGCGTTCTTTAACTGTACCTGAGTCATAGCTGTAAATATAATTCTTTCTATGTTTCATTTTTATTGTGTCATTACATACATTTTGCATTGGCACCACTGTTTTTCCGAGGCGCCGAGGCTAGGGCATGCATTTCAGCTCGGCTTGACATGGTATATACTGGCAAAAATGTGTAGTGTAGTAGTTGCTCCTAAACAGCATCATGTAACTATGCGTCCCATATCCTGGTTTTCAAGGTGGCACACTGTCGTGCCATGCGCATGAAGCTGGATGCCAAGGTTTCAAACGCAGACTCATCAACAAGGGAGACAATTAGCTCCCTCTTCAGGAATCCAAACACGCGATATGCCGAGCGGTTTCGGTATAGATGAAATACTACCAAATAACAGTATGTCAGCAAAGAAATCGGCTTATTTAAGAATACTAAGCCCGAAACATAAGACATAATTACTACTTTTAACAAGAAGGCCACCCTTGATGTTTAACATCTCATCATTGTACAAATAACTCCGTCCCAGTTCCTCCTGCCAGCGCTCCAAGCCAGCTCCCCTTGCCACGGATTTTCCATGCGACGTTAGCACCCCCGCCCCCAACCCACGAACTCACCGCTGCCGTCACTGCCGCAGCGTCCTCATGGGGAACTCTGATCCATAACATATTGCGGGTTTTTCGCTTCGATACCACTGTGGGGCTGGTGGGGAGTTCTTCTGTTTGTAATTTGAGGATGTCGATGGGAATGACGGTGCCGGAAAGGCCGAGGAATTGAGAGAGGGCGGAGGTGAGGTATGTCTTTGCGGTGAGGAGGTCGAGGAATTCAAGGCTAGATTCGGATGGTTGAGTTACTCTGTAAGGAGGCCAAGAGACACGGTTAGATAGAACTTTCCTACGGCCATCTTCGCGGAGCCACATACAATTCGAGATGGAAGTACGCCCATTCAGGCTTGCGGGACGTAAATGTAATCGTAGTTTCCGGGACCTTCATTTCCGCACTACCACCAGCCTCAGTCCGCTTTCTTTTGGACGCCATGATTTTTTGGTTGTGGTTATTCTTTGACTTTTTGCTCTGGAGGCCCTCTTCGAAGCTCTCTAGTCCACCTCAATGAAGAAAACCATGGACAAATCTGACGCCAAACGAGAACAAGACATGATAAGCCCTTTATAACCTACGTTTGAAGCGACTTCTTGACGTCACAGAAAATCGACCGATCGCTGGTGCTAAAGATGCTACGGAGCATCCACAAACTGGACTGCCAGAATGAAACGGTACCACACGGCGTGTGAGATCTTCCACTTGAACACCTTCTTGGCGCGGAGTCTCAATGCACGGGGCAGCTGACTAATTTGATCCTCTCATGGGTCGGGATCATGTGAATGCCAAGCTGCACTATTGCCGAAGCGGATCAGCCGGTTTATTAGCGCCGGGAGTATCCATAGATCTAACCTTTATGGGGATAGGGTTAGACCTTATTTACCGTCCGGCTAACGGATGTTTAGCTACCCGTCTCTTGCTCGTGGACGACACAGCTCACAACACAACTACTGAGGTTGAAAAAAAAAATTCGAGATTCGTCACTTATGTGCTACCTAAAAGGGAAAATTTTTGCGGGCCTTAGGTGCTGAATAGAGAGGGGAAAAATATCCAATAGGAGATTTGGCAAAGCTGCGATATCAAATTGCCCCATGGATCTCTATTCAACGTACTCCATTGGGGGGTGCACAGGCAACTACGTGCAAAACTGCCAGTCTCTGCTAATATGGTATAGGAATGTCACCTATCCAAATCAGCATGTAATAGTACCCAGTGTGCACGCCGTTCTCTACCCTTTTTTATACAGGGGTACTGTTTCTAACATCCCCTCGAGGTGTTGAAACAAAGAAAAAGCACCATTCAAACCAAGCTTTCTCTAATGTCTCTAAGTACGTTTTAAGAGGTCCACAATGATGAGACAATAGCTTCGAGACGGAAACCTCCAGTTCAGAGGCCTGAGAGGCTTCCAGCCGCCAGTACCTGAATAACCACCTGGCAATAATGATGCTAGCGGTGTAGTAGGGTATTGAGCTCTATTGAGCATGAGAACAATCAGAAAATAATAGAGAGCAGAGCCTACTCTCAAGATGCTCGGAACTCCCGTCTCTTCTCCTTTCTTCCTTTCTGTCAAACGTCCCTTCTTTGCACCAGTTACTTGAACAGTTTTAATCCAAATTTGATTGTATCCATACACTTGGTTTCTTAATTTGATATTCAAGCTTTTTTTAATATTTATTTTGTTTGCTTGGCGCCGGCGCCAGAAAAGAAGTCATATTTCAACAGAGTAAAGGGTTAAATCCCCGAGTAGGTTGCATCATCCAGGTCCGGACTTTCTCAATTGCTAATATATCACCTCAAGTCCAGCAAAGATGAGAAGAAATAGCCAAGAGTCGGTTGATCACCCGGAGAATTTCTCTTATATTGTGCCATCTCAGCGGCATTGGAGTCTACACGATCTCCCAGACATTCTATATCAGTTTCAGCCGACACAGAGGTTCACAAGGAAGCACCCAGAGGTGCCAGAAAAGCCTTCTCCTTATCCGGGTGGGCCTAACCTAAGGTGTCTTGACATCTTGCCTGACCGCATTTCCACGAATGTAGCAGAGTGGAGGGTAGAGGCCTGGATGCGAATTGACAGACGAGTTCGCCTGCAGGACATTGTCGATAGGATGCTGCCAGTATTGGGCGTTACCTGTAATTCACTTCAACAACGTGGAGTTCGTTTTCGCCAGCTATTTCATATGATAACCTGGGGAACCGGAAACCAGAGAACTAAAGAACAAAGAGTCAAACTGATAGCTCTACTACAGAGAAAACGTATCAGCTTAGAGAAAAACACCACCAGGGGATTAAGCCCCGGGCTTATTGACCCTAGCAATCCCAGATCTGAAAGAATCCCTCTCCCGAAGGATTATAAACCAAGCCAGGAAAGACTGGTAGAGGCGCCGGTCCAACTGGACGCTTCAGATAATGATCAGTCATTGGAAGCTGAAGGTTGCAGTGCCAGTTCAGAGGATCAGGGTGACCATGGTATACAGGGAAATGGGAGTGTTGACCTTCCTCCCGGTGCGAACCAAGACACCAGCCACTCTGCGTCTAGTCACGATACTCATGCCGACGATGAAAATGAAGAGAGCGATATTGGAGAGACGGGAGAGGGCAATGGGGACGAAAACAACGACGATAATTGGGATGATAAAAGTAATAATGACGAGGATACTGCCAGTGAAAATAATAAAAGCGATGATGAATATCAAAGCGACGATTCAAATGCTTCTGGGGAAATACCCAACAAGGGGAAGCAGAAGGAATCATCAACAGGAGAACGGCCGGCCCGGAATAGTAGAAAGAGACAGAATTATGACAGCTGCAATACAGCATTAGAAAACGATGAAGAAGCTGGTCCTTCCATCGGTAGAAGACAGAATAAAAGAAGGAAGACCCTCACTCTTCTCGAAGAAGAGCAACAAGCAAGACATCGTCTTGTAAATTGTCCTATTTGCAACGTTGGCTTGAAGCTGAGGGACATTGAAAGTCATATGGAGTCATGCACATCCCCACCAACGCCAGAAAACCAAGATAACGCTCCAGAGCCGCAGCAATCTAGTTTCCCAAGGAAGCGACCAGCAGGCAAAACTACAGCCGGTAAAACAACGGCCCGCAAAAAAACAGCACGCAAGACTGTCGATACCGCAACTCGTCAGGGGCAGAGAAAAAAGCAAAAGCAGAGACGGGTCCAAAAGACCGCGGTGCGCAAAGCCACGGCCCGTAAGAGTGTTCCACAAAGTGTGCAAGCATCTGAAGAGCGGGCAGAAACCTCAAATATCGAAGTAGGAGGTGAGGGTCAAGTAGAGGTCGAGAGTAAAGGTGAGGAACAGGTGGAGAATGAGAGTGAATACAATAGCTGGAGTGACAAAAATAAGGAGGAAACAAGCGAAGAACGAAACACCGACGCAGAGGGGGAGGAGCTCGAGAAAAAAGACCACTCACAAACATATGCACCGAATGAATCTGAGCATGAAGATATTAACGATGATAACCCCGATTCGAAACCAGACCTAGTAGGACTATCTCCGGAAGAGCTAGAAGAATATCTCGCTGCAATTGAACAACGTCCAGTCTTTACGTATCCTGAACCCGAGACACCATGGGACGTTCAAGCAAATACTTATGGGTATGACGTAATGTTGCCTCAGTTTTTCGAAGAAGGTGCGAACTATGAAGATAATTATCTCGATCAAATAAACGTGTCCACAGCTGTTAACAGTGAAGGTGGCGACCCAATCAATCCGTCTGACTGGTTTAATTTCGATAGCAACTCGGCGTCTACCGGAGCTGAAAAAGATAGCCTGCTCCGGAGCGTTTGTGGGCACAACGAGTATGAATATTTTAAGACTATGTTTGAGGATTGACGATGATATTTGACGAGATTTTGACTACCATACACTACCACAGCTGGTCTTGCTTGGAAGCTGGTCTTTCACGATGCCATTCGGAGTGTTTTGACTGCGCCGTTGGTTGCCAACCTAGTTCAGGATCAGAAGATAACAAATTTCCTTGATAACTTGCAATACTTTCATATGATCTTTCTTTTCTATTTTCTTTTTGATTGCGATTGTGTTTCTAGTTGTTGTTTTCTGTTGTCGAGATCAGATTTGATTTGATTTGATTTGAGGTTGAATTAAGGTTGCGCCCAGACTGTGGCGGACTCGACGACCAATATTTTTTGTTGTTCCTGAACTTCATCTGTTTCAACTCTCTCTTATTTTTCACATTCTTGCCTACAGGGCTTATCAAGGGGAGGTCTCTGCTGCGTAATATTATTAATAATTGCTAGTGATTATGTATTTGCTAGTTATTAATTCATCTTTCGTGGATATCACACCTATATGCAACTTTGCAGGATTGGTGATTTCATTTATGCACTTCCTCAACGATGCCAGTTGATGGAAATTTCCAGATCCATATTTAACAGGCTTCGCATAGCCTATCAAACTGGGAGGCTAGGATGCCCTCGAATTGGACTTCCGTGGAACTTTCCCCGCACCAGATATTCCCCACCTGACGGAATATCAATTTACTGTGACCGAAGCTGTTTTGCTATGAAATGGTGTGTAGGCGCAGACTAGCAATTTTCGTCTATTCTACTTTTCACTAGTAGTTTTCTATTGCTGAAAATGGAGTAATTTTCCCATGAATTGCAGAATCGACTCGAAGCAGTTCTTTGTGTGAACCGCCTCATTATAGCTTAGTGTGCATAAGAACAAATTGATAGTCTCTTGCTATCCCAGCCTTCTATTTTCCACCATATGATTTTATTTTCATATAGCTTTTAGACATTCCGCTTTGGCCTTTCTTTATTCCCGCTTCCCCCTTTCGAATCTTCCCCGCCACCCCATTTTGTCGACACTGTCCTTCTCTTTTCAACGCTTGATACCAGCATTCTGTTCGAACCATAATAACTATTGCTTTCAAAAATATGATTTCAGATCTATCTAGTCTGCATTGTGACTTTTCACCATCAAGCCATGGTTCACATGGCCAAAGGCATTCCGGGATCACCACGCCAGGATCCTCGGCAGACGAGCAACATGCATATGGTGTATTAGCTCAACAGAATTTGAATCTGATGAGTAAGGGCGCTTTCTCAGGCCTTATATCTATCGTTACTGATTATCATCTGGAACAGAACTTGGCCCTTATCCTGCTGTACCCCCTTCAGAGTCGACGGCAGTTTGTTTTCGTAAGTGTGTTGCTGATTGTCCTTTTTTACTGCTTCAAATTCATTCGTTCCTCGGCTTGACTGACTAAATTGCCATATTTTCTATAGATGAAGGAGCTCCCGACAAATTTCATACCTGTCCCCATCCATACCATTCATCGTATCATGAAGGGAACCTGCCTCTTATTCTTTTCAGGCTGGAGCCCTATGAGGCGGATGCTCCCTTAAAACCACTTGGGCATTTAGTTGAAGGAGGCCAGACGGTTCTTGACTATCAAGGAACTCCAATTCGAAACTTTTCATTTTTGCCACGATACATTTCTGTGCGCCCTTCTGGGTGGCTCATGGAGTTTTGGATGCGTTCAGACTCTCGCCTCACTTACAGGGATATCAAAGCTCGCATGCCAGTTGCTAAAGAGGAACTTCCCTCGGACAACGTTCTGAACATGAGGCGTGAACGGGACGCTCGCAAACCATTAGGCTTGTCTTGTTGGACCGCTCGGCGTGGTGGTGTTACTCGAGCTGAAATTGAGCGTGTAGAGCTACTTTGCCCCGAGAATATCACGTATAACACCGCTTTGAAGGTTAGACATGATGTTCAGCCTCCAGTTCTCGAGTCGAAATCCTTATACCCAAGCGTTCCCTCACATTTTTACCCTTTGGATTCGTTTTTGGATAGCGGCCGCATCCATGCCCCTGGTCGTCGTTTGAATGATGGCATGCAACTTCTGTTTTCGTTGCAAGACTCTGCTATCGAACTCGGAATAGAGCATTGGAGGTCCTTACCGGAGAGCAAGCTGCCCGACTGGTGGATCGTTAAAGGAAAAGGAAGTGAGCGGGCTCGGAGCCAAGGACCATTTGCGAAATCCGCCATCCAAACTCCTAAATCAGCAAGAACACGGATGAACTGGAAAACTCCCCAAAAACCTGCTTCATCAAAAACCCACAGCAGGCAAGACTCCGTGGAAATGACGCCAGTGAATAGCCAAATGATGACCCCGTTATCAACACCATTATTTGATAGCGGTTTGTTTGAAGTGACAACCCCTATTCAACAAACTGGCTCTCACAAAGTGATTTTGGGCGAGGAGATCGTGGGCTACTCCTCGCCACTCGACATATATCAAACGATGCCGGGTTTCCAACATGCACAAACGCCCTCTAAAAGTAGACTGAGCCAACAAGATGTTGAAATGAGTATGAGCTCTTATCAGTCCCCTACCGAACCCACCCAGGTTCAAGACGCCCATCGTGCTCTTTTTGCCGCGCTTCAGGGGTCCTTCGATGCCATAGATGATGACCCCTATTTTGATATATTTCCTCGGCCGCAAAATAATATCGATTACTCTGCCCATTTCGGAGATCTTGCAATGCAGGTGTTCCAGCATAATCAAACCTCCTATGTCCATTCTACCCCTAACGAGGTCAACATCTCCGAGATGTATCCGTTCAACGGCCACATCGATACCTCGGTTCGTCAGAACCAAGGACACGTGCTCCACACCAATATGGGCGAGATCATGAATCGCAACAACCCTTTCGGCATGATGGGAGAAAATGGCGGCCTTATGTCCCCGCGGCGGTCGTTTGAAACTTTCCTCGCTGAGGATCTCCCATTTTGAATGCAATAAATGTGCTCAAATGCTTCCAATTATTGGATGGTTGGCTAACTTCCTTTGACGGTTGCCTCGTCAAAGATAGTCATATTGCCATAAACAATTAATTATGCAAAAATAAGAAAAAAAAAAGGGAAGTCCATAACAAGGACACAGACATCCACCTATTTGGACGTGTTTGGGCTCCTGGATCTTGTGACATTTTCTTTTGAATCTTTGGCTCGAAAAACCTTTCTATCAAATGATCTTTTTGATTTGTTGCTTGCTGACCTTGACATGTTCGCATATATTCATGTTGCAAGATACAGTCATTTCCCATCTTCTCTGTAAATCCTATCTCTTTTACTCTTTTCTCTTTTATTCTATCCTTTTTCTCTTCAGGTTTCTACTTCACTTTTGTTTGACTGGGTCAGAAAATACTTTCCCTGCCTCTCCTTATGTGGCGGTGGCTCTTTTGGCCCTGTTTCTCATTTATTTCTTTTTCTACTTTGTGCTAATATGCTGTTTATTTCCTGATCTTTTATGATGTGATTTATTTTCTGCTCTTACTTCGTGTGGGCAATTTCCTTCATTTCGTGTTATTTACATAATGTATTTTTTTACATAGAACCAATGCCAGCACAACAGGTCTTTGGACGGGTTCTTTTCGTGTATAGTTAAGCTGTATTTCAAAGAGTCATAGTGCTCAATTCGAGTCAAAGAGCAGTACGCTATCTAAGGAAGAAAACCCTGCGGCGACACCACCTTCATCACTATCCTGAGCCTTTGTTCTCATCAGCCAACCACCTTGTTCATTTCGCAATACGTTTCCAGTATCATTATTCCATAATACAGTTCCAAAAACACCTAATTCCCCAACAACGTTCCCTGTCAGGACTTCGCCATCGCTTCGGAGCGCAACATTCTTAGCCGCAGTTGGCGGCTGGATAAGTTCCATTAAGATCCACCCTTTCCAGTCGCTTTCTGGCATGGAGTGCAAAAATTTGGGGATGGCATCACGATAGACATTATTTCCACCGCCTTCTCGCTGGGGTTTAAGGACATGATTCCCTGCAGTTGAGGGGTCTAGAGCAAGGTTCCGTCCTTCGCCAGGGGTGGATATGTCGTATTGTGGAGCAAATGTATCGCGTAGCTGCTGGACTAGCTCAGGATCAGTGCCAGAGAGAAATCGAGAGAGGTGATCAGGGCCAGCCAATTGAGCCAGAACCTGTTGAACTTTCTTGCAACCTGAAAGCTGGCTCAACACGGTGGGACATTTAATAGCAGCGGAGCGTTCGAGGTGGATACGACTGTTCCACGCGCTGCCATCCGGATAATCTTTCGGGTCATAGAAGCCCCGGAGGTAGACGGTTGTCACCTCGAACTGAGTCGATGGAGCATGCGCTGGAGTGTATATCAAGGGACGAGAAGGGTTATCTTGGGGAATTGACGTCAATCGCATTACCTCGGAGGTAATCACTCGGAACACGGGTATCTTATGGAACTCTGAAAGTTGAGTTGAAAGTTCAAGCTGATCGAATAAATTCCGTTCTCCTCCCTGAACAACAAAAAGTACACAGAGAGGCAGCACCGGCGACGATTTCGAAGGACCGTAGGCTTCGTAAGCGGCAGCGAGGCCCGCAGCCAGAGTTGCAACCGCTGTGTTCTCCGGAACGGAGTTCTCTTTTAAACAAGGATGCAGTGGGTATGCAATAGAATTTCCTAGTGAAGAAGGCAAAAGACTCGAGTGCATCTTGCTTACAAGGCATGACAGCCCACCAAAAGACGATGAGATAGTGTTGAACTCCACTTGCTTCAACGACGGCGCGTTGCTCTCCTCGGGAGTATGGAGCATATAATCGGACCGAAAGAGGCCCAGCGAGAGCGGCTGGACATAGCCCTCTTGCTTCACAGCATTATGCACTCGCCATAAATTGGCGACGAAATCGTCAACGTCGACAAGGCTAAAACGCAACGATTCAGCGCAAGTTAACAAGTATCTGGTATGGAGCTACATTGCTCACTCTTCAACTATTTTCCCTAGCCAGGGCTCGTCGGCCGCGATTGCAGCGTATAATTCGTTATATGTAGTCTGTATTGAAACCGCTAATTCGAAGCACGATCTGGGAAAGGGACTTGGAAAGAGTGTAACTGGCGCATTCGTTGCTAACACCTCATTCGAATCGGAGGCCTTTGATACCAGCTCAGGAGATGGTCTGACAGCCAATCCATGGTGTATTGTCCAATTTTTCACCGTAGTTACTAGATAGTCCTTTTGTTCTGGTGAGAGCTGCGGAGGGTAGGTTGTGTATATTGATTGTTGGTCCATGAAAGGAGGAGTGTGGTGTGCTCACAGCACACAATCTACCTCAATCCAAAGCAAGAAAATAGCTAGCAAAAGGTGAGGCTAGGATATCTACTGTCTGTATATTTATTTGGTTAGACAGACATTGGAGGAGTCCATGTCCGAGCTGCCTAACTAGATGGAGGGGCTGTTGAACACGATTATTCAGCACCCCGCTAACGAGTTACCGCCGCTCTTCCGCCGTGGTCGCAGACCGAAGCTTTCTTACATTTATGAATAGAGTGTGTAAAGAACTTACAGGACGATCATCTTTGGTTGGTGGCCCAAACCCTGGGCCCTGGTTGTTGAGACTATGAATTTCTTTGGTGGCAATCAAAAGATTTATTCGTACATGAATGCCCGATTAAAGGGTTTGCATCAAGGGGTATCTAGAAGATAATCTACCAAAGCCAATTAAAGATATCTGATATGGTACTCCGTATGTATAGTATATGCTTCGAAAAAGGTTCGCGTCCTGTTATTTCGGCGTAAGCTGTCAGAAAAAAGCCTCTCATTGTTCTCGCTGATCATCTGACATCCTCTCTTGACGGCGTTCCGAAGGCATCTCGTAAATGTCCGCGCTGTGCGTCTCCGAGTCTGGGCCAATTTTGGGTGGGTGTTCGGGTAGTATGGAAAGTCGCCAGTCAAACGTAGAGTCAGTTGGCGAGACCATCGAGTTCCTATTTAGTTGCTCCGTTGTAAGCTCCGATGTAGTCGGAACGGGCTTGTACTCCTCAGTTCCATCTTCGTGTCTCGTACCCGAGTTTGTAGCTGCCGTTTGTTTCTGGAACCATCCTCGTCGCGAGCCTACGAAAAAGGCAAATCCGAAAAACATGGCCAGCGCCGCACCTCCAATGGTGCCGCCAACAATACTACTGGTTGAATTATTTGCTAACTTCAATGGAGCCATAATGGAGGAGGTGTATTCGCTAGGCGTGTTTATCACAGTAAAAAGTTGGGTATATGTCTCGGTGACATAGCCACTCACAGTCACTGTCGGCGTTGGAAGACCAGCTTCACAGTCGTCCTCTTTCTCACAACACCAAAACGTTGTCCTGAAAATTGGTCAATAATTACCACTACCCAGCTTTCATCTCGCTGGATTGGAAATGTTTACTGACGCATTTGCAAAGACACAGTATTGCCCTCGTGGACAACAAGCGTTGCCACAACACACTCTATCATAGCAGCAAAACTGACTGACACCCGTAATGCTCCAGCAGCAAAAGGGGCGGTTGCCCCGACATTCATATTTTTCGTCGAATGTGCAGCTCCGCTTGAAAAGCCTTTGTATACCAGCCCAAGTTGAGTTTACAACTGGCACAGGCTCGCCATACCCAGATGCCGGAACCGTGCCCAAACCAGCAGGAGGAGTGTGCAGAACAAACGCAGAGCTATGCTGGAGTAGACTCGTTTCCAAGAGAAGAATAAGAAGAAAAAGCAGTGACATGGTGAGAGCCGCTGTTGGAGCGCACGCCTATAATTAGTTAACTGAGAAGGAACTTGTTCGCGGCAACGTCCTCGGCGCCAAAGCCGCTTGAGGGTGAAGGATAAAAACGGATCAGTATTCACCCTGTTGGGGCGGATCGTGTGGGTTTTTGTTGCACCCACCATCTTCACCCAAAGTTGAGGCATCCCATGTTAGACGGCGCACACCCAGACCGACAAAAGATCAGCAAGGCCAGAACCAACAGGAAACAAACGGCTGTGATTCGTTGCAGAACTTGCTCTCCCCCTACCATAGTCTAGCTGTTTTCTTTTTTTTACCGCTTCACGACATTTTGAGAGCAAGACATTATCGGTGATACCTCATGCATAGCCACACCTATCCAGTGTCGCGGGATGTGCTCTGTGCCTGCAATGCTACCCTGGGTGGACATTATCCAAATTGTTTTTGACGGAAATAGAAACGCTCCAGCATCCATTCGCAAACGGTCGGACAACAAGCTTAATCGGCGTGGTTGGAATGGGGCGCAAGCTGCACCTCAGCTTGACATGGATTGACAAGTCTAGGACGAAGGCTTCATACGCGTTGCGGTTTACAGAAGACTTTTGGATTAACTAGTTAGCATTCGCCCAGAACTAGTTAGTCGTGGAAAGTGACAGCAAAAGCTTGGTGGTTTTGATGCTTCTCTCCAAAGAATGAAATCTCGTCTAGTAGATTTACAGTTGAACGGGGCTGCATGGGAATTGGCCTGTAGCTCAAAATGTGCAAGGAAAACTCACCTGGACTTGAAAGTCAAGCCAAAATTCGATGAAATAACTATAGACAAACTTTGATACAACAAATAGTGTATCGGGGGTAATATCCGAAAGTGGGGGTAGAAACGCATATCGGCTACTCTACTCCGTATAGACTAACAGAATATCTTTCTGACATCTGCATCTGCAATGGGTTGTATAAACTAAAGCAGTCAAAAAAAAGAAACGTAGCCGAACGCGGGGGTCGAACCCGCAGCCTTGTGGTGATCCTAGGTTGTTATGAACTAGCATAAGAGCCACACGCTCTACCGATTGAGCTAGCCCGGCAACTTCTAGTCCCACCAGTGCTATGCATAAATAATAGTTCCTACCTTTTCGAGGTAACTACCTGAGAGTTAACTTCTCGTTTGATTTCCTAAAAACCTTCTTGACCTCAACGCGCGTCCCTATCTGTGTCCACTCCACGGCCTTTGGATAGCATGAAGGTGAAGGCAAAAAACTGTTAATATGTATTCCGCATAGAGCACTAAACTAATTCAGACCCTTTCATAATTACTGACGTAGGTATCTACTCCATAGTTACACGTTTAGAAATGCGATGGAGCGCTATATTGGTTGGGATCATATTGCTGTGCTCCCTGCCCTTGAACGTAATGTTCATCATACAAGGATTCTGCGTTTCCTTGCGCATATTGCTTCGCCTCGTCCTTTTGCTCTGCGCTCATATGCCGCTTCTGGGCCATTTTGTCGACCTCTCCACCGACAAAGCCAACGAGAAGCTCCTTGGCGAACGCATGGGAAACTGGTTTTCCTATAATATCATCAGTGGAATATGCATCACTGCTTGGGGATGTATCGCCGCCTTACCCTCTTTTCGTTGGTGATTTTCAAACAATCTAAAGCCTTCGAAGGAGGCTGCACCAGCTAGAAGCTCCTGTGAGAACTTTGGATTGTCTTCTTTGCCATAAACCTGCTTATGGGCATCATGAGAGTCTCCTGTTGCAGTAAACTTAAGTTACTGTCAGTTGGACTGGAACCAAGAAGACGACATACCCCATCCAAGTACCATGTTGAATTCAAATTTACAGTCCGAAGTGGTAGTAGTTTTGGGTGCTGGGTGAACTTCGAAGAGATTGCGAGGAGTTTCAGGCAGATTCGAAGGACTACACATCAGTTTATATCAATGGGAGTAGACCCAATTGCAATAAGTTGGATAGCGCGCTACATATTGTGTTTCCTCATCGAGTGCAGCCCCCTTGTACATATAGCCACCCTGACTGATTGTTGGACAACGTTTGAGGTAATCCTAAAGATACATACGTAACCATTGCCACCTGTGACAATCCAGCCATCCAGCTTCATGCAAATAGGCTTTTGTGGAAGTTTAGTTAAATTGAGGTTCAGTTCTGCTATCAGGCTGAATCGTTTTGCGGACAAGTTTAGAGCTCACTCCGTATGGAGGGAGTATGACGTATAGAGTGGTTACTTGCAAGCCTTAGAAATGGGGCAAAACAACAAACTCTTAAGGTTTCAGATAGTATGCTTAGTATAATGCTCTTTACTCAGGTATCTTTTGCAGGCAGCATAGTCAAAATCCATCTCACTTTGGGGCTGCCAGTGACTCGAATAAACATTGACCTTAAGAGGCGTGTGGCGCGATTTCGCCGAGGCTTGTTTCATTGGATGGATAAAAATAGCGCTAGCCATAAATAGTTTAGCTTTGTTTATTTAGTGTGTTTTGCCACATCAGTCTCACGTGCATATTTTGTGAGTTTCCAACCCGCAATATCACAGCTCCAGGATCTAAATGTTCAGGTTTGAGGGAAGTGGGGAAACTGGCAGGAATTTTGGTTATGTATGCCTGCCCCATTGAAAGTTCTCATCTACAAAAGCTCTCAAGGTTGTACTGCTTTGATGATAGACTCATGAATCGCTGCTCCAGGGTTCTTGGGGTCTGATGCAAAAGGAAGAATGTGGAGCTTCTAAGTGTATGTGGCAGGCTTCCCGCGGTTGTTCAACTACTACATATTATTCCATTATGCTGACTTCTCTTGACTAGTACGGAGCAGTACGGAATAAACTCGGCTACTTTCCTACCAAACATCACACTCTTACCAAGCCTCACACTTTTGCCGCCCGCCTTGCTTCGAATTGACGGGTTTTATTTGAATGCAGAGTATTGTGCTTTATATGGCGCAATGGAGGAAAATAAAGATCCATTTGACTGGTCCATTGATGAGGTTATCTCATATCTTTGCCATGCCTCATTTGATTCTTGGGCTCATTCCAGAGCTCCCCCACCTAGGCCAAAGCCCGATGTACTCCAAAAAGCTTTGTGGGAAAATGATGTTACTGGCTATGTTCTTCTAACTGAAATCAACAAGCAAACACTCATTGAGGATTTTGGCCTAAAATCTTTGGGTCAACGCACAACTATTCTCCAGGCAGTTCAGTACCTACAGGGTATCTCACAGAAATACAGAGACCATGCAATGACTGTGGTAGAAATCAAGCCTAACCCTGAATTACTGTATAGTCCTTCAAAGGGCCCTTCTCAATCCCCAGTTGCCTGCGTTATGCCGATCTTGAAGCCCACTTCCAAGAAACCACAAGCTTCTTTGGAACAGACAACTCACCATGAACCCCTTGGCCCTCAGAATCAAAATTCCCTTGCCACTAATAGACATGGTAAAAAGCAGCGCCGGTTGGATCCTAGCTCTCTTTCTACCATTCAAAGAACACCTTGCACCCGGCGTTATCTTGATAATCAAAAGTCAAGAGTATCAGATATCTTCTATAACGGTGTAAATGCAGAAACAGAAGAGGACACATTTTGCATTATAGGGTCATCCATAACTCCCTCTGGCTATCAGCATTTTGTAAATCAAAAAATGCAATACTATTTTCAACAGAAACCTCACGACATAAAAAACAAAAGTGGAAACCCTTCTTTAGCTGTGTTTCCTTATAGTAGTGTTTTTTTGGCCCGGGATGATACCCAGTTTTTTTCATTGTTTGTCAAAAATGGGAAAAAGATCGAGTTTTCTAAAGAAAATATAATTGACTGGCCGGAATTTGACCATGAAAATGATGATTTGCATTTTCTACTTTCTAAATATCCGCCTAAAGGGGAGCATGATGCTCTACCTGCTTATGGTGACTCGGCTTCTGAGGGAAGCTATGATTCTGAGACTTGGAGAGAAATTGAAATGGAATGCCAAGAGAAAAGGATACTTGACATAGCCAAATCGAAGAAGCTATCTGCTGAAGACATTGAAGCTGCTATTGATGAATGCATTGTCTCATTTATTGATAAATGGCAATCTGAAAAGCTACCAGCCGAGGAAAGAAAGGCAAGACCCATCTGGATGCAGGCTGATAGGAAAAAAACTAGACTTGCCGATATCAATACTGCTTCCAGCAAGATTGCCCATCTGGATCAGCGTCTGAAAGGGCTCCGAAAGGCTATCAAAGCTAACCCCTGGTCCCAGATTAAGGACATTCAAATGCAATGTCGATCTATGGAGCAGACAGTATTTGAACGAGAGCTTCAAAGGTGGATCATAACTGTACTGGAAAGTAAGGAGTGTCCACCAAAACAAGTTGGCCATTTCCCAGTTGCACAACCCAAACCACAACGCACCGGTGTTCTTAACGATGAAGAGTCTCTAGGTTCTGATACAAATGATGAGCTCGATAGTTTTGTTATACCGGATGAGGAGCATGTTGCTACTCAATTTGATCAGTCAGATGCAGGTGATGAAACTCCTCGTCCGGTAAAAAAGCTAAAGCTTCACCAAGGCCACAAGAGCCTGAATAAGCCCGAGATGTCCATCCCACCTTCCATAATAACAAGTACAGTTGAAGTTGTTGACCTCACTCTAAGCGATGAAGAGAATGTTGACGATCAAGATCCCGGCAAAGAGAACTTCGAGGTCCATACACCACCATTGAACCCATTAGATGACCTTCATCAACGGACTCCATCCTTGTCCCACTTTCAGGACGAACTTGAAAGTTCAACGGCTACCTCCACCACTTCCACTCCCTCAACGCGCGTCTCCGATTTAGACCTCAAAAGAGTATTGGAATTAGGGTCGGAGGAGCTGCAGATGTGCCCTACACGTTTAGTGGCCTGGTATGTTCACTGTATAGGCTCTACAGATCGAGACGGCCTCAAAGAAATCTTTAATACAAAATCTTTCAATTTTATAAAAAAGATAGTGCTCCAGGGACTACGAAACATGCCCCAACGAATCTACGTTATCGAACCGTATGATATTGAAGCCTCTCATTTGTGGATGAGAATTGTCGTAATGTACATATCATGGACCGCACGCAAGAAACTGCTTATGGACAAAGGCATAGAAAAGAAAGACATTGAATCCGCAGCCCGGAAGAAAAAGAAATTGCGCCAGTTTCTTCCTCTTCTCGCTGAGATCCTTCGAGAATATCCATTCAAGAACAGCAACGAAGCAAGTAGAGAGGCCTCCATTGAAAGTTCTGGAGAAGCAACCATTGACTTGAACATTTCTGATGAGAATGACATTTTACCTAGCGCATCTGCGCATACCCCGCATAGTAAACGGAAACGCGCTGTTAAACAAAGTCAAGAGGCTTTAAACACCCAGAAACTCGCGCAACGTCGGGTTCAGCTCCAAGAAGAGCAACAAGAGCGTCTACTCCAAAGATTTGTTCGTTCAGGCGTGAAAAATAGCGACCCCGAACGACAGGCTGTGAGTTTTGATGAACCGATCATATATCTACATTCTCATATTGGCTCCCGCGTGAAAATGCACCAGTTACATGGAATCCGATTTATGTGGAGAGAATTAATAAATGATGAAAAGCGTCAAGGCTGCCTCCTGGCCCATACTATGGGCCTTGGGAAAACTATGCAGGTGTGAGTGCTTCCAAACTCGCGACGTTGTCACGGTTATATTAACGAACCTAGTATTGCACTACTTGTCACAATTGCGAATGCTGCAAACTCGGAAGATTCTGAGACCAGAAACCAGATACCAGAGTGTTTTCGTGAATCTCGCACCCTTATCCTCTGCCCACCGTCTCTAATAGAAAATTGGTGGGAGGAGTTCCTTATGTGGACACCACAGGATCCTGTAACTCTTAAAAACCTTGGCTTTGTGAGAAAACTTCCGACAGGCTTATCGCTTTGGGAGCGGCTGCGGGAGATAGCTGCATGGTATTCAGAGGGAGGTGTTCTCTTAATCAGCTATGACATATTCAGGGCTATGATTCTGAATCGCGCGACAAAGATTCGGGGTAGTCAATTTGAGCCAGAACAACACAACAGGATAAAAAAACAGCTTCTCGAGGGACCCAATATCGTTATCGCCGATGAAGCCCACAAAATGAAAAATAAAAATGCTGGTATTTCTGAGGCTTCCAGCTATTTCAGGACCAAAAGTCGGATTGCCCTTACCGGCTCGCCGCTTGCAAATCACCTTGAAGAGTATTACTCGATGATAAATTGGATTGCCCCTGGATATCTAGGTGATTTTGTGCAGTTCAAAGCAAAATATGTTGAGCCCATCGAAGATGGCCTTTACATCGATAGCACTCCTTACGAACGTCGGCAGTCGCTGAAGAAACTTCAGGTTCTTAAGAATGATCTGGATCCGAAGGTCAATCGTGCAGATATTTCGGTGCTTGAGGGTGACCTTCCGCCGAAGGTGGAATTTGTGATAACTCTTCCCTTAACTTCACTTCAAGAACAGGCCTACAAGTTATATGTAGACTACCTGATGTCTGATAGGGATGATGTGCCAAACGCACGCCTATGGGCATGGCTTGCGATACTCTCAATTCTGTGCAATCACCCATCATGCTTTTTGGAGAAGTTGCTAAAGAAGAATGGCCACATGAAATCAAAGACTCCAATACAGGACTCTGAAAACGATAGCTTAGCGGAGGACACAACGCCCGTTACTCAAGTTTTGGCCCCAGAAGTGATAACCCGGCTTGAGACTCTTTTCAAAGATGTTGATGAACTGAAGTCCACTGTTCATTCTCATCGTACGAAGATGCTCGAGGAAATTATTCGTGAATCCATTAATGCGGGAGACAAAATTTTAGTATTTTCCCACAGTATTCCAACACTCAACTACATCGAGCACGTTCTGATACAGAACGGATGGCGATATTCTCGCCTGGATGGAACAACCCCGATAGGAAGCCGTCAGACTGCTACAAAAAATTTCAATAAAGCCAACTCTCCTATACAAGTTTACTTGATTTCGACTAAAGCAGGTGGTCTAGGTCTCAATATTCCCGGCGCAAATCGTGTAATAATATTCGATTTTGCCTTTAATCCGACCTGGGAGGAGCAAGCAGTGGGACGTGCGTATCGATTTGGACAAAGAAAGCCTGTATTTGTATATCGATTTATCGCTGGTGGAACATATGAAGATGCTATGTATAACAAAATCGTGTTTAAAACACAGCTTTCTTTTCGTGTTGTGGACAAGAAGAACCCGATTCGATATGCATCCAAGTCGAAAAAAGCATATCTTTTTCCGCCAAAAGAAGTTAAGCAAAATGATCTTACTGAATTCAAAGGAAAAGACCCGAAAGTCCTAGATAAACTTCTTAACCAACCCAATTTCATACGACAGATCGCCCTCACCGAGACATTCCAGCGTGAAGACAACGATAAACTGACTCCTGAAGAAGAAAAAGCTGTTCAAGCAGAACTTGATGATGAAAGACTAAAACGAAACGACCCAAAAGCTTGGGAGAAGAAGAATGCTGAGCGAGAGAGAATAGAAATGCAAACGGCATCGTCATACATGACAATAAACAACATTCGATTCACCCAACCATCCCCAAGAACCCCAATGCCGCCGCCGACAATACAGCCTGTTTGGCGTCCCGTTCCTTTTTCCGCTCATTCCCCAACCTATCCTCTGAATGCTGGTTTTAACTCACAAGGCACTATTGATGGTGCTCCTAGCGCGTCCGCGCCCCAGCCTCGAAACGTACATTCTGGCCCGCCTCCACTCCCTCCTGATATAAGCCTGTTTGCCCCTATTCCTCCCAGACCACCAAATCCGTCGGCAACTTTTTCGTCCCTCTCGATCCATGCTTCTAGCCCTACTAGCAACGCCATATCGCGTACCGGTCCTAACAGTTCACTAAATGGGGACACAGCTCCTACAACATCGCGCTTACCCGAGATTCCTGCCACACAGACTTTAGATACCTCAATCCCACCTTTAAATACGTTACAAGCACTGCCGGAGATGGTTGATAAGCCGTTGACCCGCTTACCTCAGCCCCCAAATGGGCCCAAACCACCTTTCATATCACTACCAGAGAATACCACCTTATCCGAATCCCAAAGTCCGAATAATTCAGGCCCTCCTAATCCCCCTGGGTCACAAATCGCGCCCCCTCCACCGTCAGCTAGCAGCGCAGGTAGCCATACCAACACTCCCATACCAAATCAGCCAAATAATAATCAAAATCCTAGCGAAACTCTGCCCCGCAACCGCAAAGGCTCAAACGATACTGATAAGCGGAGTGGCGAGGCCCCGAAATCGAGTGATAGCTCGCCAAAGACTCCCGATGTTGAGGATTCTACTCGCTGTGCCACACAGTAAATATCAACCCGTTTTCTAATTCTAACCTTGCGCTCAAAATATTCTTGACAACCATATTCGTCGTCGAGGGAATGGAGAGTTCAATTTTCGAAATGAAGAACAACATTTCACAGTTTGCGATCTGCGTCCTACTTGTGTACATAGCTTTTCAAAGTAGCTATTTTTACTTTCGCAGATAAAAATGGGATGACTTTTCTTAATGTTTGCGGTTTTAGGAAGGCGTCGTTGTCTCAAGTCCTATCCTTACAACGGCCTGGACAAGGAGACGTATGACATCCTGGCGACGTTGCATATCGTATATTCTTATTTCTTGTTATGTTGTGGTATAGACAAATAGCTGGGTGCACTAGCTTCATGAAACTTAAACGAATCGATATATTTGTGTATTGAGGCAGGCGTATGAAGGGAGCCGGGGCTCATTCTCACTGCGCCTTTCCATTGAGAAACTGCCCAATCAACATCAATGTCTCTGCAGTTCCGGCAGCTAGTTTAGGAGGAAACAAAGAGAAACCGTGCGGTGCGCCTGGAACAATTTTAACAAATGTTTCTCCGCCAGCCATCTGCCATTTAGCACTCATGAAGACTGTATCATCAAGTAGGATATCCTCTGTCCCACATGTAAATATTGCGGGTGGGAGGTATTTGCCGGCCGCAGCAAGAGACGCAAAATCAAAATATAGAGGAGATATAGAGGCATGCTTTCGGTCCACTTTAGGATCTGGCAAAAAAGCATCCTGCAGGTAGTAGGTTAGGGATGGATGTATTTCAATCATGAAGGAATAAAGGGAGACTTACGATAAAATGATCTACCGTTTCTCGATCAAGGATGAGTCGTTGGCCTGGTCGGTAGGTGTACATTGACGGTGTATACGAAAGATCGTAAGCGCCATATTGTAGAACCAATCCCTTGAGGTTAAAACTTGAATATTTATCCTCCGCATGGTTAAGGAGGTGGAATGCAGTCAATGTAGAGAGATGGGCTCCAGCGGACTGCAGGCAGCAAATTAGCATGTCTTTGTTTTCATGAATCCTGGTAAATAATTATAAAACTAGTTACCTCTCCGCCCATAAACTTGAAGGGCGCACCAAACTTTTTTTCAGCGTTATCTACAAGCCATTCCGCCGCATCATAGCAATCTTCTGGTCCACTAGGAAATGGAAATTCAGGCGCAAGTCGATAGCCGACGGACACGGCCACGACATTGGCGGTGTCTGCATAAGACTTCAACATGCTGTCTTGTCTATGACAATGTGAGCCATGAAAGAGGCGGAAGGATGCCACTGGGACTTACGACATCTCATCGGACAAGACCCATCCACCGCCATGAATATGCATAAAGACGCCTGATGGTGTGCCGTTACCTTCCGGCGTGATTATTCGGCAGGGAATATCACGGCCCTTCTGGCGAGACGGGATTGAGAATGATTGCCCACATTCCAGTACAACAGGCTTTGGAAATGCGGTTTCACCTCGAAGGCGCATTTGCCGAAAGTTCTGGGCACCAACCTTTAGAAATAAAGACCATGTCGTAATTAGCTAAAGAGGATGTACCAATTGAATGTCAAGGGCACAGATAAATAACATGGAAAAGACGGGAGAAAGTGCTTGCATACTTCCCACCAATTCGGCTGGCCAGCCTGTAAGTCCATAAGCGCTTTGTTCAGGGCGTGGCATGTCTCTGGAATGGCGCTTGGCCGGAAGACTGAAGCATTAAGAGCAACATCATTCTGGCGAGACATTGTGAAAGTTCAGGAGTTGTAGAAATGTTTATATGCCTCTACTACCTAGTCCGAGGAATAAAGAAAGTTGCCATCCCAGCTTTAAATAGGTTTGCGATTGGCAATAGATCGTGGGTATAAACTTCCCCTCTTTCAGACCATCCGGCTGTTTCGCCGTTGGTAAAGCTTTTGAACCCCTGAGGCGACTGTTCTCCCAGGCCTCGGAGGATTTGATAACGGCGAGTGGAATTCCGGGAAACAACCGGACGCTGGGAGTCGGTGATTACTCTTAAGAACAAGAATGCAACACCCGCGAAGCTCCTTGAGAATATTGGACTGTGGGCTGCGATGCTGGGACAGGAGAGGACTACGAGGGTCTGCCTCGGTTGACGTGGAGTTTAACTAGGGTGGCAGCCGAGCCTAACAGCGCCATCAAACTAGTTGTGGACGTCCAGTATACTTTACTCTTTCGTCGTAATAGAAGTGTTAACTCGCGAAGTAGCATAATAAAAGGCCATTGGTTGGGAGCGGAGAATACTCAGTGAGGATGCGATGTCTTAAGGCTTGACAGCATGGCGAAAATGTTATCAAAAAGCGAAAAAAGCTATAATACAATAATAAAAAAAAAGCGTACATAACAAGCGAAACACGAGACTGCCTCCCGAAGAAGATTTTCAAGCAAATCAAAATATTTTACACCAATATAGAAGCAGAATGCCGCCCAATAACCGGTGAAAAAGGCTAGATATCAACGGAGCCACCCATCTACATACTATTGAAGCAACTTTCCCAAATCCGCTAACCTTGTTCTTTTCTCCTCTCCCTTCGCCGCATTCTTCTCTCTGAAGGCGGTCGTCATCAAGTCTCGTTTGCATTTCTGAATATCCAACACTCTATCTTCGATGCTCCCTTCCACCACCAAGCGCCATACTGTCGTGGGTCGTTTCTGGCCCAGTCGATACACACGGTCAACGGCTTGATCTTCGATAGCAGGTGCCCACCAGCTGTCCGCAAGAATCACTTGATTAGCTGCTACCAGGTTCAGTCCGACGCTGCAGACATTCAAGCTAGCAAGCATGACTGTGCAACTTGGGTCGTTAGCCAGGGTCGCCATGGCGGCATCACGCTTGGTCGAGTTCATCTTTCCGTCAATCCGCGTAAAATTTATGCCGTGTTTGCTGAGCTGTGGCTCGATGAAATCAAGAAATGATGTCCACTGACTGAAAACAACTGTCTTAGTGTCTGCAGCTTGGCCCTGGGCTGTAAGGATTTTGATTAATGCCTGGATCTTGCTGCTGCTCTCTTCAGGGTCAACATCTATCGCAGACGGGTCTTCGCCCAGTGTAACAGCTGGATGTACAAGATCAGATGTATCTCTAATATCCGCCCTACACATGGGGCATTTGTGCTGCCGTTCGATGACTTGCTCAATGCAGGCGAAATCAAAAGTGTGTGCACAAGCAGTAATAACTGGTTGATTCAAGTTATCCAGGCAAATGGGGCATGATTCCTGGCTTTCAATCTTCAGCTGGAGAAGACTCTGAAGCGCTCTTACATTTTCTGGTGTCAGATCCACTACATCGGTTTTTGCCAGTAAATTCATGAGATCATTGACCCGAGCCTGACAGAGCTTCCAGTGATTGCAGACTTGTCTAAGGCGAAGAATAACTTCAAGCAAGTGCGAATACGTAACATTCGATTTTTGGCTGTTCGAATAATCCATGAGGACGCCCTTTGCTTCAGCCCTGAGACGCGCTCAATTAGTTTCTAGGGGTATCAAAGGGTATAAAACTGATGACTTACTGAAACATGTCGTACTTTTCTTTCTCGTGAGGCAGGAATCTCACATGAAGAATATGAGATTGCATCGGTGGAAGACAAAGGTTGATGAATTCCATTTCTTTCTTACGGCGTAGGCAGATGGTGGCCATCAAAGCTTGTAGAATAAGCGTAGCATTCGGATGTTCCTCCTTTAGAGGCCGAATCAATGCGCTATTAAAGACAGCCAGATCTTCTAGCCCACCAGAGATCCGAAGGTATTTTAGTTGGGAGTACAGGTCCTTCAAATTGTTAATGATTGGTGTTCCAGTTAGCGACCATCGTGAGTCAGCTTCTAACGTGCATGCTGCTCTGGCTCCCTTTGTCCGCGGCGATCGAATGGTATGGCCTTCATCCAAGACAACCCGTCGCCAGTGCACGGAGAATAGTCCTTTCTCTGGTTTCTTTGGCTTGGTTTCTTTTCCATCGAAATGACCAAACTCCGTAGCGAGGGCACCATAGGTGGTAATGACCACATCGTACTGGTCTAGGTTCTCGGCTTCTCTCTTACCGGGGCCATGATATATGAGAACCTTGAGGGCATGCTCTTCCTTAACATGACTAGCAATCTGGTCTCGCCAATTGCTCATCACGCCAAGCGGAGATATAATGAGCGTTGTTTTTGGCGCTTGAGCGGCCTTTGACACTGGGTCGGCCAAAATTAGAGAAATAGTCTGTAATGTTTTTCCTAATCCCATATCGTCGGCGAGAATACCACCACTCGCCAATGAAGGAGCCCGATTTGTAACATAGCCGGTCGCAATATTCTTGTATGCAGATCCATGTCGCTTCCACAACTGTTCAGCTTTGTCGCTGTTCTTTTCTGGCAGCCGAGGCGACTCTCTTCCCAGCATCCATGCAAGTCCTTGTCGCTGATACGGTAATAACTCGGTTGACAATGCGGCTGGGCTGTCAGCCATTGGCATTTTCGCAAGTTCTTTTTCATCGGTGCCAAATTTCTCAACTACCTGGCCCATTTCCCTTGGATTGAAGGCAATGCTTTGGGCGACGATATCGCTAATGGACTCTTGGTTTTGCTGGAGCTGGCTCTCCTTAATAGGAGCCATATTGACACCAAATCCACTATTTGATGTTTGCCATTCTTCGCCCACCCCGTTGCCCCTACGTATGCCTGGGTGGTTGGTGATATCTCTCAGTTCTTGTGGTGGTTGTTGTTTCTGGTTGATTCTTTTCATCACGAGCTCCGCAACTGACAGACCATCCTTTTTCATTCTTTCCATAAGCACTTGCTGTTCTCTGGGATCACTGGTGCCATACAACTTCAAGGTAATTGGACATTCAAAAGTGCCTTTGTTTCCGGCCAGAACCCCTTCCACTAACAATTCTCCAGAGTCCTAAGAACAATAGATCCATTAATGCCAAAAAATAATAAACGGCAAAATAAAGACATACCAGATAGCGCGCTAATGACATGGACAAATGTCGAGGCAAATGGCCAATCTGATCACCCATAACATTATCAACTCGAATTGAATTCGGGTCGTACTGGTTACTGGGCTCTCGCCGAATGTTGACACATTCTCCTTTTGACGCCTGGCCATTATAAAATCTAACACCAACTATTTTGTTAGATACGATGCCTGTCTCCGTCAGCATAAAGGAAGGGAAAGCCTCATTTAAGTTCGAAGGGGAGTCTAACCATATAATTCGAAGCTCAAATAAGAAGAGTCATCAAATTCCTGAGAAGAGTCAACAAAAGCGGCTGCATTTGCCTCCTCGTCAAGCTCCGCTTGAGTGTTCGGTATGCCCTGACTCAGTGGAATGAGTTCCCTGGGCGCTGTGAGCTGTTCATAGGCAGCCCTGTCAGGAGCGTACGGCTTGGGCGCGCTTCGAGCTTGAGCGATCCGTGTAACATAGTCGTTATCTTGTGTAAGATCAATAGCGCCGGGAAGTTTCCGTTTACCAGTCTTGGGCGCTGGTCGTGTTGTGGATCTTCGCGCCCGGTTATATGGAGGGAAAGATATTCTAGGATTCACATACCCAGAGGAGAAGGACCCCGGGAAATATCTCCTAGAGTGCGCCGGCTGTCTACGCCCTCGAGATGCCATTGGTGCTCTCTCGTGCCGTTTTCAGGCCTGGTGCGGGTGTTCAGCAACAACGGTCTCGTGCCTTGAAACGGCCGGGCAAATGTCGCGCGCGCGGCTAAAAACGCGTCCCGGATCCTTGCCCGCGAACCCACCAAAAACAAACAACGTCAAGGCGTTAAACGCGCATCCACCTGACCAGATCTACATTCGCACGTGACTAGTGTTGCCCCAGTCCTCGGCAAAACCTTCCTCGTCCCAAAATGGTTTTGATGTACGGAGTAGTTCAGCTGGCATCGCAGCGCCTCGTCCAGACTGAAATAGTTATAGGACCTCCAGATGCTGCCCACTAGCAAATGACATGTCACTTACCGCTCTGCCTTCCAAGTTTCACCAGCCCCGGCCCGACCCGTGATATGCTGGTTGGAGACGATAAGGATCATCATGACGACCCTGTCGTTAGCCCCCCTTTCTTTCCTTTAACTACCGGCCATTCTTTTGCAACGCCGTGACTTGTTATCGGCTTGCAATTTCTCTGTTGTCTTTATGGAGCCAGGTTACCGTACGATTCTGGCGGCAAGGGAGCTGGATTACACCCGCCGTCTAAGCAGGGGGGAGATCCGGGCTCTAGTCTTCCCTCGAGATTTTACGTCTCTCTTCATTCTTGTCGCTACTCTTCTTATTCCCTGGCCTCGAAATAATATTTCTATTTGCGCCAGATACCTCTCCTTTTTGATGATTTTATATGTGAACACCTCAGCAATCTTGAATTGTCGTACACATCGCCTTGCGGGCGGCTATGGTGTCGGGTTAGCCTTTGCATGGCACACAATTTGGAGCGCAACCCTACTGATTTTCAACGACGTCCAGGGTAAATTTCAAAGAATAGAGAGAAAATTTGAAACGACACCTGGCCATGCTATGACAAATGGACTCTCGTCCCAAAACGCCGGAACTGTTCGGGTGCGCAACTTCTCAGCGGGAGGGACCAACGGGCCGTCACATCCTCGCCTCAAGGATGATGACACCAAGAAAGGAAATCTCCAATACATAGCTTCTTATAGATGGCAGCCCTATCCAAAGCGCTTTTTACATCGATTGGCCTGGGTCGTCGATGTATCCACCCTCTCATTCAGGGGCTGTGGCTGGGACTGGGGGAACGCCACCCTCCCCACTCGTGTGGCAACGAAGTCCGAGACAAAAGCAGCGTTCAAGCTGAGTATGATTTCGACCGGTCTTAGTTACATTGCATTGGACTTGATCAAGGTCGTTATGATGAAAGACCCCTATTTCTGGGGTATTACTGACTCACCACCTCCACCTTTCTTGATATTTCTCGGCCTCTTTGCTAGTCCTGTGACCCGGGTCTACCGTCTTCTCCTCGTATGTGCCGGGATAATGGCCGCCTTGAAAACCTTCTACGGCTATCTGTGTATACTGTATCTAGGGATCTCGCTCTTCGGCAGGCCACGTACACGAATCGCCATACCTATTGAGGCACCATGGATGTACCGTAGGCTTTTTGGACCATGCTTAACGTCCCTTCTCGAATATGGCTTAGCAGGCGGTTGGGCTTTCTGGTGGCACCAAATATTTCGCTTCGGGTTCGTGTCTCCAAGTAACTGGATTTTCGTGCAACTTCCACAATTCCTTCAAACGAAATCCGTTTTCTTCGTTTTGCGCTTGACTATAGCTTTCGTGTTAAGTGGAACTATGCATGCCTGTGGAAGCTACACTCAAATCGCAATGACATATCCCATATCGGAGATCTTCCTATTTTTTATTCTCCAAATTCCTGGAATATTGATCCAACGAGTGCTAGCCCACCTAGTTTCGAAAGCAGGCTTCAAATGTCCCATGTGGCTTAAGAGGTTAGGTAACATAGCGTTCGCTTTTGTATGGATGCTATTGACCGGACCGCTTGCTGCAAATGACTTCTCTCGCGGAGGGGCGTGGTTATTCGAACCTGTCCCTATAAGCCCACTTCGAGGACTGGGGTTTGGGGCATTAAATGAGGGCTGGCTGTGTTGGCATCAACGTTGGTTTCGACGGTGGGAAGGAGAGAAGTGGTGGCAACAAGGCATCCAAATTGTATAGTACGGAGTATCCCAGGGTTCCCCGGTTGTAAAAAGCGCCATAAATCGCGTTTAAGAGAATAGAAGTACAATTACACACCTACCTATGTAGATAGATTAGCGGAAATTAAGAAAATATTAGATCCACTTCACAGCCCGAATCATGATTTGTAATGCCTGAATGGTATAATGGCTTGTCTTGAAAATCAAATGATATTATGAGTTTGAGGGGTTGTACGGAGTAGTTCTATTTTATCATAGGGAGGAATCGTCATCTTCATCAGTGTCCGGTTCAATATTTAGTGGTGGAATCTCATCGTCACTCGCCATGTCAGCATCGCTCTTTGCAGTTTGCTCTTCATTGTGGGTCATGGTAGCTGGAACGCTTTGACCAAGCAGCTGGTTTTGTGGATCCTGTAGGAGGAAACCGCTGCTAACGACCGGAGATTTTTCTTTTGCTAAAATTGATAAAGGTTCTGGGGAATTTTCAAGTGGCTGGTTTGAAGCCTGAGCATCACTCGAAGCAGGGTGCTGATGTAAGGCGCCTTCTACACTCGATATAGGGACAATAGTAGTAGGTGTATCAACCCGAGGCTTTTTCTCTGGGGAAAAGGCTCTTGGCTGAGTCTCAGTGAACCGGTTTTCACCCTCGGCTTCGTGGTACCTCTTGATACCTTTAGTCTCCACCTGAACTACTTGGGAGCCAAATGATTTCGGGATTGAATCCATTAACACGTTTCGAGACGAAACACTGAAGGCATCAACAATATCACTATTTCTCGCATCCGAGGTGTCGGGCTCCATGCCTATTGACTGCTGAATTGCATCATTGAAATTTGCCCTCTCTGCTCCACTTAGGATAACTGGCATGCGTGGTCTCAGAAGCCCTTCAACATCAAGTTGACATGGACTGCATCTCGCAAGGAACGGAACAATACTAGCATGGCCACGCTTATTGCCAATGGGTGGAATAGGGTTGAGCACGCTGGCCATCATGAGCTTCGAATGTCCACATAAGATAGCCGTTCGATCAAGTTCCGTACGGAGGGATAGGGGAATAAGATCCGGCGAAACACACGTAAAGACGCTTATCAGCATTTGAGCGGCTGCATGCTGAACCCCACGAAGACTCAGTGGCTGAAGGCGCAAAGCATTCGAACTAGAAGTAGCACCCAAAAATACATCGGCGTTAATGGAAATTTGAGTGTTTTTAGTATTTGGCCGGATATCTTTTGAGTCTATGCTTCTAGTCTGATGCAGAGGAAGCAAATCCTTGCAAGCGAGCTGTATCACTTGCGCCACAATAGACAGCTCATTTTTAGTAAACGTGTGCCCGATAACATCTATTATAACGTTCACACACCGATATGCAGCTGTTCGAACGGTTTTATTCTTGTTCGATGTCTCAAATATACGTAGAGCCTGGTCGAGGCAATGCCGAGCAACCGATGCGCTGCTTACTCCAAGGGTTTCAACGACCGTACGAATAAGATGCAGGGTAGAAGCATAAATTTTGGGGAGTTCAGTGAACAGTGCTTCTCTCTCGTCTCGTCCAATTTCTCGGTTGGCCAGATGAAACTCAGTCTCTGTTTCAGAGATAGGCACACTTAGAGAGCTTAATCGAGCAGTAAGATCGAGTACGGCTCCTATGGGTATTGCCACGGAAGAGTGTGTACACAACGTAAAGAATTGGGATAGTAGGCGTACAAGGCTGATGATTCGACCAGCACCTTCTTGCATACCATTCCACCCACCAAGCTCGAGTGGATCTGGGCCATCATCACCAAGAGGCTGGCTATGACTTCTCGAATTCAAAGACAGGCGTAATTCAGCGTCTGTCGATTCCCATTGTTCCTTGACGCTCCGAAACAGATGATCCCCCGTGCGATGAATGGAGCGTATTGTAGAACGAAACGCGATAAGCCATTGCTCTCCAGAAGAATTTTTCGGGGCGCAATGATGCAAAGCGACGAATAATTTCTGCGCCAAAGGCACGTATGGCTCAGGAACAAAAGTAGAAGAGCCGATTGACCCAATTAGGGGAAGCAATAAGCTATGAATTTGAGCAGAGAAGGGACGGAAAATTGTAGGATGGCGCGGAATCAATTCTGAGAATGACTCAAAGACCGGAATAAGCAATGAATTGCTTGTCTTTAATGTTCTACGCCCATCCTGTGTAGACTTGACTGATATAAGATTCAAGCATGCCGCGAGAAACACTGGCAAAGCGGGTGTGGTGATTTCTCGTATTAATGTCGGATACTGTTGGGTAAGCTGAAAGATCCGAGTCAAAGTGATGAGGGATAGCTTCTTCGTAGACGCGGGATCTGGTTTCTGCATATGCAATTCTGAATCAGCGGACCGTTTACTACTGGAGCCGCCTGACTTCCACTTAGAACATACCCCGAGGATCGTCAACAGTGCCCGCACCCATGGCTCGCAGCCACGAAGTACCTCCCATTGCCCAGCTTCCACCGTAGCCTTCACCAAGATAACCGCAGTCCATCGGCCTTCAGCGGTTTTGTCTTGCAGCAAGCTGGTGATTCGGGCCTTCAGTTTGGTGACAAGCAACGTAGCATCCGATGCACCTGCCGCCCTTTTTTGGTTTTCCGGTGCAGATAAGAGCGCACTGCTTTCGCCCAGAGCAGACGCGAGATACGCCGCTATTTGAGGAAGCTCTTCAACAGGCGTAGTCGTAAGTCGTAGGGTCGCGGCGCTGAGCGACATGGTGGACGCCATGCCGGTGAGCAATAGGATGACCACTGCACCTGGGTTGGCTATATGTATTGCAATTGGGTAGTTGTTTAAAATTGCCTGCAACTTTTACATTTTGGAGCTTCACAAAACTAGCGCGATCGCATCAAGTTCGGACAACAACCTGAACAGCCCGGGTAATCAATTGTTATGTAAACAGACCACTCATTCACTCAAGATGCCTGCCTGTGAGCGATCTTTTTTGTTCTGATTCCACCGATCATGACCAGCCCCTTGTGTGTCAGATACCGCAAAGAATCATGACCGTAAGCTGGCACTCACTCTCCCCTCCATCAGCAGCACGCAGACCTGACAAAGTACTCTGGGACCAGCTCACTAGCAAAGCCCATCGCTACATCGAGGCGCTAGACACAGCGAGATGTAATGCCCACTGGCATGAAATCCCCGATATCCTTCGAAAAATCTTGAAGCATGCTCCCGAGAGAAAATGTAGCGTTTTCTGCCCCCGCGCTGGCACTCTGATCAAGAAACTCATGATTGTGTGACATAGGTATGATTCAGACAGCACAAGCAGAATACCAAGTCGCCAGTTATGCTGCCAAACGGACGACTTCTAATATCCCGCCTGACTCCGCAAATGGATCGCCGCTGCTGGACCTTATACCTACCCTCCTATCCGTTATTGGTGACGATGAAGGAGATATTACGCAGGATATATTTCAGGCACGTGTGTGCTTAAGCTGGCTACATTGGGAGTTGTTGGAGCCCGCATTAGCGGTTTCGTGTCTACCTAAAGATCTTGGTGCTGCTGTCCACTTGCTTTCCGGGAATGGGCAGCCCTTGTCTCCTTGGACTGAAGTATGTATCGTGAAGGGTGGCTATTTGAAAGGTATCCACTCGCATTCTTCTTTCTTGATGCCAGTGCTAACTGCTCTAAGGCGTTTCCCAGGAGCTGCTCTGTGGTGCAGCGGATGCAATAAGGACCATGAAAGCGATAGTTCCGCGAGTTTCTTTTCCCACATCCCCTTCTCCATCAACTCCACAGTATCTTTTCTGGACAGAGCAGCTTTTAGCAAAGATTGCACTGCTTTCTAACGAGGCTGTTATAAAAGATGGCGCATTATCGCGAGAATCAGCAATTGAATTTGCCTTGAAATCGTTTCGTGCTTGGGCCTCTCATCGAGACGTGAAGGCAGATCCTGCTTCAATATCAAAAGACGCTAGTACTTTGAATATCGGCTCTAAGCCTCAGGTATGGCGGGCATACTATAACCTTCTGTCGCACATCTTACAACACAAATTGTCCTATATCAGCTGGTCAGATGCTCCTAAACGAGGTCAATTCGTTTCAGAGTTTCGGCGAGTTGAAACTATATGCGAAAATTCACTTTTAAGAAATGCAAAGTTTCCTAGAGCCGATGCGTCCAATCAAGATATCGAGGTGTGGGTTGAGCAAGTCATTCACAATTGGCATATCCTTTGCAGCTCGGAGTGGCAGGATGCAGATTTTGGAGAAGGGGGTCATGATGCACTATCTCGCAATGTTCTTGATGTGAGTACTCTTATTAACATATCCAAATTATGGCATTGACATCACTCCAGATTCTCTATCGTGCAGCAACAAAAACATTTCATTCCACTTTGATATTACGGCGCCTTTTTCAGGTTCATTCAGTTCTAGCCGAATTTGATCTCGCAATCAAGGCTCTCGATACATATATCAGTCTCGTTGATTCGGCGCGGAGCCGCGCAACGCAGGCAAGCAAATCAGTCGGAGAAACTGAGAGTATAGATGATTTCGTTCGTACTTTATCTGAAGGAATCAATACAGTTTGCTGTTTTGGCACGTATCGCAATGCAGAAAAGGCCAAGGAGCTGACCGATCTGCTTGAGCGTATCTTAGCAAATGAAACTGAAGAGGAAGTTCCGCCGGAATCCAATCGATCAGGACTAAATGGAGTTACCAAACTCTCGCCCACCACGATTGCAATTGCGCATAGAGCGGTCGGAATCGGGCTTGCAAATTGGTCACGGTGGACACCCATAACAGAATCCCGACGTGACCTGCAGGCTTCAGCCATAGCATCACTAGAGGCTTCCTTGTCTGAAGAACTAGGCCATGACATGAATTCTGCTTCAATATTTGCTCTAGGATTGGTGCTAGCAGAAACCCGGGATATTAATGGCGCTATTGATCGTGTGCGTCTTGCATTGAGCTCAGCAGACGTAATGGGTGATGAAGGTCGTCCCTTGGGCCATCAGCCGTATACCAATGAGTATGATCTTGTTCCATTATGGCACTTGCTTGCCCTTCTCCTAAGTGCGCGTGAAGAATACGAGTCCGCTAGTCACGTATGTGACGCTGTTCTTGACACCGTGGTCGCAGGCAATACCTACGCTAATATAATAAAATCCGAATACCAACATCAAAATGGTGAGAAGATGTCTCGGTCACTAACGAGTACCGGCGACGATAAGCTTCCGACGCTTGATAACATTGGAATTCGTAAGAAAGAAAATATTCTAGAATTACGAATGACTCAACTGTCTCTAATTGAAACTCTACACGGTCCCGAAACCGCTGTGAATCATGCTGAGGAGTTATTAGCTCTCTTCGGCCGCATTTTTGCAGGAGTAGGTATCTCGGAACCTGAACCAAAATCTCAAAATGAACATCTTGCTCCTCCTAAAAGCTCCAGTGGGACCGTCCGTACCTTTCGCGGCAGCTTTTTGGGCCGGAAGAAGCCCAACCGAGATACAGAGCACGGATCTAACCTTGGTTGTGACATGGCTTCGGCGCCAACAGCTCCTTCGCTCTCGACCTCTGTAGTTGATGGTTCTCCTCCGCCTATACTTCTGCAAGCTGGAAACCCATCTGGCTCAAAGGAGAGACCACAAAGTGGAGGAACAAGGGCGAGCTCTGTTCGCCGAAGAGATGGTACTCAACCGCATAAACTCCATAAAAGGGAGGGTAGCGTTGCAAAGTCCGTGCGCCACCGTAGCCATGAACGGCGTTCAAAATCACCGACACCTTCTAATAAATCTCACCCAGACCTAACATTTACCACAGCAGAAGAAACATCGGAATCCCCTCCCCATATAAAGTCACCAACTATCAACCACGACGGTTCAATGTCAGCAAGACAGAGCTTAGCTCCGATTCCTCATAATATGAAGTACAATAGAGAGCCACCTCCAATCGGCCACCCGAACCAGCCCCCACAGCAGGATATTCGGCTGCCAACCACTGGAAACTCCGAATTGCCTGCCAAGATGTTTGCCAGATTTTCCAAACTCCATACCCAGAAACAGTCTCTTTGCCTACTAATAAAGATTTGGCTGTTTGTTGCTGGGCTTTACCGACGAGCGGGCTTGTTCGAAGATGCTTTGGGATCATGGAATGAAGCAAAACTGCAAGCGAAAGCTGTTGAAGAGCTTGTTGGTAAGCACGAATCATCTGCAAAATCATTTGCTGATCCAGGATGGGGAGGGACTCAGTCGTCCGATGAGCTCTGGGGAGACGTCCATGCAGAGCGTGGATTTCTTTTTAATGCCCAGTGCCAACCATTTGAAGCTATGAAGCAATTCGAGGAGGCATTAATATATTCTCCGGATCATGTTCGAGCTACCGTGGGCCTAGCCAATCTTCTCCTTGATGTGTGGGAGAAGAAACTACCAACTGAAGAACCGGAACTTGGTAATCAGTTCAGCATGCTCAGAATTTCGAGCCCATCACAAACAGATTTACCCTTATGTGACGAACCAAACAAAGTCAATAGCAGCTCCCCGTCGACTACTCCATTTGCTGAACGAGATTCGCCAGAATATCGTGAGCGCCTCGCAGCACGAGACCGGGCCTATGGCCTTTTATCGGCAATTACCAAACTCGGAACCGCCTGGGACGACTCGGAGGCATGGCTTTCGTTGGCAAGGGCGTATGAACATGGAAATCAGGTGGAGAAAGCCAAAGAGGTGCTTTGGTGGTGTATCGATCTCGAAGATAGGCGCCCGATTCGACATTGGTGGAATATTGGATTTGGTGGCTATATCCTTTGAAAATATATTTCTTTTTTCCTCGTCATTTTCTTGCTTCTGAGAATATTAGATAGAGAATACCCAATTTTGTGGTATGTTTTCTGGCCTCTCTGTTATTAGCGAGCAATAAACAATGTTTAAATGAATTTTAATGAGATAGCTGGCGCAAGTTTATGGGATATATATGTACATTTTTTCGTATCAGAGGGCTAGCTAGATCTATCTTTGTCGCGCAACAGGGTCCCAGGCGGAAACCTTGGGTTTAGTTCTAGATACGAGGTACACATAGTTAGGAAACAAACCCATTTAAAGATTTAGGCAGGACCTACGTTGAATATGGTTTGTACGCAGCGCGGGAGAAAGTCGGGTTGGGTCGGTGCTCAGGAGTTTCCCACGCACGTAAGCCGGTTTGCAGAATTTTGTCCTCCACAGGAGGCTTGTTGACCATATATGCCAACCAAGCATGCCTAGATAAAAAAAAACGTAAATTAAAGCCTTATACCATCTACTTGAAATGAGGAATTAATAAACATACCATCCCGGGTCGATCTGGGATGCATCGAGTTCCTTTTCTTTGAAGTCTACCCAGCGCGTCCGAACTATTGGGCAGTCAATTCCCGTACGTAATTATTTACCTGCCTCACTGGATAAACGTACGGGGTAGCTCGTCATTATTCTCGAAGTATTTGTTTCCATAGCGATCGGTAGCAACAAGAACACCGGCCTTGGTATCGCCTACACAGGGAGAAGCGAGCACAGTTAGTTAACTATTCCCAGTGATAGGTACTGTCTGGCGATAGAGTGCATACCAATATACTATCAAGAAATAACAGAGGCGAATAAGCCTTTTGTTCAATGGCTCTGGGTTGGATTAGTCTGAGGGCATCTTACATGCATCTGGTGGCCATAATCCTATTCCACCAAAACATTAGTTACCAAGGACAAAGCAGGTGGCGTAGAGTCGGACATACCCTAATCCCTACTTTCCACAGATTCCGTAACGTGCGGGTAATAGTCGACATATTTGCTGCGATGCGTGTGCCGTGGTGCAGTTGGTGGTCAATGGAGATATTGAGGGACAGTGGAAGGCTTAAAAGAGTCTAGCGCTGAGTGATCTGATAAGATAAGATCCGTCCAGGGACTGGACGAAACTTGCGATCAGTATAAAGGTGCAAAGAAGATATCTATTCGGCCTCGCGTACGGCGTGATAGCTCTGCAATCTATCATGTTCAGCCGTGTTGGGAGCCGATGCCTTCCATCTTGTCGCCGACGCGCTCTACATGCATCCGTTCGGGTTCGCACATTCGCGACCTCCCCAAACGTTGCTGCGTCAACTTTTGCGCACTCCGCCAGCTCCTCATCACCGCTAGGCGCCTTGACCATTGAGCTTGACCGAATTGCTCCACGATTTGAAATCCATGCATCGCATATCAAAATAATTGACTCGCCGAATTCCTTCTACCAAACTCTAAAGGTTCGCATTTCTCAACCCATTAATCTTCGTGCTACTGATATACTTCGATTCCAGCAAAAAATAAAACATGCAAAACGCCGAATCTACCTTTCTACACTCTATATCGGAAGATCCGAGCTCGAACTAATAAATACTATAAGCCAAAGCCTGCGTGAAAACCCAGACCTTACCGTGTCGATTCTCACAGATTGCTTAAGAGGCACCCGCGAGTCTCCAGATCCGTCATGCGCATCCCTTTTAGCCTCTCTAGTTGAGGAACATGGCTCCAATAGAGTTGAAATCAGGATGTTTCACACACCAAACTTGGTTGGATTTAGAAAACGGCATGTCCCAAAAAGGATCAATGAGGGTTGGGGTTTACAGCATATGAAGTTGTATGGGATCGACGACGAAATAATACTTTCTGGGTGTGAGATTTCTTGGAAACTATTTATTTTATTCTCTGTCGTGCTAATCAGTACTCTGCTTTATAGTGCAAACCTATCGAATGATTATTTTACCAACCGACTAGACAGGTACCATCTGTTCAGCTCGAAAGAATTAGCAGACTACTATGGATGCATTCATGATGCCATAGGCCATCTCAGTTTTTTAGTCATTCCTAGTAAGAAAGAGAAATCAGGCTACATATTGGAGTGGCCTACTACGAATACCGCTCCTTCTCCGCTGGAGGATCCAAAAGCCTTCAGAAGCAGCGCTTCAAAATTACTACCGAAATTAATAGCACCGACGCAGACCAAAACCCCTACCTTTTCACTCTCGGATGACAAAACCTATGTTTATCCTGTCGCTCAGTTTACCTCCCTCTTACGCCCTGATGCATCTACAGAGTTTCCAGCTGTAACGAGTATTCTCGGCGCCCTTTCCAAGAATCCTGATTTAGAGAATTCAAAATGGCTTTTCACCGCTGGGTATTTTAATATCCACCCAGCTTTGTCATCCCTCTTAATTAACAGCACAGCCTCTTCCACAATTCGACAAGCACAGGGAGTCGTTCTAACCGCTTCGCCCTGGGCCAATGGATTCTACGGCTCCTCTGGGGTTTCCGGAATGTTGCCAGCGGGATATACACACCTCTCATCGCGATTTCTTGATAGAGTTGCGGCTGCAAAAAAGACCAATTCAATCCAACTCAAAGAATGGCGCCGTGGCACCGTCGGTGAACCCGGAGGCTGGACTTATCATGCGAAAGGTCTTTGGATTACGCTTCCAAATGAGAAATTTCCAAGTTTGACAGTTGTGGGTAGCAGTAATTATACAAAGCGAAGCTATAGCCTGGATTTAGAAGTTGGAGCCGTAGTCGTTACGTCAAATGAGCAGTTGAAGCAGCGCCTGGGTGAAGAAGCCATGTTGCTGCAGGAAGATGCAAAGGAAATATCAAGGGAAGATTTCAGGAAAGTTGAGAGGCGAGTAGGTTGGCATGTGCGGTTGGCTATGTGGATTGTGAATATTGTTGGGGGTGCGATGTGATCTAATTAGATATTGGATATGTTTGGATACTTAAAACGTGTGTCTGTACGATAGAATGCGACAGTAAAGAAAGACCTAGGCCATCTTGAAATCTATGAAGATAAAATAGACCTACTAAGCTCCAAGAAAAAAAAAGTCCAATATGTAAAGTTGTGGTATTTTGGTCCTCGTGCTTTTGAATGGGTATACCTGAAATGGTAGTACTAAATATATTTCAGACGCGGTTGGATAACTTTGCAGGTCCAAGACCTTGTCTGATTTCGTCCAGCATTTGTATCCCAACAGCCTCATTACCATTTTTCCCTCTCTTCCCTTTTGCGCCTTTCCTCTTCGCCTGCTTGCCACGGTCCTGCCAGCCACCCAAGAACTCATCCATTACAGAATCGAAATCTTTTCTCATTGGAACATTTCCACTCTGTGAAGTGATGCTCGGTGCTTGAGAAAACTTTGAAGCCCCGCTCATGACAGACATATCGTCCGCGATGCTGGAGCCTTCATACTCTTCGCCGTCTTCATCTACGGCGTATAGAGCTTCCATTCTTTCAAAGCGATCATCTAACAGTCTAAGACCCTCTGTACGAGCAAGAGCAGAAGATGTCATAGAGTATGCCGATGGGTTAGTGAGGGCACCCTTGCGTTTCTTCTTGCGAATAGGTGTGCCACCAACGGTGAACAACGTTGACGCCGTGGTTCGGAGCTCAGAGGCATCTTCCGGGCGTTCAGCAGGTGAAGGTTGTGTTTTCATCTCCTTTTTATACTTCGCAAAATTCTTGAGCCAATCTCCGTCGTCGTGTGTGGCATCCGGAATAGGAGCGTCATGCGAAGGAAGATCTGAATCTCCACCTGAATGCGTAAAGTGATCAGCAGGGGCCGATGACATTGGCTGAACGGGTGCCTTCTCTGTTGCATCTGAATCCCATCCATCGTCGTCGTCAATATACGTATCCCTCCACTCATCTGGATCGACTTCTGCATCAAGCCCGCCTTCTACAAGAGAGTTGAAAACGTCATCTTCACCCTCCTGGTCTACAAAGGCGTCATCATCAAGTGCTTCTAATGCTTCTCTTAATCTTGGATCCATATCTGGTTGGAACCCTGCAATTGAATCTGGTATATTCTGTTGATCCTGGTAGCTAGGCTTTCTAACATAGGATGATGCAGTTGAAAGGAAGTCATCGTCTCCGTTTATCGAAGAGGCATCACGCAACGAAAGACCATCCAGCTTGTCCTCGAATGAACTTTCCGCCAGTGCATCTTCTAGTCTTTTTGTTTTGCCTTTAGCCTTTTTACTCGTAACCTCGATGAAATGGGCCTCTCCGCCACCTTTACCCAGTTCTCGAAGGTGCTGCATGTAGTCATACTCGGAGTCATCATAAAAGATGCCATAGTTTGCCGCTTCACCTTCATTCTCACGCGCTCCGGAGTGACCGAACTCCTTCTCTAGATCATCAAGGATTCTCGTGGCTTTTGGAGTGCCTAGTTTTTGGGACGGCCCAGAGACCTGGTGCAGGACACGGTCATCGGCATCGGGGTCGTGGATTAGGGGGTCATTTTGTGATCTATGAAATAGTTGATATTTTGTAGCATTGGTCTTATCACTTTGGGGATACCATGTTAGTTGAAATTCACGCTCCAAAATGGGGCGCAGTAGGGGAGGCATACATCCATCCCTTTTTAGGAGCCATCTTGTTTCCAATGTATCCACAAATGAACTCTTCCTCAAAATATAGTACAGTTATGATGGATATTCATATGGTTTTCAAACTCGTTCGCCCTCTGTCATCATGAATTTCGAGAATTTGACTTCACATGCGGACCAGTCACGTGAATTTGCGGGTTACCTATCGATAAGCGATAAGACAGTCTTGGCATATATTGGCACACTACTGGATAGTTCACCGCGGAGTATGCCATCAACTCTTCCACTACATATAATAGAGAGCAGAGCTAACTTTTATACTACGGAGCAGAGATCTGAACTTCAAAAAAAGCTAAGGACGTAGATTAGTCCTGTTATTGATATTCCCCCCTTGGCCACTAACATAGGTCTTCACAGGAGAATATGAGTTAAATGGAGCCAGAATTTCAGGAGAGAAACGAAGGTCATTATCTCGTGTATACCATAGTTAACCATGATAGGACTCAGGAGTACCAGGCTCCAGTATGCCGAAATTCAAAAAGCAAGCACCATCCCTCTATCACAGAATGTTGGTCTATAGAAGAAAGTCATAACACTCCTGCATCAAGGACAAGAATGGATGCATTGAGATTAAAAATCATCAGCATCTTTGGTATTAATCTTCACTTTGTCTTTCCTTTTCCCTCCTTTAAAATGCTTCTTGCTGGAAGTTCGAACTTCTGAAACATCAACTCCTTTTTCTAGAGCTACCATTGTTCTTGCCTTCCGCCCAGATAGCTCCTTTTGTCGCTGAAGTGCACCTTGCTCAGTGTATACGTGACTAAATGGCATCTTAAGATGGCCAACGGACCCGGAACCGCGGGCTGTAAAAAACCCTGCATCAACATTTCTAGACCGTGCACCTTCAAATGGGGGCTTGGCTGAGGAGAGTGACATGATGTCTGAGTTTGTATCGCCGTCATTGCTGTCCGTAATGCCCGATGCGGGTGCATTTGATGACTGATTCAGTAATGCCGCTTGTCGGCGAGGAGGAAGATGGGCCATGTCATATAAACCGCTATTAAACTCAGCGGCATATTTGCAATGACCATCATCATCAGAAGGAGGGGGGTGACAATAGAGTAATTTTCCATTGACATAATCTTTGAGGATGTACCTAGCAGCACGAGACTCGTCGGGTTGGCCCTGGCCAGTTGTTGCAAACCCTCTGGCACGCGCATAGCCCCGAAGTACTTCAGAAGCAGTTGGAATACCCGTTCCTCCTTCCTCAAGAGGTCGCATATATATTTTCATTCCATATATTGCCTCAATGAAATGTTTTGGAATTCTCTGGGCCACTAAGCCAGCAGGCCCAGTATACTCTCTCAATTGGTCAATAGGCAGAACACCGTTGACAACGAGTTCCGCTTTCGTTGTTGCAAAATTTGGAAACACAAGACCAGGGCAATCACAGAGAACTAAAGATGAGGAAAGATGTAGAGTCTGGAAATGTTTTGTTTTGCCAGGAGTAGCAGAGACGGAAACCTTTTTTGCCCCAAGCAATGCATTGATAGTGCTGGACTTTCCCACGTTGGGATATCCTACAAGGCCAATAGTTGTTATCTTTTTAGACGATTCCTCACCGTCGCCGAGGTCGAGAGCCGGAACAGCTTCGAGAAATAGCGATTCCAACTCATCCACTGTAAGAATCTGAGTCCTTAATTCTTTAGGGTCTAGAGGGAGTGGCACGCCACCATCTTTGACAGAATCAGACTCGGAATCTTCATCCTCATCATCTAGTCCGACTTGAGAGGTCTGCGTCGCAAGGTTCGAGATATTGGAGCTGCTGTCATCTGATACTTCTTCAGATAAAGCCTCATTTTGTTCCTTCGCTAACGCAGCCGAAAAAAATTTGTAACTTATGCCATGTGCTTCGAAATAATCGGCCCAAAGCTCCCTTTGGTGGGAAGTCATCATATCTGCTTTATTTACCAGCAATAAATTTCGTTTTCTCGAGTCCACTTCCTTCACGTATTTTTCAAGATCTTCAGATCGAAATAGGAGGGGATTTCGTGCGTCGACAATCTGAACTACCAAATCCGACCGCTCAATGACCCTCCACAACTGTCTCCACACTTCAATGTTACGTTCAAATGGAGTCATCAAAATGTCCTGGTTTTCCTGCAGCTCAGCAAGGCCTCTTCTCCACTCAAGGAAATTTTCTCTCTCCATGGTATCAAGTTGTTGCGGCGTTGTTTTGGAGTTCCATTTCGGTCGACGCGGCACAGTTAACCTATTTTTATTTTGCCGATGCTTACTGACAGCCGACCTCTCATCTGCTGCAGAAAGCAGATATGGGTTTTTCTGGTCAGTGTGTATAATTTTGACGTTATTCATCTTCTCCGCAGTGAAGTCCGTCCCCGCAAGCTCTGCGGTACTGAGAAATTCATCCAAAGCCGCCTGTTCTGTAATGCTTCGCATTTTGACCCATGATGCCTCCTCCGATGGGTTGGTGATGTATGTTTCCCCCCCTGGCCCTGTTCGTTGGATTGCGGCGGCATTGTATGAGACTTTCTTGCGATCCGACGCCTTCCCTTTGCCGAACCGGTCGTTCATCAGGCTGTTCCCCAGCCCAACAGCATTTTTGGATTTTGGAAGAACCATGACGAATAGCTCGAATTAAGGCTTATCAGGTCTTCAAATGACCCCCTTCAAACGAGGCTTGGGGTGGGTTAATGTGATCTTACCTACCCGAAAGAATAATCGACAATCACCCACTTGCTTACTAATACAGCCTCCTTATCGGCGCCCGCCAACGATAAGAAATAACATTCATAACGAACACCAAGCAGTTGCAAAGTTCTGGCTGCTAGGTGGCGTCCTTCCGATTATGGAGAAGAACGCGCCAATTTTGAGAAACCCAAGGACGTCAGGGTCTACAATCGAATACAACACCAAACAAATCAAAGATCACGCTCTTTGAACATTCTCTGATCTAACGAACAGCTCCGGACTATCGGCGTGGATTATTTGCCATTCAGTTAGCATGGCTAAACGTTTAAGAGAAGAGTATGTCTCTGAAATATCAGGTCTCGAATCCGTCTCAGGAAATTCGGAGCTTACGACCTCCACACCGGAAAACAAATACTTACAAATGGACTCCTCGACACCATTCTTGGGGGTTATACACTGTTCACTTCCACCACACCGGCAGCCGATAGGTTTTGCTACATATGAAGACTATGAAGTTCATTACGTGCAATCACATGTCAACCGATGCATAGAATGCGGGAAGAATTTTCCCTCCGAGCTATACCTGAGCCGTCATATCGAAGAAAACCACGATCCACTCATCGAAGCTAGAAGGGAAAGAGGCGAAAAAACGGTAATCTGCAAATTTCGTATGTATGATACCTCCTCGCTGACTGAATATGCAGCTTGGTTGTTTTGTTGAGGGATGTCGGCGGAGATGCTCTACCCCCCAAAAGCGAAGACTGCATTTGATAGATAAACATTCTTTCCCTAGGGTACATTCAGACCCTTTCACAGTTAATGAGTACATCTTATTTTTCTAACTTTTTATTTAGACATACAATTTTTTCATCACAAATGATGGCATTGATAAACACAACTCCCTCCTCACAACCTGCTCTAAACGACCGCAGCGGGTGCAAGTGCATGCATTTCCATATCAGCAAGCCCGCCAACGGCGATCTGGGCCTATCAATACCATCTCAGACACAATCAAATCCCCCACAGAGCATGAGTCATTATCAAACTGCAGCCAGACGCTGTCAGAGCCCCAGGTAGCTATCAGAGAAAGTTCCGAAACAAGCATTGAATGCAACACATTACAAGGTATCGATAAACATGATGATATTGCTGATCTCACAAAGTCAATATCAGCACTGAAGTTCGTTCCCCCGAGCGTTACTATACGTCGAATCAAGGGGCAGGGCGGTTTTTCCACAACTACATCTTGAAAAAGGTGAACCCCTCAGAATTAAGGTAGCATGTGTGCTTCAAGAGCAAATCTCCCTCGGATTATTATTTCCCGAATTATATGGGTTTGACAGGATAATATCTTGAATAGATAAACACCCCAAAAATAGGGTTTTACCTGATTAAAATATAAGGTATCGTAACTTTTATATCTGGTGAATAATCCAGCGCGAAAAGGTGAAGTTTTTTGCGGTAGTATACAAGGAAGACACTAGTTTCAATCGGGGAGTATTATTACCATGTAAAAGAGGTGACTGCAGTTGCAACGATCACATATCTAGCAAGTCAGCATAAAGCTCCAGGCTCGACCCAATAAGGTCAACAATCGGCCAACTTGTGTTTCCTTTGAAAGTTCTTGACCAGACTCGCACTACAGTAACGCTTAGATGCTTGACCTTCACAGGATCATTTAGGAAGTCCAGTTCAGACGTAGATTCCACTTCACCGGACATATCCGTCTCGTCCATCATGCTCTTAATCCAGAGAACCAATTTCCGTTCATGTTCCGAGAGTGGCTGCTCAGTCTGTGTCGAAGGGACGGAAAGCAGCCATCGGCTCAAGAGAAACGCGCATTCCAAACTGCATATAGAATGCTGAATACTCCAGAAGAAAGAATGGGTCCTGGCAACAAAATCTATGCCCAAACGAACCGGGATCGATAATGCATGTGCAGAATGAAGAAGCGCCATGATAAGCCTAGGATGGCGTTTCACGGGCGGAGAGTCCTTTAAGGCTTGGGCTATTTGATGCGGATCTTGAGTAACAAGGCGACGGCAAGGTCCAAGGTCGATATGCAACCTTATGTACGCCAGACCAAGCAAGGCTGTAGAGGTGAATGCAATGGGACCAGCCGGATTTTGGGGGTCGATGCTCGATTCTGGAGTTCGTCTCCATCCAGCCTTCCAAACCCCCAAGGCTGCTTCTAAGGCGATCAAGTCTTCTTGCCGCAAACTTGTGCCCGTCATGAGAGGCGCTGATAAGCATAGCTGCCTAGCGAAAAATATTTGTTGAATAATAGCATGAATTAGAGCATAGTTTCCGAGAGGCGAGACGGAGCCATAACTAGTTGGCGCTGATGATGACTTCACAAAGAGCTTTGCAAATGCTTCTTGGAATGATACATCGGTATTCGCACGAAGTCGACGCAAACGGCGCCATTGGGTAGCCGTTGTTGCCCTCCACTCATCCGCCGCCGATGGCATGTTAAGCTTTAGCTCCGAATTCAGTATCAATGGCGGAATGTTATACATTATGGAGTGGAGATTGAAGAAGCAGTAGACTATTAATTTAGTCCGACGATCGGCTTCTTGACGAGCCCAGTCCTCCCAGGAAGCAGTCTCCGGAAGGGGTCCAGGGTCGGTGAGCCCATGGTCGCGAACAAGCCGCGCGAGTGTACTTTGTAAAGCAAGTATCTCTCTAAGCAAATCAGGGTGTCGTTCCCAGGATGCAAAAACAGTAAGCAGTAAAAATGTACGTATAATTTCCATTTGTCCTTCGGAATCTTCGTCCAGGATCGCTCCCTGTTCCAAAGGTGTAATGAACGGTACTTGGAAGGGGCTTCCGGCTTGATTGGGGGCAGCAGAAGAGCCCCGCGAGCTGTATACGGCTGCATTTGACGCTTGGAGTATATTCCACTGCTGTGGTAATCTCCTGTTGTCTCGACGCCGGATTCTCTCCAGCAGGATGGCCTTTGAAGCGTGAAAAAGTTCGATTCCACGAGCATTTTCAAATCGATAATGGGAGCCGGCCGCCGCAAGAGCAAGCGTCAGCTCTGGAGGAGAGCGGGAAATAGAAAATGTGGCGGTGTGGATGAAGGGAAGGTGCTCATTTAGTCCATTTATATAACCAGCCAAATATCGAGACAGGGCGTGTCTTGATGGAGAGGCGAACCCCTTTGGAAGGCATTGTGCAAAGTCTTCCAGTCTTGAGACCAATAACTGGCGGTCTTGATTGGATATATCCCACGGGGGTTTTGGCATTGATATCTCCTCAGATACGCCACTGCGTTCCTCCGGCTCTTGTGGTTCTGGCTGCAGTGACGGAAGTCGAGAACCAAAGTTAGAAAACGAATTGCCTTCCTCGTTATTACGTTGATCGTGAATAATATCTCGATTAAACCGCGGAGGTGTGACTGGGGGCTGCAGTTGGAGTGCTGGAGGCTGTAGGAAATTCTCTGTTTCAACGGCAAACATGCCAGAGTCCCAATCTGCCGCGAATCCCACACTCTCGAGAAAAGACGTGAAGTCTTGAACCGGATCCCCTAGGTCGGCCAAGTCCAAGATAGATGGCTCAATTCCATAGCTGTCGACTGCTGGTTTATCATGTAAAAGTGGTGGCTGCGGCGTTTTTGGAGCCGGTGGTGCCACCTGTTCCTGTTGGTTTTCGAGCGCAACGTGACTGGCCGCGTGAGAGAGCAAATTCAAGTCGTAACCCCACGCAGGATTGTACTGGGTCTGGTCTAAAACCTGGGCAGTCGTTGGTGCAGAGGCATCAGGCCGGGCAATGGACGCTGAGTGAATTGGCAGGCGGTCGGGGATTCCTAATAGTCGCTCCTCATGAGAGATGGGTGCGGGCGGCGCTGCAGGCGGAGGAAGAGAGGGAGGAAGCTCGGCAGCCGTTGCAGCAGGTCGATGGTCAGCTCTAGCGGTCGCAGTCTCCGCATGATGGACCAGGCGTTCGTGGCGAACCAGGAGGTCACTTTGCGGTTTGTTAGTCGATATCAACGCGGAATTCCGCCAGACAGGGGAGCACTGGCGCACCTCCTCGCAAAGGATTTGGAGCATATTTCACAGGAAAATGGCTTCTCCTTTGTATCTGCAACCGGGCGGTCAGCGCCATTTACCACACGGCGGCCGTATATCGGCGAGTAGGAAGTTTGGGGAACGGAATGGGTTACTCAACGTGTGCGGAGATGCCGTTGGAGATGTTCCAGGCGCGCAAACGGCCGGCTACAGTACTCGCAAGTCAAATTCTTGCGGTTCGCGGGGGCGCGCTTTTTCTTCACCCGGCCCTGAGCAGCGCGAGTGTCGTCCATTATTATCCGGCGACGAAAATCCCTTGTCCAGACCCCCAGCTTCCCCTGCAGTTCGGGCGGAGAACCTGCGATGCCATGAGGGGGTCCGGGCGGAGGTGAGGTCGGGCGTCGGTCACGTGCGGGTTGGGCAGGTGCGGGGAACCAAATGTCGTCAAAGAAAACGACGACGACACGACGCGCGGGCGCGCGCACCGCGGGAGAGCGCGAAGGCAGCCTTCGGGCCTGCGCCTCTGGAGCATTCCGTTTGGTGGAAGCTCTGAGTTTTTGTCTCTGCACCGCCATTCGTGGCAACAGCTAGCTATCTAACTGTGACTAACTACGTGTGGGGCCACAGGCGTTATCGTTCTTACTTTAGCGATTGGCCTCCAAAAGTGATATAGTTAAGCGAGAAAACGAAGAGGCTGTTGGGCGTGTCCACCATCACGATGATGTGCCCAAAGTGCCCCCTAATCCTCTATCTGCTACCTGGTTTTCATCCAGGGCCCATGGGGGGAACAGCCCCCTAAGCTAATGAGCCCCCGGAGCACCCCGCGACTGTTTGAAACGTCAAGAAACGTCGGACATAAGGGATGTCTCGCGCAAATACGTCACCAGCCCAAGGAGGGCGCATTCGCCTCTTCTCAGGTATCTAGCCCGGATGCGTAGCCTTCGATCGCAAATTGCTTGTGGACCAAAAAAAATAGCCCGTGGTGCGGCGATTGTTTAGGGTGTTCCGGTGAGCCGACGCAGCAGTCCGTGATTTGGATAACATTCCAGAGTGGTTTTAGCGATAAAACCGTAGTTGTTTCGAGAACAATGTCACCCTCCTTCCCGGGCGGTGAAGAGCGGAGGAGTGCCCCGACCGAGGAGGAGTGAGGCCTTATGAGCAGGCGTGCGGCCGGTGCTAAGCTTCAGGTTGGCAAGCAATTGTGGGCCAATTGAAACAACGCGTCGCTCGAAGAAATAAAATAATATTAATAGCTACTCCGTACCTAGCTGCGCAACAGAGTGGATAACCAGTGTTTGGAGTGTCGGCAATCTAACTACTAACTGCTCCATAAAGCAAGCTAGATCTTGAACGTCCAACATTCCCCGCGAACCTTGCGGCGTTGTGTTAGAGGTCCAAAAGCAGGACGAGCATAATCTGGTTTTCGGACTCAAAGCAATGCTTATAATGGACCCCCGCATTGCTTGTTGGGCTGACATATGTTCAAAGCCATGTGCTTGTTACATGCTGTACACAGCTTTGTGCGGATTGTCTGTCTCGGTTAAATGGTTCTCCTGTGCATAACGATTTAAGCATCCATCATTCAATGATCGTCTTCGGGCTATAGGGCTTCTGATATTGTCCGATGTGAAGCTGGTGGAGCGCACTCTAAACAGCCCAGCTATACTATTATTATTATTGAGGGTATTAATAGTATGGGATACAACCTTCTGGCATGTCGGGGATTTCATTTTATTTTCCTTCGCGAAGGCCGGAGTACTTCCACGGAGAATAGGAAGGGAGTAAACTCACTCATGGATTGTTCCGGGAGCTTCAAGGATGCTCCAGCGCTGCCCAGGCCGAGGGTCTTCCTCCGGGACACGCGCGGTGTCTTGGGATGAAATCCACCGCCTGTCAGTTCATGCGGGCGGTCTGGCAGCGCGCGCAGTGCTAACTCTGTGCGACGCGGCATGAAGCAGCCGTGCAGATGCCACGCCGGTCCTGCTTCTCCAGGCCACAGACAGGGCAGCATTGATGGGTGGTCGCGGTCTGACAGCTGAAGAGCTTAGTGTAACTGCTCGCCAGATCCGACGCACATCGCATGACCGGGCCTCACAAACGCGCTAAGCCGACGGGATTATCCTTGCCGGCGGGAGAGACAGCTGGTTTAGTATGCGAGAAGGGACCGTTTGACTCACCGTCGACCAGCCCGGCGGTGCATGATGGGATGCTAGGTTCTTTTTGCGCCGACCGCCCCCTGAGCGCATGAATGCGGCGGGTTAGTTCATGCAAACGCGTGCAGGGCCCCCGGGATATGCCCGTCCAGCGATCTGGGAGGGAGGAGGATGCTCTGTCTGAGGCCGGCCGGGAGGCTGGCTGGGGAGGGCATCGGCAGTAGCCCTGTGCGCCCTGTTTTGCGGTCGGGCACAGGACGGCGGAGATCAGGCAGAGCGGCACGGCCTCCAGGGTGTGCTCAGCGGGCGGGCGGCGATCCACGGCGGATGTTTCTGACAAGAAACACCAGGCGAATCCGCCGCGCGTGTGAGGAAGATCGGAGCGATTTCATGCGGCCGTTTGCTCTGCTGGGCCCAATATTTCTGTAACGACGTATGATGTCACGGCCGCGTGGGTTTCCTTGTTTTTGCGTGTAGTTAGTTCGCCGACGACAATAATAATAATCAGAATAATTTGGAAAAGGACACGAACAGGCTGTAGCAGCTCCAGCCCGTTGCATGAAACTCGTTTCAGCGCGCGCGCAGGCCGCCTCGGGCCAGCAAACAAACGCGCGGTGGCCGCCGCGAGCGCTCAAAGAGAATGCGCTCAGCAAAGCCACGCAAAGCCACCGGCGGCGCGCCCGAGGCCTGGCGGCTGGTCCACCTTCTCTCGTATCGCATGAGTTCGATGAGCGCAGGCGTTGTCTGAGGCGAGAACAAAGCCGCCGCCGTCGCCCAGCCCCGGTCTGTAACAGCCTAGGGGCGTTGAGTTTCGGAGCCCAGCGCGGGCCCGCACTAGGTACTGACTTCTTCGCCCACGCCCACGCCCGCTGCAGCCAACGCTCGCCCAGCCCAGCCCAGCGCCGTGCTCGCCAGCTCCCGCTGCTATCTGTCTGTCTGCCTGTCTGCCTACTGCGCTGTGTCTGGCGGGCTGTCGCTTGCTGGCCAGCTTCAACCTCACTAGCCACTACTACTGCTACTCCCGTCGTTTCCGTCCCCCGCCCACTTGAAACTCCGCTGTTGTCGGTGGGTGGGACAGCGAGGCCGCCCTTTTTTACACTTTCCTGTCGAGCCCCGTCCAGGGTTCATATGAAACACACCTCCCTCCGACCGCAGAGCCAAACTATTTTGATCCTGAAGGGGAGCCAAAAGTCTCGTCGTGTCCTCCGTCGCGTTCCTCGCATTTTTTTTTTTTCGTTTCTCGTCTGCCGGCTTTTGTTTCGCGTCGCCCTCGCACCCCGGCTGCTCCCAGCAATAAAGCCGCTCCCGGGCCGGGATAAGAACCAATTCTGCCGTTCGGATTCCCGTCCACTGCCCTTCTACCCTCCCGGACTCTCTTGTGTAAGCCCTTCGGTAGCGTGTTGCCTGGTGTTGTGAAAGAACCGCTGCTCAGGTGTTATGTCCAGAAATACTCCCACCAAACCCTCTCTCGCGACCCCAGCAGCTCCAAGATGATAGAACCCTGGCCTGCATGCTGCTCTGCTTGAATCTTCTCGTTGATTTACGCCCTTTCCAGTCTCGCGTTCGACTGTCCACCGTTTTCCATTGCCATTTTCTGCTTCAAACGTGACCATGTTGAGTGCCCAGAGCCCCTATTCGTCGACTTTGTCGTCAGGACCGGTGCCCTCGTCAGCGACAACAACGATACCGTCCTACCTGACCTTGCCGGCTAAAAAGCCGTCCGGTTCAGTGTTAACGCGTGAAGGCGTGTTTTCCAGCCCCACCGAGTCTGAATTTTCTGATGGCTGCGACACTTTCGACTCTGTTCGGTAAGCTCTCGACTCGATAGCTACAGCTGCTCTACCCTGGTCATGAGCTTATGTGAATGTGCATTAGGGCCTGGGATGAGAAAAAAGTAATTGACTGGCTACATACCATCCGCTGCGGACAGTATGAAGCCATATTCAAAGGTGATTTTTCCTCACTTAAAATTTTATTTTCAGATCCAACGTGCTGACAAAAATTGCTACTGCGTAGCGAACCACTTCAATGGCGATAATTTACTCGATTGTGACCAGAAAATACTACAAGAAATGGGGATTAAGAAAGTCGGTGACCGGGTGCGTATCTTTGTTGCTGTCAAGCAATTAAGAAACAAAACTGTATCAAGTCGCAAAAAGAAAAATAGAGTAAGTGGTTTCGACTGGCCCCATACTCGATTCCATTCTTACCATTTTGGCTAGGATTCTTTTATCGCATTAGACGCGTCGAAATTCACACCGTCTTCTTCGGAATCACCGCGCCCAACTACCGCTCGTCAACAATCTGGTGGAGGCCGCCAGTGGCTTCGCCAGGAAAATGGAAAGGCCTCACCGAGACCCTCTTCCCCTCTCACCGAGCAGGATCGTGGATTACGACCATATCGCTATGCTGGTTCCAGCCCAGTAGAGAGCACTCGACGAGAGCCAGCACCTAGTATAGCTCGTCCGTCTGATACTGCACAAGCACCAAGGACTGCTGCACATATGAGACAAACCCCCAGTATCGATGGGCTTACAATGAGCTCTCTACCCCCGAATTCGCCTGTCATCCGAGTTATATACACTGGGGGACAGACTAAAGTGCTGAATGTCAAGCATTGCAAAACCGCAGATGACATAATGCTCGCTGTTCTGAGGAAGCTTTTATTGCCCGAAAGTCATTTTCGGAACTACTGCTTCTATGTTTTGGACGGCCTAGATCCCAACCCTGCAAATTGCAGGCGAATATCCGACGCAGAGTTGCTGCAAATATGTGACGGATCTGGTCGAGCGGAACGCGGTCGTTTGATGTTAAGAAAGCTACACGCTGGAGAGCCTGAAGCTGAGGAACTTCAGCGATCAGCTCAACTTGCAGTTGATGAGAGCCAGGTTGCCCATATGAATGCTTTGAGCTCCAGCAATGTGAGAAATCAAATCAAGCTCCAAAAGCTAACGGGCGAATCTTGGCACAATATCCGACAGCCTAGATCGCCGTTGACGGCCACGGATCGTCAAAAAGACGAGTTCCCCAAGCCAGCCGCGACCAGCCGAACGACCGATGCCCAACAAGGCCCGAAACTTCGCTCGTTTTTCGGTGCTCGACCACCCAGTGAAATGATTATTCATGAATTGACGTCATATTTCCCTAGCCATCAAAAAGAAGATATTGAAAAGACGATGCGCTTGTCAGTCCGGAGATCACAGCGGCTCAGCCGTGCTGCCAGCCGCTTGAGTGTGGTTAGCAATATTAGCCTGGCTTCCAGTCTGAAGGATGCGCCGCCTATTCCTAGCATTGCGGATACATGGTTGGCGGGAGCTGGACAGCAAGCCCGTGCGGCGAGGCCTCTTTCTGTTTCCAGATTCAATCTCCCTCAGATTTCTTTCCGTGACTCGATAGCGTCATCCAACCTACAGCCTCTACAAGAAGAGTCGCCTGTAGAACCAAATCGCAAGTCCTATGTGTCATTTGACAGTGCATCCGAAGCCCCTGGTGCAGAAACTAGGCCCGGATTCCTCGAGGAATCTGCTAGTGTTGCTGCCACAGATGGCGGCTCACTGAACGAACGATTGAGCATGCTGGTTGCTGAAGACGGTGAAGAGAACGATGACGGACTCGCTGATTTCCTTGCTGGAAACAATTTCAGCAATAGAAACTGGATGAAAGGTTCTCTCATCGGCGAGGGCTCTTTTGGCAGTGTCTTCCTCGCCCTTCATGCTATTACTGGCGAGCTTATGGCTGTGAAACAAGTCGAACTTCCGTCCGCTACGAAAGGAACAGAATTCGACAAGAGAAAAACGAGCATGGTTAATGCTCTAAAACATGAAATCGGCCTCCTGCAAGGTCTCCAGCATTCGAATATTGTGCAGTACCTTGGTACTTCAACTGATGATCAACACCTGAATATTTTCCTGGAATACGTGCCAGGAGGTTCCATTGCAACTATGCTTAAGCAGTATAATACGTTCCAGGAACCGTTGATTAGAAATTTCGTCAGGCAAATTCTCTCAGGCCTATCATACCTTCACAGCCGCGACATCATTCACCGTGACATCAAAGGTGCAAATGTTCTAGTCGACAACAAGGGCCAAATCAAAATCTCAGATTTCGGCATATCCAAACGCGTGGAAGCATCAACCATGCTTGGGGCCAGCTCTGGACACCTGCACCGCCCTTCGCTGCAAGGAAGTGTGTACTGGATGGCGCCTGAGGTCGTCCGCCAGACTGCACATACGAAAAAGGCAGACATCTGGAGTCTTGGATGCCTTGTTGTCGAAATGTTCATCGGCGCGCACCCCTTCCCTGACTGTAGTCAGCTACAGGCCATCTTCGCCATTGGAAATAATCGAGCTCGGCCGCCACCGCCAGAGAACGCTAGCAAGGACGCCATGGCTTTCTTAGATATGACATTTGAGCTTGATCATGAAAAACGGCCCAGTGCGGATGACTTGTTGAATAACCCTTTCTTAGGAGCTATGATTGCTTGATGGTTTTACTTCCATACTACACATACATCTATAACTCGTGTTCATGGCTGCGATGCCGCAACATGTCTACATCCGTCTCCTGATTCTTTAGTTTTTGTCTCGCATTTAGCCCTCGCTATTTATCGATTTATGAAGTCACGGATTTCTTAATGAGCTTGAATCATCTCCTTTTTTGCCCTACCCTTTACATGTGGAGTCCAATCCCCGGGTTGGTTTGGTTACCCATTGTTTTCTTCTGCAGCTTGCTGCCTGCTGAGAGCCCGTTTTGATAATGCCTGATCAGCTTTGTACGTACGAATATTTCGTTTCTGGTAACGGCTTTTTTCAACAAATACACCTCACTCATGACATATGAACCTCAGCTTCACAATAAATTGGAAATTATTGAATATTTTACAGGAAAACTTTATGGACTCCATGTGAGATTCTATAATACACGCTGTATGAATGGAAGCCAATTGCTGCTCGGCTACCCCGTATTGGGAGCCAAATCCCAATATAGGCTCAGGATTGACTAGGCCAAAAATGCACATCCAGAGGAGCTACAGGAGCTCAGACTGGGACTTTTAGTTCACAAATTTTCCGTAGAATGGAATTCCCATAGCGCTAAGTAGAAGTCTGGCGTCCTTGTCCATGCGAGCGGAGGTGTGGATGGTGATGTGGCAACCTGGAATCATTTTTGGTGGATACCTGAAAAACATGAATGCATTAGCATCGGCTGGCAAATTTCAATAAAGCTCAATGAAGGGGAAACTCACATATCATAATTCACCTCGATTTCGGGAAATAAAGCGACAACCTGCGGGTCCAGCCCAAGTGTGATGTTGCCGCTGCTATCACCACTACTGCCTTTGACACCCTTCCAGTCCTTGATCCTCGGCATAACCACATCGACAAGCTTTCCGAAGAAGTGGTACATATTCTCTCCACGGAGTTCCGCAGTCACGGAGACAAAATTCTTGCCAGGAGTGATGCCCCATTTCGGCACACTGCTTCTGGACGTGTGGGTCTCGGCTCTGACATTAGTGATAGCCTGTATAACCATGCCGCCGACGTGTAAGGGGGCCGAGCCGCTGGATATGGCTTCTTTGATGTAGCTGTGGACGGTGATTTTCTCGAGTTTCGGTATGTTCCTGAAAGTAATTGGTTTGCGGAGAAGACGGAGGACATCGCCACCTCTGGGCCCGCGGAGCGATCTATTTTTGTGATACGGTGAACTGTCGCCCCATGACCGAAGCCGCTCGGACTTGGGTGGTGGTGTGAACCCGGGTGGGTTGTGAACGTAGCAAAGGGTGAGGATGTCGGGGGCGATCGTCGATTCATATGTCTGTTCGACGCGAGAGTTGCTGAAGGGGCCTGGAACGAAAAGACGGGACGATGGATCCCATTCTGGAGGAGGTCTATGGGGGTGAAGAGGGCCCTTGTCGTATTTTGGGGAGCGGAATTGGTAGCTGAGAAGTGTGAGTACTTAACACAAGGCCAAAAAGGCATACTCAAACAACCTACCGACTACGAGGCAGCTGTTGCCTTCGAGCTCTGCTTCTTGCTATGGGATCAAACTTCTGGATCACGTCGGTATCTGCTTGCGAAGCTTCATAGAAGGTGGTTTCGGCCAAGTCTACTCGATCAGATGCGTTGTCGGAGACATTGCGCCGTAACGATGGTATAGGAGAATAGACTGATGTCACTAGGCGCCGAACAAACGCCTTTGAAAACTGTCCCAGAGGTTCATGGAGCGCCATCGTCCTGTTTGCGAAGCTCGCTGCCAAACACTCTCCGTTGTCGCGCCGTTTCGGTGAATTTTTTGCCAGGTTGAGTGTCACGTGGAAAGTGCAGCGCTGACAAAGAAGGTGCTGAGTCAGCCATTCTGTGGAGCCTGCCCCGCCAAGCGGTAACTTTGTTCTATTATGTCAGAGGTGGCAGCAACCTGACACACGAAGGACATGATATGATCATGAGGCTGGAGACTTTTGAGACCTGCCTCCGCCCGTTTATATCTACCGGTGGTTTCACAGCAGTATATTCGATCATTACATGTTTCTGGAATCAACGCTGCCCGGCACAAATATCGCCTGTATTCCAGCCCTGGCATCTTCGGGATGTTTTTACATCTGACGCTCACGTCATCAACCCGTTTCCTGTATGCGGGCCCCTTAGTAAAAGTACGCAATTAAAGTGCTATCTCTGCGTCATTAGAATTTGTCAGTGAGGGTCCCAGTTGCTTTCCCAACGTACCCCCATCCACTGACTGAAGCTTTGGCCTGCAGCCATCCTCGTCGTTCCCCTAATACCCACCCGCACAGCCCTGGACTATGGGTAGTAACATTCACCGGTTGCTCCCAAGAAGGGATAAATTTCTGGGCAAGGATCTTTCAGGGTGGATTCTAAAGGATACCTCAAATGTTAGTTGGCTCACATTCGCCCTCCCAACGTTTTCTGGAATTCATAAACACCACACGGCCCACTTCTATCTCCGCATATTGTAACGGGATGTTAATGCTCCTTTATTCTTCTAGGAGTCAACATCTGATTCAGTCTGGAAATTATTTTCAGCTGAGCAATATGAACCAGACAGCAATGCCTCACAGACCAAGGTGTTAAAACAGTCTGTATGTTCCTCCAAGTAGTTGGTTATAGGAGGATATTATACTCATAGAAGTTTAGATTTCTAAGCTTGAACAACGTATCTCAGCCTGCCGCGTTGCTAATATCGGGAAGCCGCAAATCCGATATGCTCTTCAATCCTATTACTCTGGGGGCGACGTGGAAAAAGCCTTTGAACTTCTTATGATTATTGAAGACTCCATTGGGGGCATTCTTAGGACGTATCGACCCAGTACGAAACTCCTAGGGGCCGAAAATAGAAAAGGCGTTACATGCTATCTTGATGCACTTCTTTTTGCGATGTTTGCGCGCCTCGACTTCTTTGAGGGTGTTCTCTACAACACTTTCGATGATGAGCCTCGAAGAAATTTAGTGATTTTTTTACGCTTTTGGGTAAACATGTTACGCTCTGGGAAACTGATTACTACCGATATAGTGCGTATCCTTTCTGTTTCATTCATCCTATCTACGTACCTGTCGCCTTTAACGTTATACTGATACATTTTTAGACAAAGCAGCTTCAAGGGATACTGGCAGCATGCGGCTGGGCTGGCGCAGCTCAATTAAAACAACAGGATGTCTCGGAGGCATTTTCCTTTATAACAGAGAAGCTAGAGCTACCACTGATCACGTTGAAGATGGATATTTTTCACACAGGTAAGGAGGAGGCGGGTGATGATCATAAATTTGTGAATGAGCGTCTTTTAGAGGTTGCAATACCCCCATGCCTTGATGATAGGCCAATCACTCTCGAAGAATGCTTGGAGGCATATTTTAATAACCGCGTCGAGGTCAAGCGGTTTCTCAACCGCCAAAATACTTTACGGTCCATTTCATCCATGGATTCCCTGAGCAAATGCGGTGCAGATCACATTGAAATAGCGGAACCCGACTCCTGCCCTGCCTCACCCTCTCATTTTTCCCAATTCCCTACTCTTTCAGAAGAGAGACCTTTATCACCGGAGACACCAACTACTCCACGAAAGCAGCCGAGAGCACGTCGTACCGCTAGCATTTTTCGAGAACGTTTCATCCCAGATTCTGTCACTGTCAATAATAAGGCCGAAGGACACGGTGCGGGACCAGCCAATCGATACAGGAAAGGCAGCATACGAAAGGAGGTATTGATGCCTGCATGGCAAATTTTCAGTCTTATTCGTAAGTAGCTCTCTTCTTTGGCAGGAATTTGCATTTAATCTTCGTAGCTTGGTATACCGATGGCCTCCCTACCAATGACGCAGAGACCGCTTCACATTTTTCGACGAAGCGGCCGATTCTAGGAATTTGCCTAAAACGATACTCTGTACTCCCAAATGGAACGACCGTTCGCCTCGATACCTACATAGATATTCCTACAGAAATAGGCCTACCTCATTTTATCAAAGACGATAACTTGGAAGAAGACGCTCCTTTGTACGGAAATTTCAAACTTTCCTTGCAGGCTGTGATTTGCCATCAAGGGAATTCCGTTGATTCTGGCCATTACATCTCTCTCGTTAGAGGCTCCTCATTAGTGGATTCTAATACCTCCTCGAACGATAGTTCACTAAGCGACGATTCGTTTCCAGATAATATCAACAATTACTGGCTACGCTTCGATGATATTGCCCAAGAGCGTATTACTGTTGTCGATATTGAGAAAGCCCTAAAAGATGAATCTCCATATCTTTTGTTCTATCAAATACTCCCAATAAACGCTGATCCGGCGGACCTCGTTCCACCGCCTTACGAAGAGTCCAATGGCTATGGCGGCGTGCTCCTGGAAAAAGGGATATATGAAAATTCAGAGGCCACTTCAGCGACTGAATTACAAGAACAAGTATCAGCAAAATCTTCAGTTGAATATAGCAAAAAACTGCTGGAACCGCCAATTGAGACGGATATGAATGGAACTCCCGATAAGTCTCGATCTTCCAGAAACAAATCCAGGTCACGCAGTAGGCCTGCTTCATCGGACAATAAATTCTTTTCCTATTTATCACGTAGGAAGAGCACAGAGCCCCTCTCTAGACGGAGCATTGAACATATGAACAATGTCGAAAAACGGCATTCAGCGGATATTCCTGTCGAGAATGAGAGAGTCTCCCGATCAATAACTCTAAAAAGGGCAACACGGCCTGATAGAGAATGTGTGGTAATGTGATAAATTTGCTGTGTCTAGAGCTCTCAGTTTTATGATACCCTTGCAAGTATTGGATTGGTCTCCTTTTTGATGCAGTTTAACCTTGGAGTATAGAGCATGTGCATACATAACATACATTTTTGCATTGTGGAGTTATGAAATACCCATTCGCAGGAGAATAAAGGCGTACTAAATTTCAGTTCCAGTGCCTCCATTGATTGGACTCCTAAATTTCATGTTCATACCCCCTAATTTCAGAGAAGCTATATGGATTTCTTTTTGAATGTTTGCAACGGTCTGTTAAATGGGAGGTCATTCACGAATATCACTCGGAGACAAAACACCTATAGTTATTCAGGACCACATAAGGGTTTCCCAAATTGAACCAGATTACTACTTACCGAGATATATGTACTTCGTATGGTTCTAGCTATTTATAGCACTGTGCTCCTTGCAACCATATTGCTTTTGCCAACATCGAGTTCGTGATTGGGGGGCATCCCTGGTTTTACCCTCATTATTTATACAGTAAAAAATGCCATCGAACTGCTTAGCATCATTTTACGTTAAAATTTACTTATAATTCTTTTGGAAAGAAAAATAATGCGGATTTTACCTCTACTCAGGGGACGTACCGTAACCCTGGAGGAAGCCCTTCTCGAAGATGACCACATTTTGCATCATTTGGAGCACCCCAAGAAGAAGGAGAAGTTTTGGGAGCTGTTGGGCACTCACAAAAGTGACATTGAAGAAGCTGTTAAATTCCATCTCCGTATCGAGGGTTGCTGTGTTACAGAAGAAAAAGAATGGCAGTCTGGCAGCTTTAACGTTGTTATTCCCGTAATCCTCAGCCCACCTTCTGAAGAGCGAGTAATGATTCGAATTCCTTTACCATATAAGATCGGAGGGGAGCTAAACCCTGGAAATGTGGAGAAGCTACGAGGTGAGGTAGCAACATACATTTGGATCCATGAGAATTGCCCCACCGTTCCTATCCCAACTCTGCATGGTTTTGCGTTTCTTGACGGAACAACTGTGCGTGACTTTTATTTTTTATTGTTTTTCATTACTCTGCAAAGCACTGTTTAGTTAACTTCATAGCCTAGTTTGCGGAGCCATCTTGCGTATCTTTTGCCGAACATCTTCAATGGTACTCAAATCGTACCGTACCTTCAGGCTCACTCAAGGCTGCCAGCATCTTGCCCATATGTGAAATTAAAGCATCTAAGCCCAATCAAGACTGGATACATGATTATAAGCTATGTGAAAACCGGCCGTATTCTGTCCGGGGATTGGAAGTCCATTTTGCATGATACCTCACGGCGGCGGACACTTTTTAATGACCTTGGTAGAATAATGGTTGCGCTGAACAGCATTCCGCTACCTCGAATTGGCTCTCTCTCCATGAATAATGACGGTGTTATTGATGTAACGAATCGACCTCTGACACTTCGACTTCACACAATGGAAAATGAAGGCATTCCAATAATCCCGCGGGTTTCAACTTATGAGTCTATAGAACCATATCTTCTGGACTTCTTACAATGTCATGACAACCGCATTCATTACCAGCCCAATGCCGTTCATGATCATAACGATGGGATAATGCAATGCTCTTCTTTGGTCATGATGCGTGGTGTCATGCATCAATATCTATCCCGTCAGCACCGCAATGGGCCGTTTCTGCTGACACTAACAGATCTCCACGCAAGCAACATATTTGTGGATGAGGACTGGCACATTACTTCTCTCATTGACTTGGAATGGGCTTGCTCGTTCCCAGTTGAGATGCAAATACCTCCTTACTGGATCACTTGCCAGGCTATTGACTTGATGGGAAGCAAAGAGCAACTTGAGGAATTCACTGCGGTAATCACGGAATTTATGGACACCTTCGAAGAGTAAGAGAAAATGTTTCGAGGTGCCGATGCAACCCAGGCAAAAATTATGAAAAATTGCTGGGAAAACGGGAGCTACTGGTATTTTCTAGCAGTCCATAGCCCGAAGGGATTGTGGCGTGTGTTCAGAGACCATATCCAGCGCCGCTTTTGTGAAGAACACCTCACTGAGCCTCTATTTGACCATATTGTTGCCCCGTACTGGGCTGTAGGTACACAGGAACTGATTAAGAAGAAAGTGGCAGACGATGTTGAGTATCACAAACAAGCTGAGGATGCGATTTGGGGAAGGTGACGCTTAGTCATAGTGAGTGAACTTTATTGGGAGAGTGACTGGCTAGTTTCTTGGCAGAGCGTCACGAGTGGCTGTTGGCTCGAGGAGCTTCACGCAGTGCTCTGACAAGTACCTGGAAGTTTCTCGCAATGCTATGACTTTGCAATTCGGCGCATAATGGCGCTGGATGGGTCTAATGGCTATGTTGCCTCCAGTAACCTGGCGAAGCTAACCGAGCCCGCGTTGCCGATTTTCAGCGTCGAACGAGTCCAGCTCGCCTTCTCAGTCGCCGCGGATTTCGTCGCTGCGCAAGTTGCTAATAATGTTGTGATCCTTGCACTGGCTACCGGACGAATTTTGAGGATTGACTTGAATAATCCTGAGGATATTGATGGTCAGACCCTTTCCCTCTGATTTCAGCCATAATCAACATCCAATGCTAACACGGTTGCCCTCCAGATATCGACTTGCCTAAGAAATCTTCTGAGATTGGCATTATTCGTCGCATGTTCCTTGATCCATCCGCTTCACATCTCATAATAACCACTACTCTCGGCGAAAACTACTACCTCCATACTCAATCGAGGCAACCTAAGCATCTCCCAAGATTAAAAGGCGTGTCTATTGAATCAGTAGCATGGAACCCCGCGCAACCTACAGCATCAACGAGGGAAATATTAGTTGGTGCAGCAGATGGGAATATCTACGAAGTATATATTGAACCAACAACGGAGTTCTACCGCAGAGATGAAAAATATGTCCATTCAGTATACAAGCTACCCGGCACTGCGGCAACTGGCCTCTGGGTAGACTTTGTTGCTGGCAAGCAAGACCTACGCCATATCCTGGTATCTTCGAATGGGAGAATCCTCTATTTCAGGGGGAAAACAAGTAGACATGGGAAGGAGGGAGGTAGTTCGTTATATGCGGATTTATTCCAGAGAGAAAGTCCACTAGTCCATGAGCTTAGCTCAGCATCTTTGTCCGCCCCCTGTGTACTGGCAGTACAACCGGATGCCTCCGAGGAAGCATATGGCAATGAATTATTTAGCCAGAAACACTTTGCGTGGTTATCCGCCCAAGGAATCTATCATGGTGGTGTTTTAAACTCATCCTCCCATCCAGAAGTCGGAAACCGGGTTTTTGAAACAGCGAAAATGATTCCTCGATCCGACCTACCCGCTACAGAGTCCGCGAGAGGCGGTAAAAAACTCATTCAGGATCCAGTGATGGGAATGACCCTATCACAATGGCATATACTTACTCTTGTTGAAGGGCGTATTATTGCCATCAACCGGTTGAACGGTGAAATTGTATACGACCAAGCTGTACTTGAACCAGGCGAGAGTTCCCTGGGCCTAGTTTCGGATTTAAAGAAGAACACCTACTGGTTGTTTACTGGACAAGAGATATTCGAAATTCGTGCAAACGACGAAGACAGAGATCTTTGGAGAATATTTCTTAGTGAGCAACAGTTTGATGCAGCCCTACGATATGCCCACGGTTTAGCCCAGAAAGATGCCGTTGCTACTGCCTCTGGCGACTTTCTAGCCAGCCAAGGCCAGTATCTTGAAGCTGCGCAGGTTTGGGGCAAGAGTAGTAAGCCCTTCGAGGAAGTATGTCTGACTTTCATCAACAAAGGAGAAACAAACGCTCTGCGCAAATATCTCTTAACCCAGATGACGACGTATAAGAAATCGTCTACTATGCAACGGACAATGATAGCTAGCTGGCTTATTGAAGTATTCATCTCGAAACTAAACGCCCTTGATGATGCTGTCCTGACCAAAGCAGAACTGGCGGAGGGATCTAGCGTAGTAGATACGAAGGAGCAGCTTCGAACAGTCAAATCCGAATTTCAAGCCTTTGTGACAAAGTACAAAGCTGACCTTGATCACAAAACCGTTTATGATATCATTGGCAGCCATGGTCGCGAAGAAGAATTATTGTACTTTGCGATTGCGGTTAACGACCACAGTTTTGTCTTATCCTACTGGATCCAGCGTGAGAAGTGGGCTGAGGCTCTGGACGTACTCAAAAAGCAGACAGACCCGGATGTTTTCTACAAATACAGCAGCGTATTAATGACACACGTTGCCACGGAGTTTGTAGATATCTTAATGAGACAAACAAACCTCGACCCCCAAAAAATCATTCCAGCGCTTCTCAGTTACAATAAGGAGACAAAAGTACCTCTTTCGCAAAATCAGGCCGTTCGATACACTAACTTTATTATCGCAAATCATCCTGACCCTTCGGCAGCAGTTCATAATACTCTAATATCTATATATGCCTCCCATCCTTCACGATCCGAAGCAGCTCTTCTCTCATACCTAGAGTCTCAGCCGATATCTCCACCTCCTTATGATGCAGATTTTGCTCTCCGCCTGTGCATCCAGCACGGCCGTGTGCAATCGTGCGTCCATATCTACAGCATGATGGGTCAATACTTCGAGGCCGTGCAGCTTGCTCTGAAACATGATGACATTGAACTTGGTGCCCTTGTTGCCGATCGACCAGAAGGCAATAACAAGCTTCGCAAGAAACTGTGGCTTCTGGTTGCGGAGAAGAAAATCCATCAGCCTGGCACCGGGATCAAAGATGCTATTGAATTTCTCCGCCGTTGCGAACTTCTACGAATTGAAGATCTCATTCCGTTTTTCCCTGATTTCGTGGTGATCGATGACTTCAAAGACGAGATCTGCACCGCTTTAGAGGACTACTCACGTCATATCGATTCTCTCAGGCAGGAGATGGATAATTCGGCCCATGTTGCTGATCAAATTAGAAGGGAGATTGCGGCACTAGGAACGCGATACGCAATCGTGGAACCGGGTGAAAAATGTTGGATATGCTCCATGCCCGTTCTCAGTAGACAATTTTTTGTATTCCCTTGCCAGCATGCGTTCCATAGCGATTGCTTAGGAAAGAAAGTGATGGGCGCCGCTGGTGCAGGGAAGAGGAAGCATATCAAGGATTTACAGGCAGAGATGAGCAAGGGAACCAACACTGCTCCGAGAAGAGAGCAAGTCATTCGTGAATTGGATGGCATGATTGCAGAGGCTTGGTAAGTTCTTTACCCTTAGGTTTACCTTTTTTACCTTTTGAGAAGCTGACAGTTTTCTGAATAGCATTTTGTGTGGTGATTATGCGATTAAGCAAATCGATGAGCCATTTATTGGCCCATCGGATGATAGGAATGAGTGGGCATTATGAAGACGAAGCTACATTTATCTCTTCGCAGGCTCGCACATAGACGTCTATCTTGTTCGGGGAAACAACGCCCAATGATGGAAGACCTCACGACCCCATTAATCTTTTATCAGAGTCTCCCGAAATTCTTGTAATGACGCAGAAACTTAGTAGAGTGGCCCAAAGTGAAGCAGACACGAGCTTTAGCCAAGTTAAACCTCATGCTCAATATCCGCTACACGGGGAACCCTGTCAACCCTGACCCTTGCAAACGCGGCAACAAGATCGATCTTCGTCCAATCTGTTAGCAGGACACTGAGAAATGACGCAAAAAAGAGGAGATCATCAAGAAGGGAAAAAGGAAAGCTTCTCCAAACAACGTACACACTGGTGGATGGTCTCCACATCCTCCATGGCCACCCCCACTCTTCGTATTCCTCTGAGGTGCCAGTGCGATTCGTTTTTCATGTTTTGCACCACCAGGCTGGAGAGAACAACAAGCTCGGTCTCGATGTCATTAATGATCGAGTGGTCGGAGAGGTATAGGCCATATGAAATCTGGTAGGAAAGCCAGAGAAAGTCTTGGTGCGAGCCTAGCACGTCTGCGATGCGGTTGATATTATTTCCATAGAGGCGGTCGAGCCAGGCTTTGCCACGGGCGTACGTCTCAGGGCCGGATTGCCAGTTTTCTCTAGAACAGAATAATGAGGACTAATTTTCTAATCGTTGCCTTTCAAAGTTGATTGTTCGTAGTGCTCCGTAGAGTATGCCCTTGTATGGATCAAGAATGGAATTGACAAACCTTGAAAATGACAAATCCCTATCCTCCGGCCTCTCAATCTGCGAGAGGCCGAAGATGACCTCCAGCGGACGAGCAACGCCTATGGTACACACAGTTTTGAACAGTGCTTCTCGCAGTCGCCGGACGAGTCGCTGGCGGGACTCCGGCGTGGAGTATTCCGGCTTCGAGATGAGATACGTGTACAGCTGGACGGCAGCTTCGGTCTGGTTGGCAGAGACCAGAGCAGTGATCTAGGTTTCCCCCATGGCACGAATTACTTTAGCGCCCTCTGGTTTGAGATGGTACAGTTGAGGGGTCGCGTGTGCACTGTGGGCTGAAGATCATTGTTCCAAGGAGCGGGGGAAGAGAACAGTGCGCCATGGACGAGGGGGAAAGCCTACGGGAATTAGATACCAGCTATTCTGGCCCAGGCTGGCGGAGGGGAATTTTTCCTCGAGGGCTTCGAATAAGCAATTTGCTTCTTCGGGAGTCCTCTCCGGCGGATAGGCGTGCTCCGTGCTCGAACGAGACATGGTGTGGCTCGCGGGCGGTTAACTGAAACACGGCCGTGCGAAGGTGATGCTAGTATCCGGGTAGGGATTTCTGGGCAGTGGTGAGGTGGCCGTTGGGGGCGACGGGTACGCTGCGGAGGTGTAACTATCCTGAGGCACGGGAGGTTCTGGGACCAGTAGATGCGGGATGGATGGCTATGGTGGTGGGACTTGCAGACCCTTTAAACTAGCAAGGTCGGCAGGGAGAATATATTCGGACATTTCGACAGCTACGCAGCAGATGGCGATATCACCGGTGAGAGGCCAACTGTACCACAGCGGCAACTTAGCGCCGCTTGATAACAGCTGTCTGGAGCTGATTCTTCTACACTTGTCCGTAGAGCATTGTCGCAGGTTCAGCTTTGGCAAGATACCGCTGTCCGCAGCTGAAAACATGGTATACTTGAAACTGGAAAGTCTGCTGGTTTCTATGGTCTTACCCAAAGTCGTGCTCGACTGCATATGGCCGAGCATTCCTCCTACGGGCACCTGCTGGTATCTTGTGGCCTTGGTTTCATCAGGAATTCATCCGGGGCCCGTGAGTGCATTCATTCATAGGAAATACGATACGTGCTACGTTACTCGACACGAGAGGGGATGACGACGACCGTACGTCTATATGTGCATATCTTGATGCCATTGAAAGCCAAGCCGGGTTGGGATCATCGGTGGTATACCGAACACCGGTGCTTGTAAAAAGAAATCACGCAAATAATATCCCGAACTAGGGAAAATCTCGAAAAAACGACAAATAACGTGCGCGCGTTTTGCTGCAGTCCACAGGAGATGTAGTACATTTTGTGAACTTAAGGAGGGTGTTCCAGTTTTGAAAGAAGCTATACTTGGCCCGACTGGAGCTTTGACTGGGTGCGACAACAGCTATTTGTGAGAAGTTGAATCTATTCAATTCTTAGAGTGTGGCGGGGAACAAAGCATTTGGTCCTATCGGATACCGAGCCATTTCTTCATATAGCAGATATCAAAGGGTAGCCTTGTGTTCCAGATGGGCTTGTAAAAATATGTGGGAGGTCAGGTGTGATTGAACAACAGTGAGACATGGATGCTATTGCACATTTCCACAACCTGGCGGGACAACGACCATAAGGTCTCTGCATTCATTTTGTGGAAAAAAGAAAGTTCTAGTCATTAATCATAGCGAGTGCAGGGTAATCAGCCAGAAACACACAATTCTACCCGGCAGTACCATTGCCGGGAAGACTGGATCAACCATGTGTTGCAACAATACATACTGCTGAAGCCCCGGGAGCATGCGAGCAACTGCAAGAAGAAAACTTGTCAGAAGGGCGGACGGGCATAGCTATTGGCGAAGCAGTCAGCATCAAGGAAAGTAAAATCAAAATCCGCAAGGATAATGAAAGAGGATGCACGAATCAACAGTCCAGAAGCGGACAATAAAGCATGCACATGCATTGTTCATTGTCTCCGATGAGGGCGGTGAAGCGGCGCGGCTTGCTGTCAAATGCACGACAGATGCGCTCCATATATCTGCAAAAAGGCTACGGTAGCGTTGTTAAATAATCCAGGGTGCAGGAGAAGTCCTGTCGCACTTCAATTCCGTGATGAAGAAACGACAGGCTTAGAAGAGAAGGGGTCTCTTGCGGCGGCCATGGCAATTACTATTCCCTTGGCTTGCAGCCAACCGGGAGAAGACCGCAAATAGTAGTAACACCGGGCCACCTAGAATAGACCAGACATTCTGTTGCAGCTGTATGCGAGCCCGATTGCGGTGGTTTCAATGGTGAGAGAGGAACGACCTGGGCCGCGGGTACTCAGATAACAGTCAGGATCCAGTGGGATGATAAGGTGGTTTGCCAACGGCGCAGGATGAGAAAACAACGCGGTAGGATCCGATCCAAGTACATACAAACGGACATATGCGCGAAACCTGAGACTGCGGAGGTATCAAGGTGGTGTACGGCCCCTTTTAGCAGCGAGCGTGTTACAGAACGATCAAGAGGACCGAATCCAAGACCAGTTTCAAGATTTTCGAGGATCAGCAGGTCGGCACGGGTTGCTCAACCGTCGAACCACTATTTTTGAGCAAGAATCATGGTCGAGGCGGTACCTGGCAACACACTCAAGCAACGCGGGCAGCCAGGTACCGGACCAGCTTATATAAGACGCGTTGATTTCTGGATGAGCGGGAGGCTGAGTCATCAAGCTTGGCCGGCGGGAAGGGGCGGCGGCGCAGCATGATTGGGCGGCCACGCTCACCACTCGTGCGCGCGGGCAGCCCTCCATCTCGCCGCTGGCGTCATGTATTTTTCGCCTGGGCCCGTCGAGAGCGGCCGCTGCTCACTTGATCTCTTCGCAGCAAAGTCTCTTTGACCACCGTGTGGATCGCTGCGCCAAGCCGCGTTCACCTAGCAGTCCACAAATCAGAACGCAGCCTGGCCTGCGAGTTTTGAAACGCGAATGACGAGTCGTCCAGCAGGGGTCACCTGCTCTATTCTTTGCTGGCAAACTCCTGCCCCCTCCCAACAAGACTCCCTGACTAGCCCCGAAACAGCTCGGACGGCCAGGATGGCAAGGGTTCAGGCGTGGAGGGAGTGGGCGCAGGACTAGTCGATTCCCAGACAAACAAAAGCTTCGCTCACTGGACGACCATGGACTGGGGCGATCCTCTTTTTCTTGTTTGTTGCAGCGGGCGGCCCATCGCTTCCCCATGTGGATTGCCCGAAACCGCTGAGCGGTTAAAAAATGCGGGGTTGGGCGAGGTTGTTTTCCGGCGAAAACACGGCTGCCTCCTGCTGGAGCTTCACGAAGGTCCTCTCCGGAGGGGGCACTCACCGCGATTCGACATCCAGTTCGTGGGTGATAGTAGGGCCGATAATGCAGGGGACACAGCCAAATGGACTGGGCGAGCTCCGGCGGGCGTGTGGACACGTAGGACTGCGTAAGGGCTTCGTATCGGGACAGGTGGCCCGAGGGTTGTCGCCATCACCGCCGGCGTTGTCATGGCCACGTTGGCGATACCTTTTCGGGACAAGCGCCGGCCGTGGCAGTAGCGGCCGCCACGCACTTCGCGCTGCTTCTAGCGCTTTCGTCCGTCCGGGTTCCACAGGTACCTGCGCGGTACTGAGAGTGACATGCCGCAGGCTGCCGGGGTTGCGTGAGCCACATGTATACCTGCGTAGCCCCCAGGTCGCGCTGGCTCCCATTCGCCCACGCCGCAGCAGCCGTCTGCACACCGCCATCCACTAGTTCGTCCAGTCATCCTCCGTCGCCCCCTTCCCTTATCACGCTGTCTGCTGCCCTTTTCCTCCGTCCATCCATCGCCATCTCTCTTTTCCTCCTCCATCTCTACCTCTCTCTCTCTCTCTCTCTCTCTCTCTTCCTTCTTTGTCTTCTATCCCCCCGTCACGCCTTCCCGTATCGCTCCGCTACACACACCCTCCAATCCTCTCCCACCTCTCCTTACGTCTTCCGCTCCCTCTACGACCGTCTCCCTCCGCTTGACCACCACCTCGCATATCGTCCCTCTCTCGTCCTAAATTTCAGGATGCTAGTGTGTTGCCAACCAGACGGATAGTTGTTAAATCTCGCAGCTCGATCTACTGCCTGGCTTGCTGATTATCCAACACACGTCCATCCTCCTGTGCCGCCTCTCCTCGGTCATTCGGTAGCTCAGTTTGTTGAAGCATACTCCGATCGCAATTATTACGAAGTCAGCATCTCGTACTTCAAGCAATTGACACACTCTCTCGACCTCTCCTTCAGTCACCCGCGGCCTTTGGTGATTGTATCAAGTGGATCCAGACAGTTGGCAGACAAGTCAGTGCTTCATTGATCGGACCTGTTTCGAAAAAGGCCACTTTGCCCTCCAATATTTCGGCCACGCTTTGTGAAGTGCCGGAAAGCAACAATATACACCTACGACGGGTTTCCACTGGACACGTTGCCATTTAGATTCGCTAGAGCACGCTTCTCCGCAAATCTTGGTCCTTTTGGCGTTTGTGACTCATAGCAGAGGTCCCGTGGACTTTGGTCCACGTTGCCTATTCTCATTTCGCCAGTCCATCCTCCAATTCAACTGCCATCGTCCATAGCTCTCCTACGACAAAAACACAGAGCGTCATCCACCTAGTGGGAACTCACGACCTGTAACGAAGCGATATTTATTTCTTTTTCCCTATTTGATCGAAAGTTCGACCCGTTCTTGTTTATATATATTTCCCTCCACTATACAAAACATTGACCAATCGAGGTCCCTTCTTTTACAGCAAACCCCAAATGCAATCATAACGATCTTTAATTTTCTTTTTCTATTTCGAGGGTAGGCCCGTCCCCTCACACGTACTCCCTACGGCGGCTTTTCCTTTGTCCTGTCTTCCCTGAATTGCATTCTATGAGCATATAAGTCAACAGTACGGTGTTTTTCTGCTTTTCTAGTTCGGGTTCGGGTTTGAGGTTGTTGTTTTTTCTATTACAGTACTCGGCCAGCGGCGGAGGCTAAGTGTTTCCATTCTCCTGAGCCTTGACATATTTAATCATTGTTCTCTCCTACCGGAACGGATTCTTTTCCCTATCCCCCTCATCCTCGACGATTATGGATTGCTTGCGGGACAAGTTTGTGCAGGGGCAGCTACTGGACGGTCGATTCCTTACGGTTACTCCCCTTAACCATGGATCCTTTGGAATGGTATTCCTTGCCCAGGATACCCTGACCGGTGAACAAGTAGCGATCAAATGCCTGACCAAGTCTACCTCATTTGATCCGTCAGCCTTGACCGTCGATGAACGCTCCGAGGAAATGCAATGCCATGCTCGTCTTGGCTACCATCCGAACATTGTCAATATGGTTCACTCCTTCGAAACACATGCCCATATCTTCTTGGTGCTCGAGTATTGCTCCATGGGCGATTTGTACGAAGCAATTCGGGTGGATAGAGGACCCTTGGAGACCGAGCACGTCCGTGATTTCATGTTTCAACTCGTTGGCGCTGTGGAATACATGCACTCTAAAGGACTATACCATCGTGATATTAAGCCCGAAAATATTTTTTTGTGCCAGGATGGGTCCATGAAACTTGGTGATTTTGGGCTCGCAACTCGTTCTAATTGGTCTTCTGAAGCGTGCGTGGGAAGTGACCGGTATATGGCTCCCGAGCAATATGAACCGACCGCTGCAGGATACGCACCTGCCCAGGCTGATATTTGGGCTATCGGAATTTGCCTTCTTAACATTTTATTTTCGAAAAATCCTTTCGTTACGCCAACGGAGTCTGATGTTCTTTTTGCCGACTATTCTCGAGACCGCCAGTCTCTCTTTGATATATTTCCAAACATGTCTCAGGATACTTTCGAGATTTTGACCCACTCTTTGGCCATTGACCCGAAAAAGCGATCTCTTTCTGCCATGCGCGCTGCTATCGTTCGTGCGGTTTCATTTACTACCGACGACGAATCCCTGGATGAGTTCTGTACCGAGGATCGAAATGTGGTTCCTGCAAGTGGATATCGTGAACCACTTCGCACGCCATCCATCCAAAGCCCTCAGATGAATCAAGACGACTCTTTTCCATGGACGAAGGCTCTCCAGACTACTCCTCAGCAAGCAGTGCGTCAATTATCTGTGATACCTGATACCGAAGTTGACTCCGAGGACCTATTTGCTACGTCTGGCGATGAAGGCATGTCATGGTATACGGGCAAGTATGGCTGTTCATCAGTCGTTTCTGGATTCGATTCACTCTTAGGCCAATCCTTGCAATACAAGACACAGCCCAGGGATTGCTACCACCAACCTGAGCTTGCTCCGGTCAGTGGTTCTCTTCCCGAACCTAGAGGTGTTCCGATTCCTTCCATGTCTATGGTCTTTGGCAAGGACGATCAAGTTTCAAAGAGCTGGAGTGATTTGTGGGATGAAGATCAAATGGAAAATGAAGCCCTTGAACTTCACAATCGTCAGGCTCACAACGCTCGTACCTGGAGCCAGGAAAGCAGCGATCTGAACGTCCAATCTCCTCGTGGCCTAGTTGAGCTTGACCCAATCTCGTCCATTCTCAATTCTCGTTCCGGTGCTTCTAACAGACAAGCCCACAACATTCCTATCCCATCTGCCAAGCAATACGGATCTGCCCCGTCACCATCTTCTACCCACTTTAGTCCATCGAAATATTCACCTTCCAAACAAACAGCCATGGATAAATGGGCAGCTTTGGGGCAGAAGAGACGCAACTATCACCCCAAAGAGCTTGAGTGTCCACAATCGAAGACAAAGTCAGCTATGAGTCGCAGCTGGCGTCGCGACACTGGTGGTAGTGTTTTCGAATCCGAAAACGAGCCTCCGGCCTGGAAGGGAATTGGCTTGAGGAATAATCGTCAACGCCAGCCGCACCATTCGCCAACACATTTGCTGAGCAAAGACTGGCGCCACGACCCGTTCCAGACAATCAAACCCAAAAAGGACGTGTGTCCCTTCTTTATTGATGATCACGGTCTCGACGAAGAGTTTGATTTTATTGGCGAGTGGCAAGACTTTCATATATGACGCTCCAAACTCCTGGTCTCTCCTTGCTTTCTTTTCTTTACGTCAAGACATCTTTTCCCAACTCCCCTCCTGCTTCGGTGATTTCTGCAGCCTGACTTTTATTTTATGATATCGACTTGTTTTGAAGCGTTTCCTATATATTAAGCCCCCATAAACCTTTTTGCGCCACTGATCTAGTGAACTTTTGTTCGGAAGTCAAATTGCTGTTTACTCTAGACTGGAGACATACGCTGGTGTGTTGTCGTCTGCATTGAAATCTGTTTGTACTATATGGCTGTCTTTTATCAAGATACACGGGACGGCACGGCGTGGTGCGGCGAAGTTGGGAGGCAGCAGCATCAAGAAGATTGGCTATCTGCTGTGGCGTTTATGATTTTGGTTTTCTCCTCCATGGCACAGCGTGTTCGAAGTTCTATATATGTTTCATTTTCATTTCTACCGCCTTTATTATTACTATTATCGCGACATCGACAGGCTTTGCAGGATTTGCTTGACAGGAGAGGCACTATACCCCGTTTGGGTTCCCATCGGAGTGAATCACGGATCAAGATCTTCAAAAGAGAGCTTGTGCCTACAGTCGCCCCTGTGGCCTTTGTACGGTAGCCACCCCTTTCACTGAGAGGAGTGGAAGGAGAGATACGACCAGAGTGGAGTTTTAGGGGAATATGCCTTTCATTCTGCCTTTTGTTTTTTGTCCAAAATTTGCTTTTTCTCGTTAATTTCTTTTCAATCGCCGATCTAAGCATTGGAAAGGGACCAAGTTCTCCTCAACAGGCTGTTTTCAGAAGCCGTCCATGTACTCTAGGCAACACTATGTTAGTTAGATGCGAGGGAAAATCGGGAATTGGAAAATGGATAGGAACATGAATGAAAGACATGTTTACCTGAATTCTTGCGAGATCTCTTAGTATCGTAAGACATCCTCCTTGTACTTCGTAGAACCTCTGGTCTGGCTTACATATCGGCGGTAGTTCATCTCGGCTTCTCACATCTGGCCAACTTGGTCTTTTGCTTGCACTGCCTCCACAACAGGCAGAGACGACCACTCTCCCATATAGCGCCTCAAGTAACCCTCCCTACGCGGTTCAATTTCCTATTTGCGGCAAACAGCCGTCGTCTTGCTAGAGTTTCCTAACTGCATTCCGTACATAATCGAAGTCCGTTTGTTCTGCAACAGCGCCACCTGACCGGCCCCGACGATCACACACCATTCCCACCAACGCGCTCCCTTCCAAGAGCTTCTCGCCCTTTGAGGCGGTATTACTAGGTACGATTTTATGGCAATCCTTTTCTGCGGCCTGCTAAAACGCAGTGTCTAGATTTTTGGCGATTAAGCACCTGTGTATCCAGCAGGGGTGAAGGAATGGCACATTTTTACGACCGCGAATGATTATGATTGAACCGTGAGTCTTTGTCTCTGCTTTCCGAGTCATATCTACTTTTGTGTGGTTTTGTCTGGAGATCCGGACTGTATGCCCTGGAGGGGAAGAAGATGCCCTAACAAGTTGCAGGATTTGATATTGAAGATTTCTCCTCTTGTCTCGGGCTTACGATCCTACCCATTGCCCCTGTGAACGCACGTTCTGAGAGACGAAAAAGGAACCTTGAAATGCGTGGATGCTGGTTGCTTTTCGATATAAGTGCGCTTTATATTTTATTTCTTTTACCGTTGTTTGCGGCCGAACTCGAATCCGACAAGGACTCTCAGGACGATGGACCGTTGCCAGAGTTTCATTTCGATAATGTCTGTCGCACCGCGGACCTTGTGGACACCCCGGTGGAGGATATATGGCACCCAATGTGTCTACGAACAAAGAAGGATGATTTGGTAGCGGAAACCGTTGAGACTACTTTGACTGTTGAACCGGTGCTAGACGTACCAATTGCCGCGTCATCGACACCTACTATCGGTCCCAAACCCGACCCAGAATTAGATACCGAGTCGCCCCTTGATAATTCGAAGTTTCTGTCGTTCGAGGATTGGAAGAAGAAGAACCTAGCTAAAGCAGGCCAGTCCGCGGATAATGTGCGGGGAAATAGACAGGGCTCCGCCTCATCGGAGAAGCGAAGACGATCCAGGCCTGGTGAAATTAATAATGCTTTGGAGTCATTGGGTGAAGAAGGAGAGATCGAGCTGGCTTTTGGTGACTTTACTCCCGGTAGCAGTGACGTCCCTCCTTCAGGGGGGAAGGATGACAACGGCCCATCCAGCACAAGTGAGGGTGAAAAAAGCCCAACGGAGAGTGCTGAGGGGGAATCCCAGGCCGATGGTGTGACGCGAAGAGGCCCCAATCGCAGAAAAGATGCTGGCACAACATGTAAAGAGCGGTTTAACTATGCCTCGTTTGACTGTGCTGCTACAGTGCTGAAAACGAATAGAGAATGTACTGGATCTTCGTCCGTGCTTATCGAAAATAAGGATAGTTACATGCTGAACGAGTGTCGGGCCAAAGACAAATTTGTTATACTTGAGCTATGCGACGATATCCTTGTTGACACTATTGTTCTTGCGAACTACGAGTTTTTCAGCTCCATATTCCGGACATTTAGGGTAAGTGTTTCCGATCGATATCCAACGAAACCTGATAAATGGAAGGAGTTGGGAACCTATGAGGCGGCAAATACGCGAGGTGTCCAAGTTTTTGCCGTTGAAAACCCCCTTATATGGGCAAGGTATTTAAGGATCGAATTTTTGTCACATTATGGGAAGGAGTTCTACTGCCCTATAAGCTTGATAAGAGTACACGGAACAACAATGATGGAAGAGTATAAAAACGACGGAGAGACCGCCCGACCAGACGACGAGCCGACTGAAACAGCTCAGTCACAAGAGCCATCGGCTCCAGCAACAGTTGCAGGTAGCTCCAACCAAACTCAGGATGGCACAGAGCATCAAAACACATCGCTTTCCATAGTCCATCCTGGAGCAGCCGACTTACCTAGTGAGGGTGGACTGGGTGATTTGTGTTTCCCTGAAATGGATGAGATTGAGAAGCTCTTGTTACGGATAAATTTGCATAACACGAGCTCTATCTACGATCCAGTTCCTGAACCTGAATACTCTCCTGAGTCTCACGACCACACAGACAATGATGCTTGGGTCGCAGCTACAACGGGGACCGTTGGCTTGAAAGAGACACCATTATCTGACTCCGTGGCTAGTTCGGCTGGAAATACAAGTCACCAGAAGACAGGCGTTGAGCCGCGTGGCCCTTCTACTTCACGACCACCCAAGCCAGAAAACGAAACTATCGTGGAAAGCCAAAAACCAAGAGTGACATCTCAACCGCCCCCGCCAAATCCAACAACTCAAGAATCCTTTTTCAAGTCGGTTCACAAGCGTCTGCAAATGCTCGAGACAAATTCAAGCCTCTCCCTCCTTTATATCGAGGAACAGTCACGGATACTCCGAGATGCGTTCAACAAGGTTGAGAAACGCCAGTTGGCAAAAACATCAGCATTCCTTGAAAATATGAATGCAACCGTGCTTAATGAGCTCAGAGAATTCAGGCAACAATATGATCATATTTGGAACTCTGTGGTTATCGAACTCGAACAACAACGCCAGCAATACCACCATGAGCTGTTTGCGGTCACAACGCAGCTTGGAATTCTTGCTGATGAAGTAGTCTTCCAAAAGCGCATATCAATCATTCAAAGCGTCTTTGTCCTACTATGTTTTGGCCTTGTTCTCTTTTCCCGAAGTGCGATCGGTTCTTATCTAGAGCTTTCAAAAATGCAAAGCGTGGTATCTCGAACCCAGAGCTTTCGGTCCGCATCGCCTTCGTATGAAACGCCTTCTGCGAGCCCAAACTCAACACGCCAAATATCCTCGTATCAAAAAAGAATTATGCATCAACGTCATGCGTCTGACTACCAAGCTGACTGCGAATTATGTAACCCTACCTTCACTTACTCCCCCCCGCAAACGTCAGCAGGTGTACAGAGTCCGCCTGAAGAAGAAGAAAAGGAACTACACGACGTAAACCCAGAGTATTCCCGATCAACAACCAGTCTCGTGGTACCAGATGAGAATCCCAGGATAATGAAAAGGCAACTAAGTAGCCCTCCGGACCTTGGAACCCAGGATGCACTGGACAGTTCTGAGGCTCCTGTTGCGCCGCCCTGAGAATGAAGGATTCCCAGAATCATGGTCTATCATTCACCAATTCACCCTCTTACTGTTCTGCTGAGTGGGGCCTTTACCGCTGCATTTCTATGAAAATAGAGAATGCAAGCGAAGATTTAGAATAGAGGGCTAGCCGTCCGAGCTTTCCTTCTTCTCTCAGAGACGCCTCCATGCCCATGCTCTCCTTCTCTTAGATCGTGCGAATTGCACCGCATATTTGGTGAAGATAGCGCAATTAGCATCAACAAGGGATATTCTTCGGACCAGCAGGCCCCTTACCCCTTGGATACCCGAATACATATTAAGATAGATATCCACCCTGATATAAGTGGCATTTTAAAGATCATCCTCGTGTACAAATCAGAATTTATATATAGTGTACATAGCTTTATTTTTATGCCAGTATAAATCGCGAACTTACGAACTGCTCCGTAACCACCTCATTTGGAAAGGCTATATGTCGCACTCCTATTGACACACCTGAAAAGACAAGCATCCAATTATCGTTACAAATGCCTATGGTGATATGGCCAACCATGTTGATAGAGAGCCATTAGACCACTTTCAAATCAAGTCAGTTTGTTAGCTTAACCCATAAAAATCAACTCCGAGGTCACTGGGAAGGCTCCGAAATACAACAGGGATCTCGGCGATTATGGGCCCTATTATTCTGTCGGAAGGAAGGGTATTGTCGGATAAAAAGGTTTCCGGGCCATTGATCCACCCCAACATTGGGTATTCCATCAGAAGCATAATCAACTGGCTTCAGAAGAGCTCAATATCTCAGAGCTCTAAGCATGCACGGCTTATTCTGAAGATCGGGTCACAACCTGATTTCAAACATTATGGAGATACTGGGGCTCACACAGCCAATATACTGAATTTGCGAGTGATACCATTCCCAAGAAGTCGGATTTATATAGGAGTATATCTTTCAGCATATGTTTATTTTTCTGTTTGTCCTATGCATTAGGGGCATTAATATAGGGTAAATACATACTATATCAAACAACATTTGTTTCGATTGGGGATGTTCAAGAGAAGGCCCCAACAAGACAGTCATAAGACAAGTCTACCTCCGATCCGGAGGATGCTGTGTAGTTGTTGCCACCTAGCGGATGCATAGTTAAAAAGACTGAGGATGGAAATAATACTCCGTATGGAGCCCCGAAACGCATGCTCAACGCCTAGTTAATCGATACAGCTTTGAACAAAGTTTATTCATGCTGTACTTAAAAAGGTATCTTTCCATAGACGAGATCAAGCTTCAGTGAGCTTACATCGAGGCACCAATAAGAATTTTCAGGTTCACTTGGGGTCGGTGTATTTTGGTCCTAGGCAACGGTTGCACTGGCACATCGCTGGTTTTCGATGCTAACACAATGCACAGTACTCCGTACCCGGTATTCTGTATGGAGTGCCTCGAAGACACGTCCCAAGGATCGAACATCAGCAAAGAAACCCTGGTAGATACTTGGACTTGTTAAGGAAGAGAATCCCGCTGTTGCATTGTTGATGAGTCACCCAGCATGTGGGGCCAGCTGCGTTGCCGCGACAACAATCGATCATCAACATTTCGAATCCTTGACGACGCCAAAGATTTTTAGCTGTTCTTTCATAAGCTTGAACCGTGCTTGAGCCTGATGCCCAGAGCTGTGCCGCTACATTCTATCGTTGCTAAGGAAAAACTTTGTTTACATTCTGTGCTTTTTGTTTACTATACATCAGTCAACTAAGCTTCGACGACGAGACCTTGGGATTGTTACATACTACGAGCCTATAAAAAGAAAACGGCTGGAATCATTTTGTTAAACCCAGAGGTCACAATCATTTTCTTCCAGCACATCTCCTATCTCTAATTTTGGTGATATCTGGCTTGGTGATATCCAGCCGAGCATAACTTGACTTTACTCTCACCAACAACTCAAATACGTCTACGAGCCATGTCAGCCAACACGACCAGCCCTACCAAGGCTCAGCCTCTCTCTGACCGTTCGACAAATATCTTCCTCTCTCCAGGAGCAAACAACACGTCAAAGATGTGTGGTGACTCCGCGGCAGATATCAAGGCGGCGACTAGCAAGTCAATGGATTATCACCGTCAAGTTCTGAAAGAAAAGCTGGAAGAGGGAAAGATGAAGTATGCCCCCTTCCTACAGCAATTGAAGGTTAGAAAATTTCCCACTAACAGCAGCGTAATATATAGGGCACCGGGACATTATATCTCGCCATCTGATGGCATCATGAGCCCTTGCACGAAGAAGTTGAGTGACTTAAAAGGCAAAAAATTCAAGAAGTACGTTATTCTCTGGATTCCATGTGCCTCGCAGTAGTGTTGAAACCATGTTCTAACTGTCTCGTAGTGCCAAACCGCAAGTACTGTTTGCCAAAGCACTTGCAAAAAAATCCTACGATAAGATGAGCTCGGAGAGTCCTAGCGAAGATGGCCCGACGGCCTGACTTGCCATTCGAACTAACTATTACATTCTCTTGTCGCTGTGATATTTACTTCATTCATTATGATTTTCCCCTCTACAGCAATTATTTGCTTCACTTCGCAATTTGCATGTTCCTATTGGGTCTCTTGTGATTGACATTGGGCTGGATATGGCGTTTTTGTTTTTTTCCTCTCTTTTTTTTAATGATATACAGGTCAATGAATGGGATATGGTCATAATCATCGGGAAAGAACGCATAAACTTGGCATGCCATTGGGGAGGAATTGGGGCCATCCGCTCTATACCCGTTACGTTCTCTAGTTCATACAAAATCCATCGAGTTTCGAGTTGATTGAGGATCTGAGTGTAGAGAGTAGCGGAGGGCAGCAAAAGCTTTGAGATGGGTCATTGGTGGCTGAACGCCCTCCAATCAAGAACCCAACACGAATGCACGAATTGCCGATTTGCGTGGATGGCCGAAACGTGGAGCCGCCCGACGGCTGGCTCTGTTGTAGCCCGACGGGAGCTTGTTAGCCAGCATCTCGATACGCCGAGGCTGACTTTTAGGCCGTCGACGGTTGTCTGCGTCGACGACGGCGGCAGCAAAAAGGCTATCCCGGGCGCGATGAACAGGATAGCAATGTGCTCGCGGTGTCCGGCTCGGAGAAACCACAACGCCTCGCAGCTCTGATGCGTCGATGCCGCTGAGAGACGGCAGCAAGCAATGCAGGGCTGATTAATGCGGGCGGGCTGCGGTTTAGGTTCGGTGTCCCCAGATCCAGGCCAGCGGGGGCCATCAAGCCGAGGTCCAGCCGCCGGCAAAGCGATTCTACTCTCTCGAAGGTACGGACAAATTACTTCTCTTTCCCGTCGTATGATTCTTACCGGCTCACCTTCTTACTGCCGTTTCATACTTAAAGACTCTTAATCCCGGTTCCTCTGTGGTGCTTTTTTGCATTGCTGATCCACCGTTTAGCCAAGTCTGTGCTCTCACTCCCTCTGATAGCTTGCCATCCTTCTCTCGCAATGTCTGCCTCTGCTAGAATTCCACCGATCGTGGCCCCATTTGTCAGTGATAAAGCTAAAAAGACCCTTGATCTTGTAAGTGAATTGCGCTTCGAAGCCTCAGCCCTTCCTATTCCGAGTACGCGGAGCTGACATTGCCGCCGCCCTTGTTTAGGTAGAGGAATTTGTCGAGAAAGAATGTATTCCAGCAGATGCACTCTTCCAGGCACAGCTCGGTCATGGTGAGCAAAGATGGAAGCGCACACCCGCAATCATCGAGGAGCTTAAGGTAAAGGCACGGAAGCTCGGACTATGGAACATGTTCTTGCCCAAAAACCATTTCAAAGAGGGCGCCGGATTCAGCAATCTGGAATATGGATTGATGGCAGAGATCCTTGGAAAGAGTCGCGTTGCTAGTGAGGTCCGTGATAGACCGATTCTCTACTTCCTATAGGCGCAATGCTCACATGCCGGTTTAGGTTACCAATAATGCTGCTCCTGATACTGGTAATATGGAAGTCCTCGCAAAATACGGAAATGATGCACAGAAGAAGCAATGGCTGGAACCTTTACTGGAGGGAAAGATTCGCTCCGCTTTTCTTATGACAGAACCGGAAATCGCTTCCAGCGATGCTACAAATATCCAGCTCAGCATTAGACGGGAGGGTAATGAATACGTCCTCAATGGCCAGGTATGGGGAATAATCCTTTTGTACTATATGCTCCAATATCCTTTCTCAAAGCTAACGTATGTGCCTTTCTCCCTATAGAAATGGTGGTCATCTGGCGCCGGAGACCCAAGGTGCAAAATCTACGTTGTCATGGGCAAGAGTGACCCTAACAACCCAGACACATATAAGCAACAATCCGTTATCCTTGTCCCAGCAGAGACTCCCGGAATTACTGTCCACCGCATGTTGAGTGTCTACGGGTACGACGATGCTCCTCACGGCCACGGCCAAATCAGCTTTAAGAATGTCCGCGTACCAGCCAGCAACATGGTTTTGGGTGAAGGCCGTGGGTTTGAAATCATTCAAGGCCGCCTTGGCCCTGGCCGTATTCACCATGCTATGAGAGCTCTCGGCTCCGCCGAAAAGGCTCTTGAATGGATGATTGTTCGTGCTAACGACGAAAAGAAAAAGCCCTTCGGTGCCAAACTCTCCTCTCACGGTGTCATCCTTGAATGGATTGCTCGTTCTCGTATTGAAATCGATTCGGCCCGTCTCGTTGTTCTCAACGCTGCCGTGGCCATTGATAATGCAAATGCCAAGGCGGCCTTAAAAGAGATCGCCGAAGCTAAGGTGCTTGTACCGCAGGTTGCCCTGGCTGTCATTGATCGTGCTGTTCAAGCCTATGGTGGAATGGGTGTGTGCCAGGATACACCTTTGGCGGCTATGTGGGCTCATACTCGTACATTGAGGCTTGCCGATGGCCCTGATGAAGTACATCTCCAGCAAATGGGTAAACGGGAAAATAAGACTCGTGAGAAGGGGGCCACAGCCAAATTGGCATGGCAAAAGCAGGAGACTGAGCGGTTATTGCTATCCAATGGCTTTAATACCAAAGCTCAGCTGTAAAAATGTCATGTGCTGGTGTTTGTATCGGTTTGATTAGGGTTCCTATGTTAACGAACAGTTGGGCCATATGGTTGTCTGCATTCTAGATATCACTTTCTAATTGGTATAAATTGATTGTACTCATTGTCACTAAAAATCATGATACTCATATGCTTACATGTCTAATAAATCCTACAAATTCGCTTCCAAACGCCAAACTCTGTTAAAATAATAACGAGAAGGAATCAAAAGCACCCGATCTAACCCTCCTCTTCGATGGCGCTGCCGTCTCTCCTAAAAGATTATTAGAAAAACTCGAAAGAAATGGGGATTAAAAATCCATACGGAAAGTACTTAACACCAGCATCTTCCAAACTAGCAAGGACCTCATGTGGGAGCTACGGATTTAATATCAGTAAACTGAGATTTCTCTTGTGCCTTTTCAAATCACAGCAGGTGAAAACTTACCGTTCCAACTACCTTAACGGCGTATGTCCCATTTATATATCCATCTAATCTTTGCCACCGCGCGACCCAGGAAGACCTTTCGTCTCCTAAGGCAATTAGGCCTTCAAATACCTGTGAAGTGCATTCTTGAATTGCATCATTATTCCCGCGGAGGTTGAGGAATGACTCGCAGTTAGGGCAGCCGTCGCGCATGAATTTCTTGGAAGAAATACGGTTAGTTGGTAGAGCTGCTATTGAGAACTCTAACGTACGCTGTGGAGTTGGACAACCGAGCAGACCATACACGCGCGGAGGGTACGCTGCTGGCCAGAGGAGACATAGAACGACATGTTGCAGAATGCGCAGGGATTCTCGTGGCTAAACAACAATGGGGAATAAAAGCTGGGGCAATGCGAAGTGTTTCAAACAGATGGCGGAGATCCCGGTTTGTGGCGTGCAGGTGGAGGGGGGGATGTAAGGCAAACAGTGCTCTAGGTCATGCCTGGGCCCTGGGGGTGGACATAGATCCTGCAGACAGTGAAAGCAGGGTCTGAGTTGGAAAAGGCCAATATCATGCTCTGTGCAGCTCTTTGTTAGGCTTTCAACATTCAACGGCTCCTGCACGTGACAGCGTCATCGTCCCGTCACCAAAAAGTCACTTTGGATTCCCACCCTGATGGCAGAGACGCGACCGCTCCATGGTCTCGCGAGCGGCGATCCAAGGCAGCCGCTGAGGCCCTTCTCGATGCACACCGGCAAGGCTCTCCATGGATCCGCGCCTTGCTTCAGCCTTTCCGAATCCTCGCTTGGATAGCAACGCCGGCAAGCGCAAGCCTGTCCGTTCCATCGCAGAGCCGCCTTCTCCTTCTCCTCCACCGCACAGTCGGTTGCATCTACACCCCAGCCATCGTTTAAAGCATGGCATCTGGCGTCCAGGGTAGCAACAATGTGTATGTTTGTCTCGTCACGTTGCGCGGTGCTTGGCCACAGTAACTAACTGGCGTGTTTTGCCGCCCCTTTAGGATCGAACTGCAGGGCGAGAAGCAGCTGCTTGAAGAGCTTTCAGTGAAAGAGCCTACGTTCAGGGATGTTAATCGTTATCTGGCACTGTACATCTCCCCTCTTCTTTTCATTTCTTTCTAGATGTCGACTGCTGACCAGGTCTATGTAGATTTCAACACTCATGCTCCAACGTGCTCTACAGGAATCTTGATACGGAATTTGGCCCTGTCCGTGCTGCTGTCGACACCAAAATATGGGACTCCCGCATGAAGATCAACTCTCGGTTCCGAAAGCTTTTGTTACAGTTTCGCGATGCGCAGGCGCGCAAGGGGCGGCCAGTTGAGGAGCGCAAGCTCAAGCATCAATACCAGAGGTTTATTAGTGGTGGACAGCAGTTCTACGAAGATTATCTGAAGTTCATTCTCACGCACGCCTGCTGTAGCCCAGAACTCGCCCGAGCTGCCCTCGAATTAAGAATTGAAGTCAAGCCTCCACCCGCAGTCAGTGAAGACCTGAAACGGGCTCTACTTGATTCGTGCTATTCCACTTTTATCAAGCTGGGAGACTTCTCTCGGTACTATCAGGTGGAGCTGGTCCAAGATCCAGAAAAGCGAGAATGGACCCACGTGGTCAGTTATTACACTCTCGCCGGCTCCATTAAACCTCATTGCGGAATATTTCACAATCAACTAGCTATCATTGCACTGGGTAAAGGTGACCATTTCCAAGCGATATACTATTTGTATCGTGCTCTGAGCGCCACAGAACCCCACCCAACCGCCGCCTCAAACCTCAAGCTTGAATTTAGGAAAATTTTGAATTCCCGGACTGGTGCGCTGATGAAATCAAAGGATGAAAAAGAGTCTTTAGTTTCTTCCTTTGTGCATCTTCATGCAATGTGCTACAAGGGTGCTGATTTTCCCGAACGCGATGAGCTTGAGAATGAGCTGCTCAATAACATGACAAATCAGCTCAAAGAAAATTCTTTGGACAGTGACTTTTTACAAAGACTTTGTCTCATCAACATAGCCGCTGAAGCACACGCACAGGCAACATCAGGTACTAATGGAAATGCTCTCTTCTTTTTTCAGCAGCTAAATGTGAAGATGTTCTTTACCTTGCTACAAGTACTCCTTGCCGACACAGAAGAGATGTCAGGAGTTATTAGCCAGATTTTACCAGCACTTCGAAATTATAGCTCCTGGTTAGTGATAAATAGTCACATGCTAGTTTCTGATGCTCAGGATACATCTCTGGGAGTACAAACCAAAGAGTTCTGGAATATTTATGCAACTACTTTGACCCTACTTACATCTACCTTTCCTGTTCCACAGCTACCATACCTGGATTACCTTCTTCAGGAAGATTATGATACCCTGGGGTTCTCTCCCCTATTCAGTAACGGCAAAATCCGACGCTATGTTGACAAGGAGGGAAAACCGAAGCCCAAGGCGCCACATGAAGAAGATGAAGATAGGGTTAAAACAGAAATATTGTTTCGTGTGCGGGAATTTGTCATTGATGGCCTGGAATTGATCGTGAGCAAAGTGAGTTATATCTATTTGATACTTGCGTTATCAGTTGGGAAAACTAACCATTTCAGAAAATTCCAATAATCTTGTCGAATAGCCAAGACCAAAGCATCTTTTTGTGTAAGGAAGATGGCTTGCCACAATTCTCAATTCCACCAGCGGCGAGTATCCCGCAAGACGATAGTCATCCAATACAGCGGAGCGCCTATCATTCTGAAGACGTGCCAGTTACATCAATATCTACCATGGAAGATATGAATGACATGGTCGATGCACTTGTGAATTCTGAAGAAGATCCATCTAAGAAATCTGTGCCTCAGGAGGAAAAGATATTGCTACAGCCGTGGCCCTGCTTGTCAATCGAGACCAATGGGATAACAACCCAGTCTCCGCTGTCTAGCAATGGAGCGTTACAAGGTCGCAATAGCCCAATAGTGGCTCAGGAATCTCCTCCGCCTTACTCGCCGCGTCCTGTGCTTCCAAGCATTTTCGATTCACCTTTCGCATCCGGCCGTTCGCCAACGGCAACGGAAGTCGGCTTGCACCGTATCATAACGTACGATTCCAACGTTTCACCACCCGGGAACCGCTCGGCCGTTCAACAAACTTCTCCCACCCAGAAATCACCCTTTTCCCCACCACTAATGTCACGTTTTAGTAGTGATTTCACGCCAACGCAGACCCCGATTGCTAGCTATCATAACTATCCGGCCATAAACCGCCACATTGGGCTACCGGGTCCAAATGGCTTTGGAGGGCCATCTACTTTCAACCCTCCTGTCTCGCCGTGGCTAAACCTTTCAATTTCGCCGACGAAATTAGCCGGCATTGCAGGTCCTACGCCCCCAAGTGGTCAGGGTGGATGAGAGCTCTATGCCTCAACGCATTTTGGAATCTAAGTAAAGATGGGATTTCCGGAGATGAGTTGACAACACCATAGGACACCTTTCCACGACAAATATTGGAACAAATGATGTCTATGTCCCGGGCCTACTGCTCCGATGCCATACCTTTCTATGCATGCTGTCGTAGAAGTTGACCGGGTTGGAAGGACTTGGCCTCAAATGTATGCCAGCTGGTCATTGGTTCAACTCACATTCGCGCCGCATTGGGAACCGTCGTCGAGCATCTGAGTGGTCCTTTTAGATATCAACGCTCTGCCATCTGCTTAAACAATCACAGCGATGCGAACACCGTTTCTTTCTATAGGGAAGGACGGACTGGGAAACGGGATGGTACCAATACCATCCACTAACCCTACCATTCGTTTAATATTCTGCCAGTTAGGATTGGTTGTGATCGACTATTAGATTACTGTCTTTCTTTCAGAGGCATGCTAATAATGATTAAGCCCTCGTTTTCCTGGACTAGTTAATCAGCTTCATATGCATAGCTTTGAATCAAATATCTTATTCATAATACTCTATCAATTCTATATTCGTTGTTGAAAACGTATGTCATATTTTCTTCGGTTACTTTCCGACACATATGTACGTTTAAATAGAAATATTGCCATCCTCACTTGGCAGCAGACTTTGTGGTAATATGGACTTTCCGAGGATTTGGGTTAAAAACAAACAGCCCGAAAGCCCTTTGGAATTTAGGGATATTGTTTGAAGATTTAATGGGTACCAGGGGAGGGAGTTATGAATTTGAGGTGGTTGAACGGATGTTAAGGATTCTTTTAGCTTCCGGTCGCCGTTGAAGAGCGTAGTACCGTTGCTTCTTCGTTTTGGAATTACGCTGGTGTGTAAGGCTTCTTTGGAAATGGGTATCTAAGGTAGGAATTCAGTTAGCACCGATAACAAGAGGTGAGTGTACAAGATAGTCTTACTGTGGGCCCAATTCTCGGATGCTTAGGTTTGCCAGCCAATGGCCCATATCAAGGCACTGCTCGAGAGGTTTCCCCAGAACTAAGCCGCCGCAGAAACCGCCAGCAAATGCATCACTAATGATACTATTAGGGCCAGCCAGAAAGTGATAGGTTAGATAACTCACCCAGCACCGTTAGTATCGTAGATTTCCTCTTGCGAGATAGATCTAATTGGAGTAGTCTTGATATCCAGACCGCCTTTTCCATCTGAAACAATTGAGATAGTTGGCTGCGTGCCGTGAGTGATGATGACAGTCCTTGGGCGCTGGGAGTTTTTCTTTGGCAAGTTGGCCATCTTTTTGCCAATCTCGGTCAAATCAGTGATGCCCCATTGGTGGGCTTCCGAATAGGCGAGAGCCTCCGATTCATTGCCAATGATATAGTCGGTATAAGGCAAAACTTGGTCAAGCTGATCTTTGAAGAATGCAGGGATGAATGGAGCTGAGAGAGAGAGCATAAATGTCTAGTGACCGATCATGTCAGCAGTCTCTCAGGGTCGCCGATTTCGGATAATAGAACAGTGTGTACCTTGTTCTTCTCGGCTGCCTCTTCGGCCAATGCCAGGATGGCTGGCACGCAAACAGTCAAATGAAACCCACCAACGAAGTAGTATTTGGCCTTCTCAACCAAAGACCAGATTTGAGGCGACTTGAGATGGTCCAGTTTATATTCATTGGCGGCAGCGAGATGGGTTACGAGAGAGCGATTGTGGCCCGTGATAATAACACCGCAACGACCAGTAGGCTGAACATCATCCACTCTGTATTTTGTGCAAATGCCAGCTTTGGCACCGGCTTCTTTGAGGGTCTCCGCGTATTGATCCTTGCCAACGCATCCGATATACACAACAGAATTTTCTGGGAGAACATACTTAAGGTATTATTAGCACTAGTCTATCAAAAGAGAGCTACATTGGAGATTAGTATTGGTGGGAAACAAAGAGATGGCATACCTGAGCTCCACGAGCAGTATTTTGGGCAGCCCCACCTGCAATCAATTTGGCGTCGCAGTTTTGTAGCAAGTCCTCGTAGAGGCCCATATGTTTCTCCTCAGCAAGAATGGCATCGTTGGCTTTGAGGTCGTACTTCTTCAGCATTGCCTCATCTCTAGATTGGGGGAGCATCAGCAATCGATAGACACAGATGGAACATTGGAGTTTTACCCCACGCCCTGGATATCTGTAAAGAGTATAAGTAAAGGAAACTCAGGCTCTAGGTGGAATTGTCTTACCCAGTAAAGGATTCTCCAGGCATAGAAGAGGGTACCCTTCTGAGGTAGACATATCTTTTCGGGATACTTGGTTGTTTAGATAACGTTGGGTGAAAGCGGCGGACGTTTGGTGGGGAACCAAAACACTTGTTTTCAGATGCGACTCGGAGGTAGTTTAGTTACCTACTCCGTCAGTGGTTAGTTGATGTAATCCACCACAACGCCCGGTCCTATCCCAATGGCCTATACTATACCTCAATTTATGATTTTTCAGCTAAAATGTAGATCTTAGAAATAGAAATGGAATATAACATCGAAATCCATATGTTCGGAGGTGGGGTGGCTCGTAGTTCGGCCCGTTTTTAATCCGGAGTCTACTCATGTTTGCGGAACAATCTTCTACAGCCCGTTTTTTTGCTTCGTTCTATTTTACTGAGTACTGTGTTTATTTAGGCTCTTTTTTAATGCATGTGTTAACTTCTTCTGTATAGAGTAGATACTCTTCTTTCTAAAATTTCACAATAGCACCTAAAAACCACATTCTTTGCAAAGACTGGAACAGTTCACCATCAAATACTGGATTCCACCTTCAAATTATGATTTATCCACAATCACGTATTAAAATTAAGTAAGCTATGAGGTGTAGGAAATAGAAATGAGACGAAATATAGAAATTGGTACGTTCAATCCGAAAATCGTCGGGGCGGCCTAATAGCTCGCCTGCGCGTGTCTCTGGATATCTAGCTCGTTGGGCTCCAAAGTCGCAACCTTCGGCTCTGGTTTTTTGGGGGCTTGATCGTAGAGAGCCTCCCTGCAGGACCTGCGGGGTCTGTAGGTGTAGCAGGAGCCTCGGGTGCCTGCCTCTGCTGGAAAGCCTTCTCTCTCTGAACTTTTTCACGCCGCACAGTCCGTTCTTCCTTCGTCGTTAGCTCCGGTGCTTTGCGTTGTTTTCTCGAAGCTATAGGCATTTGTATAGATAGTTAGTCTTAACTCCGTGAAAATCAACCACAAAACAGTAAACTCGCTGGGAAACGAAGAATAGTACGCACATAGAATAATCCACTGCCTTCCTTTTTTGGTCTAAAACGCCGGCAAGTTGGGTTTCATGGCGTTCGATAAAGCGAGTCACCCAGTTAGGTCCGACGTCAGCTTTCAGAATCTCATTTGCCAGGTTTCGTACAACTTGCGGCGTAGCAGGAAGGCCTTGGTGCTTTAGAGTGTAAATCTGGCTTAAAATATCCTCCTCCTGCGCGTCGGTGAGGTTTCTTGAATAGAGAGACGCGGCTTCGCGCCTGGACACTTGTTTGCCTTTGAAGCGACGCGCCAACGTAGTTACGTTGACTTCATACTTTTTGGCGGTCTTAGCAAAATTAGGAGCCTCTTGTAATTTCAAATCTTCAATTGCTAATTTCATAGCCTCTTCGTTGGGCATTTTATCGAGTTTTGAAAGCGGAGGGTAGAATTCGGGCGTTCGGTGGTGAAATACATACGTTGGTGACATAACTAGTTAGTTTAGAGTTCCGATCCAAACTCGTCGGTCTGGAACAGTCAACGCAACCCCAAACAAGCCAACAGCATTCAGAATTCTCATACCAGATATCACCTGCAAAAAATGTCCGATCGCACGCAACGCCCAATATCATCCTACCAGGGCATAAACCCCGCGTTCGCCGCCTCGTTCCGCCAGCAAGCCGAAGCTCCTTTGGAGCGGGTGCCGTCGGATGTAGGGAGTCTATCAACAGGCATCGTCGATCCAGGGCGAATGGTGAAGCCTCGCCATCGAGCCCACCTGCCCCCCATACCCGATCTGCGTTTCGAACAGAGCTATCTTGCAAGCCTACGTGGAGCCGACACCTGGGGCCGGGTTGCGTGGATAACCATGCGGGATCAGGTATGAAATGCAGTCGCTCAGAAATGGGATTTCTGGAATGTTTGATAGCAATCATCTAAGACCCTTCACACTCTAGGTTTTGTTACCTTTGATGCAAGGCACAATGTGGACTCTGGTCCTGTGTGGCTGGAAATACTGGCATCGCGGAGCCCGATCCAGCGGCCAGACAATCGGATTTGCTATCCGCCAGTGGTGGGCCAAATTGATTAGTTGTGACATATCTAAGTTATGATAGCGAGTGGGCCAAAAAAGCAAAAATTATACGGCCCGATTTAGAGTCATTGGCGAGCAACTAGAGATGGGATTTCCCCGAACGCTGCGCAACAACGCTTTGGAAAACTCTTCTTGATGAAGGCCTTGGATCAATGTTATTTAGCATGGCGCCATAAGAGTGCGAGTCTATGACCCAGAAGGGATTTCATGACGTCAATACCCTCGAACGAAGCATTTCGTGGCCTCCCTGATGACCAGGATCCGAGCAATTACTGTCAAGTACGAGCGGAACAAGTATACACGGCATCTTTGAATTGCACTATTAGTGTCTTAATATCTTCAACTGCCAAAATACTAAAAGATTGGTGGATTTGGGGGGATATTAGGGAGTTATATCGAATTACTAGATTCACACCACGGACGATGCATTGTATTCAACACTATGAATCATTCTAACTAAGTTAGATCCTCCACCCATAAATTTCTTTCCACAATTTCCTTTCACCCTCAGTAGAACTTTCATGTTTTCTGTATGAAACACATACATCTAGCAAAGAAAATGGGAGCACGGGGCCAAGTAGGATAAGAATAGACGGGGAAATAGTCACATATGAGACGTCTACTGAAATCCGTTTTGGTCGCGCCGTAGCTCTGGGTAATCTGCAGGTGCAGATAATTCTTGACTATGTATTTCTGGGATTGATTTGATCGGTTCCACGAACTTCGTAGGAGTGAACGCAGAATCTGCTGGCGGATTTGAAAGATGCACGGCTAAGATACTGGGTGAAGCAGAGTCATACACATGCGGTGCTTTTGCTTCCATTGTTTTGCCATCAGCAGATCCCGCTGTGCTGGAGTTTGTGGGGTTTGGTGGCGCCTTGTCTTTATTATACCTCAATTGGACAACTAGGCTAGGTCGAACTGTATCATCCTCGTCGAGAGAGGCCGCATCACTCATATCGTCGTCTTCGTCAACGGAATTCTCATCGCCACCTTCCCATTCTTGACCACTTGAAGCTGCATCCGGCTCGTCGTCTTCCTCCACGGCATCCACAGAATTATAGTCATCGTTGTTGCCTGGTGTTAAGCCATTAAGGCGCGTGCTTCTTTGATGTCTGCCATTCATAAAGCCAGTTTCATGCGTCAAATTTGCGCGTTGCCGGCTAGTCATGGTTTCTCCATATATGCCACCAACCCGAGCTTTCACTTGCCGGCCGCTAGCGGTGTAGGTAGGGCCTTGCGGTTCTCCTGGACTGGAACCCCGAGTTTGCTGTCGTGTTGATTTTCTAGAGTCTGGCTCGTCCGAAAGGTCTTCCTCATCGGAAAACGTGTACTTCATCCGCTTCCCACGAGTACGACCCTCGTAGAGAGAGAATCCAGGTTCCGGTTTCGTAAACGCTGCCTTCCTTGCTAGGCGGTATTCACGGCGTTTTCTTTTCTATAAGCAAATTAGTTTTTGGTAATAGAAAACAACTTCTTAAGACATACCTCTTCTGACGCCTCGAACCGAGGAATGCTGTTACGGATCCTCTCACTAAGGTCCTTCGCAGCACGGGACTTTTGCATTCCAAGGGTGGTGGCAACTGACGAAAGTTCGCCAATTGTGCCAGCAACGCTCCACCATGTATTTGTTTTTAGGGCCGGGTTGCTCTCTCTGTATAGTCTGAAATGGGTATCATCCCGACCTTCAACGAGCCAGTAACGTCGTTTATAGCTATCACTTCCCCATGGCTGAACAGAGAGCGGCTGGTTACGGTCACCGTCTTGCCTGGATTGTTTATAGCTCTCCTTCAGCTTTGCCTGGACAGCATCGGAGGAAGAGAGGGCCCAGAGAACCAGAGTCTTCAGGAAGGATAGCTAGGAAGTTTTAGAAATTCATCCATCCATGTAGATTAATAAACGTACGCGCTCATCAGGTGGCATATTCGCAAAGCTTCGTCCGCCCTGGAGAGGATTCTTGCCTGCCCATGACTTTGGCCATTGGGTTTGATGTGTCTGCACAGCTTCTTCGAGGGCGCGTTGGTAATGACCTCTTCTGTATTGTACACATTCTTAGTCAGTACACACGTCAAATTGTCAGGGGAATATCACGTAGAAAAAATATGAAGCATCGTTGTTCTCGAGTCCATTAAACAGCGGGTTCACGTACTCAACATCCTTTTTCCGGTTGAGGACAAGTCCAACCACTGCGCACAGCAGCCTCTCTATTTGATCACCTGGAACTGTATCTGCAACGCCCTTCTCAATATCTTGCGGACCGTAGTTTGGGAGCGATTTGGGGAAAACGTCGCTGAATCTTGCGCGGAACATTACAATGAACTACTCATAAGAAAATGTTAGCAAGCGCGTTCATAAGGCCAAAAACGCGTCTCCAGGTCAATTCCACAGGAGAGAAGATGGGAAATATCATAATTACTGACTGCAATATTCGGATTATCGGCCAGGACATATTCGTGTGGTGGTGACGGAGCACGTTTTGGAGGAGGCGACTCGGTCTGGTTTTCACGCTGGAAATATTTCTTGATGCCGACCTTTCGATTTATCGACGCCGCGACAGCCTCGTCTTCTACTGATACCGCCGATGATAATGACGACGAATCTGTGCTTGAACGAGACATGGTGCCGTTGATGGTGTTGTCAGGTTGGACGTTGAAGGTTGTAGGTGTTAGGTTAAAGTCTGGCAAGGGCACAAGATTCTAGTATGACGGGGGACACTACGACGGGAAGAGTGGGTAGAAGGCGCGTCGCTCGCTTATAGCGGCCATTCAAGATGAAGAATCAATTAGGACAATGCCGTAGATCAGTTAAAGCTATCTATAGGAGAGCGATTCACTTTTTTCTCGAAAATAACCATAAACCCCGTCAGCTGGACAATTTCAATTTTCCCAGGGGTTGCCCGCACGAAGAACACGTTATCCGGCACCATTGGTACGATTTATCACGGCCAGGTAGCCGCCGCCATCACTATGAGCTCCTGCGGCCTGAAAACAAGACGACTCTCAGCACTGCGGCCGGTCATTCTGAAAGCGCGGCGAATATGTTATTCTCTGCTGGGTCGACCAAGAGGTGTCGCGCGGGGTTTGCTGCACTAGGTTCCCCGGCCGCTCAACAACGAACCTGCTCCGTAATTCTGCCCACAACCCCATGCAACGTGTAAAACGTGACACAGAACTGAGACTTTAAGTCTTGGAGAGCCTGGTAAGGTAATATCACTGGGTGGTAGCTGGTAAGAGACAGAAAGCAACAAGGTGCAAGACGGCAGTGGTATCATAAAACCAAAAAATAGAAGGCATTTAAGTAGTTTGAGGTATGAGTATCTATTGCCTCTACATTTTTCAAAAATTCACCTGAGATGGTAGACTCGCCACTCATCCAGCTTAGGATTTGTTGGTAGGCGAATCGAGAGGCTCGACGAGTCTGCCAAGCCTACCGACGATGGAAAAAATAAGCGGTAAATCTTTATTCTTTTGGCAAACACCATCTTAGTTTCTTGGTAGAAACTACAGTGATCGTACAAAGAAGGACCGGAATGGCGGGGGTTATGGATCGCGGAGAAGATGACTGTTGAAGCAACAATCCGCGCCAACCCGGAATGATATGCAATCCTCATACAGACTAGACAATCTAGTCGCTTTTGTCGTATAGCGCCATAATTATGTGTGTTATGGAGTATTTGTGAAGAGAAGAGTAGGATATTCGAAGCCAGGCATTCATAGTATCTGAGGCATGGTTTTACATATTGCCCTGCAGAAACTAAACACATGGAGACCCGGCGATGGCATAGCTATCACCGGTGGATTGCCTAGTCCCAATCCGCAACAGCGACTAGAAGCCACTGACGATGTGCTGGGCAGCACGCAGAGATGTGTCAAGTTGATATGGAGGGTTTTCAAACTTGGGAGGTGAGAAGTAAAATGTGCGCTAGTCCGAACTCGGCTAGGTTAGCGACTGCCGCACCCTACACAAATAACCACCACACAATTTCAGTTTGCGTTTTGAGTGCGAATTCGCAACTTCACCGACCAACCGACAATTTTTGCGAATAGGTACGAGCACATCTACGACTTGTTCGCCCGCGATACGCCTGTCGTCTTGCTAACCAGATTGCCGTATAGTCAGACGCCATGGGTCGCGTGATCCGCAATCAGAGAAAGGGTCGTGGATCCATTTTCAGTATGTGACCGCAGCTACATTTAAATTCGAAAGAATAGGGATGGCAGGATCCCCAGAGAAGACGACAGTTGATTAATTGATTTCATTTGATAGCGGCCAACACTCGTCTCAACAAGGCCCCGGCTCAGTTCAGAACCCTCGACTATGCTGAGCGACACGGATACATTCGCGGAGTGGTGAAGAAGATCATTCACGACCCTGGCCGAGGCGCTCCCCTCGCTCAAGTTTCCTTCCGTCACCCGTACAAGTACAAGGACGTTACCGAGACATTCATCGCCAACGAGGGCATGTACACCGGTCAATTCATCTACGCGGGAAAGAACGCTACGTTGACTGTTGGAAACGTTCTGCCTCTGGGCTCCCTGCCTGAAGGTACCGTCGTCACCAACGTCGAAGAGAAGGTCGGAGACAGAGGCGCCCTTGGCCGAACATCTGGAAACTATGTCACGGTCATCGGTCACAATCCTGAGGAGGGCAAGACCCGCATTAAGCTCCCATCGGGTGCAAAGAAGGTGGTCAAGAGCCGTTCCCGAGGAATGGTTGGCATTGTCGCCGGTGGTGGCCGTACAGACAAGCCCCTGTTGAGTATGTCACTACTTCGGGGCATAGAATCATATTCGCCGCTGTGAAGATTCACTAACTTGATATTACAGAGGCCTCCCGGGCTAAGCACAAGTTCGCCGTGAAGCGTAACTCGTGGCCCAAGACTCGTGGTGTTGCTATGAACCCTGTCGACCATGTAAGTGCCCTGGACCCTATGGTTTCTGATGAGCGGTGCCTGACTACGATTTCGTTTTACAGCCTCACGGTGGTGGTAACCATCAACACATCGGTAAAGCTTCCACAATCTCCCGGTACGCTGCACAAGGTCAAAAGGCCGGTCTCATTGCTGCCCGGAGAACCGGTTTACTTCGTGGTACCCAAAAGACAAAGGAGTAAGCTTAATTGGATGGCGTATTTCGTTCGGTTCGATTATGATAGGATGTGCGGGATGCTTTTCATTTTTTTCAAAGGCATACATGTATTTGATGGGTTAGCCGCCATAGTTCACGAAAAGAGCAAATCTATCATGTGGCCGAACTTTCAGCAATAATGATGTGTGACGATGTTCTCCGTACTTCTCCTCCGCCCTGTAGAAGGTGGTTCACACGGCGCACGGTGGACGGGCGGTGTATGGCGAAGCGGTGTACATGCTCAGCCGGCGAGGAGGGCCGGGTTCCCCGCCGTTTCGCAGCCGCGATCGGCCAAGGCTGGCTATCCCGTTGTGCTAGGGGAAGCCCGTTGGCAGGCATCCAAGAACGAGACTTGACTTGCGGCCAGGCGATCCGAATAGTGCGGTGGAGGCCAGCGGCCCGGGTCGTAGGTGCTTATGCTTTGTTTGTTTCCCCTCTTTGTGTACAGCATGCGCCTCGCACCGCGCACGGCGGGCTGACGTGACGCACGGCGCTGCGGGCAGCGGTGGTTGACGTGCAGGTGTGCGAAAGCGACCCCGCAAGGCAACCTTGAGGGGGGCTTCGATCAGGGGCTGAATTGGGCCTGGCGCGTGCGTTGGCTGATGGGATATGGGGGGGGGGTATGGCGGGCGCGTCCGCCCACAAAACCCTGGATAGCGCGGGTTGAGGCTCAGGCGTGCCGCAGCGACAGGCGATGCCAAGGCGTGGCAATCGCTGGACTCGTCCGATGTAACTGCGCAGGCGCGAGCGGCATGCATCGCGCCATCGCGCGGTGGCCGGTGCAGAGTTCCGCTGCGTGCCAAGGGCAGGCAGCTCGGGGTGGTGCACCCCGAAGCCGCGGGCACACACGCGGGCCGCCAAGCGGGCGGCCGCCTCGCGTGCAGCGTCGCTGGATTCCTTTCCGTCGCGCTCCTTTCGCCGGCGGGTGGGCGGCCAAGCACGGCGGAATCGGCACCCACGGAGCGGCGCGCGCAGCCGGCCCACGGCCAATCAGCGCGCCGCTGCGGCTGACCTCAGCGCACCAGCCACCGCTAGCCCCGTTCGGGCGGCGCCAAGGCCCGTCAGCGCATGCCGCTTCCGTCCGCGCCGCGCCATGTGACCGCGGCCGAAACGCACTAGGCCGCTTCGGGCGCCAGCCGGCTGACTCAGCGCAGTCGACGGCCGCCCGACGCTGTGCAGTCTCCCCGATTGCTCCCAAACTGGCCAATCATGACCCCGCCACACCGCAGACTGGCCCATTTCATCATAAAAGTAAAGCGACGGGGATCTCGCTGCCCGCCGGCAACGAACGCTTCCTGCACTCCTATATATCCTGCCTGGCTGCCCTATATCCTCCGTCTGTGGCTTCTCGTTTTTTGTCCACAACCCCCCAGACCACCCTTATCCTCTTCCAGATCTAGCCGTCTTGCTCAAAAGGCTTGGGCCCGTTTATTCCTTGGTTCCCGCCTGCAGTTCTCCATCCACTCCCCCGTCTGCCTATCCCTCGTCAAAGAGCTGCCCCAACGCACCGTTTGCTCACGCCCATGACTTTCAATCGCTTCTCTTTGTCTAGTGCCCCTTCTCAGTAGACCCAAGTTCGTCCGCCTGCGCCCGAGCGACGAGCCCAACCCAGCCTGAAAATCTGAAAAACACACAGGACACAGCTGGCGCGCTCCGCATGGACATCACACACGCACAGGATTTCATAAGACGAGCTTCCCTGCTGTATTTCCTCTCCCTATAGCCCTGTCAGTTTGGGGATCATAGAACTAGCCTACATAAACCACCTCTCTCATTCCTTCCGATCGATTCCAACCCTGTTCCGCGACCCAAGCCCTCGATCCCAACTGTTCCGTTTCCTTGAGTGAAAATGACGCATGCGGAGGACACCAAGCAGGCATACGCCACTGCGTCTGCGCGGTGGCGCGCCATTGTGAACCGAGATGCCGCTGCGACTTGTTTCGTGTATGGCGTGAGAACAACTAAGATCTACTGTCGTCCGCGATGTCCTGCACGCTTGGCACGCCGAGCTAACGTGATTTTTTACGATACCCCATCTCAAGCGGAAAAAGCAGGATACCGGCCCTGCAAGCGGTGCAAGCCGGAGGATCTTCGCGCCCCAACAGATCCTCATGTTCGTCTCGCACAAAAGGCCTGCGAGACGATGTCGCTCGCGGCTATGGCTGCTGGGGAAAGACAACGGCCGACGTTGCAGGATTTAGCTTCGGAGGCAGGATTGACTCCCAGTCACTTCCATCGGGTATTCAAGAAGGTGGTTGGTGTGACTCCAGGGAAGTACGCGCGGGATCTGCTGGAAGGGAAGACATTTCACAAGAAGTTGCCGGATGGAACGATTATAGGATGGCCGCCAGTGCCACCGATCGGGACCGATACTGTCTCAACGACCCAGACCCAACCTCATACTCAAGCCCAAGTCCAACAACAACTACCAGCCCCCATACAAACAACGCTTCCAGGTCCAATACAAGGGCTGGGAGTAACGTCAGGATTAGATTTGCCAAATCAGGCATTAGGACAAGATCCAAGCAATGTGGGGATTGACTGGAATGAGTTTGATTTGATGCTGGCTGCAACCACAAGGCCGCCAACAGATTACATTGGCAACGGTGGGTTTTACATACCTACAACAGATCACCATCTTGACCCGAGCACTTTGGTTGATACATCCATGTTCTCTGTGAACCCTCAGTCAGGTGGCCACCTTGGTTTCCCAGAATACGTGAATGACACGGTTGACTTCTCGCTGGGAACTCCTCTTTTTGATACTCCTGCCCTCACTACACGACTCACATCTGTGCCATCGTCGTTGCAGTCGTTATCACCCACCGACTCTCCGCCATTGTTCGACTCGTGCGATTCTCCGCTACTGTACGAGGAAGTTGACTGGATAGAAAACTCAGGGCTGTTTCAGACCTTTCCCTAACAAGGTTAACCGCCATGGTGGAGACGTCTAGACACTAGTTATGCATTGTATATATATATATATATATATTTTTTAAAAAAAACAATAATAGGTGATACCCAATGGCATGTTACATTAGCAGAGTGGTGAAATTGAGATTGTGATTGGGCAATTTGTCGTAGTCAAAGCTCATGTAGCGAGTGTTCGTATGTCATTGATCAGGCCATCCCCGATCAAACCCACCAGGGCATTTGTGGACGACGGTTGCAAGACGTGTTCAAAAAAAGCGTCGAAGGATTGTCCCACTGTTAGACGGTGCCGCCAGGTCATAGGCAATATATCCGTACCCTGGGTTAATTATGTAGTTAGCATATAAGGCTGCATTCGTCAACACCAGCGTGCAGAAGATAAGCGGAAGACAAGCGCGCGAATTGGCATTCATGTTGCTTATGGTGGCCAATATGACTCTTGAGATCCAGACCGAGGCGAGAGAGGCAAAATATCAGTGACAAGCCTTCTCTAGCAGCCGAGTGGACCGGTCCCCAAACGCGGGCGGGCTGGCTCGCGAGCGAGGGGTGCGTGTTGTACGGGTTGAGTCCGTTTCACATTTCGGCTGGGCGCAACGACGCCTGTTGCTCCACTGCCAACCAGTCTCCCGCAAGGCTGTCAATGCTAGACAGGGGCCGGTGGGCAATGGTGGCCATGGAGGATAGCGAACGGGTTCTGGATCAGCGCGGTGAGGGAACGATGGAACAGCAAAGGAACGAGGCCAGCCCAAAGCGGGAACAGAATCAAACCGCCATTAGGATTCCTCAAACGTCGGTGGAACAATTGACACCCATCCTGGCCCCCCCACCATCTCATGAAGTATCGCCTGCACCGCCGACCTGACGGTGCCTGAGACAGGTGAGTAGCGATGTTCTGAGGAGCGGTGATTCGATGGTGGGTTGGTGGGCGTTAAATGAATGGTGGTGAGTTTGACTTTCCCGCGCCCTTCATTTCCTTGTTTGTCGCCCCCCAATGTCCCTTTTCCCGCATGCTGATCAAGATGTCGAGAAACTATATGCAGTAGCTTGTGACAAGCAAAATAAAGTCTTGTGCTCCCTGCAGCCGGGCAATTCCTGTTTCTTAGCAAAATAGCATATTTAACACGGGCCCCCGAGCCAATTTACCTTACACTCCACCTCTTTCCCTGATCCCTCTCTTCCCTAAGCAATATCATTTCTCCGGTGGAAGATACCCCGACGCCATTCACTACCCATCTTCTCTTTTTCCATGCTGTGAAGAGAGCATGCAGGAAATCGTCACCTGTCATTCTTTTTAATTCCCTAGTATTCTTTCGCTCGTTACTTGTATTATTTTGGACATTCGGTTTCGGCGCTTGCAACTAGCACATATCCCTAGAACAACACCATGAACGTCAACAAGAAACTCGGCCGCTTTAAGCAATGGGCGGGGGAGCGCATGGGCGGAGAGGTCAAGACAAATGTTTCCGACGACATTCGGGCACTGGAGACTGAAATGACCTTGAGGCAAGAAGGTATGGATGGCCGAAGAAAGTCATTTTTGAATGCACCCCCTGATTATTATGGCAGGCCTGGAACGCCTTCACAAGGCAATGACATCCTATGTCAGGGTGATATCCAAGCGCAATGAAGGAGGCGACAGTGGAAAATTGCTTCCTATCGGCCATTTGGGTGGAACGATGGTAGAGCATGGGCAGGACTTTGAGAATACTTCAGAATTCGGGCAGTGTCTTATCAGTCAGTGTTACCAGGATGTAATCCATCTAATTGTGTCATTACAGCCTCTGACTATGTCGTATTTTAGGCTTCGGCAGGACGAACGAGCGCGCTGCTAGGATTCAGGAACAGTATGTCGCAGATGCGACAGCCACCTGGCTGGAGTCGTTGGATAGGTCTCTTGCTCAAATGAAGGAATATCAGGTACTTTTTAAAGAGCAGCTCTCTGTGTTTGAATGCATCCGCTTATACTTGGATTCCAGGCTGCGAGGAAGAAACTCGAGAGCCGTCGTCTGGCATACGACACGTCGCTCGGAAAAATGCAGAAGGCCAAACGAGAGGACTTCCGCGTTGAGGAGGAGTTGCGTCTACAAAAAATCAAATACGAAGAAGCCAGCGAAGATGTTTATCGAAGGATGCAGGATATCAGAGAAGCAGAAACCGAAAATGTCTCCGACCTTCGATCATTTTTCGACGCTCAACTCACATACCACGATCAATGCCGTGACGTGCTCTTGCAGCTCAGGGACGAATGGCCATCTGGGTAAGATTTATTGCTCTATATACTCCGCCTGGAAGTGAATTTCGTCCAGCCACTCGCTAACGTGATCAACAGCAGGCAAAGCCACAATCACAGTCCTAACCGGCGACAACCTACTTCTCGAGCCGTCACGACACACTCTATTCACGATCAGTTCGAGCCCGTGGATGAAGATTCTGCCGAGTTCCGTGCGCCGCCATTGCGGCCCACACGCACCACTTCCTCATCATTCGACGGATCGTATCAGAAACCATCTTTTAGCCGGACGTCCACCTTTGAGGGACCCACTCAACTGCGAGGACGCGTATCGCCCTCACAACCGACCCGCGTCATGAGTGACGGTGGCTCGATTAGCAGTTTGAAGTCGCAGCTCCGTTCCACGCAGCCTAGGAGCAATAATAATTACGATGCGCAGTACACGTCGCCGGACGACGGCTACGGGAGAACTAGCCCGGAGCGGTACACTTCGAATGCACCTGCGGGCTCGAGCGGGCATCCGCTCGCCCGTCCAGGTAGTGTGTTCAATAATAACGTCAACAATAATAGCGTCTCTCCGCAATCTTCTATTCGAGCGAAAAAACCTCCGCCGCCGCCGCCGCCAAAAAGAGGCACGCTCAAGGCATAGGGCCCCATGTATCTGGATGGACTTCATGAATGGCGTTCTTTCGTATGTTTCAAGGAGTTCAGGGAAAATACAAATGTTATTTTTAGGTCTTGACTTTTGCGGAGAAATTCCACTTAGAAATTCAGCATTTTTATTGCATTTGTTTTAATCCACTCCTCGTTCTCATACCGAGGTCGCGAATTAGTTCAATTGCCTAACACCACTCTTTAAAAACACATCACGATTACATATACATACATAAACGAAGTAGACAGGCAGAGAATTGCATTTTGCTTGACTGATAAATGCCATAAAATTTAACTCGAAAGGTTATGGCAGCTTTGTAGAGTGGAGATTGGTTAATTTTTGTAAGCGAAGAAAACAAATTGAAAAGCAATCAACGTCCTCGTTTGTAAATGCAGAAGAAAAAAGATGAACAAATTCCCATTACCCGCTGCTCATTCTTGCCTTTACCAACTGTAATCCCAGTCGTCCTTCCATCGAGCAAGATGCTGGGGCTCATCGAGAGATCTAAACAAGCTAACAATCTTGTCACGGGCACCACTGTCATCGAGAAACATCGCAACAGCCAAATGCAAACGGCACAGCTCCACTTTGGGCGGAGGGATGCTTATTGCTGCTGGTGAAGTACCAAAAAGCACGCGAGAGTTTGCCGGAAGTCCGTCGATGTCATAATGCTGGCGAGATGCAACGCGTTCAACGACGAGGTCTGATCTAACATCCGTCACTAGACCGGCTGGGGCCTTGACGGACCAGTAGAATTCGCGAAAGCTCGGAGCGAGAATGTCAGACATGAAGAATGCATTCACAGGACGGTCGATCAGGTCACGAATAGAGTTGATTTGACCACCGGTGAACACACGAATAAGATGATGCGCTTGATCATCATTACGCAGGGTTTCGGGGAGAATACGAACGCAGGAAACCAAGCCAAAGGGTCCACGGAAGCATTTAGACGCGCTGACATCGTATACTCCGGTAATGCAGCAGCGGTCGCTCTCACGGGTAGATACCTATCAAAATCAAAGTGAATCATACGCTCCACCAGATACCTTACGAGTCAGAAAGACTTACATTCAGGGTTAGCAAACGGTCAGCCTCAGATTCAGAGATTGCAAATGATCTGGCAGAACCTCTATCCATCACTACCCATAGCTTTAGTCGGCGATACTGCATGGTCTGGGAAGAGGACATACAAGGCAAAATGAATTTCATAACCCAAAGATGGACGAATTCATTTATGGCACGGCGAACAAACTTGTCTTTCTGGAGCTTGCCGACCAAATAATCCTCTGTCCACGCCTCCCTAACGAAGCGAACACTCTGCAACTTGGTCAGAAACTCGCTGGTAACGGCTTCAGGACATAGGGCCCGCTTCAGGAGAGCCAAGATGAAGGCCCGAGGATTAACGGATGCGTTAATGTTCGGGTTCAGCTGGGTCCTGGGAAGATCTTCCGTGGGATGCAAACGCTCAAACGACGCGATGACACGCTGAGCTTCCACCTCGAGATCGTATGCCATGGCAGGCGACTCTCTTACGGTAATGGAGAAACAAGGGTAGTATGGTATCAATAACAGAGTGCTGCTCGTGGAAGCAGAAAGGAAAAGAAATGGGAAAAACTAGGACAAGCAGCTTGCGGAAGATGACTCCTCGGGGGCAGGTTCTGGTGAAGAGGGAAGTGAATAGAAGAAACAAAGAGAAAGCAGGCACACATTGCAGAATTTGGCAATGGTGCTTAGTCGTCGTCGTGGGGGCATATGCATCTCGGCGTATCCTGTTCTGGTATCAGACAGGAGTGAGAGCGGCTTGTTCAGACGACTTTGATTTTTAGGCCTGGTACCATTGGGGCTTTGGACGGAATGTACCAGGCTGTGGAATACCTGTGAACAAGGTTCCAGGACTGCTGTGAGGAAAAGCACAAGCCTGTTCATGATATACGTTTTATCCATTGTGTCTGGTTCTAAAGGGTATATGTTTGGCTTTGAGCATAAGGGGTATATCTGGAAGGCCTCAGTCTCTTTTTATGGCATTCATCACTGCCACTGCCTCTACTCCTCCTAGGCAGATCGGTTAAGCGCCGGCTCCTGCAAGTCATCCCAGCTAATACAGTTGGAACGTCCATCCAGAGCAAGCTATAGAGCGTGGCTCTACCCGTCGCAGCAGAACCAGGCTCGTCATTTGGCCGTACTTCCACACTAATCGATCCCGTCTCGCTGCATTAGCTTGCAAAATCGGGCATTGAGCGTCCTCAAAGATGTCGTGGTCCCGTTGCGGCCTAGCGGCGCGGCTGAGTCAGCCACGCCAAATCACGTGGATGACCCAATCGGGCGACGCAGATTTGCTGCTGTTTTCCTTCTCGCCCTCACGCCTCCGCCCGGGTTGACCGTCGTCCACGGGAGTTTTTCGCGACGGCTGATTCCTCATCGCCATTTCATCGATCTGAGCCCTGCACTCCACCCCCCTCACGCGTCCCCGCCCATCCGTCGCCCTTATTCCCTCCCTGCGACCTGCTACCTCTCCTCTCGCCGCCACCTTGCCTGTATTTCGATTTTGCCTCCTGGTAATTGTCGCAGCCAGAACTTTGAAGGAAGCCGACCTGCCAAGCATCACAGAACATCAGACTTTAGCTCTCGCGCCCGTTCATTCATATTGATGCTCGCTCCAATATTACCAGATACTGTACAATAGTAGCCCTTGCGACCGCAACGCCTTCCAATTTTGCACCGCGCCTCGGTCCCCAGGCTGCTTGTCACTCTTTTATGCAACGGCCTCGTGTGAATAGGCAATGGCTTCTCTTCAACCGGGGCCGAATATGGCCGCCCTACAGCCGAGCCTACCGCCCAATCTGACGCATCAGCATGTCCAGGAAATCTACCAGGCAAGCGCCGCTTCCCCCTCTCCCAATCAGCCGCCAATCCTTCTACTCACCCAAGCTAACATGCCCCTAGAAGTATCGGCAGATGCAAGAACAAGGCGTACGCCCCGATGACCCTGAATTCCTTAAAGCCCACAATCTGCTTTCCGCCATCCAACGACAACAAGCCTTCCAGAAACAACGACACGCTCAGCAGTTGCAGGCACAGCGGTTGCAGCAAACCCAACAGCAGCAACAGGCGCAGGCGCAGGCGCAGCCACTGCCCCAACAGCAACCTAATGGTGTTCCTGTTGATGGCCCTACCAATGGTGTTGATGGTAATATACTCTAATTACACTCTCGATCTCGGCTTGAATAATATAGTCTTGCTAACATAGACTTTACTTGCAGCGCGAAATGGAGGCGCAAACAATTCTAGCACCCCAGATCCAACATCTGGTCAATCTGGACCTGCTGTGGCCAACTCATCTACCCAGAAAGTAGCGGCGTCTGCTACTGGAAGCTTCACGCCAGAACAATTGACTATTCTCAAAAATCAAATCCTAGCATTCAAAATGCTATCTAAGAACCTCCCAATCCCTCCCCGAGTACAGCAGCAACTATTTACCAGCAAAAAGGCTCTCCTTCTCAGTGGTGGCGACGCTACTGGCTCCGTGGATGGTGCTTCCGACGAAACTAATCGTGACGCCGTAGTGAAAGCTGACGATGCGATCACAAACACGCTCAAGACTATGTTCGAGTCCTTCCAGTCTCCCTACGATTCATACCCTGCGAGGGTGAGCTATGGCACTCATTCAATCCGCAAACATAGACGAAGGATCCCAAGCATTATGCCTTTAGGTACAGATCTTGATAAGTTGCGAGAGGAAAAGGAAATAGCATTGTATGCGCGTATCAGCGCTCGCAAGGCTGAATTAGCTGACTTGCCAGCCAATCTGAGCGTATGGGATACCAGCAAAACCGACTTACCTGACATGGTCGACGATTCTTTGAAGCTGGCCGCCCTGATCGAATACAAGATGTTGAATCTTTTCCCAAAACAAATTATCCTACGCAATAGACTGCACCATGAAATGATTCATCATGATAGTTTGGCAGTGTCGACAACTCGCTGCAGCCATCGACGTATGAAGAAACAATCGCTTCGCGAAGCCCGAGTCACGGAGAAACTTGAGAAACAACAGCGCGATGCTCGTGAGACAAAAGAAAAGAAGAAGCAGTATGATCAACTTCAGGCAATCCTTGTTCATGGCCGTGAGGTTATCAATGCTGGAATTCAACAGCGAGCTCGGTCGCAGAAGCTTGGCCAGATGATGCTTCGCCATCATCATGATATGGAGCGTGAAGAGCAGCGACGTGTGGAGCGAACCGCTAAGCAACGTCTCCAAGCCTTGAAGGCTAACGATGAAGAGACCTACATGAAACTGCTTGGCCAAGCCAAGGACTCTCGTATCTCACACTTGCTGAAGCAGACTGATGGTTTCCTCAAACAATTAGCCCACTCTGTAAAAGAACAACAGCGTACCCAAGCAGAGAGATATGGGGGTGATGATATATCTGAGGAGTCGGATCTCGAATCTGACGAGGACGAAGGTGGTGAGAGCCGTAAAGTGGATTATTACGCCGTGGCCCACCGAATAAAAGAAGATGTTACAGCACAACCAAACATCCTTGTTGGTGGCACCCTGAAGGAGTACCAACTTCGAGGTTTGCAGTGGATGATTTCGCTTTACAATAACAACCTTAATGGCATTCTGGCCGATGAGATGGGTCTTGGTAAAACAATCCAGACCATCAGTTTAGTTACATATTTGATTGAGATGAAAAAACAGAATGGGCCTTTCCTGGTCATTGTTCCCCTGAGTACGCTTACCAATTGGACCCTTGAATTTGAAAAATGGGCGCCTTCGGTAAGCCGAATTGTGTACAAGGGCCCGCCGAATAGTCGTAAAGCGCAGCAGCAGGCTATTCGCTGGGGTCAATTTCAGGTTCTTTTGACAACTTATGAATATATTATCAAGGATCGGCCCATCCTTAGCAAGGTCAAGTGGGTTCATATGATTGTTGACGAAGGCCACCGAATGAAGAACACGCAGTCGAAATTGACACAAACCCTTACCCAATATTACACGTCGCGCTACCGCCTCATTCTCACTGGTACTCCGCTGCAAAACAATCTGCCCGAACTTTGGGCTTTGCTCAATTTCGTTCTTCCAAACATTTTCAAGTCTGTCAAATCGTTTGACGAATGGTTTAATACTCCTTTCGCAAACACAGGTGGCCAAGATCGCATGGACCTCTCAGAAGAAGAACAGCTGCTCGTTATTCGGCGTTTGCATAAGGTTCTTCGGCCATTCCTTCTCCGTCGTTTGAAAAAGGACGTCGAAAAGGATCTTCCTGATAAACAAGAGCGTGTTATCAAATGCCGCTTCTCGGCACTGCAAGCTAAACTGTACAAGCAGCTGGTTACTCATAATAAGATGGCTGTCAGCGATGGTAAAGGCGGTAAAACGGGTATGCGTGGGTTGAGCAACATGCTTATGCAGCTGCGAAAGCTCTGCAATCATCCCTTCGTGTTCGAATCCGTCGAAGAAGAAATGAATCCTGGAAAGGGTACTAACGACCTCATTTGGCGTACTGCTGGTAAGTTTGAGCTTCTTGATAGGGTCCTTCCGAAATTCAAGGCATCAGGGCACCGTGTTTTGATGTTCTTTCAAATGACCCAAATTATGAATATCATGGAGGACTTTTTGCGGCTCCGTGGCCTTAAATATCTCCGTCTGGACGGTTCCACCAAATCAGACGACAGATCAGAATTGCTTCGACTCTTTAATGACCCTGGCTCCGAGTATTTCTGTTTTCTTTTGTCCACCAGAGCAGGAGGTCTTGGTTTGAACTTACAGACAGCCGATACTGTCATTATCTATGATTCAGATTGGAATCCTCATCAGGATCTTCAAGCTCAGGACCGTGCGCATCGTATCGGACAGAAAAACGAGGTGCGAATTCTCCGACTGATAAGTTCTAACTCTGTTGAGGAGAGGATCCTTGAGCGCGCCCAATTCAAGTTAGACATGGACGGCAAAGTTATTCAGGCTGGAAAGTTCGATAACAAATCGACTAACGAAGAGCGTGATGCGTTGCTACGTACCCTTTTAGAAACTGCGGACTCTGCAGATCAAGCAGGTAACGAAGACGAAATGGACGATGATGATCTCAACGACATAATGGCCCGCTCTGAAGATGAACTTGTGCTTTTCCAGAAGATTGATCAAGAACGAATAAAAACTGACCGTTACGGCCTGGGCCATCGACACCCGCGTTTAATGGGTGAAGATGAACTTCCCGACATATACTTAGCGGAGGATAACCCCACTGCCGAAGAACCCGAAGAAATCACTGGACGAGGTGCTCGCGAGCGAAAAGTGATGAGATACGACGATGGCCTCACTGAAGAGCAGTGGCTTATGGCTGTGGATGCTGAAGACGATACTATTGAGGATGCAATCGCTAGAAATGAGGCAAAACTAGAGCGAAGACGAGTAAACAAGGAAAAACGCGGCAAACGCGTTCAGGGCGAGTCTTCTCCAGAACCATCCAGAGAACCTTCGGCCACTCCACAACGTAGTAGTAAAGCCCGACGGAAGGTTCCGGCGCCAAAGCGAAAAGCAGAGGAGACAATAGACGATGCGCCCTCGAAACGCCGAAGGGGTAGACAAAGCAAGGCGGGAGGCACTACCTCCAACGCCGCGACTGATACTCTAAACAACTCCGACCGTGAAGCTCTACAATTGATTCTTAACAAAGTTTATAAGATTATAATAGGGCTTCAAGCGGATGTTCCTGCCGACTCTTCAGACACTGACGACGAGCCAACTACCCGCCCAATCATTGACCCGTTTTTGAAACCTCCCCCAAAAAGCCATTATCCAGATTACTATGTGATTATCCAGAATCCCATTGCCATGGATTCTATTAAGAGGAAGATCAATCGCGACGAATATCATAATCTACGGGAATTCCGTGACGATATTCGACTACTTTGCAATAATGCTCGGACTTATAATGAGGATGGAAGCGTCCTTTTCCAGGACGCCAATCAGATTGAGGTAGGTTGAGGTGTTTTTTTTTCCTTCAAATGTGAATTCAGTTGCTGACATACAGTTAGGCTGCCTGTATTGCTGCTCTGAAAAAGGAAACAGAAAAACATCCCGAATTTGCAGATTTTGACGACTCTGCAGACGGATCAACAGCTGCAGTCTCAAGTGCCGGGACTCCTCTTGCATCTGGAACTGCATCTTCACAGAAACTTAAGTTGACCTTCAATAGCTCCAAGGCTAACGGCGTCGATAGCGCCGCCGTAAGTGATGAGGAATGATAATCATGTGTCTTCTGAGCCGACGACCTTTTTTGCTCGATGTACACTTTTCGCCATGCTTTCTCAACGTCAATGACCCTTAGACGCTGCCATGATTTTCTCCCAAAACTAGCTTTATGCCCCGCTAAATTGTGAATTTCTAATTCCTCTTCAACTCTTGTGTTTTACCAGATTCATTTAACCCTCTTGGAGCTGCAGCCCGCGTTTATTTGCAACTTAATCGTTTTGCTGCGCCTATACCAGAATGGCGTTATTAGATTCTTTATTCTCATTTGAAACGACGGCTTTTGTTCTGTTTACTGATTGCTGGCGAAGGGGATATGGGGCGGCAAATATCGTGGATTGGAAACGACAGGCACTGAAATCTTGTTAAATATGGGGTGGAAAACAAATAACATTTTTAAGAATTCACTGCTCTCTTTTGCTTTGCCACTGGTAAACACGATTCTCAGCCAAAATGTCGGCGCTCTTTAAAGTATTTTGTGTATTTGACCCTTTCTTTCGCATGAACTGCTCTGTGGGAGGATTATGAGCAATCGGTAGTCGCACATTCAAAGTTATAATAAATAAATAACTAACAATTTTGGCATTTCTCATGACAATTATAATAAAATTGGAAAAAAGATAACAGTGCAAAAAGGAAATGGCAGTGACCAAGCTGAGACTCGAACTCAGGACCTTTTCGGTGTTAACGAAACGTGATAACCAACTACACCACTCGGCCTGCTGATGGTGGATATGTCTCTCTGGTTAAATTATGAATACTAAGCTTATTATAGTTTATTTCAAATTTCATTTAAAAATCCACGCTGGGCGTATGTATTGCAGAAAATACGGAGTAGGTGCTAGGAGCTGAAATTGTTGTGATAAAATATAAAAGGGTTTTCGTGCTAAAAGGAAATCTAATGGTGTCCGCAAGAATAAGAAATACGCGCAGATCAATATACAGGGCGCGAAACAAAATGCAACCAAGAATCAATCAATGGCCTTTGTAGTGTAACAGAGGTATGGAAATACATATAATTTTAAGGAGGAAAAGATAACAGTTGTTTTATCCCAAAGCGCTATCCTCAGACTAGAAAATCTAGAGAGTCTAGATCAAATCTCTCTTCACGAACTCAGCATGTAATGTCTTTCCAAGCGACGCAGGGCTTCGCTCGACGATGACACCAGCCGCCTCGAGAGCGGCGATCTTCGAATCGGCTCCACCTTTACCTCCACTAACGATGGCGCCAGCGTGACCCATGCGACGGCCGGGGGGAGCGCTGATACCGGCGATGAAACCGACAGCGGGCTTATTTGCTTTGTTTTCACTCTTGAGGAATTCGGCGGCATCTTCTTCGGCACTGCCACCGATCTCGCCAATCATGATGATGCCGTCAGTTTCGTCGTCCTTGAGGAAGACACGAAGGCAGTCAATGAAGTTTGTGCCGGAGAACGGGTCACCACCGATACCGACAACGAGGGACTGACCAAGACCAGCTTGCGTGGTCTGGTTTACGGCTTCGTACGTAAGGGTGCCTGATCTAGAGACGATTCCAATGCGTCCTCTCTTGTGGATAAATCCGGGCATGATACCGATTTTACATTGTCCCTAGGGAAGAAAGAATCACGTATCAGTTATGAACAAAGAAAAAAAAACGAATGAAATAATGGTAGTGAAACATACAGGAGCAATAATGCCAGGACAGTTAGGGCCAACTAATCTGGTCTTGTTTTGGGTCCTCAAAATATCCGTAATTCGGACCATATCTACCAAAAATTAGTTCAACCCAATTCAAACATTTGAACTTGACCAACCATGTTGTGGGATGCCTTCAGTGATACTACATAAGAAATTAGCGGGCAATTTTACTATAGCGTATAGGATACGACGTACCAGACGATGAGAGGCATTTCAGCCTCGATGGCTTCCTCTATACTCTTTGCAGCAACTGGAGGGCTACAGTACCATCAGCTATAGTTGGCAGTTATCTCAAAGAGCAAAAGCAGCTCACGGGACGAAGATCGCGGAGGCATTCGCGCCTGTTTCCTTGATGGCATCTCTCACGGAAGCGAAAACGGGACGGTCAAGGTGCATCTCTCCAGCCTTCTTGGGGTTCGTGCCGCCGACAACATTGGTGCCTGGATTATATCAGATACTAGAATAGCCGAAAGCGGACCAAGGGTCGAGTATACCGTAGTCAATGGCCTGTTGAGCATGGAACCTATAATGAGGCCACATATCAGCGCCAACAGGTTTATTCGGCGTCCTGAGCTTAATCTTGCACTTACGTTCCCTGCTTTCCCGTAAATCCCTGGAAAAGAACTTTCGTTTCGCTGTTAATTCGAAGGTTGTCTACAGTCGAAGCATAGGCGGAGGTAGATGCGATATGTCGGCGTTGTTGAATGCGGGATGCATTCTGCAATGTGGAGAGCGTACTACGCCTAAACAACTGCATCTTCGATATAGCGAGAATGCGAACGAAAGAAAGCGAGTGGAAAGTAAAGGGAAGCAGGCACAGGGAGCTCAGATTGATGCTCAGAATGATTTTCAACGACGTTCTGGTTTGGCTTCGGGATGGCTTGGCGTTGATGTGACAGTTTTACTTGGAGATGCCGCTTTTAGCCTGTCTACAAAGGTCTGGGGAGAATAGGGGATTTCTCTACGGGAGAGATAAAATCTAAGGAGAGTCCATAAGTGGTATATTCAACGCTTCTGGTACTCTCAGAGTTAACATCTGCCGACAGAAGCTTTCCAGAGGGAAAGCGGTGCCTCTAGGCTCAATCAACTCCTACATCGCACTAAAATAGCATGAGATTTCGCCGCAAAGGGGCAGGCCAATGAGAGGCGGGGCGATTAGCTAGAAGTGCCGCAAAAAAAGTTGAAAGCATGAATGTCTTCCAACTCGCCATTTCTCACAGCTACTAGGTTGCACTTCTAGCCAGCGTTGAACTAATTTTATATGGTATATAGCAACATACATCTACGAAGTTCTAGTGCCTCACAACGAGAGAAGCCCGCAAGATGGCTACCGAAACTCTCACTATGCGCCCCGTCACACAACGCAAGTTGCCAAAGGCTGCGAAACTCCCGCCGGAAAACGAACGGTATATGCGAGCATGCTCGGATATAGCAAACGCTTTGATCCAGGACTATGAAGCGCAGCGTGATTCAACCAAGCCAAAGAAGGATATCAACTTGAACAAGCTGCGGGGCCAAATCTCAAAAAAGCACAGTTTGAGCACACAGCCGTCACTCACGGCGATCATTGCTGCGGTGCCGGAGCATTATAAAAAATATATCTTACCGAAATTGATTGCAAAGCCGATCAGTAAGTGTGGCACATAAACACCTTCCTAAGACCTACGGTTTTAACATAATCCTTCAAGGAACTTCTTCCGGAATTGCCGTTGTCGCTGTTATGTGCAAACCCCACCGATGTCCGCACATTGCATACACCGGTAATATCTGCGTATATTGCCCGGGTGGCCCCGATTCTGATTTTGAATACTCCACCCAATCGTATACGGGCTATGAACCGACGTCAATGAGAGCAATCCGAGCCCGCTACGATCCCTTCGAGCAAGCTCGAGGTCGGGTGGACCAGATCAAATCTCTCGGACACAGCGTTGATAAAGTAGAATATATTATCATGGGCGGAACTTTCATGTCCCTCCCTGAAGATTACCGGGACGGCTTTATTTCACAACTACATAACGCTCTCAGCGGCTATCAAACCGACAATGTTGATGAAGCAGTGCAAGCTGGAGAGATGAGCAATATCAAGTGTGTTGGCATCACGATCGAGACCCGCCCAGATTATTGCTTGGACACACACTTAAGTGCCATGCTTAGATACGGCTGTACACGACTAGAAATTGGGGTTCAAAGTCTTTATGAAGATGTTGCACGAGACACAAACCGAGGCCATACCGTGGCCGCTGTTGCAGAGACCTTCAAGCTGGCAAAAGATGCAGGGTTTAAAGTAGTCAGCCACATGATGCCAGATCTTCCAAACGTGGGAATGGAAAGGGACCTGTTCCAGTTCCAGGAGTATTTCGAGAACCCAGCATTTCGCACGGATGGACTTAAAATATATCCAACTCTTGTGATCAGAGGAACTGGCCTTTATGAGCTTTGGCGAACTGGTCGATACAAGAATTATACTCCAAACGCCTTGATTGATATTGTAGCCCGTATTCTGGCCCTTGTCCCTCCATGGACCAGAATTTATCGTGTACAGCGTGATATCCCCATGCCTCTTGTTACGTCTGGCGTCGAAAATGGCAATCTCCGCGAGTTGGCTTTAAGTCGAATGAAGGATTTTGGCACTACATGCCGAGATGTCCGAACACGAGAAGTGGGAATCAACGAAGTGAAGAATAAAATCAGACCAAGTCAGGTCGAGCTGATACGACGCGATTATACCGCCAACGGTGGATGGGAAACCTTCCTTGCGTACGAGGACCCCAAGCAGGATATTCTTATTGGCCTACTCCGTTTGCGTAAATGCAGCTCAACACATACATTTCGACCTGAGCTCACCGGCCAGCAAACTAGCTTAGTGCGTGAGCTGCACGTATACGGCTCGGCCGTTCCCGTGCATGGTCGCGATCCTCGGAAGTTTCAACATCGTGGCTTTGGTACGCTACTGATGGAGGAAGCGGAGAGGATAGCTAGGGAGGAGCACGGAAGTCGGAAGATCAGTGTCATTTCCGGTGTCGGTGTTAGGAGCTACTATGCGAAGCTCGGGTACTGGCTTGACGGGCCTTATATGAGCAAGATGCTCGATCCGATAGATGAGGAAGATACCGAGACATAAAAACGGCGCTGTTGTGCTTTCATTCATTTTGGCCGTTTATGACTCTTTCACATAAGCGTATCTTTCTGCAAAGGAGTACTTTGGTTTGGCAAGTGACTAGAGGCGTTATTGATTAAAAAGTGAGTGAATATCTCGATGGATTGGAAAGCATGTGGCGTTTAGAGCTCCGGAACAGCATTGATGATCTTTTATGTCTACTCAAAATGTGGTACATAGATGCATGTACGAAAAAAAACAATACACATTCTAAGCTTCGTGAGTATGAACGGGTGCTTTGCGGCCCATCCGGCCCCTCGTTTCTATTTCCTTAACAGGATGGGGCAGCTGATACGAGCTAGAGATGACCCACGTGAATCGTCACTTCCAGTTCAAATCTCACTTCGAAGTCATTCTCATTCACCGGCCCGGCGTTAGTTGGCCTTCACACCTGCAGAGCCGCATCCGCCACTATAAACCCCCCCCTTCCCCTCTCTTCTCTTCCTCTTCCTCTTCCTCTTCCTCTTCCTCTTCATCTTCATCTTCATCTTCGATCTTCATCTTTATCTTCTATTCTCTTTAGCAACCGCTAAAATTCAATAAGTTAACATGAATTCGCGAAGAAGATCATTTAAAATAATACATCTAAGACCCTGGCCTGAGTTGGCTTATTAACATCTTCAAAAGACGAAAATAAGGGGCGCTCCTGATGGAGATAATATAAAAGAGGCGGTGCTACAACCCTCACATCCTCGAATTAAATTTTGAATTTCTAGAAACGAATCACACTCCACAGACTCTACCTAAACATAGATTGATAGTGTCACAGTGTCAAACACACAGAGGATTTATGACAGACATAACGACATCATGATCATCTTCTATGAATGCCAAGTTAAATGATGAAAGGTTGCGGAGTGCCATATATTCCACACAAGAGGCACATCATATCTGATGAATATTATACTCAAGTCTGCAACATTGCTTTCAATATTCCAGAATATTGTTTTGAATAAAAGAAAATATCTTTATATTTTCACAGCATATCCGATAAGCCAGTTTCTGGTCAAGACTTAGTTATCTTTACATGAAGGATTATACTGAACCTAGCCCAGTCCTTCAAGAAAATATTCCTTTCCGCGGGCAAAAGAAAGAAATAAGGGAAAGAGGGGTCAATAAATAGATTGGGCGGCGATTTTACAGTGAATCGAGTGGTTTGCATGTTTTACGGGTGGGGTTGAAAAAGAGGCAGTCAAAAATTGCAGTATTACCCCTAGGTCTAACGATTCAAATACCACATTGTATATTCCTGTGGTCACTTACTCTATGTACAGCATAGACTGAACTTGCATAACTAATGCTAGACAACTCCCAGATATCATGATGATGAAACCTACAACTCTCTACAACCCATCTCGGATTCAAAGCCTGGATGGCAGTCCAAACCGGTGCCTACCTCTCGTTGGCAACCCCGATGTTTCGAGTACAGAGCGTTGCAAGTAAACTTGGAGACCTGAGTGAGACTGTGATACTTGGTGTGGTGTGCAGTGGTCCAGCTGGTGAGAGGTGTTAGTGACGGCTTTTGCTCTGTTTCCACTATCTGAAGGCCGACATGGAGTCAGAGCCGATGCTTTTGACCCCAGAGTCCCAACACTTTACAGCAGCCCCCACTTGCAATTTCAGCATGACTCATAATTAAAGGCAGAATTGCAGACCATCCTTCTAGCTATTACTTCAGCAACACTCTTGTGATCAGACTTTCACTGTATCGCAGTCGCAATAGAGATCACAAGACATGGTACAGAATATAGAGAGAAAGAAGTGATGACTCTCTATTATGGGCAGGTAGCATCTTCTTCATAATGATTGTGAAGATGAGCTTTTTTACTTTTGCCATCTCTCTCAGTTTTACAGTCTCTTTTAATGATCTTTCTAGAATCAGATAGACCTTTTTATCTTTTTTCTAGGTAATGACTCTTCGCGCTTTTCTTTTCTTTACTTGATTCTTTTTTTTTTATAAAATGACTGAGAGTCCATGAATCAGTTCAGCAATATGAGACATAATGACTGACTGTTTTGCATTTTTCTTTTCTTTACTTGATTCTTTTTCTTTTTTTACTTTCATAAAATGACTGAGAGTCCATGAATCAGCTCAGCAACATGAGACACAGTGACTGACAGCATTGACACTCTAAAATATTGTCTGACTCAATTCTGACGGATTAGTTCAATATTTATGGGAAAGGCTGTGAGTCTATCATGCGCTTATGAAATAAACCGACTATTTATTGAACATCTCAGAGAACACATCTTTAGGCAAAAGATCGAATTGCATTGCCGAGCAAGTTGTCAAAATGAAAAGAACCTAGCATAATCCTACCTTACAAAGAGTAGTAGCACTAGAAGAGAGAGTCGAAGAACTCCAATGGAAGCATAACAACTCTACAGCAGCATCCCAGGAGAGAGAAGATGGGCTCCAAAAGGAGTGTGACGACTCTGCGGCGGCATTGGAAGGCGCATCGTTGCTGCAGTCATATCCCGTTATCTGATCACGCATACTTGATGGACATGGCTAGGCTGTCGCCTCCGAGGGTAATAGCGCGCCGCCAACTACCAGGGCTAAATATATGTATGTACTTTGCTGGTGGCTTAGGCATGGCTGCCTCAGGCGAACCCCCATCAGTCTCGATCATGGTCAAGATACAAGCAGACAACTCTTTGCAAAAAGTTTGCTACTGACATCTTAGAACGTTTAACCCTCACTGGCATGGCGGAGAGCTTCGCTATTTCCCTACTGAAAAGAGTTTTGATACAAATCAATATCAGTCAAAAAGGAAACGACGCCAACTTCCATTTAGGCTGGGGTTTGGGTGTAGTCGCGCCCCCTGCTCCCGGCGCCTGCCCGCCCTAGCCAGCCCCGACGAGTCCTGCGTCGTCCTGCCCGACCGCCACCGCTGTGAAGCGTGCCGGGGGGCTCATCGCCCGTGCGTCCCGGGAAGCTCCACCCTTATAACTTTTGCTTGCATGCCTTGGGGGTTTTGGCGGTCACCTGTTGGTATGTTATCAGCACCAAGTTGCGCCGACGACTCGCTCAACAGGTCCATGCATTTTGGGTGTTAGGTTGTTCCAAGCCTTGCTGACTAGTTAAGTCTCCAGATCACCAGCTCTTTAGGTGAGCTCTGGCGGATCTCTGATCTGCGGGGCCTAATCTACTACACCAGTAGATTAGGCATGGCTGCCTCCTCCGAGTGTTGGGGTCTCCAGCATGAGGTGCAGCATCTGGCCACTCCTACCACAAGGCAGCATAGCAAGCGTGCGCGTGCAGCTGCCCTGGTCAGTGTCAAAAGACGTCGTGCCCGTGACGCCACCCGCACGGCTAATGCTAGGCCCGAGGTGGCCACCCGTATACGGGGTCCGCCGGGTGCAAGAGCCCCTACCACAGTGATGAAGCCGGACTTAAAGTCTGTTCTGTCTTCAGATGTTGAATTTATGCAGACTTTGAGACTCTCATAATTGATTTTTAATAATGTTTTCAGCCCCAAACAGTCATTCTGTGTGATTGGGCCACCTCCCTGGCCTTAATATTCAACAAATTTATGAATGACAGTGTCAGAGAAAGAAGCTCCACTGAGCATTCTCTTGCATACTTAGCTGGCTGAAGACCATCCAGGGTATCTGATATTTAAAATTATTAAAAGCTTCTTCGAAGATACCCAAGCATCTTCTCAACAATTGTCCAAGAAGAGAAGAGGAACTTATTGGATCCACGGTCTCTCGCCAGAGAGGATAGTGACCATTGTAATAAAGAAGTTTATTATGGTCTATTCTCTGGCACATATGAACTCAGCATCATTCAATCCATGATAATGGGTCATGTATTGTGGAAAACCCCGAAGACTAAAGCACTTGCCTTTCCACAGACACCTAGCCCACAGGAATGAATTATGAGGTACCTCCTAGTTAACCAGTCGGATCTCCATTTTCAAAATTAATAGAAAATCACTTGGACAGAATTTCTTTGCAAAGACAAAGAGCATCAGTTGAAATGCATACCTGTTCCAATAAGAATACGTTTTTTTATAGTTACCAAATGAAACTGCAGACTGTAAACAGCTTTTCTCAGTGCTAACAATTCATGCAGAGAAATAATTTTGCTGTGCCCCCAGAATCTCCTGTTCTATCTTGAAGTCTAATGAGGATGATTTGTGATATATACTTGACCAAATCCAACAACTGGAAGAAATAACTCAATATCTTGAGAAGATGCTTGTTGTCCATGCCACGGCTCCCTTCAAACTCGTTCAACTCGCAGCTCCATTCTTCCTGTCAAAAATGGAGAGCCCAGAGTGATTGTCAACATAAGCAGCAATATTAGTTCTGCTTTTATCGAGAAGAACCCTCAACTTAATTGCGTCAAAGTCCACGATGGCTCCATGCATTGGTTTTCCCCTAGTGATTATGATTTTGATCAAATCTTGTCTTGTCTGTAACAGAGGAATTCATGTCAGAAGGTGTTCTCCTCCATGAAAGAACTTTAAGCCTTGATGGTACAACAATCACAAAATCATAATTTGACTGTATTTGCAGTAAAATGATGGAAAATAGGATAATACTCACGAGACCTCAGTATAAAGGAGATGTGTTGCATTGAGAATTCAAGTTTAGAGTCTGGCAATAACAAACAAAAGCTATTCCTTGAAAACATTGAGTTTCCAAACATTGTAGATAGTTTAGATGTAGTCTGCTACGTTGAGTGTCGAGACTATTTCACAACTGGCTATCACGGTGATTGAGGAGAGATGTACCAGTGTTCTGACATCCTTCGAGGAATATACCGTAGAATATAACCTCATGTCTTGTTATTGTTTGCTGTTAGAAAACCATCCACGAGTCACATCTCCCAGCACTGAATTGTACTATGACGTGTGTTATTGCTTTAACGGGTTATCTGAACGGTTAAAACGTCGTAAGCGCCTTCGCTTTCGCCTTGACAATTGTAAAACAGCACACGTAACAGTAGGATGGTGAATGCGTCAAGGGAGTAGGGAGTACTCCGTAGCTGTAGGATACGTCATTCATGCCGCCAAGAATGAGTTATCACTCACAATCTCAGAAGCTATGATCGCTGATTGGCTAGTCGTTAGTTAAGAGCATAACGCGTCATCTTGTACTCCGTAGTTAGTTCGTAGAGTTGATTGCTTTTCAAGGTACCTTTTTCCACCAAGAAAAGACGAAATCATCGATATTATTGGGCTTGAGTATCAATACATTCTCAACGAACTGACCTAGTGTTGAAAAATTTGTAGCCAACTTGATAGGCACCTGCAATTCTCGATTTTCGTGCCCGTTCATCTTTGGCAATTCATAGTCATTTGTCCCCTAACTATGTACCTATGTAACTTTGCACGGAGTACTTTGTAGGTGTGTGTGGCTTTTGGGGCTTGGCTGAGTGGCCCGAGATCATGCCGCCAAGAATGAGTTATCACTCACAATCTCAGAAGCTATGACCGTTGATTGGCCAAAGGACATAACGTGCTAGTCCATAACTAGTTAGTTAGGCCGATGAGCAGTACTCCGTAGCTCTTCAATGTATCTTGTCGATGAATGACTTGTGTGATTACTCCATGCAGCTTGTTAGATTTCAATATTTCAGGTGTAGCCCTGAGCACCCCTGTGCTACAGACTCAAAATATGTTAAAATATCCAAGATTTCTGCAAGAGAGCCATGGATATTCCTTATATTTGTGCTCAGAAGTGGGTGAAAGAAGGCCAACATTGGACTTCAAGTACCAATACGTTTAAAAGCAAGTGATTTATTGTCACAAAACGTTGCAAGCGACGAATAGACACCTGAAATCATGTATTTTCGTGCCCATCTTTGACTATCAATGGTCATTTGTCCTGAAAGTACTTCGTCGGTGTGTGGCTTTTGTTGTCTGGCCGCGTGGCCCGAGTCCATGCCGCCAAGGCAAGTTACTACTCACGATCTTGTAACCTGCTCCAAGCCGGCATCCGCACGAGCTCTTCTATATTTTAACAGCTACCCTAGCTTATCCGCAGCTCTATATTACTATTTATTGATTTATCCCTATTTTACTGCTCACCATGAAGCCCGTCGTATCTGCCCTGAACGCGTGGAGCTGGTAAGAAGGCGCAGCAAGACCCTTATCGCGGCAGCAGCAGCAGCCGCAAGGCATAATAGCTAACGTGTGTTCCGGGTTTCTTTCCCATCTAATAGTCTGGTCATTTCGATATTCGCTATCATTATCTTATCCGTTATTGGGTCTATGTTTAAAGTACGCCTCTCTCCTAGATGGCTTCGTTACGGGCGTCATCAGGGTCTGCCAGTCCACGCGGCTAACCTATGACGCAAATTCCAGAGCAACAATCACTCCTTCACTGGGTCAACAAAGGATCCTAAGGACGGCGCTGCCGTTGCCGGCTCGATCTTCACAGCAGTATTAGTATATGCTGTACGTCTCCACAACTTCCCCCGCCTCTCACGTCCCCCCCTGTTCCGTTATCAATCGGTCGGATATCCTGATGGACGCGCTGATCCGTATATCATCGACTTCTAGGCCTTCGCGGTGTTTTGCGGTGCACAGGCGTATCTACATGTGCGGTCGAGCCGGAGAGGGACGATTACGCTGTCGTAGGAGGCAGCTCCTTGGCGAGGAAAGAAAGGCATTTTTTTTTATGTTTCAACTCGGTATTCTTTTTACGGTCATGTCATAGGTAGCGGAGCAATTGGATCCTTTTTTTTCTTTTGGAATTGAGGTCATTCTTTATACGGCGCGGGCAACAGACTCTCGTATGCGGATACAGGCGTGCGGTTCAGTTTGGTTCTTACTATTATTTCCGTCAAACGAATTCACTCCTGACATCTATTCGTCTGATTCGGGATGGACGTTTGTGGCTTATAGAGCGTTTGCTCGGGTACGCGGCCGGCTCAATGCCGTCATCTTAGATTTTGGCGATGGGGTTGTAAAAATAGGAGGGAAAATTCTTCAATAATTCATACAGACTCAATACGGAGTACATAGCTTTCTATGACATTCTTTTAGATTTTACCTTGGCCAAATCAAACGACAGGCTTAGTCCAAGAACTAAGCGTTCCCAAAGAACTGCAGTGCATTATCTCAACAGGGCTCGGGCGACATTTCCTAAAACGGAGCTAGTTCCCGTGGATTTTATTCCATTCCACACACTCCGCAAAGGTGACGCCGCTCCCGCCGAAAACATCGAGCGCACTACCGATCGTGAGATCGACCTTACCGCCACTGCTTGTCTTGACGCGATGCAGGTCGGCGAGGCCTCGCCCGCCGCCGGCATAGGTCACTGGAATCGAGCACCATTCAGCCAGCCTCGAGACGAGTTCCTCGTCGATTCCACGCTGCAGGCCCTCGACATCGGCGGCGTGGATCAGGAATTCGGAGCAGTGCGGCTCGAGCATTTTGATTGTCTCTAGCACGGTGTTAGCTGTGATGCTTTTTTTTTCTTTTTCCTTTTGCTGGCTGTGTTTGTTTTTAAGAGTACAAGGGCGGATGTGCGGCCGGTTACATACCGTGTGTGATCTCCATTTCCGTAATAGTTTGCCATCGGTCCATGGCGACAAACCAGGTGTTGTCCCGTTTTCGACAGCTCAGATCCAAGACTAGTTTAGACGTATCATCTCCCAGGGCGTTGAGCACGGACTGCAACCGCTCCATGGAGAATTTACCTCCGGGGAAAAGGAAGGATGTGATAACGACCTACTATTCTTGTTCTGTCACCTTGTGTCGCATGTAACAGCACCGTTACCTCCGGGGAAAAGGGTGCATGCGACAATAAAAAAAAAAAAAGAAAGAAAAAAGACAATTCTCGGACGAAAAGGGTGTATGTACCTTTTCAGCGCCGGCATCTATCCAGTACTGCGCATTCTGGTCGGTGATTCCCCCAGCGACATGTAGCCCGCCCGGCCACGCGGTTAAGGCCTCCCTGGCCGCATTATCATTGCCGGGTCCCAGCATCACAACATGGCCGCCGGTCAGGCCATGTTCCCTGTAGAGCCGTGCAAAGTGCCCCGCCGGCAGCGCAGAGACGAAGTTTGTCTTCAGCTCGTCGGGCTGCGCGGACAACGTGCCGCCAACGATCTGTTTCACTTGGCCCGCGTGGAGGTCGATGCAAGGCCGAAACCGCGTCATTATTATTATTATTATTATGATTCTGCAGAGAAGCGACAAGGACAGGCTGCGAATGTTCGACTGACTCGAGCTTGCAGCGGGCGCCCGCGCGGGGTGTGTATCATCTCGCGCGCGGAAGGTTGTCTTAGCGCCGTTTTTTTTTTTGGGCGAGAGTACCACGTGACTGCCTTACGTCGAGAAAAAAATAGCTTAAGCGATCATGATTTATCGGTGAGCAGTTTGAAATTTTCCTACCCCGTGAGACAGGTCAGGAGCTTTCATGCTATCAGGGCCCGGGCTTCGCGTAAAGCATGCTGGGCAAAAGGAAACGAGAAACCGCAGTTGTTTCTCGCTTGGCGGAAGAAGAGCAAGGCGACCCTCTGACCGTACCCCCGGACTCTCTCGATGTGCTTCGACGGTATTTCGAAGCTCGGTTTGAGCCCCTGGAGGAGCCACAGCGGGCGCCTTCAAACGCAAAATCCGACAGCGAGAGCTCGGATTCGGAATGGAACGGCATCCAAGATGCCAGCGACGACGACGAGGCTGACGAGGCTTTGGAGGTGACACCGGAGGTAGTCGACCACAGCGCCTCCCACGAGTCAGGCAAAGAGGGGGACGAGAGGACGCTCCGAAAGAAGTTTATGGTAAATACCTCTCTATCGGGGGGCCGATTGGCATACGCTTACACACAAATTGATACCCTAATTTAGACAGCTCGGCCACCAGCACTATCGCAACCGAAAAGTCAAAGCCAAGCGGCAGCAGCAGCTGCGGCTCCAGCAATTGACGAGGGCGAGATGATCAGCGACGCTATGAACGTGAAAAACGACATGGCGCTACAACGCTTGCTGAGCGAATCCCACCTTTTGGAATCCGCCAGCGATCTCGATCCCACGGGCAAAACTCGGCATCGCGCCATCGACCTGCGGCTGCAGGCGGCCGGCGCCAGCGACTCGATCTTCTCGCAGAAGAAGATGCCCATGGCCCACCGCAAAGGGATGGCAGCCAAGGCGGCTAAGAAGGAGCAGACGCGCCGCGCCGAGGCGCGAGAGAATGGTATTGTTCTGGAGAAACCGACCACCGCCGCGAAGCGAACGGCTGCTGGCCGCAGCAATAATAACAATAAGAATAATAATGCAAAGCGAGATCGAGGCATCGGCGGCCCTGCGCTCGGAAAATTCGCCGGCGGCACATTGAGGCTTAGCAAGCGGGATGTGCTTGAGATTCAGGGGTCAGGGCGACGGGTGGTGGCAAAGGGCAAGAAGCACAAGAGGCACGGCCGGCGGGCGGTTTGACTCGCAAAATAAAAAAAAAAGCAGCCGCACAAGCATGTCTGGGTTTGCGCGGGCCCCCCAGGGCAAGCTTTTTTTTATTCCAAGGCTAGCATGACACTTGACACGACATCCCGTATGCCTGTTGTTGTTGTTGTTGTCGCTGCTGCTGTTGGCAGGAGGGTCACGGGTTTGCGGTGGGGATTTAGTCTCACCCAACCGAACAGAGTTTCCGATCTTTCTTTACCCTTTTTCGGAGGGTTCACTAACCAACTAACTACTATACAATGCCTTGTTGTTGTCCGTCGGACCTGGGGGCGCTTTTTTGTTCAAATTTTGGGTTTTGAGAATCCACGTGTGGATGCTGAAGCTAGCTAAACTTCCCCCCCAAGGAGCCTCGGACCAAGACATACATGAGAGTAGTGCACCATTTATACCAGGGCAAAAAAAAAAAACATAAAAAAGAGCAGAAACCGAAGGGGGGCCCACGGTTTCAGATGCCCTGTTCCTGGGGCTAACGACCCTCTCTGTCTCCCCCCACCCCTGTGTGTTGTTACAGATCTATTTTTGCCCATCATCATCATCCTCCTCCTCCTCCTCCCGCGCGCGCGCCAGACAGGGAAGGATATCCTTTCGGGTAGGAAAGGGAGAGCGTGCGCCGGGGCGGGCGCGCGGGCTTTGAACAAGAGATGCTAGGAAAATAATAAATGACGCTAACTAGTTGCATAACTTCACTCCGCAAGTCTTTTTTTTTCCTTTTTTGCTCGCCAGAGTGGCGAGGAATCGGCGGTTGTCTAGACCTTACTACTCTTTTGCTTTCCCCTTTTCTATCCTGCAACAAAGGGTAAAAAAAAATACCACGGACCAACCTTTTTTTTTTTGCCCTCTCCCCCTTTTAGTCATCGCCAACGGGTTTTGCACACACTATCTAAAGCGCAGCGGAAAGTCTGTTCGGGTCAGGCGGGCCTGACTCCTGCTGCTGGCCTGTGCGTAAGACAGAGAGAGAGAGAAAGAAAAAAAACAAAAAAACGAAAAAACGGGGGGAGGGAAGCACTGTCATGCTCGTGGCGCCCGGTCGTTCGCTTTTTTTTTCATGCAAGGGCACGAAGGAGTTCGTTAGTTGTTGCGGTGTGCAGAGGGGGGGGGAACTTGGAGGCCCCGTATTGTTGTGGTAGTCGTGACGCGGCGAGCTGGTGCTTCGTTCTATCTAGTTATGCTATGCAGGTGTGCATGCATGTGTGTATGGTAGTAGTAGTAGGAGTAGTTAGTTCGTCTATTAATGTATGTATGTCTGGGCTGTGTGTGGGCGGGATCGGCTGGCTAGCTAGTTGGAATTCAAATGCCTACTACTGAGTAGTTGGTTGATGGGCCAGCAGCGTGCCTGAATAACGCTGCTGGGCGGCTGTCTGTTGTCGAAGGATCCGCGGGGTTGGTTTGCGGTTCCTGGTAACCAGACAGCGAGCATTGGCAGACGGACAGAGCTGCCCGGTTTAGCTCGCGAGTTTATCGATATTGACTGGTTAACCTGATTTGTACCCCCCACCGCTGCTACCACCGGGAATACACTTTTCAAAGAGGCGCGCACTAGTCGGCGAGCGGGCGCAGCGTGAATGACGCTTCGTACATGCATACATAATATAGCAGCTACCCCATATGGAGTAGGCAGAGAGATCCGGAGATCCCGAGTTTCTGACAGCTGCGAGCTTGTCTGTTGCGCCTCCGTATGCAGGGCGCGCGTTAGCCGGCGCGCTAGCCGGCGACGCTGCACAGAGTACGGACTTGACTAACTACCTACCTGCTACTCGAGCTGGTGGCAGCACCAGCACGACGAGGGCCTACCTAACCGAGAGACGGACCGGATAACCGTCGGCGCGTGGACGCCTGACCACGTTTTTTGGCTTTTTTTGATTATCTATTGATTAGTATTTAATTTAATGGTGAGGGCGTATTTATTGTGGTAGTAGAGGCCGTGCTCGGCGCAGGACAAAATAATAATAAAGGGCTTTGTTGTTAATTACGGAGTATTTAGTTAGTTACCTAATATTGATAATATCGGCTGAGCCCGCGAGAAGATGATTTGCGATCTCCCGCTCGTCGTCGCAGGCCCCGGGCTTGCTGGCAGCGTGGGATGATTTTGCCGCCCCGAGAGAAAGATTAGTGAGTTGGTTAGATTGCCGTGGTCGGGCGCGGAGCCAATCATAAACCATGGGCCGCCACAGCGCACGCCCGCCCGCGCCGAGAGGAAGAAAGTCCGGGCCACGGGTGTTCCTGGCAGAGTTACCCGGTCCCTGACCCAGCGGCAAGGGGGGAGAGAGAGCAAAATAAGAGGAAAAAAAGGAAAAAAGAAGAAAAAAGAGGGCCCGTGGGTGCATCGACGTCAAGACGGAGGGAGAATTGACAGACAGCGCCACGACTTAGCGGCAAACCTTTTCGGGCTGTCAAGCATGCATGCATTGAGTAGTGTTGGTTAGTGAGTTAGTTAAGTATGTGGTGGGCTGGGCGGCGGATAAAAAAAGAGGCGAGTAAGTGGGCAAGGGCCCCCAAAGCGTGCATGCAGCAGCAGCAGCAGCAGCAGCAGCAGCAGAGTTGGCAACGGGCGTGATAGGGTTGTCTCAGAGCGCCGATCATGCAAGCGCTGGGAGGCATCGGAAGACGGTTTCAGATTGAGTTGCGGTTGCTGGGCGAGCCGGATGGCACGTTGGCAGGTCTGGGGAGATTCCAGACAGCAGCCAACGACTGCTGGACCGAGTAGCGAGTACTTGCACTGGACAGGCCCTAATAATAAGAATAAGAATACTACTACTACTACTGCGCACTGCGTACTGCGTACTCTGGCCTCCAATCTGCGGTGCCGTGGGCGTGCGGCGGGGGGGGGGTGCCGGACCAGGCAAGGCGCGAGTCTGAAACACGCCGCCCCCGCCAAGCCGCGCCCCTCGCTCGTTTGAGACGCCTGCAGCCCAAACAGCCGACGCAAATAACGCGGCCCGCCCGGCCCTCAGCGCGAGCCTGGCTGGCTGTAGTAGGAGGAGGAGGAGGAGGAGGAGGAGGAGGAGGAGTAGTAGTAGTAGTAGTATAGTAGTAACCAGTACGGACTACAGAGTACTCCGTACTCCGTACCTAGTTAACTCCTCCGCAGCACCACTGCCGACTGACGCCTCGTATTCTTGGTCTTCCTTGACAGCTGGGCCCGCGCCGTCAAACTCTGACAATACAAATGGCATCATCCCTGGGACCCGCCAGCCCATCCTCGACAGCACCGCACTACTACTACTACTACTGAGCCCGGGCAGCCGTGGCTAGCGAGCCACCTAGCTAGCTAGCGTGCGCGACGCCCGCTGACCGCTGCTGGCGCTCGCTCCGTGTCTGATACGCAGCGTAGCCGGCGGTTCTAGAAGCCGATCCATCCAGCCCGGCCGGTCGCCCGCTGGTACTACGTATTATTCGTCTTTTACTTACTCACTACTTTCTATTTTCTGGCCTGCGGGCTGGGCCCCGTACCGCGCAAAACACCAATACGCCCGCGCGGTACCTGTCGCCGCGCGCGCCGCTCGCCGTGCCGCCCAGGTACCCCCGCGCCGGCACGCCCGTACGGCGGCCGTATCGCCCGCCAATCCTGCCGCGCGCGCCGCCGGCCATAATTACAGCGGCTGCTCCCCTCCCCCTTCAAATCCCTCCCCCTTCGCCCTTCCGTCGTCCTGACACATCATCCACGCTTTTCTCTCTCTGTCTCTCTCTCTCTCTCACCCCCCCCCTCCCCCCTCCCCCCTCCCTCGACACCCGTTGTCGCTCCGCGATATCTTCCCCCCGTGTCGCTGTTCTTTCCCACCTTCGTTTCGGTCGGCTCACACCTCTCACACGCTCTTCCAGTAATTCCCATCATCTCTCACACACTACTCCCACATCCCATCCCATCCCACCTCCCCCTCCTCTCCTCTCCCGGGCAGGCCCAACTCCCCAAGTCGACCCTCTTCACTCGTTTCTCGACGGCTTCCGCATCACCTGTGTCTGAACATCCGCTGAGGCTGGTCCTTTTCTCTCACCCACGCCGCGCGCTGCCCGTTCTCTTCGCCCAGCGCCCTTTTTCGTTTCTCGCCGTATATTCCTTCTAATAGTCTTGCTACCGGCCCGCGTTCTGAACAGGTGCGCTCACACCCCCTTGCCCTCCCTCTATTTTTCTCTCGCTCGTCGTGTTACAATCCGTGCTTTGCGTCGTTGGCCCGTCAATGAAACTCGCCCTCTCGCTGCCTCTCCGGTTCTGACAGCCGTCTCAGACTCGCGCCTGTCCCAGCCTCTCCTTGCTCTTCTTCTCGTCCTCCTCGTGATGTATTCGCAACATGGTGCTGCAATGGCACCGCCGCAGAAACCCGAAACTTTTATGCTGTCCAATGAAGCCCAGCAGAGTCTGCCGCAGGATGCACAGGTTGCGCTCCAGCAGGTTGACAACTGTAAGTTCTTGTCTTTCCTCCGGCAAAAAAGAAGACCCGTTTTTAATGCCTGCTCGTCGCCCGTCTAGTAAAGTATTTTTTAATCTCAGCTCCCGTTGACTGGGCGCCCGACCAGCTCATCAGGCGCTTTCTTCTACCCACGGGCGACTATGTCTCGTGCGTGCTCTGGTATGTGTGGCTCGACTTCTGTCCCTCGCTGCTCTCACGCTGACGCGCGCCCAGGAATAATCTCTTCCACATCTCGGGCACCGACATCGTTCGATGTCTCTCTTTTCGCTTCCAGGCCTTCGGCCGTCCGGTCAAGAACACAAAGAAATTCGAAGAAGGCATCTTTTCCGATCTCAGAAACCTCAAAGCCGGCACAGATGCCTCGCTCGAAGAGCCAAAAAGCCCCTTTCTCGACTTCCTGTACAAAAACAACTGCATCCGCACCCAGAAGAAGCAAAAGGTCTTCTACTGGTACAGCGTCCCGCATGACCGCCTCTTCCTCGATGCCCTGGAACGCGATCTCAAGAGGGAGAAGATGGGCCAGGAGGCCACCACTGTCGCTGTCAACGAACCCGCCTTGTCCTTTCAGTTCGATTCCTCGCAGTCGCTCTACGAGCAACTGACCAAGGCCCAGCAAGCCAACTCCTCGTCGTTCTCCGCCCATGCGAGTACTGCCTACCACTCAGCCTCTCCCATGATCCGCACCACAGACTCCATGCCCCCACCACAGCTGCCCCCAGCCATGCCTGTTGTCCCCGAAGAGCCACATGATCAAGGTATCTATAACTCAGTAGGCCTTGCCGGTGTGACTGCCAACATGGCCGTGGGCGGTGTCAAGGCTGAGCAGGACTTTGGTCAGATTCAGTACGACCGTAACGGCATCCCCGTTTCGCGAGTTCACCAGCGCCACACCTCAATGCCAACCTACATGGAGTATTCGCCCGCTCCGTCCTTCGTCTCGTCGCACTATGATGAGTACGGCCCTCGCGGCATCAGCTTCGAGCCCATCACCCCCCCGCAGCACTCTGTGCAGCTGGGCTCCGAGCCTGCGTACATCGCCAACGAGGACACGGGCTTGTACACTGCCATTCCTGACATCGGGGCTTCGGCTGCATTCAACACCATGATGCAGCTGCCCCCTTCGAATTTTGCCCCTCAGTTCTCCACTGGCTCGCGCTCTTTCCCGGCTACCAACGTGTACTCGGTCATCGAGGGCTCGCCCACTTACAAACAGCGACGGAGACGGTCTTCGATCCCCCCAGGAATCACTAATGCAATCGCTGCGGCGACCGGAAACGGTCAGACCCATCCCAACCCCCATGCGGCATACCGGCCAAGCGACCTCCATCACTCCATGTCGGTTGCAGAGGGCGATGAGTCCAGCCAGGGCTCACCTCCCGGCCTCACGCACAGCTACAAGCTAGATGATACCCAGCGAACGCAGTCGCATGAAAACTCGCGACTGGGCACTCCCCTGCCAACGTTGGACGAAACCCAGGCCGAAGACCATATTTCGCTCATTGGTTCTCAGAACGAGATGCCAATGCTGACCAGTGGCGATGCGCTTGAGAGCTCCGGCGCTAATAACCGATCAAACCCCCCTGGGCCTGTGCGACGGGCTAGGAGCGCGACGATGATGGAACTGGGCCCGTACCCGCAGAAATCTCACTCGTGCCCGATTCCTTCCTGTGGGCGACTCTTTAAGCGCTTAGAGCATCTAAAACGGTATGGCTCACTTCCGCTTCTCTTTGTTTTTTCGCTTTGCTTTGATTCTTCTTTTTCTTTTTTTTTCTTTTTCGCTTTTTTTTTTTCCACCGTTTGATCTGCGTTCTACTACTGGTTCGGCCGTTTTCAGCATTGGTTTCAAACCGCTGACCGTTTCTTGGAATCCAGGCATGTGAGAACTCATACTCAAGAACGGCCCTATCCATGCCCTTACTGTAACCGAGCATTCTCGCGTTCAGATAACCTTGCACAGTATGTTTTCCCACTCCGTCTTCTGATCTATCCTGCGATGTGTGGCTAATTGCTTCGATGAACAGACACCGTCGCACGCACGGCGCTCAGCCCGGCCAGCCGCAACCAACTCCCTCTAACGAGGAAGATCGCGACCAGCACGACCCTGAGCCCGACCATACCGATCATGAGCAAGGTGTCCCTGAACCAACTTATATGCCTACCACGGTGAATATGGCTACTGTGACCATGCCCTCTACCATGTCCATTCCCAACTTACCCTCGATGGTTGCCCCTCAAATGATTAGCCCCCAGCTTCTTCAACAACATATTTGAGGCAACCATTCGCTGCGTGAAAGGTCTTAGGCACTACTTGCGCTGCTGCGGATGGTTCCATTCATCAGGCATTATCAAAAATGGCCCCTTTTGCGTCTTGCTTTTTGTTTTTTTTTTTTTTTTCTTTTTGCTCTCAGGATACCCCGTATTTTCTCTCCTGATCTCTTGGTATATTCCATGCAAAATCCTGGCGCCAGATGTTCTGCGTTTTGCTTGTCTGTTGTTTTTTTGTTGGGAGGGGATTCCCTGTTGTAGTCTCAGAGAGCTTTGTTTTGGTATATCCCCTTTCACTGGCTGCACCTTCGCGTTTATATACACACTTTTTTCGAAATGAAAATATGAGTCGCTGAGCGTTTTTGTGGCGAACTTTTTGGAAGTCACACACACCTCCCCCCTCCCCAGGGTTCCCTTTCTCTCCAGCCCTCGATGGGGATCTTGTGAGACTGCTGCCCCCCCTCTGCCTTTTTGAACCGTGTTTCCAAAGCAGATCTGTGATTTTGTTGGGTTCCTATCTCTTTTTTCTTGTTCAGGGACATTCCATTCTCTATCTGTTTTTTTTTTTTTTCTTGTTTTCTCTTTCTATACTACGTTTTAATACAATATTCTTTTTTTTATATCCATGCTCTCTCGCGCCCGCTCTCCGCCCTGACGCAACTACTCCCGAGGACTAGATGCTCCCTGCTTCAAACACCTTTCCCAACTCTCTGAACAGAAGAAGCTGGATGTGGATGAAAAACCAAGCAAGAAACAAGAAAAAAAACAACATATACCCCTTTCCCCTCCCCCTCCCTATAAAGAAAAAGAAGAAAAATGCCTCAAACACACTTATGATGCGGATGATGCAAGCTAGACATGATGGAGCTTTTTTTTTTTTTCGTTTTGAAAGGAAAGTGATATATGGAATACGGTCTCTCTTTTTTTTGTTTTATGATTTTTAGGCTCTTCTCATTTTTCCTCTCGTCGCATCTGCCGAAAGTTCCTCCTCGCCCCCTCCCAAAAATCTTTTTCACTGCGTACACACCTAGCCCACACATCGTCTCCGTTTTTTGTATCTCCTTGCCTGGTGTATCTTAGTCCCGGGCGTTTTTTCATTTTTTTGGTTTGTTTTGCCCTTGTTTGTCTCCAGTTTGGGTTCCCTCTCCTCCATTCCTTTTTTTTCTCTTATGTCTATGGTCTTCTTCCTTGCTGTATGCTGATATTCTTTCCTCTGCACCTGCTTTTTTTTTTTTTTTTTTCTTGTCTTGGCTCTTTCTGGTTTTCTAAACAGGTTGCAATTGCGGAGCTCTTCAAGCTAGATAGATATGTTAGCAATATACTCTGTATTCCAAATAAGTACGTTGACACTTTTGCCCCAGCCCATCTCCCATCGCCATAGTGTGTATGTACCGCATCAGCTGATTTCCACGTCCTGTCCCCCGACGAGCAGACTATAAGAGACTAAAGCCTATTTGTTAGCCTGTTCCTAGTTAGATTGGTCGCTTGTTGTACACCGTGCCTGTTCGTCTGATAGCGTATCCGGAGCCAATTTACTTAGTTTATCCCAAATTAAGTAGGCTTTAAACCTTGTATCAACAATATAATATACCTAGTTAGGCGAGGGAGGGAGGGGGGGATGTTTGTTTAGCCGGGTATCCGAACCATCTAGTTAGCTTTCCCCAAGCTGTGGCTGTTCCATAGGAAATACGGGGTTTATTTATATTAGAGACCCCAATGTATTACATCACAAAAAAAAAAAAAAAAGTGTGTGTGCCTTCAGGATGGCCATCCTCCCGGTCGATTGGGCCTTTTTTACTTTGCCTCCTCTTTTTTGGGGGAAAACTCGATCTCTCTCCAACCTGGAAATCCGCCCGTGAGTCGTAACTGCATGGTTTGCTGTCGAGCCTCCTCGTGTTTTGGATTTTACCCGCGTCAAGAGGCTAACCGGGCTCTACCCCATAGTTACTGCGGAGCACCACTTGTATCTTGTCTAGTTAGTAGTAGTGTCTTCCCTCCGATGAACCCCCTACCGCCGAACAGCCTGGCCTAGCCCGCAACTCTAGTCCCTACCAGCCAATGAGGAGCGTTCGCACGGCCATTCTAGATGATAAAACCAGCGCTCCGTGCCCGAGTCCTTCCCAGACCTACAGACAGAACTACCGGCGTTGCAGATCGTGCGCGCTTCGTGACCTCATCTTGGCGGCTCATGGAGGGATTCTGCCCTTTTTCCATAGTGAAGTGGTGGTCATCCTTTTGCCTCTAGGTGATTTGTTGGGAAGTAGTAGACGATGTCACTACTGAGCGGCATGGGTGTCGGGGGAGGCTGTTGGAGCGGAGGTTGCGGGATTTGAATAATCCCGCCTTGTGGCAAGAATGATATGATTCCCAGGTAAATCAGGTGAGAAGCCGCCCATGTGCGTTGTTATTGTATTGCATTTGGGGTCTTGGGTGGCTAGTTACCTGATTACCCTTGATTGTCAGCATGTTTTTGATGCAGATCATTAGTAGTGATATGATTTGATACTGATTTCTTGGGAAAGTCTGTAGGGTAAGACATTGCATGTAGATATTTGAGATCAATCTCACCACCTGTGGTAATAGTTTTGTATCAAGAAGAGTGGAGAATGCCTAGAATTATAAATAATACAGGGTAAGTGGTTGGGGAGTATTTGGTGCTTTTGTCAAGAGTTGCCATCGCTTTTGACCAAGGTAATGTAGTCTCTCCACTTAAGATGCAGAGGCTATCCAAGAGAAACGTAACAAGGCAGCTTGAGATGCCTAAGCAGTGCAAAAATAAAATCCAACAACATGGCAAGCAAATACTTGCTAGTTTGCTGTCAGAAGCAAGCTAGCAACCAATCAAATGGCCAATAATGCAGATACTCGGCCTTTTCTTCGTCAGTCTCAGCTAATTGCTCCAACACTTGAGCTTTTACTTCCTGGAGGGCGTCTCTGCAGTCATCGTATCGCTCTCGCTCGATAAACCCTTTTTCCGGCCACAAGTCGCCTAGGCTCTTTTTGACCTTTGCAACAAGGTCAGCTCCGGCTACTGCGCCGTCGCTGTCCCACTCTATACACACGAGATCTTCTTCCGAGAAGTTGAATGGGAATGGCCTATCACTGGTGACGACAGGTAGGTCTGTCCACGTATCTCTCAGGTCAGCCAGAAGCGAATCAAAATGCGATTCGCCGTATTCAAACATGTGATGGGCAAGAAATATCAACCCATACGCTGAGGTCTTTCGAAATTAAATCGCTTGATACATGTCTGGGTTTTTGGCATGCATGAGTTTTCGCCATCCAAGAAAGGTATTAAGGAAGCTATACTCGCGCACTGCCGCGGATCGTTGTTCTGGGGAAAGTCCAGAGAGATTTGGTCTTGGGATCAGGTCGAGAGTCTCGGGTTCAAAACCATCCCCTTCAAGGAAGGCCGGGTCGGGATTGTGGTTAAAGAGAGGCGAAATGTGGCATGACTGCCAGTCAATGAAACCTGTGATATTTTCGGGGTTATCTGGGTCCACATAAATGTTGTCACTATGCAAATCATGATGCCAGAGGTACGGATTGGTTATCCTAGTGTCCTTGGGGATAAGGTCATCAACGATTTGTTGATACCTTGCTAGAGCAGTCCGCTTTTTTCCGATATCCGGTTGGTAGAGCCTTGGGCCGCAGAATAAGGCAATCTGTTTAGGGGGTATCAAGTGTTTCATTGCCTTCGCCTCTCGCGACCCGACTGCTTGTAGATACTCCGTCACAGACGGCCCTATAAACTTGTCAGCGCTGGCATAAAGATGACATGCGCCTTAACGAACAAGGCCCTCTCTCGATGTCTAAAACCGATATACCCCCATCCACCCAATCCCTGCCTGTAGTCGGGCCAATAGCGATGCCAAAATCTTTGACAGCCCTGCCATCCCTGACGTAGTGAGTTCCTGTTGGTGACTGTACATCTCCTGCGTAGTATAAGCTGCCATAATGAGAAAATGACACGTTTAGCCATTGCTTTTGGAGACGTGTCATGGCAAGAAGCACTTGAAACTTTTGGGTTAGCTTCATCGTATCCCAGATTTGAGATAGGGGAACTAGCGTGGTCAACTCCATAGCTGTGAATTGTTTTTAGTAGGGAAAAGTTGTGGCGCTACAAGCTATGAGCTGGAGTGAAGTGCCAAATTCGTCTGGACTGAAGAGGAATCTGGGGATTTTATATAGCGAAGTGTAGTTAATCCAGTACAGAGCGCCTGAACTACTTGATGAAACATAGGCACTCGCCCAGTCACTAGTTCCTTTTATCCACTTCATGATTCAAAGAGTTGAAGTGCTTCCAAATGCTTCTTCTGTTCTTGTGAATATGGGTCAGAGTCCCAATGTTAGCAGCTTCATAGGTGTATATTGGCAGAAACACCTGTTTATGTATCACCGCTGATTCCAGACAGGGATGTACCTGTCTTAGCACTTCCATATAGAGCTAGAAGGGATGTTCGCCTGGCTACTTGAAAGTACCATTTTATCAATCTAGCACGTAAATTGGGTGTTTGAGCAACCAACTCTTATAGATTTCGGGCTATTACTCCTTTAGTTGAGGCAATCGGGCCACCCCAAGCCAGTGAATAACATAAGGAAACGATGCGACAAATGATACTAACAAAGCTCCCCGCCAGGTTAATGGTTGTCGCTCAGAATTTTGACGATCAGAGACAGCACGGAAATCTTTCATCAGCGCCTCCATACTCGCGTACTGTCCAGACCAACATTTTCTGATGATGGAACCAAAAGGAATGCCATTTGTCGTGGGCAGCTCCTGTGGTTCTGGTAAACGATTGTTCTCAAAATAGTCGTATTCGAAACGTTTCCAAACAATGATGGAGTATAGCAAGGATCCAAGTGCAAGTAGTTCAACTTGGGGGGTCGTTTCGTAAACACAAAACTGTTCCATGTCTGTATCTAATGGTAGCATAGCCGACTGGCCAAAGTCACAAAATTTAGGTGAATCATTATGGAGGAGGATGTTGCGTAATGCAATATCTTGATGAACGACTCGGCGGGAATGGATGTAACAGAACGCATCAATTAATGATTTCACCCACTGCACCCTGAGCTCCTGCTTTGGGCAAGGGTTGTGTTCGATGTAGTTTTCCATGTCACCTTGATTGGCAAAAACGAGTACAATTGAATCGCTGTGCTGATTGAGACAGCGGATAACGCCTTCATGGTTGCCTAAACGTTCAAAGACAAGTTTCTCATTCTGTATCTCTTCACGATGCATGAAGTTGGAATATTCCAGATCAGGGTGGTAGCTTTCGGGGTAAATCTTCGGGGTTTTGAGAACGCGGTCTTCAGAAATTCGGTAAATATCAGCACAGCTGCCATTTCCCACCCTCCGATTGTATGTTGTAGGTACTGTAGTTGAGTGGGTTTGGTTCGCCGTTTTCGCAGGCAGTGGCAGCGGGAGGGTTGGCATTGAAGAGACCAATTTCTGCCAGGAGGCAGTTGGAAATTATCAACAAATGGCAGTGAGAGAGGAGTGAGCACAAAATCACTGGCAAGTGTGCACGCTTGAAATGCTTGTCTTATCGGAGTATTTGTTGTTTATGTGCTTTGTAGTTGGTGGATTTTGAACATTATTGCTGTAGACTGTGTATTTGGGTGTAATGCTAGCTAGCCTGCACAAAAATTTCAGCACCATGCTCCGTACTGCTCATGCATACCTGTGTGAGAGTTTTCCCCCAGCTGAAAAGGGGTGAGAGCACCCTTAGAGTCATGTTGTAAGGATACTTACTACTTCCAGTCCCACACAAGGGTTCTTTAGAGTCAAGAAAATTATCAATATCATGATGACTTAATATACCATTCCGCACCTTCAGCATGCTGATCTCCGTCCCCTCTCACTATCATCTTGCATCCTGCCCTTGTTAAATGTCCCAAAGGTTGAAACTATGAGGTTTTGGTTGATGTTATGTAGCTCGGAAAAACGGTAATTAGTTATTCCGATGGTAGTGAAATGTATCTGGGGTTCCCCGAGTTAAAGCTTCCAAAGCTGAAGTTGAGCGACCCAATGTTGTTTTCAATAATGATTGCCGAACACAATAGTTCTATCTCTTACATGCCCTTTGTATAAGAACCTTGAGTTCACATTACAGAAATACCTTATAATCTAGTTAACTAGTTACTGCCTTGGCCCTGCCTGCTTGGATCTCTACTTGGCATTCGAAAGCCAACCTGGATAGTATTACCATCATTCAATGCAAATTCTCTTCGTGAGAGAGACCAACTTTCTCCATTATCATACGGATATTATTTTCGGTACCCTTTGATGGATCTTCTGCACTGACTCACGTTATACGTTTTGGTGACACTGGATGTTCTATATCTCTCTATAATTGAAGACCATCTACCAGTTAATGTTCTAAATGCTACCATTTCTAACTCTACTTATTAATATTACTCCTTAAGCACAATACACCACTTTCGAAGTCTTGTTTGAAACAGCCCTTTGACAACTTGGCGATATATTCTGCCTAAGAGTCCCTCCATCCTTAGCGCCAGTCCATAGCTAATGCCATCGTCGGTGCCAGAAAGGGAGAGCGATCGATCCCCACTCCTTACTGAAGGAGGAGAACTTGAACCAAGGGAAATATGGGAAGATACTGATGCGATTTTGAAACAGTCAGATAAAGAGCATGAATCTAAGAGCAGTTGGTATTTGTTCCTCCTTACGTTGAGTATTGGTGGGTAAGTAATGATTCCTGTTACCTTTACTTTTTGAGTTCGAATATGTTGCTAATTGTGATTATAGGCTGCAGATTGTTTGGGCTGTAGAACTATCAAATGGCTCTGTGGGTGCTTTGCGTCTTCTAGCATATGTGCTTTAATTTGTTTACTGATTACCAACTATAGCCATACCTGCTCTCCCTGGGCATGAATAAATCTTTACTTGCATTTGTGTGGATTGCTGGACCTTTGACTGGCACCCTTGTCCAACCGTATGTCGGTATCCGCAGTGATAATTGCAGAATTCCATGGGGAAAACGGAAACCATTCATGGTAGGAGGCGGGCTCGCCACAATAATCTCCCTATTGGCATTGGCCTGGGTCCGTGAGATTGTCGGTGGCATTCTGGGAATTTTCGGCGCTGCTCCTCGCTCTGAGGGCGTCAAAATTACCGTCGTCGTGTTTGCAACTCTCTTCATGTTTTGTCTTGATTTTGCTGTCAATACTGGTCAGTAATTTCCCTTCAAACCAAATTGAAGGAACAGACTTTCTAAGGTGAATTGCCATATAGTCCAAGCAGCTATACGGGCATTTATTGTTGACAACGCCCCTGCACATCAGCAAGAGTCTGCCAATGCCTGGGCCAGCCGGCTCACCGGAGTTGGGAACATTATAGGTTATATTTTGGGCTACTTGGATCTTCCAAAGCTTCTTCCCTTCTTTGGGAACACGCAATTCAAGGTTCTATGCGTGGTTGCGTCGATATCATTGAGTGCTTCCCTGCTTGCTAGTTGCTCGTATATTCAAGAGCGGGACCCTAGGCTTGAAGGCCCGCCTCACAGTGATAACCCAGGCGTTATATCTTTCTTCAAGCAAGTGTTCAAATCTATTCGACGACTGCCACCGCAGATTCGCAAGGCTTGTGAAGTCCAGCTTTGCGCCTGGGTTGGGTGGTTTCCATTTTTATTTTACTCAACAACTTATATTGGACAACTGTACGTCAACCCGATATTCGAAGAGCACCCCAATCTTCCAGAAGATGCTATAACGAATATCTGGGAGCAAGCCACAAGAGTAGGAACTTTCGCGCTCCTTATATATGCAATTATATCATTTACCGCGAGCATGGTGCTTCCCCTCCTTATTATTCCTTCCTATCGTCCAAAATTAACTGATGAGTCGGACGCAAATATTCGGAGTGGGAACCATCCCTATTTAATGCGACATCCGTCAACTTCAACCCTGTCATTCACCACATCTACCGGTCCAGCTATTGAGCCAAGTCATTCACCTAAACCACCTCAACAAGAAGAACGCAGCCTTTTGACCAGGCTCCAAATACCACATCTTACACTTCGAAGGTTGTGGTTTTTTTCTCATATATTGTTTGCTTTATGCATGTTCAGTACCATATTTATTTCGTCTACCCAGGCTGGGAGCGTGGCTATTGCCCTTGTCGGTATATCATGGGCCCTTACGCTCTGGGCACCATTTGCCTTCATTTCTGCAGAAGTTGCAGAACGCGATGCAGAGCGCAGACTACGAAAACGCCGGATTCAACAGAATACTTCAAGATCTAGGCATGGTCGCCCAATTGGAGAAGGGTCCGGTGACCCTGCCAGCGACATATCTATTGATGGCAGCCATGATAGCGAGAGTGGTGGCGATAACGTTGATCAAGCCGGGGTTATCTTGGGGATCCATAACGTTGCAGTCTCTTTTCCTCAAATCGTATCCACGCTAATCAGCAGTATAATATTCAAGGCTTTGCAGAAGCCTAGAGGAGAACCCTGGGATGATAGCGTTGGATGGGTACTGCGTTTTGGTGGTTGCGCTGCCTTGGGCGCAGCTTATTTTACAAGCCGCCTTGGTGAAGGAAAAGCCAAGGTTAATGATGCAGGTGTTGTGTAGGATGCCAGAAGTTCTTGGAGTAAATTTCATATTATTGATCAGTATATTCCGTATTAACCAGGTCTATTCCGTTGGCAATACTCTTGTGCATACTTCGTTCCATTGATCGACTCTTGGTATTTTTCAACAGGGGTATAGGTATAGTTAGTTAAGTCGGGTCGCACGTGACATAGCGATTTCCCGACTGGGCGCGGGCTTCCTTACTGCGCTGAAGACACTTTAGGCTCCTCTGATGCTTCCCATCATACTTCTGTTCTGCTAGACTGTGCAGACCCGTGCCGGATATACTTCTGTCTTCTCTGGGATTATGAGTGCAGTCTCCTGCTCCAACCGACTCGCCGTTTGTGCTTGTCCTCGCAGCCTCGCCCGCGCCGCCATAATAGCCAGCCATGGCTTCGATTATACAGGATGTGGCTTGGGGATCTTTGCGTATGAACTAGCCTTTCTTTTTCCTGTCCAGGGCGTCTTCCTTATGCGCCCATGGGTGAATTTTTGGCTTATATAACCGGTGCTTGTAGGAAAGAGAATGGAGGATGAAACTGATCCCGATGGTCTGATTGCGCCGTGCTTATCAACCCGCGTATCAACTAACTCGAAAACCTACAGAGTCGCCTGAAGCTGGAGAGAAAGAGTTCTGGACCTCCTGGGCCCTCTTCATCCTCATATTACTCTTAATTACCGCGCTCTTTACCAGTTACATCCTAAAGCAGAAGCGAATTCAAGCTGTTCATGAGACGGTCCTTTCCATTTTCTCTGGTGGGTTGAGTTTATTTAGTTGGCATACTACGCCTATTTTTGCTAATTCTGCTGGGTCTTTATAGGCATGGTTGTTGGTCTGATTATCCGCATAACTCCTGGAACACTCATTCAGAAGTCCGTGAGCTTCAATTATCAGTTCTTCTTCAACCTGCTCCTTCCCCCGATTATCCTGGCTTCTGGATATGAGCTGCATCAGGTTAGTTGCTATAAATAGGCTCTAGATACGTCGGTTGCCGCGACACTATTCCCAACGTTCTGACACTGATACGGTGTGGCGCAGGCCAATTTCTTCAGAAATATAGGAACGATCCTTACGTTCGCCTTCGCCGGAACCTTTATATCAGCACTGGTACTAGGGACGATCTTGTTCTTATGGACGAGGATTCCTCTGGACGGTCTTAACATCTCTTTCGTCGAAGCGATCTCAGTCGGCGCCACACTTTCTGCAACTGACCCGGTCACAATTTTGGCTATATTTAATGTATACAAGGTGGAGCCGAAACTTTATACAGTGATTTTTGGAGAATCCATTTTGAACGATGCGATTGCAATTGTTCTCTTCGAAACTGCCCAGAGGTACAAGCCAGGCGGCGCCGCGGGAAACATCACTATTCTCAGCTTGTTCGAGGCCATCGGCGTATTTTTGCTGGTGTTCTTTGGCAGTCTGTTGATTGGTGTGGTTGTCGGCGTTGTCACAGCTCTCGGTTTAAAGTATACGCATGTCCGCCGAGAGCCGAAGATTGAGAGCTGCTTGATTGTCCTAATTGCGTACGCAAGCTATTTTTTCTCAAACGGCGTTCACATGTCTGGTAAGCTTTCCCTACCTTTTTCAACTCTAATCAGATGCCTAATGATGGTTAGGTATTGTATCACTTTTATTCTGCGGCATTACACTAAAACATTATGCATACTACAATATGTCCAGAAGGACTCAGCTCACCACAAAGTTTATTTTCCAAATCCTGGCTCAACTGTCAGAGAATTTTATCTTTATTTACCTTGGTTTGGATTTATTCACTGAAGTGAATTTGCAATTTAAACCGTTGTTTATTATGATCACAGTCGTTGGTATCTGTGTCTCGAGGTATATGTCGGTTTTCCCCTTGTCAAAACTGATTAATTGGTTTATTCGATATCGAGCTAGACGGCGAGGTCAAGACGTCGCCGATGAACTGCCTTTCTCATACCAGGCCATGCTTTACTGGGCAGGACTACGCGGAGCCGTTGGTGTGGCATTAGCCGCTGGCCTAGAAGGTCCAAACGCCCCGGCATTGCGAGCTACGGTTCTAGTTGTTGTGGTCCTGACAGTAATCATATTTGGTGGTACCACAGCTCGAATGCTAGAGATTTTAGACATTCGAACTGGGGTAATGGAGGAAGCGGATTCTGATGACGAGTTCGACATTGAAATGACAAATGCAGGCACATACTACAAACGTTCTGGAACTGGTTTGGGCCATATGCCTCGCCGAAACGACTTTACCATTCCGCTTGATTCGGTCCGTAGAGCAGACAACATTGAGCCTGGACCTCTCACTGGTGACAGTTACTCCGGTGGGAACAACGGACGTCTTTCGCCCCGCACAGCTGATGGGGCCAGAAGGATGAAAAAGCATACTGCCTACGATCGACACGGTCGTTCAAGGGATGCTGCATCTACTCAAACATTGCTTGGCCACGGTAGTGAGAGCCAAAATGGAAGTGCAAGCGGCAGCAGCGCCGATGAAGCCGCGGCCATGACCAGTAGTAGGAATCGAGCGGCAAAGACATTAGCGGAGACTGACCCAGACTTCGAAGACTTTAATCTTGAGCTTGACTCTATCTCTGATGATGATCACTTACCTCCAGCTGCACATTCACGTAGGCCGTCGCGTACACCGTCGCGCTTGTCCATGCATGCTTCCCAAGGATCAAGTCGACCACCAGGACAGCCTTCCCCAGCAAGTGGGGGACAAACGCAGAACGAATTAGCGCAGCCTACTTTTTCAGGAACTACAACCACTTTTCGTGACTTATTATCTGGCGCAGGCTCTAGGGACCATGCTGACTGGTTCAGGCAGCTGGACGAAGAATATATCAAACCGAAATTGCTTCTTGACCAAGGATCTGGGCGTAAAGGGCCCGGCGCGGTATAGCATGACCTTTCACTTAGAAGTTATGCAATACGGCGTTTTATTTTATCTTTTAGGCTTGTATTTTGGTTCCTCTAGGCGTAGGAGGAGTATGGGTCAGCAGGGCTTGCCTTCCGATTTTATATTTGTATGGATTAGACGGGGTATACCTGTACATTTATCTGCTAACAGTTTATAGTACGTATATTCTAACCTTTCATAAAAATTAAAACATGGATCGGCACGATTTCTTTTCATGCCTCCTTTGATGTTTGTACGGTGAGCACCTTGTGGGTGGTTTTCCACATAGAAGCTCACAGGTCATCAAGGTACTCCATGCATCTACACGTATATAGTGAAGATAATAGTACGGAGTAGCTACTTGCAACTTTTCTGTATTTGTTCAAACAATATTGAAGGTTGATTTACACATAATTATATCATCAATTAGGGTGTATGTTACACATGTACATACATTGAAGGCCAAAAATGCTGTTTGTTTGTGAAAGACAGATATTTCAACACTCCCAGTTTTTCAAATACACGCTAGAAGAGGATTCTATTGGGTGTCTGGCATCTTGAGTACACATCGACCGGTGACCTTACCTTGTGCTGTTGCCGCGGTTTTACTGCGTTAGCCAGTCGATCAAGAACAAGGGGGAGGGAGCCGGCAGGACTTACACATCATCTCGAACACCTTTGGCAGGTCTTCCAGCGGGAGCACTTTGTATGGGAACTTGATCTGCCCCCTGGCTGCAAAATCAACTGCTTCTTTGGCGTCCCGTCGGCTTCCAACATAGCTCCCTTTGATTGTTATCATCCTCACGACCGTGTCAAACACCGGAGCTTTCAAGTTAGCATGTGCAGGGAGACCAATGGCTACGACGGTTCCGCGAGACCGAACATAGGCAGCTGCTTGTTGGAAGGGCCCTTCAGATACAGCGACAACGAGAACGGCATGGGGTCCGAGGCCGTCAGGTGAAGCAGCTTTAACGTCCCTGACAAGGTCGTCTGTTTTTGTGAAGTCGATATAAGACTATAGGGCGGTGGGGTGTTAGCTAGGTTCCAACCCAAATAAATATTTAATACGCACTTCGCAGCCTAATTCCTCACAGGCAGCTTTTTTCTCATCTCCTCCGTCGATTGCGAGAACCCTAAGACCCATGGCTTTAGCGTACTGGATGGCCAGTGTCCCAAGACCACCACCGGCGCCGACAATGGCAACAACTTGTCCCGGACGGGCCTGAGACTCCTTAAGCCCCTTGTACACGGTCACACCGGCGCAAAGAACCGGAGCCATCTCGTCAAGCTTCGCTGACTTAGGGATCGGAGTCAAATGTGCCGCTTGGGCAGTGCAATATTGCTGAAATGTGCCATTGACTGTGTATCCCGAGAGTGAGGCATTGGTGCAAAGAGGCTCGTCACCGCATTCGCAGAAATCGCAGCTCAAGCAGGATCCATTGATCCATTTGACGCCTACAGTATCTCCCAACTCCAAGCCTTTGACGAGCTCGCCCTTAGCCACAACGACACCCGCACCTTCGTGGCCGCCAATCAGAGGCATTTTAACTGGAAGAGGCCAGTCTCCCTGCATGGCGTGGAGATCAGTGTGGCATACGCCAGAGTATTTGATATTGATAAGGGCTTCGTCATGACGCGGGGTAGGGACGGGAATTTTCTTGTATTCAAGAGGGCCGCCAACTTTGGGACAGACCTGAGCCCATTGCTCTGTTGGAAGATTAGGAATTGAGGCTGCCATGGTTAGCTAGTTGCTGATGATATTGTGGCTTGTTGTCTGAAGAGACGGGCTTGAGGGTAGTTGGGCAAGGCGTCAATGATGTAAGTGATAAATTCAGGTCAGACCGCCCGCATCCTTAGAAACAAAGTATACAGAGCTCTACTTATATACGCATTTCTTTCCTGCCCAGCACCATGGCGTCATTATTCCGGCTCGGCCTGCCAGGACGAATGTCGGCGCAAAAACGCGGGTGCCGACAACAAAACGCCGCAGCGATGGAACCACTGCGGAATGCAAACGCAACGAAGCCAAGAGAAACCGGGAGCGAACGCAGCAAAGCGGGTGGGAGGAGGAATAGTCCAGAACGACCTCGCGAAGTCAAGCTGGACTCGGTGGCGAATGCGGGGGCGTGTGCCGTTAGTGAGTTGAGCGAGTTGTTCCGAGAAAGTATGTATCCTGTACCTATGCACCACGCTACACCAACACGCCAGGCTGAAAATGCAGGATTGCTTGGGCCTCGGATCTTCCAATGGTAGGAAGGACTTACGTGCATCCACAGAGCCCCAGCACCGAATCTAAGCCGCCAACCAACCCCCCAGCAGCTGTGTCGGAATACGTACTACCCTTGCTCGTGGTGGTTCATATACAGACCTAAAGATGGTTAAGGAGTCAAATCAACGCAGTTAAGCTGGAAATACCGGCTTTAAACCAGCAGAGGGGCCACTGAAGAACCACCCATTCAAACCATCTCTAGACCACTTGGAATTATATAAAACCAAATCTACATTAGCTTTCAAGGTCTTATGTGGGTCGAGCTTTATCCCTCTCTTATTACAGACCTAAGAGTGCTTATACCAACAAATAACAAGAACCAATATTCAAGGTGGTATGTCCTTAATATCACACAAAGGCATGCCTGAGCAGGTAGTCAGTTAGGCTATAATACCAGACCTAATACTGCAATAGCATAAAAGCCCAGTGGTCAGTCAATATTGGCTCACTCTCTCGGGACAGTGGCTATTTAAGGCACCAAAGGATTCTTTCACGAAGCGGATCAAAACAATGGTTGCGCCTCTCACATGGTACGGGATCTTTTAAGGCACGAAAGGAGTCTTATTAAACGAGCATCACGAAGCGGATCAAGATCATGATAGGGCCTTTCCCGTGGTATAGGGCCCGAGAATGCTAGGGGGTCACGGCAATGGAGACGTTGGCAAAGACGGCAATAGTAGTGGGCTGGTAAGTCTCGCGCAACATTAGTTAAGAATACGTTTGTTTCTGCTTGAGAAAAGAAAGAAAATCGTCTTCCTAGAGCGCTGAAAAAAGCTTTGTTGCAGAGAGCTAAACACCCGACATCTGGCGGAGGGAGATGGTCGGCAATTTCCAGCACGAGTTCCAGGGGCAGACGGAAGAAAAGATTTTCTGGGACGTAACTATTCTTTGCTGTCATTTTCGTTTGAAGCTTGGCCTGTGGCCTTCATCCCTGGCAGTAAGGTGGGTGAGAAAACAGAAAGAATGCTATGATTATGTAGTGTAGCTATAGCTGATGTACGGAATACATAACTATAACTACGTCATGAATAGGATAGCCAAGTTTTTAAACACATGACTTATGCAGCTGATGTAATCGATCGGCCCGATTTTCGCCGACGTCTGAGGCTGAGTCCATAATGTGGCAGATTGACGATGGCGGCGATACGGAGAACACGCAGATAATAGAAATCTTGTCAAGGGAAAGTCCGCAGTGCAGTAGGTCCTACTAGAGAGCACGTTCGCTTTCTTTTGGTTCCTCAGGGTGACATGAGTCGTCGCTCAGTTCCAGCATCCCGGTGGATTTTTGGTCCATCGATGGACGTCGACGGCAGCGAGGATTTCAGGCTTTCAGGAAGGCCAGGTTATTATTGATTAGCTGGATACGGGAGTATTGTTGGCGGAGATATTTCGCTTTTGGGGCAGCCCCGGGCATTAAGGTTGGGAGATGAGGCAGCGAACTGGACAGATAGCCTCGGGTTCTGAGGCGGTCGCCGACGATTGCCATATGCGAGTTTTCTCGCGGAGCTGGGTTCTCATCTGGGATGAAATTCTAGGCTGTTGCAGCGAGATTTCTATGGACCCAGTGTCGATCAGAGGATGGGGATCATGCTGGTCGACGGGAGCGCGCGACACCAATCACAAATGAAAATAGCGTCCTGAGGACGGAATCTCCCCTGAGCCCGTCTTCTGACGACGTGGCCGCCAGCGCCATCGCGGTGACGGCTGCCCTGGAGAACTCTCGCCGGCTCGAAGCTCTTCGCCTGGCCGCTTCGCGTGCGAACAGCGCGTTCGGATGCTTTTTGCCTGGGAGCGGTAATATTGGTCACGACGATACGGATAGATTACGGGCCGGGGTCGAGCTGCAGCTAGCAGCAATTTCTTCGCCGCATGATTGGCGGGCGGGCGCGGGCGATTTCGAGCTCGGACCAATGGGCAGGCGGCAGGGCGTAACGAGCAGCGAAGACGCTAGTAACGCCCGCCTGACACGCCTGGGCAGCGCCGGCGCGGGAGTGGACGCAGCGCAGGCACGGCGATGGGATCGCAGCAGCGCGAAAAAGTATGCGCCCGCCTGCCAGCCCTTCCACATCCCGATCCTGACCATGCCAGAGCGCCCAACCTCCACCCTCTCGCCTTCACCCTCCCATCATCATCATCATCATCATCATCACCACCATCACCTCCATCACCACCACCCCTCCCACCGCCTCTGCGCCCTGCCTCGCCATCACCGATCGCCAGCTCCTGCCGCTACGCTGTCTCCCTGCTCGCAATTGTAGCCGTGGCCGCCCGCCCACACGTCTGCTGCGTCCCTGACCGTTTCCAGCACGCTGCCCCATGAGCCCGGTGGCCTCCGTCCTACCGCCCAACCCCTCGCGACTGCGTTCTTTGTGTGTGTGAAATCCAGGCTCGGGCTGTAAGGAGACGCTGTAAGAAACCTTCTCTCCCCCAATCGTCTTGCCAATCTCGCTAGTGGCCAACATCTTTCTCTCCTGTTCTGGCTCTCGCTCAATCTCTTCACCTCCTGTCTGCCCCAACGCCCCGGCCCACTGTGCATCTAACGGGCCATTCAATTTCACTGATTCCGCTGCTAATCTACTCGCCTGCGCTAGATTTGATGCTCCCTGCCCGTCCTGCCCATTCCAGAGCCGCCCTAGGAGGGTTGATGGCAACCGCTGCCCGTGTCGGAGGACAGTAGCTTGGGGGGAAGCAGCACCACAATCGATTAGTATTCGCGTGTGTGCCCAGGCTGTGTTGGATCCCGCACCAGATCACATTGGACCGAAACGACATTGCCTGTCGAACGTGTCGCGATGACCGGAGGTCCGCCCTACAAGTCGCATTCGCCCACCCAACAGCCTCGCTATCCACCATACTCGCCGACAACCAGGGATGCTCAGTCATATTCCAACAATGAGGCCTATCAGCATCCACCTAGTACACCACCAGCATTCCCGCCGCCGTCCGCCTCCCTTAACCGCAGTCCGCGTTTCGCCCGCCCGGCATCCCCAATAGGCAATACATTACCCCCATTGAGCGGAGCGGTGGTGAATGCAGATGGCTCCCCCCCATATCATGGCCATTCTGCTTCTACAACTCCGGCTTACACCCTACCAAGGCCGTTTGGTGGGTCTTTGTTGCCCACCACGTCGCATTCCCCCCCACCCACATACGGCCATCCTTCCACTTCTCATACACATCCGACAAATATTGCTGATACTTTCTCACACTCTCCAAAACGTGAAACGGACCCGTATGAATTCAGGGCAAACAATGGCGGCATCATGGGCCAACCGCCGTTGAGACCATTGTCACCAAAAGAATCAGTAGGACCCCTTACCCCCAGCAATTTCTGTGCACATATTGATTTCGTGACCTTAGAAGCCAGCTCGGTCGAATCCAATGTCTTTCGCCAATATTCTTTCTGGGCCGGCAGACGAACCTCCGTCCCGTCGGCCCTCATCACCTCCTCAGTCATACAAATCAAACCTTCCTCCTCCACTGGCGCAATCGATCAAAACTGAGAAGATGCCTTCATTGGATCCGGAGCAGCGGCGCGTCAGCACTCAATATGATGCTGCTTTCAGTGACGTTGCTCACCGCCCGGTTACCAATGGGTTTTCATCTTCAAGGTCGTCCGTCCCGCCAACCGCTCTTCCGTCCTCAAACCAACAGAAAACAGGGATGGAGCTTGAAAGTGAAAGGATTTCCAGTCAGGCGGTTGCTAAGGCGATGCAGCAAATCGAGGCAGTAAATGTCAGCGATATTGAAGGCCCAGGCTTTGAAGATGAGTGGCACCGATACATTTCAAAAAATAAGAAGAGGGCTCGAGAACTGGAGCTAGTGGAAGAGCGAAAGCGAAAGGTATTCACACCCATGCAGCATTGTCAATCTTACTGCAATAATATAATAGAGCTAATGCATTCTTCTCTTTCTAGCGCCGTCGAACTGAATTTTTGGGAAAGCTCGCCAAGGTCTTTGAAAAGCAGGCTCTTCAAGGAACTGAGCGTTTCAACCGTGTACATGAAGCCGACGTCCAGTCCGAAATACAACAGAAAGAAGTGCAAGAAGAGAAAGAGAGAAAGAAGGACATGCAAAGAAAACGACGCCGGGAAAATACCGTCCGTCATGAGATGGAGAAGCTAAATGCAGCTCAAAAGAAGGCCAATAAAATCGACGACGAGGCAGAGAAGCAAAAGCTAGCCAAAGAGATTGCACGATCCAAAAAGAAAATCAAGGATACTACCCTTGCACTTGAGCGTGGCGAGGCTACACAAGAAATCTCGGAAGTGAATCCTATAGCTCCAAACCTCGAGGGCGGTACAACCAGCTCTTTCCATATTCGCTCCAAATCTCCTCAGCCAAAGAAGAAGCAAACTAAGACTCAGTCGACTAGACCTAAGAAGTCTAAAGAAAAGAAACTGGCCGAGAAAGCACTTGCAGAAGCCGCTTATGCTGAGATGGAGAATGATGACATGGCTTCGTTGGCTCCCAAAGAAGATCCTAGAAAAGCATCTTTAAAGAAAGACTCAAAAGCTGCGCGTTCTAAAGAATCAAGCCCCGTATTCTCTACACCCTACGATTCGAAGGGCTATAACCAGCTCTACGAGCAAATTTGGAGAGATATTGCCAGAAAGGACATTCCCAAAGTACATCGCATCAAAGTTGTCTCTCTCAGTACTCGCCAGGAGAATCTACGCAAAACTGCTCAATTGGCCAGCAAGCAATCTCGAAAATGGCAAGAACGCACAAATAGGAGCATGAAGGATACCCAAGCCAGAGCCAAACGGACGATGCGTGAAATGATGTCCTTTTGGAAACGAAATGAGCGCGAGGAGCGTGACATGCGACGCCTGGCACAACGTCAGGAGCTTGAGCTGGCTAAAAAGGCAGAGGCAGATCGGGAAGCAAATAGACAGCGACGGAAGCTTAATTTCTTGATCTCTCAGACCGAACTTTATTCTCACTTCATTGGCCGAAAGATCAAAACCGATCAGGCCCAAGATAGCGGAGATGCTACGGCCCTTACTGCGATGGGAGAAGGTAGTTCTAAGCTACCTGATAGTCTGGCTGGTCTAGCTGAAGGTGGTGGTAAAGTTACCAATTTCGAAGATCTTGATTTTGATGCTGAGGATGATACCGTTTTGAGACAAGCTGCCATGGCTAATGCTCAAAATGCCGTCCAAGAAGCCCAGGATCGTGCCAGAGCTTTCAATGGCGAGGAAAATAAGATGGCCGCTTTCGATGATGGAGAGATGAATTTCCAAAATCCAACCAGCTTGGGCGACGTGGAAGTGTCGCAACCGAAGATGCTGACATGCCAGCTCAAAGAGTATCAGCTTAAAGGCCTTAATTGGCTCGTTAATTTATACGAGCAGGGCATTAACGGTATTCTTGCCGATGAGATGGGTCTTGGTAAAACTGTGCAGTCTATATCTGTGATGTCCTACCTTGCTGAAGTTCACGATATATGGGGCCCATTCCTTGTCGTTGCGCCTTCCTCCACTCTTCATAATTGGCAACAGGAAATCGTGAAGTTTGTGCCTGATCTCAAGGTTTTGCCTTACTGGGGATCTGCGAAAGACCGCAAGGTCCTTCGAAAATTCTGGGATCGCAGGAACATCACCTACCGCAGACAATCGGAGTTTCACGTTCTCGTGACATCCTACCAGCTTGTCGTTGGCGATGCTCAATATTTTCAAAAGATCAAATGGCAGTATATGATTCTGGATGAAGCCCAGGCGATCAAGTCGTCGCAAAGTTCACGATGGAAAAGTCTTCTCGGGATGCATTGCAGAAACAGACTCTTACTTACCGGTACTCCAATTCAAAACAACATGCAGGAGCTTTGGGCATTGCTCCATTTTATCATGCCGACTTTGTTCGACTCTCACGATGAATTCAGCGAATGGTTCTCCAAAGATATCGAGAGCCACGCCCAGAGCAATACCAAACTCAATGAAGACCAGCTTAAACGATTACATATGATTTTGAAACCTTTTATGCTTCGCCGTATCAAAAAGCATGTTCAAAAAGAACTCGGCGACAAAGTGGAAAAAGACATATTCTGTGATCTTACTTATCGTCAACGAGCTTACTACGCCAACCTACGAAACCGCGTTAGCATCATGGACCTTATTGAAAAGGCTGCTATCGGCGATGACACAGATAGTACGACCCTGATGAACTTGGTTATGCAATTTCGAAAAGTTTGCAACCATCCTGATTTATTCGAGCGAGCTGACACCACCTCGCCTTTTTCGGCCTGTTATTTTGCAGAAACAGCATCCTTTGTGCGGGAGGGGTCATTCGTCAATGTGGGGTATTCTACCCGGAATCTTATTGAATATGACCTGCCACGTCTTCTCTGTAGCCCTGAGGCTCGTTTAGACATGGCTGGGCCAGGAAATGAGAAAGCTGGCTTCCAAGGAAAATATCTGTCTCACATGATGAACATCTGGACTCCTGAAAATATCAGAGAAAGCTTGAGCCATCGTGATGCGTTCTCCTGGTTGCGATTCTCCAACATCTCCGTTGGCGAGGCATTTGATGCATCCCATAAAGGTGTATTTGAACGGGCAGTGACGCGACGAGGCTACTCCAACCATCTCTCATTGTTAAATGCTGTTTATGACAAGGATGGTGACGATGATGACATTGATCCTAATTCTCTTCATATCCATTCGATGTTCAATATTGTCGAGCGGAATAACCGACGAGCATTGGCTAACACTACTGCAACTGGTTATATGCGTGAACTGTTGAATATATCTGATAATGTCGCCGCAAGTGGAGGTATTCGCAACATCGAGCCTTGCGCTAAACCGGGAGCCACCGCCCCTCCCATCACAATATCCTCTTATGGACGTGCTGCAATTGTGGAAAGCCAAGAAAGTCTTTTCAGTCAATCGGTTCGTCAAGTTTTGTTCGGAAAGGCTACGCCAGCAATGGAAGCGGAGATATTGGCCAAGAAATTGGATCCAGCACCTTACTCCTTGCCTCGAATGCTGCCCGAACCTGGCTCAGAGAAGGGCCGGTTCACTAATATCACGGTTCCTTCAATGCGACGGTTCGTGACGGACTCCGGGAAACTTGCCAAACTCGATCAGCTCCTGCGTGAGCTTAAGAACGGCGGCCATCGTGTACTGTTATATTTCCAGATGACTCGCATGATTGATTTGATGGAAGAATATCTGACCTACCGCAATTACAAGTACTGTCGTCTTGACGGAAGTACCAAGTTGGAAGATCGTCGTGACACCGTGTCTGACTTCCAGCAGCGTCCGGAAATTTTCGTATTTCTCTTGTCTACTCGTGCGGGTGGTCTGGGTATCAACTTGACAGCCGCTGATACCGTCATTTTCTACGATTCTGACTGGAACCCTACCATTGATTCTCAGGCTATGGATCGAGCGCATCGTCTAGGACAGACGAGGCAAGTTACTGTGTACCGCCTTATCACGCGTGGCACCATCGAAGAACGGATCCGAAAGCGAGCGTTACAGAAGGAAGAGGTGCAGCGAGTTGTTATTTCTGGCGGCGCTGCTGGTGGTGTCGATTTCAATGCCCGCAGCCGCGAGAACCGTACAAAGGACATTGCGATGTGGCTTGCAGACGATGAGCAGGCAGAAATCTTAGAGCAAAAGGAAAAAGAGGCTCTTGAGAAGGGTGAAGAAGCTACTACAAAGAAAGGAAAGAGGGGACCAGGCAAGAGAAAGAGAGATATTACGCTGGATGATATGTACCATGAGGGTATGTTTGAGAGACCTTTGTTCACAAAAGCAATTTGTCTTAGTTACTAACATTCTTGTGTAGGAGAGGGCCACTTTGAAGACAACAGCACAAAGCCTTCTGGAGCTGCAACGCCTGTATCTGGGGAGGTTGCCCCAGGACACCCAGCCACTAAACCTCGCCGAGGGCGCGGGGGTGGTGCGGCAGGTGCAGGTATAGGCCGCTCCAAGAAGGCAAAGACAGTTAAGGAGAGGCTGCGATTAATTGATGGTGAGGTTGATTAGATAGAAGCATGGCTGGAGAAACTGTGTTCCTTCTGGATTCCGGAGTTCTGACCCTAAAGGTGCTCTTTGTTTGCATGAACACTGCTTTCAAAGCTACATACATTTCATTTCAATTTTGTATTGTCTTCCATTTGTTTGTTCTTTTTTTTATTTTTTCATTTTCGTTTATCATTGTGATCAATAATCCGCATTGAATTAACTACAGGGCTTCCTCAGGTCTGCTTTGCCTTTTCAACTAACTACCCTCTGTTCCCCCCCCATTTGCATCTATCCCGGCCTGCTATGGGTTCTGTATTTCGCAATATTTCAATTTCCTTTTCGCTTTTCATACTCGTTTTAATTTTTTTCATCCTTTGCATGTACCAATAGAGATCCAATGGAGGCGGCATTGGGGTTGGAGAAAACAATCCGGTTGACGTGTATGAATATCAGAGTTTGTTGGCAATAAATAATAAGTCATGGCTGTCTTGCTGTTTCTCCGCACGCGGCGCAACAGGGGGCGATGCTGCCCCTCACCGAAAATAGCTCGGCGTTCCTCGACACAGAGTCACTCAGCTTCCACAGGATTCGCCGAGCAGCTGCCAGCCAGCCGCGCCGGGGTTTGGGGGGTTCAGCTGAAAGACCCTCGTAGCAGCCAGCCATCAGGCACAAGCATCGCTTCCAGCCGCGCATCGTCGCGCGATGTCACGGCATGAGACAGACAACGCTTCACGCTCAGTCATGTTTTGGCCCGGGTGCTTGTACCTCTCCGCCGGAACTCGGCTGGCGGTACCTCGCTCAGCACGTGATGGGGCTAGCCCGAGCGGGGCTCGGCAACGCCCAAAACGGCAATATTTTCGCGGTGGGGGAACTCCGGCAGCCAATCAGCGGCTGCTTATTTGCGTGGGGAATTCTCCGCCGAACAGGAATTCGCTCGGCGCTGCAAAGCCGCCTCCGAGACGACGTCCTGTTGAGCCGTGCGTGTTCTTTTTATATTTTTCCCGGTGTATTTCCGTTTTGCTGTAGACATACATAGAGAGACCAGTTGGATTATATCACTATCGACGAAGACTACACCGCAAAACTCTGCATCTGTCAACCATGGAGGCTCTGCTGCAACAGTCCCGGTCCATGTGCCCGTTTTTGAAGAAGACCTCCCCCGCCACGCTTCGCTCGCTGTCCACCAGCACCCGCCCGGCGGCCAGCCCTCGTGGCGGCACGATTTCCAACCTTCAGGTCATTGCGAGAAGATGCCCTGTCATGAGCAAGGCCTTGGCCGTGCAGAGCTCGAGATTGGCTGGTGGCTGCCCTGCTCAGGGGTTGGGCGCGGCTATGCGTGTTCAGGCAAAGAGAGCCCTGCACACGACTGCCGTGAGAAATGCGAATGTCTCCAACGACGTCAACAAGAAATCCGAGAAGGGTAAGCCACCAGCCAATCCTTTACGCCCCCTTTTTTTTCTATGACTGCTCCCCTTTCTTCTTGCTAACCGGTTTGCTACAGTTCCTCATCTTCTCTCAAAACTGAACAAGGCCTCTGTTCCATTGAACCGTGAATCTGTCTGTCCTGGACCCAAGCCTGCGGCTCCTCCAGCCGGCAAGTTTGACTATGAGAAATTCTACAACGGCGAGTTGGAGAAGAAGCACAAGGACAAGACTTATCGCTACTTCAACAACATCAACCGCCTTGCCCGTGAGTTTCCAAGAGCCCATATGTCTTCTCTCGAAGACAAGGTGACCGTGTGGTGTGCCAATGACTATCTTGGTATGGGACGGAACCCGTATGTGCTCCGAACAATGCACGAGACGCTCGAGAACTACGGAGCAGGTGCTGGCGGAACCAGAAATATCTCGGGCCACAATCAGCATGCTGTTAGCCTTGAAGCCACTCTTGCAAACTTGCATAAAAAGGAGGCTGCGTTGGTGTTTAGCTCTTGCTATGTCGCAAATGATGCTACACTGGCGACCTTGGGTTCGAAGCTGCCGGACTGCGTGATCCTTTCCGACAGTTTGAACCACGCATCGATGATCCAGGGTATTCGCCATTCGAGCGCTAAGAAAATGGTGTTCAAACACAATGACCTTGAGGATTTGGAAAAGAAGCTGGCTTCTTTACCCTCTTCTATCCCTAAGATTATCGCCTTTGAGTCAGTCTACAGCATGTGTGGGTCCATTGCCCCAATTGAAGAAATCTGTGACCTTGCTGAAAAGTACGGTGCTCTCACTTTTCTCGATGAAGTTCATGCTGTTGGTATGTATGGGCCACATGGAGCTGGTGTTGCTGAGCACCTTGATTACGAGGCCAACGCTTCTTCCGGTGAGAATGTCCGTGGCAGTGTAATGGATCGTATCGATATTATCACAGGTACTCTCGGCAAGGCTTATGGCTGTGTTGGTGGGTACATTGCAGGATCAGCAAAATTTGTTGATGCGATTCGTTCCCTCGCCCCCGGTTTCATTTTCACAACATCCCTCCCTCCAGCAACTATGGCTGGTGCCACCACTTCGATTGAATACCAATCAGGATATGGCCGCGACAGAGTTCTTCAGCAACTCCATACCCGTGCCGTCAAGTCTGCATTGACTGGCAATGATATTCCCGTTATCCCTAACCCTTCACATATCCTTCCTATCCTTGTCGGTGATGCTGAACTAGCCAAGCGTGCATCCGACATGCTCTTGGAAGACTATGGGGTTTATGTCCAGGCTATCAATTACCCCACCGTTCCCCGTGGCGAAGAGAGACTGAGAGTTACTCCTACTCCTGGCCACACTAAGCCTCTTCGTGATCATCTGGTCTCTTCTCTCGTCGCTGTCTGGGAACGCCTGGGAATCCGCAAGACCAGCGATTGGAAGGCAGCTGGTGGATTCCTCGGTGTTGGTGATGAAGCCGCGGTCCATGACATGAAGAACCAACCCATGTGGACCGATGCTCAACTTGGCCTCGGCGAAGGCGAAGATATTGAGGTTGCATTGCAGCGAGAGCTCAAAGCGGAGGCCGCCGATAAGCAGCGTATGCTGAATGAGTTGATGAAAACTGCGCGGCCTGAGTCTGTTGATTCTCCCGTTAATACGGCCCCAGCCGTAAAAGTCGGTGCTTAGGGCTCCCATTGCGCTTCCAACCCTAGTCTTTCTCGACGAGTAATGATTTTGACAGTTGTTCTACATCTATACATTCTCTTACATTCAGATGCTGTCTTTTACTCGAATATGCGGGAACTCAGTCGATACAGGATATATATTTGCTTTCGGATACACATTTATCCATATTGGATGTGCTATGAGTGATGTATGGAACCTACTCCCATTTTGAATATTGTGGGTGAGGCTTTATTATCTTAGCCGTTCGTTTGAATTGGTCTTTTGCAATCCTTTTTGTAATAAATCAACGGGTCCCTTCAGGTACCCAATAATGAGAATATACATTTCAGAGCATTCTTTTGTATTTTTTTTTTTTTGGTATTCGCGATTATGTGGCACATCTCAATTGGGGTACACAGAACATCCTTAACTACGGCTCTCTATCTTCTTCCACCACGACTCAGTTTCGGAAATTCTACAGGTATCTTCAATCGCGCAATCCTCTTCATCGCGGCCTCTGCTTTGCCTCTCTTAACACCCCATTTTGTATACTCGTTCTCCCGTGGTTTTTCCACTCGGCAGCCTAATTCTTTAAAGTACTGCAGCACAGTCTGATTCTCCAGACCTAGATCATCGCGTAAATCAGCAGGATCGGTCGCCAACTCGTTCGCGCCGTGCGGAGCGCCAGACGCCGGTGGAACATGTAGTGATAGTGCGCATATCGTAGTATGCAAAAGAGTAATATCATTTCGTGATAAAATAGCGCCCTGTGGAACGAATTTTCTGCGCAGAGAGTCGATGAAAGAATCAGTCATAAAGCGAGTTCCAGCATCTGACTTGCCATCAGGGCTGGAAGCTGTTGCTTCTGAGAGCTTCTGTCGCAATTCATCGCGAAGAGGTAGTTTTTTGCTCCCAGCACTACCTTTGTCGGAACCACGCGTAGGTTTCAAGCAGCCAGCAAACTCGATAAGTATAAGAATGAAGCGAAGAAGTTGAAGTTGGGTCTTGTCGTTTGATTTACCTAGTGCTTCCACACGGTGGGCGACGAAGCGTGATCTAGTCAAAATTGCTTCAGAATTTGCGAGAGCCGTCTGCCAGTCGCGAACCGGCACCGAATGTAATGTTGACAGCCCTCCTGGAACAAGGGACTCAATAGAGTAGACACCAGATGGGTGAGTTGCAGATAAATTCGGCTGTGGAAGCGGTTTTGCAGCTTGAATTTCCTGCTGGGCCCGTGCAGCAGCGGATATTGCATCCATGGACATGGACGAGAGCAGGGCTGATTCAGCAGCGCTGGGAGCTCCGGGGGTAGCGCTGGAAAGAAGGGCATTTTCAGCGACGGACTGAACAGCTTTGCGAGATTGTTTGGTGCCAAAGGCTTGTGCGAGAGCAGAGCGTTTTGAGAATGCGGTTTTCTGTAGAAAAAGAATCGTTTAGCGGATCCATTTGAAGAACAATGGTGAAGGGACTCACTGCATCTTCTTCGGGCTCCTCATCTAAATTATCTGACTTGGCTTCTCGTACACATCCTCTCACTGTAAGCTTTCTAGCTTCAACCAGCTGCAAAGAATTTCGCTTTGGATCGTATATAGCGACATAGTGGTTCCACAACGAGTCCAATTGATCCACCCCCTCTTTCGCAATGAAATCGAGTTTAGGGTGTGTAGAGGATTGCAACAAGAGTTCAGAACCCAGTAGTTCAGAATTTGTAGCAGTGGTCTTAGAAACGCGCTTCCCACGGGGCTTCGTGTATGCGGAGAGGGAGAGGTTTTCTGGAAGACGGAGGCCTGGCGTGGATGCTAGCAAAGGGAAGGCAGTGTTAGCCCGAAGCATTTAAAAAAGGGTTCCTCTGAAAGACCAGCGGGAGAGATCGATAGAAAATCCTACCGATTACTGGAACAGGTGCAGTTGGGTTATCTATGAACTGCACCTTCAGAGGTGGCAGCGCAGATTCGACGGCTGTTTTCTTGCTTGGCCGGTCATGTTTTTCGGACGAGCGCTTCCTTTTCTTCTCAGGAGATTCATGGCCCATATTGAATATTGTGAAATGTGAAGCGTGAAGGGAGGATACCAATTGCCGGTATCCAACGTATACCTCTCGATTTGGAGCTGTTGTTTGCTTAACTTTCAAAGTTTTGTTCCTAAAGAAAAAATTCTACAACTTCAGCAGTAGCGCGATGAGCGCGAATATGGAGTTGTTACCACATATCAAAATCTATTCGCCGGAGGACACTTGTGGCATCGTTCTACAATTACTCCTAGGAAGAATATGCAAAAGACGTTGGTAGAGAAGGCTGTCCGCATTTCATTCTGGAATCTGTTATAGGCAAGCCAATTATACACATAAAAGCTATCGCACAGACAACACCAAAACCAGCAGACCATTCGTAAACTCTTCAGATTCGACTCCATAATTCGGATATTTCGCCGATATTGACTAGCCCCCGTGATGATAAAGAACAAACTCCTCCTTTGCCCCTACCTGCAACCCCTGAACACATAGTAAACAGCAATGACCGCACAAACTAATGGTTTCGTCCGTATGACCAGTCATAAGAGTGTTGGTATCGATCGAATTCAAAAGGAATGCAGGTGGCGCTATTCAAGTATTGATCGGTGATCCTGTTTTAGAACACCAAAGGCGAGAAGGAGACGTCGAATGCTTCAAAAATCGGTAATTGATACATTGTGACTTGGAAGGTCTTTAAAGTTTCGCATCGTTTTTCTATTCCTCAGCTTTCGATATCTTTTTTCACGGAACGACTAAGACAGAGCCGTGAAGGCGTTTACTTGCTGCAAAGATGGTCAGCATAATGTCCAGGTATTTGACAGATTGCCTTTCAAAGAAGTGTAAGGCCTGCTTTAAGAGATACTGACCTTCTAGCCCGAACCTTTCTTCTCTTACGCTTCAAACGTCGAACTCGCTTCTTTCTCCACTTAGCTCTCATCTTCGTAAAGTCTTGAGACTATAGAATAGGAGAGGTCAGCCAAAGTAATCAAGACAAAGCCATAATGATGACACCAAAGGATCATTAACTTACACTTCGTCGATGAGGGGATGGTTGAAGAGAGGAAGAAACGAGAGGCACACGAGAGCTTTGTAGTGGCGGTCCTGTTGTGGGATGATGACTAAGCACGCGCTAAGGGTTAGCCGGAAGCGAAAATGACGGCATGGATAAACGACTTTGAATATCCCGCACAAGAGAAAGAGATAATCACGTATTCAAAGCTACGTGGAGCCGTTGGAGAGATAAAGATGTTGGGATATAATTGTCATTGCATTGTGTGGCTACTAACTTATCTCAAGTAACAATTGATTCACAAAAATACAAAAACTCCAACCAATCATAAAAAGAATCAAGGGATAAACAGGTATCACGCCGAAGCTGCAATTTTTGGGGTAGTAGGCTCTGGAATAGGCACAATGGGCTCAGTTGGTTGCACTCCAATGGTGGTTTGAACGCCAACACGCTCATTGCCCAACAAATCGGCTAGCAGTGGACTTGGCCGACTGTCCCGTTGGGGTTGAAAGGCGACTTGGCTCTGTTTATATTTCTGGACACTATCGAGATAGATGTCAAACAAATATGAGGAATCCAATGGACCTCCTTTGGCCTCGGGATGGAACTGGGTACTGAAAATCGGACGACTCTTGTGGATCATGCCTAGTTCATTGTTAGGGTATGAGACTATAATTAATCAAGTTGTAATGACATACCTTCGTTACTGGAATCATTAAGATTAACAAAGTATGGCTTCCAGTCGTTAGGAAGCGTCGAAGCATCAACAGCGTAGCCATGGTTTTGGCTGGTAATATGGCAACGGCCGGTGGTCAAATCCAAAGCAGGGATGTTGTGAGCGCGGTTTCCGTACTTCAATTTGATAGTTCGGGCCCCTGTCGCAAGTGCGAGGAGTTGGTGGCCCAAACAGATACCCATAATGGGCAACTGAGAAGTTTCCATCAATCTACGGAGGTTATAAACGGTTTGCTGGCAGTGGGTTGGATCGCCAGGGCCGTTAGAGATGAAGACGCCGTCGAAGTGATGTGCAACCTTCTGAATGGGGAAGTCGAATGGGAACACTGTTACACTGGCGCCTCTATTGACAAGACTTCGAAGGATATTCTCCTTCACCCCGCAATCGATAACGGCGACGTGCGCATTACTGTTTCCTGGGCTAATATGGAAAGGAGCCTTAGTACTCACTTTAGCGACCAAGTTGATCTGCTCAGGATCAACAAACGCCTCATCCTGATCGGCATCGTATTCCTCGCCGACAGAAATCTTCGCGAGAGATGAACCCTGTTCGCGAAGGTAGGTCACAATTGCACGGGTATCCACGCCAGAGATTGCGGGAACCCCTTCTCTAATACACCACTCTGCGAGACTCTCAACCGCAGTCCAGTGGCTGTATTTTTCAGCAACATCGGCAACAACAACACCGACAGCTTGAAGGCTAGGAGACTCGAAATATTTCAAAAGGCCGTTTTCATCCTTATCTGCAGAAGGAACACCATAGTTTCCGATCAAAGGTTGAGTGAAGACGAGAATCTGACCGCGGTACGACGGGTCGCTAAGGGATTCAGGGTATCCGACCAGTGAGGTCGTAAAGACTGCCTCGCCGGAGATGTTTTTCTTTGCTCCAAAGGACTTCCCGTGAAACACGGGACCATCTCGGATTGTGAAAGTGGCACGCTCCGAGCCGAAAAGGCCACTACTTGGCTTGGGGATATCATTGGCAACTGATGCCATATATCGAGCCTGGAGGACCCGGTTTGTCATGCCAATGGCGCCATGGCCTCGTGCCGGGACGGACTTCAAGAGTCGTGAAAACATGATGATTTCAAAAAACCGCTTTGGTAAGTAGAGAAAATAGGACGGCTCGAGTGAAATGACTCAGTTTACTGAGGCTTTCCAGAGGTGATCTAGATTCTGTCAGCGGTTGTTTGAGGGCGTGGAGAGCGACCAAGCCAAGAATGATGAATGGAACCATACCCGAGATATAGTCCTACAGTTCAGAGAAGAGTCAGTAATTCTGTATTTTATTTAATCGACTCGTTGAGGGGGTCAAAATGACCCCTTACAGACAGAAGAGGCGGGCACTGACCTGGGAGGTAAATTCAGAAGGTGTCACACGCATAAGCACCAACAGTGCTTTTTTAGCACTGAAATATAACAATCTATAAGAAAAGAGAGGTAGTAAAGTTGAGGGCTGGCTGTGGGGTTCAGAAGGCGTTTTGTTTCTTTTGTGTGAACTGGACAGAATGGGAATTGGAATGACGGTGAGTGCGAAAGCAACGGGTTTTGTCGTCGGAGTCAGGAAAATTTTCCGGTTCAGACTCCGATTGACCAATCACCGCGTGTGGATCTGTATCAGGATCTGGTACTACAGCTGTAAATTACGCCAATATGTTGATTTTATTATTCTACATTACCGTATCGTATTGGAACGAAGTCCCGTAAGACACCCGAAATCAGGCGCGCGACCAATCGCAACGCGCCCAAAACTACTCCCTCGGTGGCAGGCAGACAGCCACCGAGGACTGATGGCAGTTAGTTATGTGATTGACGGACAGCCATGCAGGAGAAATCGCTTATTTTCATGAGATCCTCTCGAGCGCACGTCGAGTGAATGCCCTTGGCCCGTACTCCGTATTATATTCCACCCCTGTCGAAGCTCCCCCTGTCAAGGACCCTGACTCCCGCTTGGCGACCCGGCGTCCTGAGCGACCGCCTTTATAAAATCCAGGGCCGCCTCGTAAATATTCCTTCGCCATTGAACATTTTTTCTTTTCCCTGGAAATATAACACTGCCCTATACTGTATGGTATACTTGGCTATGTTTCTTGTGTGCGAGATTTGGCGTTTGGAGGGTTTCCTACCTCTTGATTATTATCTAGGGAGTCAGCTATATATCAGAAAAAACATATTGGTAGAGCTAGCTCTATACCAAGAGGGTCTATTGCTTTTCAATACCTAGCATTCCTACCGAGTGTCCTTAATTGAGTCCTCAGTAAGGATACCCATCTGGTCTTTAGCTATGAACATTCCTTTGGTTTATCTGCCAAATGCATGTGTGTCGCATTGGATATCCTGTCTTTATGGCTGAGTTCTGACTATCAAGTGCTAGCGTGCTGCACCTGTAAAGGATGGTGGCATTTTAGCTGATACTGGCCTTCAGCGTCGTTATTGATCCCCAAGCACTTCCACCACTCTTGATTTTCATTCCAAAGCCTCAGATACCTTTGTTCCCCAGTCTCTGACCCTGTTTTTCAATCAGGTTGGGGACCCCAGCAGTACGTGCAAGATCAAATGCACCATTCATGATAACTACCAGTGCCAGTGAGCATGCTTCACAACACCAGCCCCTTCCTATTCTAGTAAGGCGGAAAGGTGATCCTAAGGCATCTCCTGTTTTGGTCTAGCGCCAGATCAGGCTATATAAAGCGCGTTCTTTGCTTTGCTCTCTCTTCTTCCTTTTCTCTTCTCCATCTTTTTTTCTTTTCTTAGATTGTTCATGGCTGCATGAACAATCCTGCGCACTACTTGGCTACAAGTAGTTACAGGTACGTACCTCTTTCACCGTTCCTAACTAGCCTTACTTGCTGCTACTTATCCTTTTTCTTCTGAACAGCATTCCTTACTTCCATTGGGCTGCCTCTTTCTCTGTGCAGGTCCATCTAGTGGTATTTATACCAGTAGAGAACTATTTAATTTTTGGAACCGCATCATTGATGCACGTATGTTGGTAACTGGCTTCTGTTGGTCCTCATACACCCTTTTTTTTCATCATATCTCTTTGCTGGCTGAAGAGAGTGGAGAAGAAATAATAATTTTGATGAAATGGCATTGTGTGGAACAAACATGTCGGCAAATACCGCATATTTGGATTTCGAAGTCATTACCAATGGACCCCTTGTGTATTCTACCATTGAATTTACGATGCGACGTACTCCGTACTTTTGCTTTTACTATCCTTTTAGAACGTTCGACACAGAACAACATTTCCAATTTAAGATCATGTATAAGAGGCTTTCTATACTTTCAATTTACACTACATTTACACTATTTACAATAAGAAGCTTACATAGTAAATGAGAAATAAAGAAGGTCATTAATATCTAAAGCATCATTCTATGTATCCGTGCAGGAGGTATAAAGCCAAATATCATTACAGGCTCGAAATGACATGTAGCCCAGTGATCTAGAATGTCGAAAAGCAATAATTATTTCCTCACCATAAAGAGGCACCAAGAACCATTAAAGCAAGGCTCATTAACCCCATTGAAAGATGGGCACTAGCAGAGGCACTTCCAGGAGTAGGAGTTGTCGATGGCGCTGTACTGTTATCAATCACAATGTAATTCTTGACAACGGCAGTTCCATTTTTGACCCTCTCCTTCTGATCTTTTGAACATGTGCTCAAGTCGAGGATATAGCATTCAGGCTTAGGGAAACCAGGTGGTTTATTCTTAACTTGAAAGGTTGTCGCGGGTCCTGAAGAGCCGTAACCCCTTTCTTTCGTAAGGTCGACATTCCCGGTAGCAATATCCTTATTAAACATGACACGATGGAATAGCTCGAGTGACGTATCTGGTTGATAAGAAGGAACCTCATGGCCAGCCTGGTAAATTCTTGCAAATGAGAAATTGCCATACTGGCGTACTTGCCCACCAACGTAAGAAGAGTTTGTTTGGATATTGGCATACCCTGCAGCTCGGAACTTATCAGAGTCGGAATATTTGATTGCCAAACTGACATCCTCTCCACCAATCCAATTACACGCGTAGTCACGATCTCCATAGACAAGAGAAACCTTGACTCCAGAATCCAAAAGGTAAGCAATATCCTCCAGATATCCACGAACATCAGATCTTGGATAGTCTCCAGTCTTGCCGAAAGCAGAATAAACAGCATCAGAGGATATGGTGAAGTTTACAGGTATACCCGTAGCTTCTTGGACACTCGCCTGGCTCAGGAATCCCAAATAATAATTGGGCGGGAAAGGATCTGCTCTTAGGTGACCAATGTCGTAAAATCCTCTATCACCAAACGTAAGATAGGGCTCCTCCACGCTCGTGGTACAGAATTTATCTGCTTTACGGCAAGCCTCATTAACAGTCTCGTTGTTTCCATACATCTTTGGATCTCCTTCGGCGGCAAGCTTGCGACAGTTAATAACCAGATCTCGGCAGCCACCTGGTTTTTGCCAGTCGTTTATCGCAGCTTTGAAGACAGTCTCATTGATTGCACTAATACCATAGGTATTGTTATACGCGAAGAGGGGATATGATGGAGCTTGAGTAAGGAAATCGACGCAGCCGTTGATAATTCCAAGAGTATCCAAGTGAATGACATGGGTATCTCCCTTTTCTTTTATGGTTCCATTTTTGATCTTCTGGTTCTGTTCTTGGAAAAAGGAAGTAAATGCTGGACCGTATCGACCACCATAAGATTCAGTCCAGATGCTAACTCTATCGTCATTTGGCTTGTACTCTGGGAACTCTTGGAACCACACCTGGGCGAAATGCCAGAGTGAGCGTGCAGCGTTCATGGTACCATTTGCAGCATTGTTTTGATTTAGAGTGCTAGCAGTTCCAACATAGAATGTATTGTTCTGTTCTGGCACCCCCTTGGAGAAATCCGCGACTGCCCACTGGGACTCTTCAGCTAACGTGTCCAATGTGACATTTGTCAGCTTGTCATAACTGAAACCAACTTGATTCGGCTGATCAATGTATAGCATGTTGACTTCGTTGTTCCAGGACCACGGGTTCAAACGAGTTGTTTTAGAATCGTCGTTGATGAAACAAGGGCCATTCTCCTGGAAGAGCCCGATCATAGAAGATGAGCCGGGGCCACCATTCATCCATATCGACAAAGGAGCATTCGCCGGATCCTTGCGGGACTCGAAAAACCAGAAAAAAGTATTGATATCGTAATTCTGATCGACGTTCACCAAGTCCAGGCTGTGGGGTGGTAGATGAACATATCCAGTGTAGGATCTAACACCTTGAGTCGTCTCACAGACATCGTTCTATACTGTAATTAGTTATATCCCAAAAAACATGAACAGGAAAATGGAGCAGACATACCTCCTTATATGATATCTTAACACCCTCATGAAATTTGGACTTCACGACCTTCACATCCTTGGGCGTCGGAGGGAAGTATTTCCCGGCCACAATTTGCGCCAGCAAAAACAGTGAAACGAACGTAGCTCGCATGTTGGGCTCTTCAGGTACCCTTCTATCGAATCACATAAAAACGAGGGGAGTGCCGCTCTGGCACTATTTTAGATGACGAAGAGAAGCCTCAGAAATGGGCTCGGCCTAGGGAGACAGCCACTTTTTGAACCAACTGGCGCCACTGTTTGTTTTTTCTGCTAAAACCACGGTACACAAAAGCGGAGGGCCCTTGCACGGGAAAAATCACCTAGTGGTATGACTCTAGGAGACAGCAGGGAAGAACGTAAGGGCGCCATCAATTGTGTTCCACGTCCCCCGGGGCGATTTACGCAACCTTGGTGTCTCGCTGGGGCTGAGGATCGACGGCTTAGGGCCGGCCAGAAAGCTTCGCTGAGCTTGAACCCCGCATTTGCGTCGCATTTTGACCCTTCATGCTTGCGGCTGGACGCGCAGTAGTTGTTGGTGGAGCTGGAAGAGCAGAGGTTGACTCGTGGTGGATGGTTTGATGATGTGGCCTCGCGCCCATGGGAATGAGTACCATGCTGGCCCGTAGTGCCGCTGCATTGATTCTCGCAGGCCCGTTTGCCATCCAAGGCGTGTCTTTGAATCTTGCCATAATTCCAGGCGTTGCGACGCAGACTGTTCCTGTCTTGCAAGGATCCTAAAGGCTTACCTCGTATCTAGACACATCTACCCTGGTCCGCTCGTAGAGGAAAATTGCAGGGGGATTGATCCTTGGGTTAGTTTCAGCGAAGTCCGAGATTATGATAATTCCGAGTGTAAAGAATTTCAAAAATTAATACGGAGTACAAAGGAATAAAAGAAGGAATGTGAAATTTTCATGTATATGTGCAGACATACGTTATAAAATGTCTCTACTAACTAAAACCCAAAAAATCGAATTAATCATATCACAATCAACTCATTCCAACGCAGAACAGGTACTTGAGCCTGATTTGAGCCACATCATAAACAATATACTCATTGTAGTACAAGGACCCCGAGGCATCGTCACTAACACACGACCGCGGAGCATCCGTCGTATCCGGCATCAGCACCCCGGTCAAATCTTCATGCACGCAGCTGGCGTCTTTCCAACCCTGAGGGACGACCCGCCCCATCCCCAAGGTCGCGAGTTTGTTCTCACTCTTCGCACGCTCACCAGCGTTGTAGTCCGAGTGGATAAGTTCCAGCATCGGATTTCCAAGTTCGACATCACACAAGAGGAGAAGACCAGTATTATCACTGTTGTAGGAACAACAGTAGTTCGCTGACTTGCTGGATATATCTGCAAAGTAGACGCCTTTCCCAAACATATACCCACTTACAGGCGCTTCAGGAGGAGCAATTCGCAGTCCTTGACTCAATATGCCACCATAATTGGTGGTGCGAGAGCCATGCCATAAGAGTCGTCGGTTGCTATTTTTGATGCCGGCATATGGGGAATCTAAAAAGCGATCATTCTCACCGTTGCGCTCAATTCGGAAAATATGTTGGAGCTGCAAGGATTGACCTAGTTAGCTTTGGGGATACGTAAAAGGGTATCCGGATGTGGCACCTTGTATTTGACAGAATGTGTATCGCCGTGGGTTTTTATTAGATAATTCGCTAATTCCTGGTATTCTGATGTTAGAGGGTCGACTGGTGGGTGATATTAGTTAAGTCAAAAACCATTTGGCCGATATACTGATTATGACTTACGGGGTGTCATTTCCTGCAAACCAAGACCTGCGAATTGCCTGTCAAGAGGATGAATGTTATCCACAGGATCAGCGGTCTTTGAGACCTTTAGGATCTCATTTGCGATTTCCATATCTGTTAGTGTTTCAAGAAGAGCGATCTCTCTTTTGATCATAGCGGTGGAGTTAATCAAAGGTACACGGCCTCGCCCAAATGCATGAGGTATCACAGTAAAATACTGATTGTTGAAATCGTCCAAGCTAACGCCATTGTTCACTGACTGCTTGCTGTTTACCATATCTGAAAGTTTTTTCAATAGCTCGAAACCCTTCTGAAGAGTTCGTTTGCTGAGTTTTCCGAGAGGTAGTTTATTCGCATCGTAGTCTAGAGTGGCCATAGTATTCGCCCAGAATGCTTGATTGAAGATAAGTCCAATGACTTCCTGCACTGGCGCTGCCAATGTGCAGTCTGGAACTATCACCTCGTCCTCTTCTTCATCACTCTCCACCTTCGCCTTCTTTTGGGGTTTTTCTTCTTTCTCAATATCTGACTCATCTTCATAATCGCGCTCGAGGAACATATATCTACCTGGCTTTGGTGCCCCAAACCTATCTTTCCAAGGCAAGCCAGACTTATCACGAAACTTCTTCTCAAAAGTGGCTATCGCGCTAGCCAGCCCAGTTTTTCCGAAGTCGGCAGATTGGCCATTTTCTCCCACCCTTCCCCAGCGGGTCCAAGTCACATAAACTCCATCTAGCTTATTCGACTCCAGAACCTGAATGAAGTAAAATTTATTGTTGTTGTTCATGCGGTTCGTTTGATTCAAAGCTGCATCATAAATAGTGCCATCAGAATCGATATATACATGATAGTTACCTAGATACTATTTTAGTAAATTCTCAACTTATAGGGCAAAGCGGGGCATTTGGGTCTCACTCTTATTTGGGTAGAGATCATCAACTGGAATGGTTTGCGTCCTTTGCTTTTTTACTGCACTCCCAGACTGCTTCTTAGAATCGGGCTCCTTTTTGGTTTTAGAAGACTTTGTGGTATCATCATTTTTACGCTTGTTACTTTTTGTTGCCACGGTTTGAGTTGTCTGGGAGGTTTGGGTTTGGGATTGAGCTTGGGGTTGAGATTGCACCTGCGCCTGCGAATTTCGAACAGAACGTCTAGGGTTAGCTGTGGGGGCTGGGTTTGTGGTGCTAGTGGTGGCACTGCTTGATGTCGACCAGAGATACTCTGCTTCTTTCTTGCATTTTTTGGATGATATTGAGTCAAGCAACCATTCTACCATAACAATATTAATTCCATTAACAGAGGCAGCTTGTTTATCTAGGCAATAAGCTGGTTAACATCGATTTTGCGCCAATATAAAAGGGGTTAATCGCGGGATCTATGGCGAAGAGCTAGACCTACTTTTAGTCCCATTATTCTCAAACTCTTTCTGGGAACTAATGAGATGGGTGCAGTCATCAGTTACTTTTGCACTGAAAGTGCCTCCATTCGACTCAATCAATTCTTTCAAGTCGGCTGTAGTAGGGGAATCAAAGCATCAGCGTATTGCACATAGTTCTGACACAACAGCGATATGCACCAACCTTGTTTATAGCCAGGAAATGTGCCACTAAGTACGACGGCTTTGTTCTTGAAGATTGTAGGCATTTTGGTAAGGTCAATTGATACCCTAGGTACGTACAGTATGGAGGATAACAGGGGGTCGGGAAATGTTGGAAAAAAAAACAGGTGAAACAATAGCCTGGCCCGCCTTTATTCGCGTACAGTGAAATTGGGCACAAGTACTCCGTACTCCGTACACACCTGAGCAAAAAAGAAGTATGAGGAGAGAAGCGGCCTCGACGGCCGGTTAAATAGGCCGCCTGGTCTGGAGCTGCAGCGGGTAAACACCAGGCTGCAGCGCGCCTTGATTGGCTGGGCGGGACGTCCACCCAAGAGCTAGCCATATTGAGTTAAAGCCGCTGAGCTCCCCCTGACGATGGTGGGTGGCCGAGAATTGTCTAACCTTTCCGGGCTTAGAGCATGTCTGGGCTTCCAGGCAGAAGCCGGGGAGTTGAGACGAAACACAAAAAATCAGAAAGACTGAGGATCAACAATAAAACCACTTCAGTTGAAGACTCCAAAGACCCTTTTTCAGGTATTCAGCCATAAATCAAACAGACCATCCTAGAATCCATATTTCCGCCGTATTGTCTACCAATGCAAGCCATAACAAACACCATGACGACAGAGAGAAAAACGGCCATACTCCGTACTCCATATTCAAATCCCAAGGTAACAAGACAATTACAATATATACAAGAATATTGATCCATGAACACTGGCATAGAGAAATTTCAAAGCATGTGCAATTCGTTTTTAGAGACCTGCGTGAAGATATAACGACCGTCTGACCTGCTGTTTATTCTGTATCTTTGGCATTGGGCGGCGAAGCTGGCGCTGAAACAAATTCATCCCGTTCCTGGGAATCTCCACGGGTCTTCGGGTCGCTTTGCGAGTCTTCAGACCAGAGTTGCCGCAACTTGCTGGAAACATCAAGAACACTCATGTCGGTGTCAACTGGCGAGTTCGTCGACGAAGATGGCGATGAGTCTGACGACCCGTTATTTGCAGAATGTAGTGAAGACGAAGAGCCTAAAGCGGCCTGGCGTCTGGGGTTGCGGTGAGGCACAGATGGAGGAGTGCGTTTGGGAATAGTGACGAGCTTCGCCTTTGCGAACGATGCAGAGGCTGGGCCGTTGAGGCTGTGCGCATTATGATCCAGCACGCTGACCTGCCGGGCTGGCATGGCGCTACCTATGCTTTTAGTATACTCGACAGATCCAATTTCCTCCGCTAGTGGTATTGCAATGCGGAGAGATGGACGCGTTGGAGATCTTGGGCTGCGCGGTGAGTCAGGGCAGATTGACGATTGGCTAGCTTGATCTAAAGAAAGACCGTCGGTTTGGGTGCCTCGATCGATACTGGCGAAACTTTGGACGCTATTTCGAAAACTAGACCTCGTGGAACCTGTGGCGCTCCACTTTGATGAAGTCGGGCTGAAATCAAAGGAATTGACGTTGGGCAGGCGGCGAGTGCCCGCTTCTCGAATTAAGATGCCCTCTCTCTCAAGCGCCTTAACGCCATATGGATCCGGGTCGTCGTCAGCTGGAATGCCAAATGTTCCAATTGGTTCGACTTCTACATCACCCGGTGTCTCACCGGGCGCAAGTAGCATCTCCACGTCGATATTCCTGTCGCCTTGGGCCGCCTTGATCGTTTGCAACAACGTTCTTATCGACGACGACGGGTGTTTTACGTTGCCTGCCAAAACATCCGCCGCAGATATTTTTCCTCCATAAAAACGTTCATTCTCATCGCATCGTTCGATTATCAGAGTGCCCTCTGCATTAATATCAGCGTAGAGCCCACGGCCTTTAATGTAGGTCAATGTTGGCGCTTGTCGTTGATGTATTTTGGTTTCCGGATTGCCACCAGGGCCAATGGGACCTTTTGAGGCAGCAACACCCCTTCCAAGAGTGCATCGACCACGTTTGAAAGCTTCCAGAGCTTCATAGGAATTAATCACCACAACGCAGTCGTATATATCCACGCCCGTAAGGAATTCCAGCTCAGCTGTATGCGCCATGATTCCAGATGGATGGCTCCATTCGCCCGTCTCTTTTATTCTTCCGAGAAGAACTCCACTCCCTCCGGATCCGTTGACCCAGAGGCCCGTTCTCATTGTTGTAAATATAGCCAACCCTTTGGCATGTGCAATAACAGATGTTGGAATTCTTTTAACGGCTCTTCGCTTTTGCGATGGAGAGTGTGCGGCCAGTCCTTCCGCGCTTGTGCTGTCGATCTCCGCGTAGAACCCGCCCTTGTAAAAACTTCGTAGTATTCGCGCCGCTTTCTCGCTCTCGAGATCCAAGGTCGATGGCCAAAAAGCTTCGGCGCGGAATTTCATAGATAGACGGTTGATTGGGCGACCGAGCTTGTCTAGAGTGTGCCATGCCTTCTCAAATCCTCTCTTCGAGTAGACCTTTGCCCTCTCCCAGCTCTTTTGTTGGGAAGTAGCCATTTTCGTAGAATCAGACGTCATGTTTGAATCCCCACCGGATATGCCGTGCAAGACAGTCGAAACCAAAGAAACATTTCAAGCCAAACGGGACCAGGAATCGTGATCCGCCAGCAGAGCTCTCCCATTAGTAGATTGATTCGTGGTATCCGAAATGAGAGAAACAATTGAAGGAGACTCGTCTCCAGAAGGGACAAGAAATGATAGTTCTCAGGTTGCATAATTTTCTACTCCTCGGAATAATCAGGAGTCTCAAGCAACTAGCCTTCCCGTCGGCCATGTACTAATCCGCCATAGATAGGTGCAAAGTGACATAAAACACTTCTCGGCCAAAAGGACAGAACCAGAGTTTTGCGTAAAAGGCAAAAGAGGGCAGGGTTTGCACTCCAAGCGTCATGGCCGGTGTTTGCCACTGTACTTACCGGGGCGCCGGCAGGGTCCAAAAAAAAAGCCGTCAAGAAAAAACTGTTCTTGAGAGGCAACCTATTTTCGTCGACAGAGCGCCAGTACAGCTGCTCTCTGCCCTGACGACTGGAGTCAGCATGCGCGCTCAGTTGTAGCGCAGTCTTGACTTGGTCACTTGGGGGCGCATTAAGAAGAACAATCCGAAACGCTGCGTCCAGGGGGTTGGGGACAAGGAGTGCTTCGGATGCCATTGTCAGGATTTACTGCGCAGCTGCTGTCTGAAAAGGAGCATACTAGCACTTCCCCTTGTTGCACCTGGCGTTTCCTGCTGAGATGGCTCTGCAAGATCCTCTGTAGTCATTTCGCTTTCAATCCATACGGAGCTTAAATTTTTTAAAGCGTCGATGCTTTGGGGTGGTAATTAGTTACCTAGTTAACTACATAGTTATGTGATGCCCAGCATGTATAGTTAACTAACGAGCTTGTTAAATCATGCGTTTAGTCCTACTCCGTATAAAACTACATCAGGGTTGACGTTTTGTTTTTTTCCGCCACCGTCATTCAGGCAACACCCTAGGCTACTTAGTTAGTTATATGTATGGAGTGATCAACTATCCCATTCAATGCCCACTCGTCTATCTACACCTTAGATTCGCAGGATAGCCACCACTATGAGCTTGCGCCAATCCATTATGAGAACACCGCATACTCTAAAGTCCTAAAATTAAGCTGTTGTAATGCGACTTGAAGTACTCCGCACTCCCTATAGGAATCATTGAATTTCGGTCAAATGCGGAAAGGGTGCTTTTAAGAAATGGAATTGAGATTATAGAAGAGAAAACATGGTAACTACAATTTAGGACTCTGTCATTAAATATTGTCTCTTAGCTACTTTCAATTACTTGCGTTTGACTTCTTTGACTCCTCCCGTTTCAAGTTGGGGTAAGGTTGGACATGATCCAGTCCATGTAGCTACCAATCCTCGTATATACCCCCGGATAGCCTTTATCACCACATCCTTCACCGAACGACACAATTCCAATCTGCTCGTTGGTTCTAGTATCATGAATCGGGCCTCCACTGTCTTGCCGACATGCATCTTTGTTATTTTCCCCAGCACAAAACATGTCTTCTGTAATTGTGGATCTCCCTGTGTATATCTGCTGGCACCGAGTACGGCTGACGACGGGAACTGTTACAAAATTTAAATCCTCGGAGTTATTTTTCGCTTGAGAGCTCATCAATCCCCTGTTTCAATCTTAGTCATAGCACTAGTATAAACGAAAGAATCAAATGGCTACGCACCAGCCTGCTACGGTCCCTCTCGAGGATGGAGCAGGGTCATGTCCTGCTGACACTAGCTTGACATATTTGATTGAATCGCTCTCTAAAATAGGTGTTTCTAAGTGCAATAGGGCAATGTCGTTGCGGATTGTTTGAGAGTCCCATTGTGGGTGAGGGACTACGGCTTTCACCTTAACCTCTATTCCACCCTTCTTCCAAGTCTAATGCTAGGTAAGAAGATGGCACTTTTGAGTATGAAAAAGACAACTTACCGTGGTTCCTCCGCGGACGCGAAAGACTCCTTTGCTGCTCGCGACACAATGGGCGGCCGTAAGAACATTTTTCGAATCGAGTAGTGTAGCTCCACATTGATGAGTCCCATCTATAGAAAGACTGAAGATAGAAGGAAACTGTTTCTCAGCTGCTTTTGCTCCGCCAACAATACGGGGTAGCACGGCCGTTGAGACTACCGGTGCAGCAAGGACAGCCGCAATCATGAATAATCGGGCCATGATGTTAATAATGTCTTCAGGGCCAAGGATGGTAGAAGGGTTAGATGTTTCGATTTCCGGGAAGATGGAGCGAGTGGCCCTCGTATTTAAGAAGCTCTTGTAGGTGGAGTTTGCGGGGAAACGGGTATCGAAATAGAACGGGATGTCTATTTCTTGGAGGGTTTCATAGGACAGGTACATATATGCATGGCGGCATTGCCATGACCATCTAACCGCGAGAGTACACATATGTACGTATGGACGTGTAATCCATCCACGAGTGTGGGCCTGCAGCTGTAGTTACATACGTATGAACTGCGTATGAATACGGAGAACAGACCACAAGTGTAGCCTAGCCTGCCATGCATCACGAGAGGTTTAAGATGGTATACCGCATGGGTGAGAGGTTTCGTGGCTCAAGCAGCACTAATAGAAGCCGAAATTTTGTCTACCAAGAAAGGCCCAGAAGCATGAGAGGATTGTAGGGTTGCAAAATTGCAAAGAGGCAGGGCTCAGCCAGGGAAGCTGCAGAGCTTCCATTGAAACTAAAAGGGTGGAGTTAGTTGTAGCAAGTATCGTGTTATGTACGGAGTAGAGTGAGGGCCTGCATAGGAATGAATGTACTATGCACCAGATACACAATCCGTGCGTACATACCACTACTCTCCGGAGAGAAGGTGAACAGTATCTCTCTCCGTTTCAAGGACGGCGGGTGGAGAGAGGTGCAATCGTATGTGGGGCTGCTCGGGAGGAACAAGAAGCTAACATACTCCGCAATCGCCCTCCATATTCCAGGATAATACTCCGTAGTTCTTGTTGAATCCTCCGATGTTCCACGATCGACAACCTAGCTCTAGAATGGCACTCCAACGCCACAATGAGCCTTTTTAGAGGCATGGCATTAGAGATGGGCGTCATCTCCGGGAAGTCTTTGAGTAAGACGCGTAGGCTGTGTGCTGGTAGGTTCGGGTGTATGAGAACGGCCCCGCATATCTGAGGCGGCTGACGACAATTATCAATTTTATGGAAGCTGCCGAGGTTCTAATTCGCTGTTTGATGTGCTCTTGGGTTTGAATGCCACCTTGCTCATCATCGGAATGCAACAGTAGTGGAGAAACCGTCGGCCACCGGCCGGTTGGCGGCGAAGAACTTGGGTCTTGGCGAAACAGGGACGGCGAAACGACTCAGAGACGAAAGATAGCGAAGTACCCTGTACCTGTATACTTGAACATCCAGACTATAATGATACGACAATCTTGCGATGTTCATAACTAGTTATATGCCTGAGCTCGTCACAGCCACTTCGAGTGGCTTCTAATCAGTTATTCCCCATCAAAATATCAACATCTGAATATCAATATTTATTCAAGCTCTCATATGCTCAACCCTTAGAAAGTTAACTCGAAAGAGTTCTGTGGTCACAGTGACTTACTTTATTTTCTGCCGCTTACTTAGATACGGTATTTTACCTTGGGGCAGGTTGAACGACATCAGCTCCTCAGCCTCCTCTTTTGGCATATGCTTCCTTGACACTAGATACTGGGAGTAAATTCTCAATGTTAGCCTGGAAGAAATCCCCTAAACAGAAGCTTGTCCTAGAGCATACATGGATTTGGAACCCGGGATCGGTTATGAGGCCGTGGAGATATCCTCATCATCTAATAATGGAAAACACATTAATACGAGATACTAACCCAACTGGGTGACTGTATGGACGATTGATATTCCAGCAGAGCAGCAGAGGCACCTAAAACTAGTGTTGGAGTAAGCAAAAAATAGAGCAAGGCAAAATCAAAAAAAACATGTCCACTACAAAGATACACACATCATTCACAGCGTGTGAGGTAGGTATAGAGGGTTCGCTTCATCCGGAATTTAGAAAGGTAGCGTGGAATGGGTTTATGTACTCTGTACTCCGTACAGAATGTAAAAGCAATAATATAAAGGAATACTCATGAATACATAAACGTAAAAAGTGTTTAGACAAGAGACTGGTTCAAAACCAGGGGAGATGATCTATGCAACATCAAAGATAGTAAGTGGATAAAAACGCTTCTATACTCTTTTCAAAAATGGCATATACAAAAACGATGGCTCACCTCCGAGGAGAACTAAAAAGTTAAAAATAACCGGCAGCAATGTTGACAACACAAAATCTACAATGCACCAAGCTCCTTCAAACGGCTAATGAGACCATCAACGTCTTCAACCTTCCCTCCTCCTTGTCTAGCAGGAGGCTCTGTTGGGTGCTGTCAGCTACCATCTGCCATGGAAAAGATCGATAGGCTTACCTGTGACTTTCACAGTCTTCAACCTCCTTGTATCTTCAAGATTAAAATCAGCCAAAGTTTTCTTTTCTAGCGGCTTCTTTTTCGCCTTCATGATGTTTGGCAAGCTCGCATATCTTGGCTGGTTAAGCCGTAAGTCCGTCGTAATAATCATCGGTAATTTCGCTTTTAACGTCTCCACACCTCCATCGACTTCTCTAGTCACCTCAATTGTGCCTTCTGCATCCTTGACAGTGACTTTGCTCGCTTGGGTAGCTTGAGCCCAGCCCAATAACCCTGCCAACATTTGGCCCGTTTGGCCTTGGTCCCCATCAATTGCTTGCTTCCCCAGAAAAACGAGGTTGATGTTTTCCTTTTCAACAACATTCTTCAGTAACTTCGCCACAGTCAATGGCTCTAAGCCGCCATCACCCTTGCCCTCGGGAACGTCTACCAGAACGGCACGGTCGGCGCCCATTGCCATTGCCGTGCGGAGAGTATCCTGGGCCTTAGCCCCTCCAGCGGAAAGAGTAAGGATGTTTTCAACCTTCATGGGGCCTTTGCTTTCACGAAGGCGAACAGCCTCTTCTATCGACAGCTCATCGAAGGGGTTCAATGAGTGTTTGACACCGGCAGTTTCGACTCCGGTTTGCGCCTTGTTGATGCGGGGTTTGATCTGACCAATACAACGAAAAACATTAGCATATGGCCGAACAGAATCTAGAGTAGAATAATGCTTGATGCAGTAGCCACCGGAAGAAAGAAGAGACCCATTGAGAGCAAGCCGCCATCTCTGGGCCAAATTTGGCTACCAGCTGAGCGAATTCGCGGGTGCTTACCGCATAATCGATAACCCGCTTGACGGGCACTAATATCCGTAAAGCATTGGCCATTGTGAGATATGCTGATACACACTTTTGCTCGCGGGATCGGAATTTAATGGTTTGAGAGATATATATGCTCCTAACGAGCGGTTCTTGATTCTTGACTCTTTCGGCTCAGAGGACCGCTGCCAAGCTATCGCGGCAATGGAGCAACGAAATTCCAAGCCAAGACGCCATTCAGTGGCTGCTCCGACTCTACCCGCATGCAGTTGAAGGGCCGATCGTTTCCGAAAGGCCGAATCTGTCATTCCATGAGAATTGATAATCTATTTACTCAATATCCACACTAAGTGAGCGTAATACCATGCATCTGACATACAGAGAAGACATGCTGGTATTTGAAAGTACTCTTTTCCTTTAGCATAGCGTCCAAAATTTGCAACCTAAGGCAATCGGCTCCCAATTCGACATCTTACATGGCCTGATATCGACCTACCACGTCTCTTGCTTGTATCGGCCAACTTTTTCCATATCCATTAGGTAGCCTTCTGCTTCTTGCCGGTTGTATACAAGCCTTCCTCCTGTTTCAAACATCTCGATCAACGCCTCTCGTACTGCCTGGGGCATGCGGCCGGATGAGCCACAAATAAAAACTGCTCCCTGCATATCATGTAATACCTGGAAAAAACGATTTTTATTTTGTCGGATCACATCTTGAACGTAGATTTTCTGCTTTTGATCTCGGGAGAATGCTGTGAACACGGTAAGATCGAGCACTGTGCCAAGCTCCTCCCAGTCCTCTCGAAAGAAGTAATCTGCTGTTTGGTTGCGGCCACCAAAGAGTAAGATAACAGGTCCTACCGGTGAGGGCACGGTTTGACCGTATTTCTTTCGGTGTGCCTCCACTATGGCGGCCTTCTCCCAGAGTAGGGACCGGATAGGAGCGATGCCTGTTCCAGGCCCAATTAGTACCGATGGCTCGAGAAACTGCTTTGCCGAGGAACTGAGGGCTCCTCGATGGAGCTGCACTTTCAATGTGCTTCCAGGTTGAAGTATTGCGAGGTACCGTGTACAAACTCCCTCTCTAATTTTTTTTATAACTGTTTGGTATTTAACAATGGCAACTAACAAGTCAAATCTTGTGCCTCCGTTAGGTGTCTGTTTCATTTTTCCACCACTTGAGATGCTGAATTGGCGGCCACGCATGACGGGAAAAACAGTACAAACTTGCTGCCAGGGTATCTTTATAGTGTCGAACTCATATAAGACTTCCAAGATGCTTCGTCGTGATCTAGTAGCATAATCATAATACTCGTCAATATATTCAGGGTTAGTAAATTCTAAAAGTCGGTCTTTATGCATTTCATCGCTAGTAAAATGGGCTATTTGGGAAAAGAATGATCGACGTGGAATAGCCATAATATCCAAGTAATTTGTAAGTAGTTCACGCAAAGTAAATCCAGGTCTATGTTGAAGGACTGGGATAGGAGCAGTTGGTGAGGGTGATGGGGATATGGCTCCGGGAACAAAACATAGGGGTATATCGGCGTCACTTTCCCAATCCATTAAGGACAGGAGAGCATTTACATCATTTGTAAAATTTTTTGGGGTGATGTGTAAAACGTCACCAGGACGGTATGGAATGGGATTGGGAATGGTAAATACCAGGTGTCGGACATCCTGCCAGTGTGTCATTGGAGTAACACGAGTATTTTCGATTAAGGTTGCTGGAACAGCGTTAGGAATAGGTCGCGTGTCGTGATCTTCTGGTTGCAAGGCGACAAAGGAGCCCGCCGACTCAGCAGTTCTGTGTAGAGCCATGCCGACTTGTGAAGTTTGATCCGCTTCGCTCGGCTTTGGACCGTAAGTGGTAACTATCCATTTCGGTGGTAAAAGGGTATCCTCTGGTATCGGGTGTTCTCCAGGTTTTAATGGGAATTTATCTAATAAAAAGCGTTTTAGAGCCTGAGCCCATGGCACGAAACACCCTTCGGTTCTAGTAATACAATTAATATGTATTATAGAAAGATAGTCTTGCATTATTCGCTTATCGTACCCTTCAGGATGTTGCTCATCGGCTTCGCCGCTTGGGAATATCTCATTCGCTCCTAGTTGAAGGAGCCTTTTGAGTAACTTTCTAGCTGCCCAATTGAATCTAACACTCTATTAGATACCGAAAGTAGATTTTACTGTTGATTTCTTAAATAAATACTTTGGATAGGAACTGTCTCCAAGCCCAAAAATGGCAAAATTGGCTTGGTGTAAAAATGTATTTGGAAGTCGCTTCAGTAAGAGGGATCTCCAAAATAATCGCCCATTGGCCGGGAGATCTCCCTGCCCAGTAGTGGAGACTGCAAGGATAGTGAGTGAGTATTTATTTAGAACTTCCTAGAAGTGCTATCAGTGAGTATTACATATTATGCCTAGATAGGCTGCTGGCGTACCGCCTTGACGGCATCTAGCTCCGATATATCAGTCTGGAAATAGAGTCGCTCCGTCAAACGGCTAAGCTCTTCTGCGATCTCTTGCGAGTTCCCTGTTTCCGAGGCGTAAATGACTAGAGCAGTCCTCTGGATGGCATTTTCGCTGCACGCCATATCAGTAACCCTGTTAAGATGCTCTGCCACATAGTGCTGTGTTTGTTGTCAGAGTCACGAAAATTGAGCAGCGATATCGGGTGATCATCTCATCAAATGCCAAGATAAAGGTCTGAAAAGACAAACAATGCAAACATTCATGGAGAAAATGATTGCACTTGAACCAATAATTAATGTTGCCTAAATAAACTTATTATTCATTTAGAAAAATAACAAACATGACCAAGCCTTATTTCTAATAAGGTGTTCACCTTTTTAGTGGAGAGGCTTGGTCGTTTGATACTTTTGAATTATCATTGAGAAGCATGTATTGACGTGGTCTAGACAACAGCCAGGGGGTTAGGTAGAAAGAAAAAGAGAATTCGCTATGAGGCTATTGCACAGGGTATCAAAGAACACTAGTATACATCACCATCACCGGCATCCCCATCGCCATAATCATCAGCCTCATCCCCTGCGTCGAAGTACTGCTCAGCGTTATAATCCCCGCCCATGTCCTCCTCGTCCTCCTCGAAATCATCATCGACAATTTCTTCTTCGCCCTCAGCATCATCGTCGTCAAGTGCGGCTTCATCTTCTGTATCTTTTCGCCTATCAATATCAGATCCTTCGTCATCCTCTTCATCGACATTTCGGCGTTTGCGAATAATAACATCGACTGCATCGTCTTCGTCATCTTCAAATCCGCGTTTCTGACCAGTTCGAGAAAGAGCACCAAAACCTCCACCCATTCCTCCCGGTAAACCTACATATTTTGGATCCAGAGTGGACCATAACTCTTTAGGGAAAAGGTTCATTTCTATGTCAAAAATTCAGCTATGCTAAATTTAAAATAATAGGGGTAGTTTCACCCACCAAAAGGTATTGCACTCAGTTTTGGCAATACCCTTGTTTTCTTTAAATATCTCTGCGAATATGTCGCCATTCCCTGGAATGGGTCAAATTGTGCGCGAGGCGACGGCGCACTCGTCCCACTAGGAGGATATCTGAGGACTGCATAAAAGGGTCCATCATGGATATTTTCTCGTAGCTGTCGGTAATAATCAACTTGTAATACTTCTTTTTTGGTGAGCGGCTTCGCACGAGGTGGTTTATATTTCTAAACAGCCTCCCAAGAATTAGCCATTTCTGCGACCGCGATTTCTCTCGTAGGTAGGACAAAAACTTGCGGGAAATAATGGTGTAGGCGCGGTATCTGCTTCTGCCCCAGGCTCGGATTGCCATGAAAATTCAGCTCCCGGCAGTCTTCTACCACGAACCCCCCCACCACCACCCCGGTGGGACATGAGTGTATGCTCTGAATGCAGAAGAAATTAACTGATGACCAGGTGTAGGCGTATGTTTAAACTATGGCAGATATGTTAATAGTACCTGATTCTCCAATAACTAGCTATAATCGTTGAAAAAGTGTTGTTAACCTACTACTCCAACATCCATACTTACATATCATCGGAATACCTATTTTCCGAGCTGTGACGCAACAACAGCATATTTTTTATTGAAGGGTATTTTGACTACACGTATCTAGAATGAACTTACTACGTTGAATATATAGCAACCTTTTTAAAATCTAATATGCAATGATCGGCATGCAGATGAATTTTTTTTTTTTTTGAAATTCACACTATAGTGCTCCGTACTGGCCCAAAAGATAGAAGACAGATCAAGGTACGGAGTATGCGCCGTCATATAGTATTTTTTAGAGGAAAATCAGAATCATCACGTCAAAACTCGATACCATCTCTAGAAAATGCATTATGGCAATATATCACTGTTAGGACATTGACATAGGCCCCAAATTGACCACATCTCAGATGTAATAGAGGCTTGAGTTGCTGCATACTGTTCATCAAGCCAGGTTTGCCAGTCCCAGTCCATCCATTCAGGGAAACGCTCGTCACCTCGATTTATTTTACCCCAGCGTAAAAGAGGAGAAATATACATACCAGGAAATAGTTTAGCCTTCAACTTCTCATGAAACCGTGGCCTTTCAAGGTCAATGCGACAGTGTCCAAAGTCAATCACAGTCAAATTGTTGCTTGGTGTACTTATGATGATATTTCTTTGCTCCAAGTCACGATTCACAATATCACGCGCATATATCTCAGACTCTATATCAATAATTTGTTTCAAAATGCTCTGTCGTTCCTCTTGAGTGAAGTTGTCTGGGCTAAGTTTGTTCATTGGCACACCTGGTATTTTTTCAACGAGTATTAATCGAACAGAGCGAGAGGCATTTCTTTCAGGAATCCATAATTCCATGGTAAATGAACCATAGAATCTTGGAATACATCTTCCCTGAAGCTCATGAAGTCTCTGATAGACTGCAGATTCAATGGAGTAGGCTCTGTCTGCCAGGTAAAAGACATCATCGTAATCACTGCCGTCAATGTAAAGTGGGTCATAAAATTTAGCCACTAACTTTGTGTTGGGTGGTATATTTTCAAGTTGATCAAGAATATTGACAGAAACAACTTGGGAGCCATGGAAAGATCCTGTCCTGATTTCCTCAAGAACTTGAAGCCGGACTGTGGTCTTCTCCGCTACACCTTTTGCTGGAGGATAAAGAAGGCATACATCGACTGGGTGCATATCTCTCCTCTTTAAATACTCTGCATAATCAAACGGATACCGGTCATTTATAGGAGGAGGTGGTGTGTGTGAACAAATGCAGAGTTCCTGCCCAGTGGAATATGGGAAGTCTGGTGTCCAGTAGGCAGACATATTTGTTTATTTTGTCATGTTGTGGGCAGTTCAGAATACTCTGTGCGGGGGTAGCTCCGAATATAATTGTACTGTGTCAAGTTTTAATAGAATTTCAGATGAAACTCCAGACTCAAAATGGGGAGTTTTCGCGCGTATTCTCAACAGGTGGTGAATAGCCTTGGAGCTAACAAATAAAAATAGCAATGATAATGAGGAGGTTGTGGTAGCTTGAGTCTCGGTAATATTGCCCTCCTATCTGATGGCAATCCTCAAAGGTTAGTTAAGGACCCATGTTGAAGTAACTAAGGGCTATGTTGGGACATTTTGAAGATATGCCGACTAATGAGTTTTTGGAAGTTATAAAGTTGACATGTTGGTGGCTGTCCCTAGAAGGCTCAGGCATATTCAATGGTTTTTGTACTAATCAATTCTCACTTCCATTGGTTTGTGATTAGGCCTCTCTTGGTAACGAATTTAGTTTAGCTACATAGTTGTGTGCTCTGTAGATAGCTACATAAATTTCTCCATACAGTGTACTCCATATGGAGTAGTTTAACCATTAGTTATTGCCACCCAAAAATTCCAACCAATAATTGCCTATGTGTGTTAATGCTCTGTTGTAGTAGTGATCATTGAGAATGTCATGTCCATATGAAGTACTCCGTACTCTCATTGCCCACACTGCCATTGTCGACAACTCGTATATGTATGGAGTACACTGTATGCATACATACATCCGAGAGAAATAAAGAGGTAAATATCTTTTGCTGGACCGTACTTAAATCATAGCTCTAGTGCATCTACTCGGCTTCCAACTTGACTCGTGTTGCCCCATGGGCCTTGTGATACGCGCCTTTTTAAGGATCGCATCAAATCACTAAAACCACTGGTATCGCCGCCAATTTTTTCGATAGAAGACTCTAGTGCCACAAGCGCATCATATTTTGCAGTAGCTACCCTCCATACAGCGCTCTCGGTGTCCCCTCTACCACCAGCCACGAAATTTGCATATGTTTGAGGGTCCTTGAAAAGATACGGTAAGACGACTGTCAAAGCTGGAGGAACCAGCAGGGCCCAAGATCCATGTCTTGGCAAGTTTCCAGCGGGTGATGGACCAAGTTGCTCAATTTCATCTTCGGTTGGTATAGCGAATGAGGTACCGAGTTGATTTGAACTTGGGTTTGATGCCCAATTAGCAGTCGCAACGGAGGTAATAAAGGCAATGGCAGCAAGGGCCGTATCCGTCATGGCAACTGTTTCCGCAGCGGCTACCACATTTGCCCAAATGTCAGTATGCTCATTCAAATACTGAAAATAGAGTGTTCTTGCAGCCGCAGCTTCCGCATGGGCACTGGTGAGAGGCCCATTCAGAACAATCTGCTGCTCAGAATCAATACTCGGGGTAGGAGAGGGGCCACTAAATATCCTTCCGAGTGCATCGAGAGTATTCTTATGCAGAGGCTTAGAGGGAACGGTCAGTAATGGATTTAGTGACCGTTTCCCAGCTTCTAATATCATAACTCGCGGAAGCGACGCTAGGATGTTAAGATCACCACTTGGAACTGTTCCATGAGCCCATTGCGCGGAAGGTATATCAAGAGATCGATGGATGCCAGTAAGTATACCGTCTAAAAATGGCTGTGGGTTTTGAAGGAGGTGATTTGGATAGAGTTGCGCATACAGGGAAACGTACGACATTATAGGGCCGGAGAGATAAGGAGCTTCGGCAGGGTTGAGTATAGAGGGGTTTATGTAGGAATTCATGGTTCTGCAATGTAATCCAGAAGATATCAAAAACTCCAACGATGGCGAAGAGAATTTTGGGTGCGACTTTTGAGCTGCGTCACAGCTCTGTTTCATGCCGGGAGCATTTATCTTCAAAAGTTCACAAAAAAAGTGGATAAGTGTCATGTGCAAGAGGACATCGTCGGTATCTACCATTCGGCAAGCCGCAAACTCTAGCAAGTGTTTGCTCTTGAATTTCAGTTCAATATCCGGAAAATGGGAAGTTGTAAGGGTGGTCCAGCTTAAGGTACCCAATCTCGTGACAAAATCTAGGAATCTTCCCTGGGCCACAGATTTTTCCCGCTTCTTGGGCTGGCCTGATTGTCCAGCCGTGTCAAAGCTGCATATCGAGAATAGTAGTTTATACACGGTGCTGTCACCAAACAACCGTCTCCAAACCAATCCCTGGCCAGCGGCTTTAGTCTTATCTGATTCATCATTTCCTTGAATGGAATTTGGGTTGTCAACTTCGAGTAGAGACCATAAGACATCCAAGGCGGCCTCTGCAACAGCTGTTGAAGAAGTCGTGAGCCATGCTTCGACCAGGGTTGTTAACAGGGCAGGATTTCCTGCGATGACTGCTGCATCACTCGCCGATTCGCTAGCTTTGCGGAGCAGAAATAAGGAAAGGAGATTAATTGGAGGTGAAGGCGCCCTGATTCCAGCAATTAAACTAACTGGGGGCTCGATTGCCTGTATCTGAGAAAAGGAAAGGTATGTCGCGGCCTTTATTCCCAGGTTTGTTAGCGGAGTAGGGTCATTCTGAAGAGTAGCAAAGACATCTGCTATTTGAACAAGAATTGCGGCTAATATTTGTGGATCGGTGATCGCAACTAGTTCTGCCTGAAGCTTTTCTACCAGCCGAATGTCGAGATTGGTGGATGGGTTGGACGAGATCAGCTCGAGATGGGTTCTCAACTGATCATAGGAGGCAGGAACGCTCATCGTTTTCTAATATACCTTAACTGGAGAGAGTGAGAAAGAGACCAACGCTAGAGGTTCGGCCGCTCTGTATACGCCGTAGGCTAGGTAGTGTATAGCTGTGCTTGGAGAATTGGATCGGGGCCTCTCGGCTTTTTATTAATCCGACTTGGCTCCCCGCATGGCCCAAACAAATCAAACATTTCGTGTCAAGGCTACGGAGTACAGGGGAGCCGTTTGAGCTTGATATCCATTCCACACTGGCTGCTCAACAAGACTTGAGAAACGAAATGGCAGAGCATCATAACTCTTTTGTTTCTCAGAAATCTTCGGACTCTGGTCTTCAAGCTTATCTTCACCCGCTCGTTCTTCTAAACATCTCAGACCACATCACCCGCCATGCGGTAAGGCAGCAGCATGGCCCCATTGTGGGAGCTTTACTTGGCCAGCATAAAGGTCGAACAATTAGTTTGGAACATGTTTTTGAATGCACTACTGTGGTAGAGCCTAACGGAGATGTTTTCTTACACCAGGCATGGTTCAGCGAGCGCCTGCAACAGTGTTTGTCTTTCCGGCACCTCAGGAAGTGGATCTGGAAGATTAGAGCTGACATTTATTTGATTTTGTATAGTTAAGGATGTCCATAAGTCTCCGGCATTGGATTTAGTCGGATGGTTTACAATAACTCCTTTAGCTGGTCCAACTCTAGCACAGCTACCCCTCCATCGCCAGCTCTTAGAACACTACAATGAAGGTGCTGTCTTATTAGCATTCCATGCCTCAGAGCTGGAAAGCCCGTCGTCAACCGGGAAGTTGCCGATTACGATATATGAGTCTGTCTATGAAGAAGATAATGTAGAGGACGTTGATAGATCGATGGATATAGACGGCCAACCTCAGACCCGCCAACTCCATCTTCGATTTAGAGAACTTCCTTATTCCATTGAAACTGGAGAGGCAGAAATGATTAGTGTTGACTTTGTCGCTACTGGTGGCGGGAATGCCGCTGCTGTTGGATCAAGCGAAACTCCCAGGCTTGTTCCAAAACATGTCCCAGACCACGCCTTTCTTTCACGAGAGGCGGAAGACTGTACGTAAGGTCACCACTACATGATGCTGAGAGCAGTACTAATTTTTATCTAGTAATTGCAAGCCTCACAACTCGCCTTGGTGCCGTCAGGATTCTTGAATCCCGACTTCATTTGATCAAGGCATATCTGTCTTCCCAAATTCCAAGCACCGCTCCAACCGATGCCTCTACTTCGCCCAGTTTATCACATTCGATCCTCAGAAGTATTTATTCGCTTATATTCCATCTTGCACTTCTTACACCTCAGGGTTCCAATGCCCTCTCCGTCGAATCTCTGGCGCAAGCCAATGATGTCGCCCTAGTCGCATTGCTCGCTTCAATGGGTGGAAGCGTACAAGCATTACGCGAACTTGGTAAGAAATTTAGTATTGAGTGCACGGTGCGACAGGATAACGGAACTCGAGATCCCCATGCTAGCACACAATCACGTTTAAGGGATGAAATGATGTTACGTGGAAGGAGCATGAAAGGCGACACAATTTGGGGATGACCAGAATATTTTTGGCTGGTTAAGTTATCAGGCATATTGCAGATGGGGTAATTTGTGGAGAATGGCGTTTCTCCTGATCTTGGGTGTACAGGAGCAACCCGATGCTACAGGTCGCTCATCACAATAAAAGCATGATGCACTTGTTATTTTCACTAACATTTGTTCAACAAACAAGACTTACATTACCAGCCCCTATTATTGTGAAATTTCAAAGGGAAACCATATAAAGAATAAGGGTATCATGAACAGTTGTATAAACGATTACAATTCATCAAAAAGAAGCACATGAAGATCAGATCGTCATTCACCACCCTCGCCGGGCATACTCCGTTGTGTGGAACGGGTGAGCCGTAACAGGTGTGGCCTGAGCATTCGCAAGCAACTCCTCCCTCTCACCATGGGAAGAATTGAACCCTTTGCCTGGCCGCATCATTACGTCATTGCTTGACTGTGCGCCAGCATACGCCGTATCTTGATCCTGATCCTCGACTACTGTACCCTTAACAGTAAATGAGCTACCCGGTTGCCCTTGGTAGCTAGGATCAAATTGACGTTTTTTCCGTCCGACAAAAAGCCATCTGGCACTCCTGCCAATAGCCTTGATGAGATCCCATGGGTTAAACGCATCTGCGAGGGCCTTGATACCCAGAAAGCCTCCTTGATAAAATTCTATGCTGCAAGGGCTCCCTGGAATATCGCTGTTATTACTGGAGCTTTCGGTCTTATATGGCATCCAAGGGAATGCCCAGAGGTGAAGGATGGCAAAAATTGCCATTTCTATACAAATAAGCGTGGATGGTATGCCAATTTTTATATCTGGAAGTGCCATTTGCCTCGAAGGTTTTATTGCGCCCGACGATGTGAGAAAGGATATTGCTATCTAAATGCTGTCAGAGATTATACCAAATGTAAAAGATGTCTAGAGGGCATACCTCTTGCCAGAACGAAAGAAATATTACGAGTTTGATGGCTAGGATTTTCAGAAAGGGAGAATATGTTGACAGATCTGCTTTTAGCTGAATGTAGAACTGAACAAGACAGTACATTGCAATCGTGACGCAGGTGGCTTCGATCACCATGACCTAAGAAAATTGATTAACAAAAATATCATATATCAGGAAAACAGAGACAGACCCATAAATGCGCAAACGCTGGGCTGAGTGACTCCTGACAATATATATGGAATTTCTGTGTCACCACCGCAACGATGGTCATGGCTACGCGTATAAAGCAATACTGGAATATTCCTGTCCAAATTATCTGCCGGAATTTAGATCAGTTTCGTGTCAATATCCAAATTGGGTTGTGTCTTACGTTAAACCAAGTAAGTCCACTCCGGGGTGTTCTCCATATTCCCCTTTCACCTCCGCAGCATTTTTGAAACCAATTCAAGGGCCAGAACCACGGTTTGGGGACAATTCCCCTAAAGTATTCTTTCTGGCTATGTAAGTCATGTGCAATATAGTGGCACATGAGGGAAAAGAACGCAGAAATGGCGAATGCTTCATAGCAGTCACGGAGAACCTGGAAGTACACGGTGTGTTGGTAATGATAGAAGGAGAGGAAGGATACCACGGCGTAAATTGGGACCATAAACAGGATTCGAATAATACTGCGACGATTGGAAGCAATCAGCAACTCGGTATATAGAGCACAAGGACATGGATAAATGATTCATAGCGTCGGACGTACTGCCTTTGTTCTTGTGGGCGGAGGTAATGCGTAGCATGCTGGAAGACGAGAAAGAGGGACACCACAACGGCTATGAGGGAGAATATCGCCGATACTATGAGGCCGAGGCGGTGGAAGGTGACTCCTCCATCCCAGAGGGGATCCTCTGAGACTGCGCAAGCATTAGCAACAATGAAGATCAAATAGCGGGGAGATGCACTGTACTGCGCTCCTCAGAAAGCGTGTCGTTGCACACTGGCCATCCCATTGGTGCCTGCGCCGTGCTGTCCAGAGCAGGGAGTGGGAATGGAGACGACGCTTTCTAGAGATCCAAGGCCTCTTGGAGTTGTGATCGAAATTTGCAACTCTGCTTTTGCAGGGATCTGCGCAGGTCTCAATGACAAGTCAGGGGGTTGAAACACCGCTTTTCCGCCCAGTTGTTTATGTAACTAGGTACAGAGTATTCGCTACCTAGTCAGCTAACTAGCACAAGCAGGGCAGAGTACGGAGTAAGGCGCATAGATACGAAGAATAGCAGAAAGACTACTTGTACTGTCACCACTCCATGCGGAGTACGCCTCCCGGTTCTACGTACTAACCGCGCCACCCGCCATTAGGGGTGAGGTTATATGAAGGGCTTCTTAGAGACATATCGGTTTTTTACAGAATAGTCGGGTGGCAGCCTCGTCTCAAGTGGTGAGGGTCTTGCACGGACAAGATTTGCCTCCCATAAATTAAGCACAACCTAAGCTTTTGGCCCCTGTTGCCGCGCAAGCTTGGTGGGTTGCATCGAGTATGGAGATAAATTTCCTGAGAGTAACTACGGAGTGGCCTGGATTGAAATCCACTGTACGGAGAAACTATAACAGGCCGTGAATTCTCAAGTAAATACAGTAGTACATAAAAATAGGGAAAAGGAGCCTCCCAAAAAAAACCAAAGCCAGCAGCGTCCGTGTATGGGCCAAGCCTATCCAAGCCGTGGTGCGGTGGGTAGCATGATTCTAGAAGTAGCCTGGAAGGAAGGAATCAATAACAAACCGGCCCAGGAGAAGCAGAGAGAGATATACATATTCCAAGGAAATCCAGGCGGAACGATAAATTGTAAGGCAGCACTCCCCGGTCAGCCTCTCTGGGGGGGCCGAGCATGGGGCCAGGCTGCAGATGATTATCTTCTGCCACGCCAGCTACCACCCCACTCTCCAAACCCACCGCCTCCTCGGCCCCTAGGTGCACGTCCACGTCGAGCTCCATATTCAGGGCCATGGTCAACGAAGAAATCGTTATCCTCGAATGTATATCGGCGCATTTCGTCGCCCCCAGGCTTTCGGGTAGGGCCGGTGCGCGCAAGATCTTCAAATCTGTCCAAGCGTTTATCCGAAACTTCCTTGGCAACTGGAAGATAATAAAGCTTGGGCTTGGCTGACGTGGATGCGAACCGATCGTCAAGCGCTTTAAAACTGCTATCGGAGATATTTGTAGAGGGGGGAGCTTGTCGGTTGTTTCGTTCAAAACTTCTTTCGGCTCGTGGTCCCGTGGGAGGCTCAGTACTAAAGGGCTGTGTGCGGCTCAAGCGCCTTGAATTTGGGGTAGCCTCATGGAGAACAGCGACAATCCCGTCTTCTTTATCTTCGTAAGATACTTCCCAGCGAGAATTGTTGCGTCTGCCGTTTCCAGAAGCCTGCTCGACATCAATCCACTCCTTTACCTTCTCCTCAGGGACAAAATCGACCCAGAGAGGTTTCCGAGACCCTGCATCTGGCCATGTTGTGCCATGTAGTGCCGTGCGAACACGAGAGGCAGCTGAGATGCTGGTGAAAGTAACAAAGCAATGGGTTTTGATACTGTCGAGAAAGAAGTCAAGAATAATATCCGGATCAGGAGTAGAGTGAGGAGGTGTGGCTAATGAGATAAGATATCTTTTTAGGGCGACGGTTTGTAAAGGACGCATGAAGTCGCGAATGTACAGGGATGTGGTGGCTGGATGAAGGGCTGGAACGGAAGCGCTCTCTTCACCTTCTGCGGGGGCAGAAGATTCACGTGGGCTTGGAATTCCATTTTGAGATGGGAATAAATCCTTGAAACGGGCATCTCCATGGGGCTTCGTAGTAGAATGACTGTCCTCAGCCAGTTCATCACCTTGTTCTTGCGGGGTCTCTTGCTCCCGGTGAACGACATATTTGTCGTCAGGCCTTTCATGATGTTCGCGATTATCTTGTAAGTCTGGTTCCTCAACTATTGGACGATCAGGCCCATCGCCTTCTGGTTGACTAGTCTCCTCTCGCCCTTCAGAATCCAACTTTTGCGCCTCAGCTGTGACATCTTGGCCTTCCTGTGTTTCATCCATTTTCATATCTCCCGAATCCACTGGAGGGCCTGTAGAAGCCACTGGTACCTCCACCTCTCCCAGCTTTCCTGGCTCCTCCTCCTCCTCCTGAAGCACTACGCGCGGGTGGCCATCCTCCGCCTTTGCCCTTTTTAAGGCCGCACTTCTCGGAGAAGGCGGTGGGCTTTGGCTTCTTCGCTTTCTCTTCTTAGAGTCATCCAATTCTTCACTCGATAGCGCCGGCTCTGTCGTTGAGGGGTGGGATGCCGATTCTATAACGCGAGGAGGTTCAGGTTCTGGGGGGACAGTGGGTTCGTCTGACGGTCTGACTGATGGTGCTTCCTGCAAGAGATCTGATATTGCGATCGCATGAGATGTGCGTCTAGGAGGAGGCGCTTCCTCTAAGCTTGTCTGGCCAACAGATTGACTCACGTCCGGCATGGCTACATCGTGTGATTTCGTTGCCGGTTCGGGTACTTCTTGAGGGGTTGCAGGTGCTTGGTCACGCAAGCTACTCATTTCAGCTACTTGAGGTGCCGCAGCAGAAGGCTCTTTCGGTTCACCCGTTTGTTGGGAAGTATCGGGCGCGCTTGGTTTGCTTGCGACCTCTGCGGTTGCGACATTTTCTGCCGCGTTTTCATTTGGACCCGAGGAGTCGGCTTGTATTAATCGATCGATAAATTGTTGTTTTAGCCTAAGGCCAGTCTGAGGAATTCCACGTCTTTTCAACTCTGCTTTTAGGTCAGCTACTTTCCAACTGCTGTAGTCGGCCATGCTGGAGAGTCTCGCGCGTATCGCGGGATGGGGCTAGTTGTGGGCGATGGTAATATATCCGACTTAATAAGTAGCAATAATATATTCAGAGTTAATAAATTTAGAAAGATAGATATGACAATTGAGCTATTCAATGGGCACGTTGATGGAACATAAAATCAATGTCAGGATTGCAGCTTCGAGTGCCTGAAACGCTAAAGGGCGTCGTGCATGTTGCACTATTTCAAATACAGTTAGCCTATTTTTGTGAATATACATCACGTGAAAAGTATCGGGCCGAATCGGAATGCAGGATTACATAAGCAATTATAGCTGGAGTTAGTCCATTTAAAGTATAGTGTGAAACGCTTTTCTGCCGAGGGCCATCTCCCCGTCACTCCTAGCGAGGACTGCTATTGGCCAGCCGTGGTGTCATCGCTGCCCAGTCACGTTCCCTCATTTCAGAGTCATTCTCTCACTCGGCTAATTAAGATACAGATGCCTCCCTGCAAGGTACAACATTCTTCCCTGGAACCACACAGTCTCCCAATTGCTACGTGATTTTTGGCCTGTACTCGGCTCCGTATTTCCAGAAGATACGTTCTTGCGCTATGGGGGATAATAGTGCGAGCATTGCTCAAGCACCTCAGAAACTCCGTCAGTATTTTTTTCTCCCCTTTCCCCTCCACCCCACGATTCATGCCTGAGCGTGAAAGATTTGTTTGTGAACAGCTACTAAATCCCGTAGAGAGAGTCGCGTCGCAACCTGAAAACCCTTTTTCGACCCTTATTTCTGACCAGTTTATCGCCACTGTTCCCTCCTTCACCCTCGAGTCGGGTGTCACTCTGCACAATGTCCCAGTCGCATATACTACGCGAGGGGAACTGAATGCTTCTGGAGACAATGCTCTAGTTGTATGCCATGCCTTGAGCGGCAGCGCTGATGTTAGTGACTGGTGGGGCCCGCTACTCGGGGGTCCAGGTCAAGCTTTCGATACAACGAAATTCTTCGTAGTATGTCTGAATAGCTTAGGCAGCCCTTACGGAAGCGCCAGCGCCATGACCTATAAAGATGGTGATCAGAAGAAGGGTATTTATGGACCAGAGTTTCCATTGACCACGATAAGAGATGATGTGCAGTACGGCGCCCCAGCATCGAGAAATATGGAAGAGCATAGACTAATTTCTGGCCTTAGCATCCACAAGATTATACTCGACGACTTAGGCGTCAAGCAAATAGCAGCCGTTGTCGGTGGCTCCATGGGTGGCATGTTGGCATTGGAATATTCATTCTTTGGAAAGGATTATGTGCGCTGTGTTGTGCCTATTGCGACCTCCAGCTGCCACTCTGCTTGGGGAATCAGTTGGGGAGAAGCCCAAAGACAGAGCATATACAGCGATCCCAAGTATGAAGACGGGTACTATACGTTTGACGATCCCCCTGCCACGGGACTGGGAGCGGCCCGCATGGCAGCGCTCTTAACCTACCGAAGCCGAAATTCATTTGAGGCAAGATTTGGAAGAAATGTCCCGAATGCCTCAAAGCTTGGCACTGCCCGTCTTCCTACCCCACCAAACGACCATCTTGCTGTCCATAATGACGGGCACAGGTCGACACGTACCTCACAACCTGTTTCGTCCGAGATACTCGCTCCCGTCCCGCAAATAGATATTAAATTCACAGACCCGCAATTCAGTGGTACGACATTATTTAGTGCACCTCCGTCTCCCGCACTGGATCCCTCCAAACGGCCTACCACGTATTTCTCTGCCCAGTCTTATCTACGATACCAAGGCCAAAAGTTTGTGAAACGGTTCGATAGTAACTGCTATATTGCGATTACTCGAAAACTGGACACACACGATATTTCGAGGCATCGCGTTGACGCCTCCTCTTCAACACCCGTAAAAGATGCCCTGGCGCAAATTCAACAGCCAACTCTCGTCATTGGAATTGAGAGTGACGGGCTTTTCACGTTCGCGGAGCAGCAAGAAATGGCAGAGTGTATTCCGGATTCGAGACTAAGAACAATTGACAGCCCGGAAGGCCACGACGCATTTCTGCTGCAGTTTGAACAGGTCAACCATCACATCCTCGAGTTTTTCAGAGAGGTATTGCCTGAGATAATGTCACTTGATGGCAGGGCAGATGCCAGTGGGGATCATGTTGTGAAATTGAAGAAAACGAGCACTTTTGGAGAAGCTGAAGTTGAGGACATGACTGCCTGGTAGTTATTTCACTGATATAGTTAACGGCCTCTTTTTTGTTCTTCATTGGGGCCAAATACAGACCATCCAACTGCTCTGTATTTGGTACGCCGGAAAGTTTTATTTGTCATGACCTTGCATTTGTATAAACGGCGGCGTTCTGAAGGTGCATCCAACTGCACATGCTTTTATTCTTGCTCCTTTGATATCCCTGTGCTATTTATATTTTCTCCATGTGTCCGGATTCCGTTCCGAAGATAGAAAGATAGATCTCGCGGATGTCGCCGCGAAGTTGGCTGTACCCATGTTTGAGGTGGATTCGCCTCCCTCAACCATCGGTGATTGCACATATTCGTAATCGAAACAAATTCAACAGCCCGACAGCTATTATTATTTGTAAATCCACTCATTCCTCTCGGTCGGACGGATCCTGAACTGGAGCTCGCCAAGTACAGAGTCGTTTGCCCGAGGTCAACGTTGTTGAGCCAAGCAGTTGAACGCGGTGCAGCCTGCGCTCCTTGACGTAGCCGTAACTTAATGGCAATGCTTTATCTCCGTGGGCTCGGCGTCCGCCGTCAAGCATCACCGGCCAGCGATGGCCTGACTCCGAAATCGCAGCCGCAGCCGCAGCTGTGCCAGTGTATTTGCGGCAGCCGCCGCCCGCCTAAATATATTGCCTTGTCTCGCCAACCGGCCTACCAATGCTACACTGCCTGCGGCGAGCCGCCATCCTCGCTGTGCAACGGAGTCTGGCTCAGCCGGCAGACAACCTGAAGGATTGATCCTTTTCTCCTTCGTCTATGTCCCACAGGCCCGAACGAAAAAAAAATAAATAAATAAAAAGGCACCCGGGGGGCGCCTCAGCAGCTCGCTAGCTCGTCCGCTGGTGGCAACCTTAATCCTGTGCTTATTTCAACGAAACAAAAATCTGGGGGCAAGCGGATTCTGCGACGGGGTTGCCCAGCACGTCTGGCCTGGACGGCGGTGGAGCAGCTGGAGGGAAGCGATGCTACATCAGCGCGCGCGGTGCATCAGCAGCCTTGTCACGGCGTTCACTGGCCCGGCGTCCAACGGGCTTCCTCTCCATGTCGCACCAGGCGTAGGCGCCGATCGACGTGGGCCCCTGGTACCGAGAAAGCCTGGTCGACCACGGAATCAGTGGCGGGCGTGCACTCCCTGTGCCAGCTTCCTAATTCCGCTCTTGATATGCATGCTAAGGCCCTAGGCCACCTTGTTGTGCTTGTCTGCATGCTTGAGCATGGGGCGCTAGTCCGGCGCTCCGCTCTGATTCCATGGACTTCTCATCCCATCCCATCCACCTCTCCCCCAGCGCGTGTGGGGGTTGCCTGCCCTGCTTTGCTGGTTGTTGCCCCAGCCTGCCAACCTGATTGCTTTTCCCCGGTCTGTCTAGGTTTCTATTTGCGGGGAAAAGGGCCGACAACACAGCGTCAGGAAGCATGAACGGCCTTTGCATGGTGGCAGGCCAAGCGCACAGCAATTCCGCATTCCATGTTGCCTCCACTGCTGAGCCTGGAGAGGAGCGTCTGGTTCGGAGTCACGCAGGCGGATCATGGTTCACGTGTTCTTGTGTTCCGTGTCGATCAAGCCCGATTCGCGGTTAACTATGTGAGATGGGAAGCCTCCCACAAAGACTATATTATTTATCTCGCGTTTTGACTGCCCAAAACTTATCCCTACCTCCTCCCGCCCTGATCTGCCCTGCATCCAGACCTGATTTCCTCTTGACTGGGCAGTGGTATGCGCTTCACCGAGATGTTTGACAAGAAAGAAACCGTACCTGCTGAGATGGCAAAGGTGGCTCCGGACTCCGAGAAGGAGGCCTGCGATGTCCAGAATGAGATTGCACCAGATGAGGACTTCAGCGATGTGGACGAGAAGAAGGTGTTGCGCAAGATGGACATTCGTCTAATCCCCATGTTGGCTTTGCTCTACCTGCTCTCTTTCCTGGATCGAGGAAATATCGGCAACGCTCGGTTGGAGGGGCTGGAAAAGGACCTGAATCTGAAGGGCTCTGAGTACAACTGGTGCTGTATGTTTCCCTTTCTCCTACCCATAACACGATATGCATGATGTCTGTCCAGAGACTAATGTTAGCAATCGTGTTTTTCTAGTGACGGTCTTCTTCTTTACCTATGCCACCTTTGAGATTCCGTCCAATGTGCTGCTAAAGAAGCTCAAGCCATCCATCTGTGCGTATGCCCTGTGATCATCCCACCCACCCCTTGCAGGAAGGCTAACGATAACCGTTGAAGATCTCCCTTCCATCATGCTTGCTTGGGGTACTGTTATGGTAGGCCCACCTGATCCCCGGAATTTTAGCTTGCGTTTTGCTAATACGTTAGGTCAGACCTTGATGGGTATCGTGCAGAATTATCACGGCCTATTGATTTCACGTATATTTCTTGGAATAACAGGTACTCGCCTCTCTTTCCCATGTTTGCTGGCTCAACCACTAACTTCATGCTGTTTCCTAGAGGCTGGATTGTACCCAGGATGTGCGTACTACATCACGATGTGGTACTGCTCCAAGGAGGGCCAGTTCAGACAAGCTCTGTTTTTTAGTGCCGCCAGTATGGCTGGTGCATTTTCTGGACTATTAGCCTATGGAATTGCTGTGAGTACTCATTCCACACTCTAATGGTCTGGGATTGCATATCTAACCAAGAATAGAAAATGGACGGTGTCGGTGGCTATGCTGGATGGCGTTGGATCTTCATTCTGGAAGGACTGTTGACAGTTGTTGTGGCAGTCATGTCTTTCTGGACCATCTATGACTTCCCCGACACTGCACCCTTCTTCACAGAAAGGGAACGAGCCTTTGTTGTCCACCGTTTGAAGTACCAGGGAACCAAACCAGGTGCCAAGAGGGTCGCGCAAGCTGATGAATTCGAGTGGAAATATGTGTGGGATGCTTTCAAGGACTGGCAAGTCTATGTTGCCATCGTCAGTGAGTGGTGGATTTTTCCTCTGTAGCCGTGAGTCTCTCTAACCAGCTCGCAGTGTTCTGGGGCATCGTGTGTCCGCTTTATGGTCTTTCTCTTTTCCTCCCCTCAATCATCAGAGATCTCGGCTACACAGCATCCACAGCGCAACTTTTAACAGTACGTTGTTGTCTCTTGTTATAAAACAATCCTTAGCTGGAATACTCACCCGTGGATAGGTTCCTGTTTACTGCACTGCTGCCGCACTGGCCATTGCCACTGCGTGGTATGCTGACAAGAAAGGCTCACGTTCGCCCTTTGTTCTCTTCTACATGGGCATCATTGCGCTTGGGTTTATTATTTGCATTGCGTCTGCTGGTCGAGGCGTGCCTGGCGTGGTCTACGCCGGCGTCTTCATTGCCGTATGCGGTAAGTGCATTATCCCACCTGACCCTGGGCACTTCAGACGACTGACGAGAAACAGGCTTGTATCCTGCATTCCCCGGAAACATTACGTGGCTTAGCAGCAACTTGGCGGGCAGCTACAAGCGAGCCACCGGCATGGCTATCCAAATCGGCATTGGTAACCTTTGTGGTGCGATGGCAGCTAACTTCTACCGGCCCGGTGATGCGCCGAAATACTATGTCGGACATAGCTTGGAGCTCGGGTTTGTGGTTGCGGGTATGCTGGCGGCGCTGACGCTGCGCATCTGCTACCAGCGCATCAACAAGAAGCGCGACGAAGAGGGTACGGGCGACTTGACGGAGGAGGAAATGGCGCGCATGGGTGACAAATCGCCCGCCTTCCGTTATTCCTTGTAATGTGGCATGATATCCCCGATAGACAGCATGGAACGACGACAACTTCATTATGACGGAGTACGGTAGCGCAGGCCTCACAGGGTGGGCTGACATGATATAAAAGAGATGTCTGTTTTCTTTCGTGCGCTCTGGTATGGTGGTGTGCGGGGCTGTATCTACCTGAGATTAGACTTTGCTGGTGTATATTCAGCAGCTTGAACACCACAGATGATTATTTTGTTGTTGCCGCTCTTGCATCCACGAACGGAGACACGCCCACATTGGCTCACATGCACAGCGTGGCATTCCCTCGCCGGCCGGGCTGGGCTGCTGGTGTCGTCGCAGCGCCGGGATCAGCCCGGCAGCACGTTCGACCTTCAAACAAGCGCCGCCGGGGTCGTTGCTGACATAAGCGCGATCGGCGGGGTAGCGCGCGGTGTGATTGGCCGGCGCGGCGCGGACCAACCCCTTTTCGGCCGTGCCGCAGCGACCCGCGTGCGTGTTGGCCGGCGACGGACGGCGACGAGCACGCAGGCTCGGCGAGCGAACGCGCACGCTGGACCGCGGCGTCAGCGTCAGCGTCGACGTTCTGGCGGCGGCGTCGGCGGCGACGGGCGTGAGCGACGCGAGTGGAGAGCGCCGTGTGGAGGGCCGCGGGCGGGTGACAGATCACCTAGCTAGCGACGGCGGCATCCTTCCCCCCAGCTCGCTAGCTCCTCCCTCTGGCTGGCGATGCCTCGCGATCGCGCCGCAACAGGCCAATTTACGCCCGGCGGCGGGTGACCGCTAGTCAGCCCGAAGCCCGGCGGCCTGCCAGCTAGCTAGCGAGCCCGTGATGAACTCATCTGCTGTGGTCTGAAAGTCTGCTTGACTTTTACTTTTTTTTTTGCTTCTTCTTTTCTTTCTGCTTCTCTTCCGTTGCTTCTTTGCCCTGCTGCTGCTCTGCCTTGCCGGCCACCATGGCTGCCCTTTATTAATTGTTTGTCTCTGCTCCCTCTGGTTGATGCTTGCCAACTTCCTCACGCCTCTCTCTCTCCTCTCGTGTCCCCGCAACAAACACAAACTGCACGCCATCGCCCACATCGTATAAGCTTCTTTAAGCTTCCCCGTGCTGCCCCATAAGCTTGTGTGAGCGTGGAGTTCTGTGCGTCACCATGAAGCGCATTCTCAATTTCCGCCGTCATTCCACGGTGAGCATTTCTTGTCTCTCAGGATGCCTACACCCAACTAACGCCATTGGGGCTCTCCAGCTCAAGGAGTATAGTACCACCAAGGAGATACCCAGAATTGAGCCGAATCGAAGCTTCAGTGTCATAGACACTTCGACTCGCGACAGACCTGGCTCTCCAGTCATCGAGCGGCCATATCTCGACCCCCTTACTTCACTATATCTACGGAATTCATGTTCACTGCTTGTTGAAAATGTCAGGTGCCGCAAATTTCCCAGTCAGCCCGCTCTGCCCGCAAAAACTACCACATCAAACCCTCCAGAGCAGCCGCTCCCTGAGCCTACCTTTCCGCCTGCCTACTCCAAGCTCCCGACAGACCCACTTCCAATGGCGCCTGAGAAAGCGTCAATACAGCAGCCTAACAGGCTCGCTACCCTGACTGAAGAACCGGCTGTGTGCAAAGGTGAAGAGCACGGTTCCGCCATTCCGATGCCGTCTGCAAGCATTATACCAGAACGAAAAAACACCATAAAGCGACCACGCACCTCAAACGCATTAAATACAGAGACACAGGCGCCCCGGAATGACTTCTTTCTCGTGAAGTCTAAAAGTACCAGTAACCTCAAGTTTCGGTCGGAGCGATCTGTCAAAAAAGCTGCTTCTCAAAACGCCATGTCGGGCCATAAAGCTGCAAATGAAGGCTCTCTTGAAGACCCTGCAACCCTCTCGAAAGAACCTCTTATCACATTTCGCGAATGCCTAGAACGCCGATTTGCTATGGATACATCTATACGAATTGATTTCAACGAGGCAAATATCGTGTCTCCCGCGCACGAGCTGCCAATGGACAATGAAACATGTTCCCCTTCGCCTTCCACGTGTCAGCCGTTGAGCGAGCCCAATTTATCTGGTTCAACGCTGGTCAAACCTGAAACGCACTCTACTTCAGAGCTCAAACGTCAGACAACCCGGTCGTTACCCAAACGATTTGCAGCACACTTTTCGTGGAGGAAATATCAGAGGCACTAGTCATTTACGCATTCTACGAGCACACGCTTTTTTTCTGCCAAATTCATGATGCCCTGGCTTCTTCTAATTTCTTGCTTTTGCTGCCTTTATACCGGTTTTTAATATTCGCCTAGCCTATTATCCTCACATTCTTGCTTTGCTGACCATAGTCTATTATGCCCCTCTTGCTACATACCCCCTACGTCGTCATTGCACCGTTGCCCCCTTGATCACAAGTGCCTGTCCCCACCGAAGATAAAAGCATAGCAAGGAGTAATCACAGATTCAAGGAATATTGATTTACTAACCGTCAAGATTCCCAAGCTGTATCGTGATACATCTCTGACGTCAAAACTATTAACCCACAAGTCTCGAACGTTCAGTGATATTAACCATACAAAATATCAAGCAGCCGCCTGGCCAGTAACTAGGGCAATTTAACGCTCAATCCATCATTAAAATCCGGTATTGGCAACATGATCATTCACCTATTTGGCCAGGCTCAAGCTATGCTTTTCTCACTTTGAATGACTTGTAGTCTGGGCGACCCCTTGATCTGTGCTGCCCATGCCGCTTACTGCTGACTAATAAGGATAAATATAACGCCAAGGAGTTCGGAATATCTATAATGCGATATGCCAAGCAATCAACCTCCTTACCACAGTTCTCTATTCTTCAAGAGCTGTGATGAACTTCAACTGAGATGCACAATACACTGTTGCTTAAATATTCACTATCTACTCATGTCATCCTTTGTGCTGATATATAGCATACTGGGCTAGACTATGCTGAGCTTATTTGATTCAGGAATCAATATCCTGTTCTACACGTACTTTGAAAATTCACGGAAGGAACTAGCGAAGTTCCACACCCTATAAGTTCATAACCACGCGATCTAATTACAAACCGGTGTTATGCCCAGTCCAACACACAGTTAAATCCTTATTTATCCTCCGATCCGGCAGATGATACCATATCATATGACTGCGCCGTAGGGGAGTCAGATTGAGAGTTACTAGATAGTACCGGTAAAGAGGAATTCGTTCCAGTTATATTAACATTTGGGATTAAGATGGCTGGAACCCCCGAGGCGGCCTCTGTTGTGAGTTCCTGAATGGACGTGCCGCTCATGATCTGTAGAAGGGGGATTTCGACTGCTAGCTTCTCGGCAAACCAGGTCCGCAAGTCCACTGCAACCAGGGAGTCCATGCCCAAATCTGCAAGCCGCGTGGATGGCGTCACCTCGATATCCGCCGAAAGATTAAACTTGCTGCGAACTTTGGCAGTTAAACCAGCGCTAATGATTTCGGAGACATCCTGCATGCTTGTTGCCGATTCAAGTAAAGCCTTCATCGAGCCGAGTGTAATCACGACACCTGTATCTGCTGCAGGCTTGACACAGTAATCAATACAGTCCCAGGTCATGGGATTCTCATACCAGACGACATTCGTGTGCTGCTCAGGGTTGAGAGATGGCGTTCCTGTGATGATCTCAGGGTTCAGGCCGGAATCCGGAGGTCCAGCAAGAATAGCCTCGGCGAACATCTTGTCCAAATCTCGTTCAGATAGGAGGAACGAGCCCGTTGCATTTCGCACGTAGTATGCAAGAGAGGTGCCCGCACGGGCGATGTAGCCCACTCCACTAATCACGCCTGGGTGGATGATGCTCCCAACGCGACCTCGCGCACGACGCTGTTGAATGAGACTAGTTTGGAAGCCTGTAGCTGCGGAATATGCAGATTGACTCCAGTTGCCGACGATTCCAGTCAATGATCCAATTATAACGAAGAAATCCAAGGTTGCAATATTCTCCGAAATTTCATCCAAAAGCAAACTTCCTTGGACTTTAGCGGCGAAGGTCTTCTGCATGAGCTCTAGGGCAGTGTCCTTGAACAGGCAGTCTGCAAGAACCAGGGCACCATGTACCACGCCTCCAATAGGGGGAAATCGGTTTTGAATCTCATGGAAGACGGCGCCAACCGAAGCGCGATTCGAGATATCCCTGCAATAATAATATCAGCGCCTCAGCTTCACTTGCCTGAGAATACAAATTGGTAGAAACACTTACATAACCATAGGGACCACTTGAGCTCCTTCTTTTGCCATGGCTTCAATCCATTTCGGGTCGACATTAGGGCTTCGACTACTCAAGACAACGTAGTGCGCTCCTTTTCTAACCATCCAAGTACATAAAGATTGACCTAAGTCTCCCGCCATTCCAGCTAAGATATAAGTTTTGTTCTTCGAAAATGTAACCAGTGATGTCACCGGGTCCACCCTTGCTAAGACACGAGAAGACCTGCTCCAATCGATCAAACTGTCAGGCTTCACGGGTTGGTTTCGAAGATTGTCAATGGTAACCACTTCACATTTCAGATTATCATCCACCAGTTTGGTGGCCAGTGTGCAAGCGCCATGGAGTTTATCAGCTAGTTGATTGATATAGCCCTGTTTTGGTTGGCGAGGCTCCAGTTGGAAGAGTGTCTCTAATGTATGACGTTCAATATTTTTAGGCAGCAAGGTCCGAATTCGGGCGAAGATACTGCCTGTCTCCTCTTCCTTCGTGGAAAAACTTGCTATCAGAGATAGATTCTCCGAAATAACCCCAATTAAGGCCCGTGTCGAGGTTCTTGGGTGTAAGAATGTGGTATTTTCTTCATCAGCGGTAGGATTGCTTGTGGTAAAGTGAGTCTTAATGCATTTTGGGCGAGCTAGGTTGCAAATCGAATTTCGGAGTACGCCACCGGCGTCGTGAATAATGATGGAGCTATTAGGAGCTCCATTTTCCACCAACGAACTTGCAATTACACAGTCGACAACGGCTTTCAGAAAGATCGCCTCTTTTCCAGGAGGGACACTGTTAGAGACGTCCAAGGCTAAGTCAGCTGGTACTTCTACCTTCGATTTATGGTCTTCAGAAAAGGCAAGGCGCCGAATGCCAGTTCCTTCCTCTTCACCAATAACCAAATGGAGGAAGCCATCTCCAACCTGGATGGCTTTCGCGGTTGAATATCGCGTTCGTATCAAGACTCTGTTCGTCTTCCTTTCAACACTTGGCCGGCGTTTATCGACATGCAGTTGATAACAATTTCTGGTATCTGGAATAGCACAGACTGTGGAATTCAATAGTTCTACCTCCTCGTGAACATATCTTCTGGCCGAAACATACCTTTTATTCGGGACTGGATCTTTATGGAGACGGCAGATCCTCATGACGCCATCTTTAAAGTGCAATTCAGGCTCAGTAGTATGGATGCCTGTTGACAGTGTGTAGTCATTCCGACAGTTTGTATATGCCAGGCTCATCAGGGTACTTGCGAGAAGTGACGAGCTTGTTGCATCTATCCTGTCAATATTTAGGTATTGGTATAGGCAGCTTTTGTTCTCGTGAGCTAGAGATCTCAACCATCCCTTACTCATTCCAAGATAAGGGCAGTCGCCTTCGGACCCAGTCGCCACCCACAAAAGTTTTGCCGCAGCAGTGGTCAATTTCTGAAGATATTGAAGGCGCTTTTCATTTAGCTCCTGGAAACAGGGTCGATCAAGGTCAACCAAGCTCAGGATTACTGGGTTTGATATCTCATCTATCTCGACCAACTCGGGGGTATCGGCGCAAATAATGCGGTCAAAGCGGCTTTTCAAAATAATACACAAATCGGACGCAAGAGAAGAGGTTTTATCCGTGGCCCCACCTAAAATTACTAGTTCTTGAAGCTGTGGTATCGATGCTTCGTCAAAGGACACGGCTAAGGGTTCTCGTAAGAGACGGAAATAATCATCAACAGCCTGTGAAACAATCACCGAGTTAACGCTATATTTTGGGTCTCCGAGCATAGTATGCGCATCGATGCCGCTAAATCCCGTTTGCTTGAGGACTTGTTCCCAACTCGGGACACTGAGCATGGGGCCCCAGACACGCTCATCTTGGTGGCCAGCCCACCAGCCCTCGAAACCACCAACAAGGAAGGTGGTCCTGATGGTTTCCATATTTGTCACCTCCAACAGTATTAGATATCCTCCTGGTTTGAGCAGTCGTCGGACATAGGTCATAGTCTGCTGGATCGTTCTTGTGGCGTGAAGACAATTTGCTGCCACAATCAGGTCATACGAATGCTCCTCGAAACCTTGCTGAAGGGGATCTCGATCGATGTCAAGAGATTGGTAAATGAACCGATCCTCGTGTGCAGCAAAAGCAGCCTGTGCTTCTTCAAAGAATCCCACGGAGATATCAGTAAAAGTATAGGAGTAGTAAGATCGACCAATACATTCAAGAACTGCATTGGTGGCAGAGCCTGTGCCCGCACCAATTTCCAAGATCTTCATGCGAGGAAATCGGAAAGCAATCTGAGCAGCCATACGCCCAACTTGCTCGTTCATCACCTGAGTTTCTGGATCGAATTTGTAGAAACGTGTAAGGACATCATTCTTACGGACTTCTTCTAGCATAGACGTCTCACCACGGAGAAACCGTATCATGTTTGCTCCGACGACGCCAGCCATATCAACGGCGGCAGACCCAGAAAGTTCTTGAGAAATTCTGTTGATATCTTCTTTACTGCCCTCTAACCATTCCTTGGGGCAAATGGGATGGTGTCCCTTGCGAGTTAGTTCCAATATGTGGTCCATCCATGCCACCACCTTGGAGCGATGCCAGTCCAGGTTTTCACGGTCCTCCATAGTCAACTGTGATACCGTAAGCTTCACATTCAGAAGGGAAATTTTTTCCATCGCCATCATTAGATGGACAGAGGCTTCTGGTGATTTACAATAAGATTCCCAGTCCGGATTCGGAGAGAATGGTCCCCAGACAAGTTTGGAGAAAATTTGCCTCTCGTCCTGTGGCCGTAGAAGCGGCGAGATTTCAACTCCTTCAAATTGAATTATGCAGCGCCTGTCATGAGTGAAAAGATCAACATCACCAGAAATACCATCAGCGTCGAGTTTAATCACAGTGGTGTCTGAAGAAAGGAGTTGGTCGGTACAATTACCGCCAAACGCGCCGCAGAATGCAGGATTAATGATTGCTGACTTGATACGTGTTGGAACCATCAATGTATAAAGCTCACCATCATCAGGTGCACCAAGCGCACCAAGCATAGTTTGAAAACAAGCGTCCAAGACTGCGGGATGAAACAAAAATGGACATATCTTATCGTCATAACTAATATTGTATATTTCGCCATGAGATAAGTCCTTCTTTCGAGAAAGGGAGTGTACTCGTTTGAACATTCCACTAAAATTATAGCCCATCTTAGCAAGGAATAAGTAGAAGTCTTCGATATCCACGGGCTTCAGTCCAGGTTCTACTTCACTCTGATCTGGTAAAGCTGCTGTATCGAGTTGGCCCCAGCTTACCTGAAAGGTTCCAGAGGCGCGAACCTGAAACGAGTCGCCTGTGCTAGCATGTACGTGAAAGGTTCCAGTGGTGACGTTACCTTGCTCCCTTGACTGGATGAGCCGGAAGAGTGTTTCAATTCCAGATGAGCCATGGTCTGGCAATACAATTGCTTGATGAATTCGCACGTCATGAAGCTGTAAAAGGTGCATAGCCCGATCATGTGCAATGGCATGAACAGCCTCCAGAGCCATAACAAGATATCCACTAGCTGGAAATACAATCTGTGATTCGACACAATGCCCACCAAGCCATGGAAGGTCTTCCAGTCGCAGATAATGCCGCCAGCGCCACTCCCCATCAGCAGTTTCCGGCTCCAAAGTTCCAAGCAGAGGGTGTGTAATGCCGCGGTGGTGCAAGTGTTGGTTTAACAGTCGTGTTTGAAAATCATACTCCTTGCTATGATCGAATGGATATGTTGGAAGGTCCTGGACAAACTTCAGCTGCTGGGATGAGTTGAATAATGCCAGATAGCTAGTAATATCCAAAGCATCTGGGCCCAAACAAGCCCACATATTCCCGATAGCGGACGCAAAAGACTCGACCCCATTGCCCCCACGATTGCAAAGTCCAATATAAGGAACATCCGACCCTGAAGGTAAAATATCTGCAAAGATTTGCTGCACTGGTCCTTTAAGAGCTGGGTGTGGTCCGACTTCAATCACCAAATCAGGCGATGAATTTTCCTGAGAGAGAGCGGTCGCTATAGCCTGGGAAAACAATACTGGGTTAACCATATTTTCTTTCCAGTAGCCAGAGCTAAGGCTTAGCTTGTGTTTTGCGGTAGTCATCTCGGTTTCGGAATATACACTTGAGTACCAACAAGTGTTGTTTGGAGATTGGGGTTTAATGTTGCATTCTTCCATCGCCAGGAGATACTGGTAGGAGCAAGGTTCCATATGATGGGAGTGATATGCTTTATCGACACGAAGAATTCGGGTAAATTTCTTCTCTTCTTTAAGTGTATGTTCTAATTCATGGATCACATCGGCATCGCCAGACAATGTCACGCTAGTTGGGCCATTGCTTGCCGCCATCGTAACTCTTCCCTTGAACTCTTCCTGTATACAAAGAGCTACGGCGTCCTCTGCAGATATTCCAACAGCCATCATCGCCCCAGGCTGACCAGTCTTAGAACAAGCTTGAGCGACCACAAGACCCCGCAGATATGCAATTTTAATTGCATCTGTAGCACTAAGGAGTCCAGCGGCATACGCAGCAGCAATTTCGCCAGAAGAGTGGCCTACTACTGCGACAAATGAAACCCCAAGAGCAGAGAGAAATCTGACAAGGATTATTTGCACAGCCACAGATAGTGCCTGGGAGAGAACTGCATTGTTGAGGTTCGAAGATGCGTCAGAAAGTTCATCGACGAGAGAAAACTTGGGACGATATTTGTTTGGCAATTGATCAAGAGAGTCTTGCATCTCTTGTAGCCACATGAGAGCATCAGAAGAACTTGAAATTAGATCAAACCCCATTTGGGGCCACTGAGCACCCTGACCTGTAAACACTCCTAAGATATACTTCCGCGCGCCAGTGCTGCGCTGGTAACTAAACCTCAATGATTGAGTTGTTTTGGCGAATTCAAGTTCTTCTTCGATCTTCTTCAGCAGGATATCAACGGCTGGGGCCCATAGTGTCAAGCGATATTTTAAGGCAGATTTCCGACGAAGTAAAGTCCATGCAAGGTCCATTAGATTTATGGAGGGATTCTTCTGAAGGTACTGTAAATATTTGTGGAGGACTGCAGCAAGCGCATTACCAGTAGTGGCGGAAAAAACAAATGGAAGCACAGCAGGAAGAAGAGTGGCCGATTTGACTCCGTTGGGTGGTTTTTGGTCTTGAGCACTATGGTAGCTTTCAAGGATAACATGTGCATTTGTTCCTCCAAATCCGAAGGAATTGACAGACACGCGCCGAGGGACTCCTGGCCGAAGGGATGGCCAAGGAAGGGGTTCGGTAGGCACTTTGAGATGGGCGGCAAAAGGTTCCAGTTCAGGATTGAGTTTTTCGTAGAGCAAGTTGGGGGGTATAACACCATTCTGGATGCATAACGAAGCCTTGATGAGGCCTGCTAGGCCCGCAGTGCCTTCAGTATGTCCAATAACGGTTTTTATAGACCCCACATGTAGGATATCTCCAGTCTCTTTGGTTTCATTACCAGGGACGGGCGTTCCAAAGAAAGCTTGATAGATGGCCGATGCTTCTTGTGGATCGCCTGCCAACGTCCCGGTCCCGTGGGCCTCAAAGAACTGACAACGGTCTTCAGCAAGTTTTGGGTTCAATCCGGCGCAAGCGTATGTGGACTCAATTAGCTGTAACTGGTACGCACTGGAAGGCATTGTAAGGCCCATAGTGCGGCCATCTTGGTTCACACCAGTAGCTTTGATGACGCATTCGATTGGGTCACCACAAGCAACAGCATCACTCAATCGTTTTAGAACAACCGATGCAATCCCCTCGCCTCTGGCATAGCCATCAGCCTTAGAATCCCACATACGGCTACGGCCTGTAGGAGATAGCATCTGGAATTTTGTTGTTGTGATAAAGAGGCCAGGACTAAGAAGCAGATTCGTTCCAGCTGCAATAGCCACTGAGCACTCATTCCGTTGGAGAGCAGAAACAGCCTGATGAAGAGCAACCAAGCTAGACGAGCAGGCAGTATCCACAGCCACAGATGGGCCATGCCAGTCAAAAAAGTAAGAGATTCGATTAGCAAGATTGCTTCGGGCTACACCAGTTGCCAAATAACGAGGGATAGATTTGTAATCTGCGGACACGAGATCTCCCCAGTCACCGCTCATAACACCGCAGAAGATGCCCGTAAAAGAACCACGAAGCTCGTCCATACGAAGACCCGCTGCTTCAATAGACTCGAACACTGTTTCTAGAAGCTGCCTCTGTTGGGGATCGATACTTTGAGCTTCAAGAGCAGAAATGTTGAAAAATGGAGCATCGAATGGTCGAGGATCTTCTGCTAGGAAGTAAGACTCCCTTGTATTGGTGGTTCCTGGAAAACTTGCGGTCTCGTGGTAAAAGGCATTGACATCGAACCGAGCATTGGGAGGCTCGGAAGCCACAATGTGCGGGTTGCGGATCAGCTTCCAGAGTCGAGAGGGGGATGTAGAATCTCCCGGGAATCGACATCCTGTTCCAATTATCGCAATAGGGTCCGCCGTCATTTCGGGTTTTTCAGAAGGGTGGGGCATTTGGGACGTGGTTTGCTGAAGCCCAAAATGATTTTTAGATGAAAAGGTATAGTCATCCAGGAGGAATAGCCTTGATATATGAAGTAATAACTCTTTGTTTGAGACGGCATAACAATGTTACCCAACGGGTGTAGCTCGACTGTGTGATTCAACCCCATTTGCAAACAAGAATTTGTATCAACCTGGGGGAGCATCTTCGGACCTAGCTCCCACCTTCCACAAGGTTTAAAAGTCCCAGTATTAACAAAGCAAAAGGGCCTTTGATTCGAATAGTTTGTTATACGTAAGGGGAGAGAAGGCTGCTAGGATAACAGACCGGCGGAGGGGAGTCAAGCGGAGTCAAGCTGCAGCGGAGCCAACCCCTATCAAAGCTAGGGGCTAAAATTACCGACACAGGACACAGAACACGCTCTAGATTCTAGGTCTAGCCTTTATGGAGGGCATATCTCAACCTTCAGGCTCAAAAAAAACAGCTGTGCATTTGCAGGCGGACCCGGTGACTTCGGGAATTCTGAACCTTGCATTCGAACCATGGGGCTCACTAGATAAGTGCCAGTTGGCCATACGAGGAAAGTTCCGGTGACATCTCCGGGCTTATAAGCTGACGATGTATGATTTATGCCTGGTGGTGTTGAGGGCTTAGGTGGTATGGCGGGTTGGACTCGAGTGGTTGGCTTAGCTATGCCATCCACTGCAAACGCCCCTGGCAGCCTATCGAGAAAGAGTAGTACTGGGGGGGTATCTGTTCGTGTTACCTAGTATACGAAAAGACAAAACTTTCAGCTGGAGGAAAGTTGGCGGATATTTTAATTAGAGGCCCCAAGGAGAGTCAGGCACTTGCCATGTGGGCATTTAAGGCCTGCTCAATAACCAGGAAGCAATACCGAAATGATGCCCAACCAGACCTGAACACTACCATTTATGTGTCACCTGTACTCTCTATGGGTGGTGGTAGTAGCATGCATAGTCCTGTGTCTGGCAGATCTCCTGTCCCACAGTCCATGCAGCCGAACGGGGTGCGTCCATGGCTGAATTCGAGGGGCTCGCGAAATCGCACTCCGACTATTGATGATGCCCAAGTAATTGGGGGTTATGGGACTGTCATTAAGTTGCATGGACAAAGATCGACTTCATCATCCGGATGAACAACGCTCCCGGCACCCGTCTGTATACTAAGACGCGGGCAGACCGGGGCGGAGAGGCGGAGAAAAGGATTGAACCGTGCAACGTATAATAGAAGTCGGATGGTGGATACAAGTGCCTTAGAGGATCCATGATTGCTCAGGCAAGCAAATCTAAAGGGTGAGCTCGTGTTGGTGTTGGGTTTTGAACACTGTCGATAGGCAATGATATCGAAGCTATCACATGCTGCTCGTAGGTTTGCTACTGTGCTGAAGGCAAATGTTGCGCTGTTTCACTGCTCATAGCGACGTAGTTATATATACCCTTGAAATTCGAAAGGTGTTTGTTCTGGGTGAACCAAAGTCATTGCTCTTGTCCTTGCCAGTGAGACGCTGTTTCCCAGACGAAATCTCCACATGGAGAATCCCAGGTTCAAAGTAATTATCGTGGGCGGCTCAGTGGCTGGCCTTACGCTTGCCCATTGCCTGGACCAGGCGAATATTGAGTATCTGGTGCTCGAGAAACATGCTAACATTCAAACTAATATTGGAGGCTCCATTGTCTTGATGCCAAATGGATGTCGCATCCTGGATCAGCTGGGAGTCTACAGCCTGGTGGAAAAGTCGGCCAGTCCTATCAGGGTGGCGCATACAGGCTATCCGGACGGGTTCGTTTGCAGCGATCACTTTCCGGCTCGCCTCCATCAAAGGCAAGTTTTGGATTATCATTGTATATATCCATTGCCATGCAAGCTAACTGTTCCAAGCAGATATGGGTTCCCAGTCACAATTCTCACACGCTTCCAGTTACTAAATGCATTATATGCGGCATTCAAAGACTCGTCAAAAATCAGAACGGGTTGTAAAGTAGTGAAGGTTGAGCTCAACGACAAGTGTGTCTCAGTTTGGACTGATGATGGGCAAGAATATCAAGGCCATATCGTGGTTGGTGCGGACGGAGTCCACAGCACTGTGCGGTCTGAGATCTGGCGGATTTCTGATGATAAACAACCGGGGTGGATCACTGAGGATGAAAAACACGGTAAGGTGAACAGATGCCGAATTGTTACTAACTGACGCTCAAAAGGTATGCACGCTGAATACAGATGCATATTTGGGATATCTCAGCCAGTGGTTGGAATCAATCCCGGGGAGCAAATCATTCGTTGCTTCAAAAACCTAAGCTTCCTTGTCTTCCCAGGAAAGGATGGCTGCATTGGATGGTTTGCCATTCAAAAGTTAGACCGGAAGTATATCTACCCAACCGCGCCTCGACTTTCGCATGATGAAGTGCGAGAAAAAGCTGAAAACCTTGTTGACTTTCCTATCTGGAAAGGGGTGCGGTTCGGAGATATCTGGATGCGGACTACTGGATATTCATCAACTTCCCTAGAAGAGAACCTGTTTCGGACTTGGCACTACGGCCGTGCTATTTGCGTTGGAGATAGCATCAGTAAGGTGTGTGCACTGTGGAACTGGGCCCTTAGTAAAGCCGGATGTGCTGATCTCGCTTTGCAGCTAGCACCGAACATTGCCCAAGGAGCAAATATGGCAATAGAAAATGTCGCCGCTCTTGCCAATGTATTGCACCGAATCAGTGCTTTAGAGGAGCGCTCAGATTGTATAATCAATGGCCTTCTAAGAAACCTTGCAACTGGGCTCTTTCCGCGTTTTGAGAACATGCATAGGGTAGCTCGATCAGTGGTACGCTTCCATTCTCAACAAGGATGGATAAAACCACTGCTTGGTCGGTATCTCTACCCACTAAGCGGAGACTTGCTTTTTTATTCTATCAGCAGCCTCCTAGCTGACGCCACGGCCGTGGACTACATTCCACTTCCAAATAGATCCAAGGGTAAATGGGAATCAGCTATAAACAAAAAGAAGGTACTATGTCAGTTAGCTCTGCTCGTCGTGATGCTCATTTTCTGCCACCATTTCACCAGGGGAAGAATACCTCCTCTAGACTAGCACTGTGTGATAACAAAGAGAAGACGCGCATGTACCAATCATTGATATGCTCTTGTGAATATATTTTTCCATACCCCAAATTAGTATTAGCCTCTTCTTAATTTTTCTGAGAGCTCCCGGCAGTTTTGCTCTCTCCTCCACAGAATGAATGCCGCTGCACCATAAGGTGAAATAGTAATAGATAGGGCCAGCACTTCCAACACTAGCCTGTAGTTACTAGAACCTTCCAAGGAGGAGCGGAAGTAAAGGGCTATGGACCATAGGAGGAATGCAAAACTTCCAATCCAAAAGTCCCACAAAAGAAACTGGTGAAGTCCATCCTCGATTGAGGTGACGCTTCGACTAGGCCAAGACACTGGGGGACTGAACACGCGGATTAATCCCATGTCTACGCCGGAAAAAAGCGAGACGACAAGCATTACCAGATAGGGAGCAGCCAATGTAAACAAGGAAAACAAATAGACGGTCCGGCGACGACGCCACATGACCTTAGCTGGTGGAGGTGTTCCTACATCCTGAGCGTGAGACGACAGCCAAATCAAACTGGATACCCACAGAGGCCATCCCTGCAGTACAATTATCATCCCCTGCTTGAAATTATAGGAGATAATAGTTGGGCGAAGGGCCATGAGGGACGGAATGGAGTAATATCCGGCTAAAAGGCAGAGGGGCAGGTAGGCAATGGCATGAAAGCCGGGTCTTGGTGGGTTGAGGGAGTGGTTAGACGGTAAAAGATCCAGTGCGCAGTAAGTCGGGACGGCTACGGCCGACCCTAACAGCATCATAAAAATTCCTAGACTGGTAATCCTACAGGAAAGTGGTCAGAGGTGCAGGAGCAGCATAGTTATGACTTAAAGTGTCAGGTAATGTAAATCCATACTTGCCAAGAACTCGCAGGAAAGGTTGCGTCCGGCTTGCCTCGAGAGCGGTTAGGGAATACACGGCGCCCAGTACTGTCGCAAGGCAAGCTCCCAAAAAAGAGAGGGCCGGCCAATTGCCATTGCAGATGATCCAGTAGAATACCACGTAGAAGCTGAGTACTTTGTCGACGGTTTTCATTCCGGTGAAGTGAGTCGTTAATGCAACACCTGGGGTCCCGGGGAGCTCTCCATTGAGCACCGCCGCCATATTCAAAGGAATGAAGTTATTCTGTTTAGAGCATACCCACAGAGTGCAGAACCCAAGAAGGGGTAGCAACCATAGAACATATCGAATAAGAGAAACTGGATTATACATCGTGAGTTTTGATGCAACACAGAGAATCAACAATGATGCGATGGCATATGTGCTGCTGTGAGGAGAAGGGTAGTAGGGTGATTGAAATAATTCTGGAAGTGATAGGATATTTTCTTTCCCCAAGATTTTAAATGGCACCCGAAGCATTGTCTACACCCGTAAGACAGGCATCGGCATGAACTTGCTTACTACTGACAGTGCAACAACGGAAGGGTGTCATGGTGTTTGCTACTCTGTCAAGGGTACCATTGCAGTTGGTGGGGCCTGTTAATTGGCTGGGGGACGTTGTGGTTGCCATTTTATTCATGCAATGACAGGATCAGCTCAACCGTGGGACTGACGATCATAGTAAAATTTCCACTGTTTCGGAGACAATACTCCGTATAGCGTCCCATATTTGTTGCCAATCTGAAATTTCTTTAGCAACTTAGTACAAAAAATTATACTTACGAGTTCTCCGTAGGACAGGGTAGGAACAGCTCTAGAAAAAGAAAACTGTCCGAGCCATATAGCTAGATTTCAGCTCTTCATCTGTTGCAAGTAGAATCTTCAATGGTTTCGAGTATTTTGTATGCCGCTGAAACAGACATCTAGGGTTCTGAGGCCGAAATTTGCAGGTTAAGCAACGGCAATAGTGATGTATATATTTTTGGTGATAGCGACCACACTATATAGTCGGCTAGCAGTATTATCATAGGCCTCCTGGATAGTTTCGTATTTTTACTCGCGAAACTACAAGCTTTCTTAAGCTTGAGAGAATCAACGGAAGTCAGTTGCAGTTGACAGTAATTGGCAGTGCCATCTCGACGACATTACAGTATGTCCCTGCGATTTTAGATAGTTCATCCAGATATTGAAGGATATATACCCCGTACAGCATACCAGAATAGCCACACAACATGAAGGCTAGACACTCCTTTGAGCTAAGCTGCTGCTTCCTTTTGACTCATCTCCAGACGGCTGGATTTCGGTTCAACATCGGCTTGTATTCGGGTTTTCAAGGGGAGAGTGGACAGTGTCTCGAAATAATGGGGAATTTAGGTAGGTATTTCCGCTGCACAACATTATAGAACCGCGACGCCTACGGAGTACTCTCGGTATGTTTTGGGTGGGAAAAGGCAGAACATAACTACGCTCCAGCTTGGCCCATAGATGGGTTAGACTTCGCATGCTGTGCGTTTCACTGGGATTTCTTCGCTCTGGAGGAAAGCTTCTTCCCCCATTCTTGCCGCGGAGGATCACAAAACTGGAATCTTCATGAAAACTCAATTGTTAGCCTTCTGTGCTCTGTACGGAGTAAATATCCCGGTTCAAAAAGTTGCACGAGGCTGAGCAACAAACATCACCAGCGGTGGCCTGTGCGTCTCTGGGATAAATATATTTAGCGAGGCTGACGTGTTGCGTAGGACACAACATGTTATGGGATTCATCATGGATACCCAATTAGGTAGGGGGCTCAGCTTCAATTCAAGCAGTTAAAATTGATAAAATAGCTGCATTGGCTGTGTGAACCAAAGTCTTTACGGAGTACGGAGTACTCCATAGAAGACCAGCGGTCCACTACCTCGCGTAGGCTTCTATGTAGTAGGATAGTAGAAAAATGTGTACGGAGTAGGCGTAGAAGAGTTAGTTAGTGACTTAGAAACGTCTTGGCATTATACGCGCTAGAGCTTAGTAATCAGGCTGTATGCTGTGTACAATGACTAATGCTGAATGATGTAATTACTAAGCTTTCTAATTACTAAGCTACCAGCCCTGCACATGTACTGTTTTGGCATAGTAATTCTACAGCCTGCCAATCACCGTACGGAGGCCCCATATAACACGAACTCTAAGTCATGCCGCCAAGCTGGCTGAATAACCGAGTTATACTGAATGGGTTTGTTAGGAAGACGCCGTGATAACCGGGTTATCAGGGCTTGGCAAGTTATAACTTCGTAACGCGGGTCGGTGATAACGATGTAATGAGGGCCGCCTAAGCAACCTTTTGAAAACTTCCATACTCCGTATAGTTCTACCAATTTATAAAAAGTGCTTGTTTTTGATCCTATGTATCGACATTTTAGGGGGCAACAAAGAGGGTTCTCAAAAATTTTAACACGCTTTTTCATTAACATATGATAGTTATATAATACATAAGAGTAGGGAAGAGATTGTCAAGCAAGAACCAACTCGCTAGATAAGAAGCTCCAGAATAAAGAGCAGAAGCTCCCAACCTTCATGAACGTATGTAAATACCGCAGTAGAGGTGTATAGAAAGAAAATCCGAGATCTCAATTTCATAAGGAGATATCAGAGACGGGAGAAATTAACATAAGGGTATGCAATAAAAAGTAGCTGAACAACAAATCGGGAAACATTCCAACAGTCAGTGGAGCACCTTTTGCGTCAAATGCTTGCTCATCTCCTCTGTCTCTTGCTCTCACTCGCCACTCTCATCGGCCCAATTTGTTCCTGACCCTCCTCCACATTCCCAGTAGCACCACGTACGCGCTTTCTTGGCCATGTTCCTGTAGCTCCAGGCCCAGGCCCGACGTCCTCTCTGCTATTTCCAACGCGGCTCATGCTCCCTGTATCTCTGCGCTCCCGATCTCGATCCCTCTCACGATCCCGATCTCTCTCGCGGTTGTGCGGGTCACGTTCACGCTCTCTTGGACGATCATCATTCCTAGGCCATCTACGCTCGTTGGGTGCAGGGGGGGGAGGAGGAGGAGGAGGAGGCGGGGGAACCGGAGGTAGTGGCAGGTTATGAGATCCAGGCTTACTACCTGGCATGCGCCGTAAAGGTTCAAATGGAGCACCGCCGTGAAAGCTAGGGCCATCCTGGCGATCGCGCTTTTCTCTTCTACTTCGTCCCATCAACTGGTTTTCAGCACCATCTAGTAGGCTAGCTCTTCTTGATGAAGACTCTCTTGAATGTCGCATATCATCTTTGCCCTCGATCTGTTCATTGTTACCATGACTGCGATCGCGGTCCCGATCAAACTCTCTATTATTCTCACGATCACGATCTTTATTATCTTTGTCCCTCTCACGGTCACGGTCGCGATCGCTTTCCCTTTCCCGCGGCCGTTCTCTATAATCCTCCCTTTTGTTATCATTCCGTCTGACACCATCGTCGTCACCATGTCGACGTCGTTCACGTCCCCTTTCATTGACACGATCTGGACCCTGGTCCAAACCACGCTCTGGAGTATGGGTACCGCTGGAAGTACGGTGGGGAGAATATCGTGTTTGTAAAGCAGCTTCTTCAACGATTTCACTCCTACGCCCAGAACGCCCAGCTCTACGTAATTCGTCATCTGGGGCATGGCGGGGAGATGAATGCTGGGGCGCTCCGCCTGTTCGTGAGGGAAATAATTCGGGCTTTCCTAAACCAGAAGTCATGCTGCCTGGTGCTGACGAGTCTCCATGTAGTGCAGAATTTTGCGGGGATGGAGCGTTGACCGAGTTGCTCTGCCGACCAACACCACCTCGTCCTCGAATCGTAGTGCCTTGGCCTCCTCTTTCCGAAAAACCAGAGCCTTCTTGCAACCTATTATTCAAGTCCGCAAATCTCTTATCTACCCGTGGCACCACGGCCGTGATTGATGGCCCAGGCATTGAAGGCCGTGTGGGGGATGGACCGGGTGCTGCAACACCTCGAGGGCCAGAAGGTGCTGACATAGGCGCAGGGGAAGGCGGTTGTTGTTGTTGTTGTGGTTGCTGCTGCCGCTCCTGACTGCTTGGTCCATAAGAGCGCTCCGTGCTGCTCTGAAGAGCCCGTAGCCTATCCGGATGAATGCCAGAAGTATCCAGAGTCGGAGTAGCGCCGGGGCTGGGAGGAACACCAGCAGAAGATTGGTCCTGATGCTGTCCATGTCTTGAGGTCGACCAAGCCGATGGACCCGTAGGAGGAGGTCTATCAGAACGTAAGGAGGATGGGACCTGAGGCGGTGTAGGGATGCTTCGCCCTCCGCGGCCTGATAGGGCCCGCCTCGGACCAGATGGAATGTCCGAAGAGCGATCAAACGGCTCCGTTGCTCGGCTATACTTAGAGTCCTGGTTCAAGCGACCATAGTTAGGGTCAAAGGGCGGACGGCTTGGGCGATGATCTTTAGCACTGCGAGGAAAATTTGTTTGGGGTCGACTCTCAGAGCTACCAGGCAGAACTCGATCGCCTCTTGGCCCAAGAGGCGCGTCTTCAGGGCGAGCTGACGACGTGGTACCTTTTCTGGTATCACGGTGTTCGTCTCCCCTTTCTGGCCGTCTGTGGCTCTCGTCGCCTCTTGGAGGTGTTGGAGGTTGGGAAGAGTGTCGCCTCCTATCGTCGGGCTGAGTTCTTGAAGGATCAGGTCGTTGGAGCTCTCGCCCTGTTTCTCCTTTCCCTTCATGAAATGGCTGTACGGCAGATAAGCGATATGGATGTCCGTCATCCCGGGATTGACGATAAGGCGAATGCTGGACTTCAAGCTGATCGAATCTGTTTCTATTTGACCTATCTGGGCGTTCATGATCGCGGAGGGGAGCATGTCTGCTAGAATGGTCATCTAGCAGTAAGTGACGGCTAAAATCTCTATCCGAGCGAGGTGGCTCCCTTCGATCCCAATCGTCAGTGGATCGACTGGGGGCTATTGAGTCGTTGCTCAGGTCCTGACGATTGTGCGGGCCATATCTTACGTGATCGTGGTATTTTAGGTCACGAGTATCTACTATATTGTCTCGTCTGTCAAGAATATCGGACGGCTTTGTGGGTGTTCGACCATCTCGATACGGGCGCGTTTCGGGTTTGTTTGGTAAATTTTTAGGTGGCTGTCGATGAGGAATGTCGGCAAAACGACGGCCACCCTCACTCGGCATGGTAACACTTGCAGATTGAATAGGCTCTGAACCAGCTGCCAGGTTTGGCTTGGCATCCAAAGAAGGTTTGGGGTGAGCGTTTTCATCTTCATTGCCTTTCGTTTCCAGGCGGTTCACTGATTCCAAATGACTTGCTGAAGGGTCCGTGGCTGGTTGATTATTGCCGTCATATTTCTGTTTAGTGGTCTCAGTCGCGACGTTCTCGGTTGCAGCTGGCTCAGGGAGACTTGTTAAATTAGGAGAGAGATGGTAGGGGGAGGGTGGCTTTTCAATTGGGCCAGTCTTGTTGAGGTCCATTTTTCCGTCGTGAACCTCACCATCCTCAACATCGGCGGGCTTGGCTTCGTCGTTCGTCGCTCTGTAGATTTTGGTTAGAAAGTTTAAAAATGTTGTAAAAAAAAAAAAAAAAAAAGCGATATGGTACAACTAACTTTGTAAGAACAGTGGGGGGGACAAAGCTAGGTGCTGTTGCATTTAGAGGTTTAGGCGTTGTAGAGCGAGGTTGGGGAGTCCCTGACTTTGTTCGGTGATCGGAAGGGGCCGCCTGCTTTGCGTCAGTAATTATCGTCGGCAATCCTAACTAAACTTACAAGCATAAAGGCCTGTGGAAGAAGCCACTTTTTCTCCCTTTTGCGGAGATCCCCGATCAACGACGCCGCCGGAATCTTCACGTCATCACGAGGATCGGACCTTTTTAGGTTATTGACAGCCGTTAGCAGGTCCGCCCCAATCCAGTTGACAGCTGGAAAATGCTGAACAACAGCTTTTAATACACTAATTGCGTTGCGGATGTGCATATATTCGCCACCGGTAAGACACATCTTTAATGCTGCACCAAACAATCGATGCCACTTATACAGAATTCGTCGAAAATTCTCATACTCGAAAAACACGTGTGGTTTGCCGTCTGAATCAATATTTAAGGTAAAGCCGAGCAGATCTCGTTTGGCGCCATACGCCTCCTTTTCATAGATAGCTTTGTCTGCATGCCACCGACTTAGATCACGCAGTACCTCGTTTAAAAATCTCCCCAGGTTGTCTGCTTCTTTCGAAGTGGCCTGAAATATAATGCTAGCCATCCTTTTATCATTAAAAAGTTTATCCAGTAGTCCAAGAGTTCTGAAATTCGGAGTTCCGGAAGAATGGAGATACTTCAGCATCTTAAAGCTGTACAGGGCATCGACAGGAGACAATAAAAGCCGAGGAAGCAAACATTGCTGGATGATTGCGATGTTAAGGATATCAGGTTTGGATCTCATGCCAATAAACCATTTTTCTCGCTCCTTATGAAGTCGACCACGGGTATGCGAAAACGCCTTAACATGATGTTTATGTTCAAGAAGAATACGGTTGTGTAGGTCATTCACTTGCTTCTTCTCCCTCTCCTTTTTCTGAGAGCCAGCCAAGCTAATATCGGCACGATCACTAGAAATGGCAATAACCCTTTTTTTCAAACGCTCAAGTTCATCTTCGTAGGATTTTTGAGGAACATATATATCATTGAGCGATAGCTGCCAGAAAGTAGTGTAGAACGGTAGGCCTACGACTTCCCATAGTTCATTTGGCAAAGTAGACCTCATCTTGGACATCATCTCCTCCAAAACAGGGTGCCAAGGTGTATGGTTTTCGATTGAATTCAATATCGAAGAAGTGTTCCGTGTTTCAGGACTGTCCTTTTGTCCTTCTCCATGGGTCGACTCAACGATGAAGTCTCCTGAGTCTGATTTTGCGGGTTTCTCGGCAGAATTCCCATCGCCCATTTGTACGTCGTCATCGGAGATCTTGTGGGTAGTTGCGTTGTCGGACTCTATCTTCTTCGAAAGGTTTTCGCTCCTCTGCTTATCAAATTCAAGCATTCGGTGTGCAATACTAGGACGTGAAATCCAAAATGCAAGTTCGGTTTGAATTCCAAACTCGCCAATAAGAGAGGTAACGTCAGGAACGAAACGGTCGAACTCATCGACGGTGAAATTACTTCGAAGAACATCCAGATACTGCGTCAGGATGCGGTGAATTTCATCGAATATATTACCAAGGAGCTTCAGTTCAGCATCTGCCTCGGTCTCTTTGAAGACACAAGTAACGCGTTCCTGCGCAATGGCAATCAGGAGCTGACCCGCTAGCTTAGAATCGGTAAGCGCTTTCATCAGACGTTTAGATGTCGTTTTGGATTCATGGCGTTTATCCAGCAATTGCAGCATAGTTTGGGACTGTAAAACTTCACCACCGGCCATTGCCTGAACTTGGGCATCATTAAAGTTGGTATCTGTAACAATTCCGGCCATAGAACTAATCATTTGTTCTAGGATAATGAGGTCGGTAGCATTATCTTGGCGTAGCTGTTCAGCAACATACTGAAGAACTGGAACGGGGTTCATGATATTTGAGTATCTTTTGAAGACTCTTCCAGCAAAAGAGGCCAGTGAATTCAGCCACCTACTAGTTAATAGGCCGCTCTCTTGCATCCTATTTCGCCCTTTTTGGCCAAGGGAATTGATCAACGACCATGTCAAGATATCGTACCCGAGATAAGTGAAGTATCTCGCGCATTCCACAACCACTTCGATCAGGTTCTCATATGATTCAATCTGACTGATAGCAACGTTAACAACGATTCCGGGATTGGCGTATGCAATCTTTGCAAGTGCTCTTGCCATTGGCCGAACATTTGTTTTGCTTAGTCGTTTTAAAGCATCCTTGGTCTCAAATCTCGCCTGGTCGAAGGCAGATTTTATGTCAGGCAGCCGGGAAACTTGTCCAAAATGCCATTCAGCGTAGAAAGAGAACCTCACATGCTGGGGAAATTGGCTAATCAATTCGAAGATTTCATTGACGACTCCAGGGTTCATCTTCGTTAAACTCAGTGCGGGAACTAATAGGCGCTTGCAGAGATCGATCCATCGAGTTCGATTCGATTGTGACTGGTCATCTGTTAAACTATGTTTTCCGATTCGAGCTAGCTTTAACAGTAAACTGGGGTCCAGTCCGATTTTAACTCCAGATAAGTTCAAAAAGGTACCACACAATGCAAATACATCATCGACAGATTGGCAGACAGGTATAATATCCGTCCAATCATCCCAGTAGAACCGGTAATCTGTTCCGTCGTTCGTATCTTCTTTATCCAACTGTGCCCAGCGTAAAATCCTTCGAGGACTGGCGTCAGAAAGTCGCACCCATTCTCGGGACACAGAGCCCTGTTCTGATGCAACAACCTTTTTGCAGTCTTTCAACGCCGTTCGTGCTGCCAATGGCTGTACTGACCGATACACTTTATGCAAGCAGTAATGGAGAATTCGGTGAATGTATTCAGGGAGTTCGGGGTAACCATCGAGCAGCCAAGGAAAGCGGCCAAGGATATAGAGGGACTCAGGGAGAGCGCCAATGGTCAACAAACTCTTTAGCAGTAACACCTTCTGGTCAGCTGGCTCTGGTAATTGCTCTGTTTCTTCAGCTTTTGGAGGCACAGTTTTATCTTTGTCAGACTCATTCTCTTTTACTGGTGTTGCAGATCTCGTTTCCAGGCCACGAATTCTTGGGGGAAGAGGCAAAGTATCATCAGCCAAAGCACCAGCTGTCATTAACGCGTTCATCGTGGACGCACCGCGGCGGCCAGCCTTCTCTCTTTCGGTTTTCTCCTTCATTTTTTCCTCCTTGAGAATGTCCATATCCTCGTCTGGTCGCCATAGATGGGGATATAAATCTCGAAGAGATATAAACCCAACTTTTATGAGCAACGCGGCTAGATAAATCAAGTTATCGGGCAAAGTATCATTTGCGTTTCGAGCATTGGACGAATAGAACCGTAATTTGAAACCAAGTAGCTGTGCGGCGACTTTGTTTCCCTTGGGAGGCAAAGTGCCTGTTTTTATTATCCATTCTTGCGCTGCCGGGTCTATTTCTGAATCACGACCGCGGTCATTGTTAAAATCGCATGCCAGCTGGTGTCCAATTTCAAAAAATGCTTTGATGCCGACTGCTCGTACTCTATCCCAAAACATATGATCCCTATGCTCATTTAGCTGGAGGACCTCTTCTCGTTCTTTATCAGTGGCTGACCATCCAGGGGAGCCGGGTAATGCCCATTTTGGCAGCCCTAGGCCTACTCTACTACCTATACTGTCACTGTCTTTAGGCCACCACGAACTGACGCGAAGAAATTTGACGCAGAATCTGTACTGTTTGACCAGAACGGCGGCAAACACATCTAAAGTCACGTCCAGAACTCTTCCAACATCCATATCAAAGGCGCCAATCATGGCTTTCACTCTTTCAAATGTGTCTTCAATAACATGACCTGTTGGCGGTTCATTGTTACTTGTTGTAAATAGCTCAGTCAGTAGCTTGGAATAGCCTTCTGACTCTTCTCGTAACAAGTTGTAGTTCGATTGGCGATATAGAATATTGGTCTGTTTCCGAATTCCCATACGACCAAATGTGTCTCTAATCAAGCCGAGAGCTTGCAGAAGAGGAGTATCGAGTTGAAGTCTCATAAGAGACGGGGAAATTCCAGTAGCAAAGACAAAAGAGCGTAGGCTTGGGTGCGAGGAGTCAGAATCCGTGAGAATTGAAAGGGTATCGAGGAATATGGTGTGTCTATTGAATGTAGAAGGTGCTGAATCCTGTCCTGTGGTGGTTGTAAGCGTCCTTTGACCTGTTATCTCTTTCACCAATGCCCCAGCTTCTACAGCTGACATCCGACCTTCGAACGTGGATTTGACAATTTCCTGGAATAATGATGCTAAGGCAATTGCGTCTTCTTTTGCGCAAGCATCTGAGGCGGCGTCAACAACTTTCCGTTTTCCTAACGGAATCCAGGAATTGAGACTGTCGTCGGTTAAGTAATCGTAAGCATAAGAGGAAGGAGGCAATTTCTTGAGCACCGGAGTCTGTGTCAATGGCGATGTTGAGGCTGTAGCTTGCGGCGATCCTTGCACCTGAGAATTCCTGGGGTCATCCGGCGTCAAAGGCGGAACTTTTGTTGTTGTCGGGCTGTCCCTTTGTTGGAAATTAGATCCATCGCTTCCTCTCCTATTATTACGATTTCCTCTGCTCGCTCGTCGACCTCCCCGTCCACGATTGTCCCCTCCATCCCGAGACTGGTTGTAATACTGGCCCTGCTGGTGTTGAGCGAGGTTCAAATTACCAGGTCGATGGGGAGAGGGCCGAGAGCCATCGTTATTCCAATCGCCAGACCACGACCGATCGCCCCGCTTGCGTTTATTGCCAGTGGCGGGAGCCATGGCGGGCTGCGTCGAGCGACCGTTTCAATATTTGTGACCTGGAGAGAATGGCCCGACTCGACAGTTCTGTCTGAGTTAGAACTCAGGCCAGCGATGACGAGGGCAGGTAGGCTCAGGAACGTACCATCCGTAGAAGACGTGATGCAGACAGAGTGATAAGAGAAAGTTGTCTCTATTTTGTTGTGTTGCCCATTGAAAGGCATTCAAAGGACTGCAGGCGATTCTGTTCTTTCCTTTCCTGGAAAGGTCGCCATAAACCTCAATCCATATCGCGCTAGGCCGTAATCGGAACTAAGCTTAAAGTCACGTGTACAAACCTAGTTACGGCACTCCTTATCACATGACCACCTGTTAGGCAGCAACCTTCGCAAGACGACAAAACTCGATGGCCCTGTCACCTCGCTGTATTGGCTTATGGTTTTCATTGTTAATGGAGCAGGTGGCAAAAATTTTGAGCATCAGTACCGTGCGCATTGCCTTATAGTAAATAGTGCGGGGCGCAACCAAGTCATCCTAACCTGGAAGCCTGTAGCAATCGGATTTATCTGCATACGGAGTAGAATTAGATGGTTTGAAAAAGGAGAACCCAATTGTCCCAGTGTTTAGAGGTATTATTAACAACAGCAATATTCCCAAATGGAAATTCACAACAACCTGATTAAGGTTAATCAATCAAATGAAACCCACTATCCTATAAAAATAATGCAGCAGTGTTTTTTTTAGGTGGAGGGAGAGGCTTCATGGTGTTTATACTATAGTATTATCAAACTTACCAACAGAGCGGTTCATCTCTAAGCAAGTCACATACAGTGCCATGTCAAAAGTGTTGGCACCCTTTTTTTCAAGTGACACTTTTCAAACTCCAATTACCCCACAAAATTGTATGCTAGTATATTGAATAATATAATCAATATGGAGATAAATGCTTGAACTATTCCTTGTGTCTTTAATAATTTAATTATGACTTATTTTCATGATGTATAGAGGAGTCTATGTGATGATAGCTTTCAGTCATATTTAATGAGATTTACAGAGACAATAATTTATAATTATTTAATAAAATTATTCTTAAAGTATTCTTCTACCAATTCTCTACATATTAATGTGTATTAATTGATATGTTACAATACAATTTTGTTGAGCAACTTGGTTGTGAAAAGAGTGGGTTTTGGTGTAAAAGTAGGGGGGGTGTCAACACTTTTGACCTAGTACTGTATTATTCTCTTGCGAAAGAATAAGCTTGCATGATAAAACTCATCTTCATTGAGTGTTCACAACTACAAATGAGTATAAAAGCCCACAATGGTCACTCCATGGTACTAACAGCTCAGCGTGATGGCCTTCCTTTGAGTTCTGTAGCACCTGGCTCAATTCACACCTGTTCTTGCTCATACATGTTCCAGGAGGTAGTATTGAAATGCCAATGCTCTGAAGACCCACAACAACGACTTTATCTAACCTGTGGGGCGGGAATCTTTGCTTGCCATCGATGCCCCAAGTAAAGCCAGGCTTATTTGGATAAATACGGGACCATACATCGACAAGCCCATTCGAACTAACAAGATCGTCATCGCCGGGAAGAACAGGATTGAAATCACCACCTATTAGGCCATGACCAGTCGCACGTAAATAAGAAGCAACGACAGAAAGCTGCCGGGGCCGCATGGACGGGGTAATTTGAAGAGAGTCCAAGTGCACGTTAATAAGGCGAATGCGTAGCTGATTCTGCAAAAGAATATCGCAGCAGAGAGCATCCCGCCCAAAGCGGCTTTGATATTTCACCCTCCAGACTGGGCCAAGAGTAATTTTGTTAGATGACGAATTTGGCACGCCAAAGCGCAGTTTTGATAAAAAGGTCAAGCTAATGAAGGGTTGTTTTCCAAACCTAGTTAGGTCTGCCTCACTGGAAAACCATTGATCACGAAGCCAGGGAATTGACAGTAAAGTCAAAAGAGCGGGATGTGATACTTCTTGCAAGAAGATTATATCCACCGGCGAAGCTAGGCCCTGAATATGCGAGATTATAGCAGAAATGCGCGTATCTGGAGCGTTGCAGGAGGAATCGACATTCCATGTAACTAGACCTAGTGGTGAGTCCAAAGCTATCGCGGCCTCAACCCTAGAATCCGACAGTGCCGCAGATGGGAATTTCAAATCGAGGGCGGCCCACTTGTTTCCAGGTGGTGTGAATTCATGCCACGTTTGAAAAATCGGTGTAGTATCTTGATCTAGGGGCGGAAGTGGGAGCCCCTGCCATGATCCTTGAGCTTGCTTTCGGAAGCGTTTAAAGAAGCCCATCGCTAAAATCGAGCTGCGAGTCGCGTAGAATGACGTCCAGAACACTTGGCGGGTTCCTCAGATAACAACAAAGCCCTTCCCGCGTTTGCACGGTTTGGCTGATTATTAATCCTTCTCCAAAAGTGACGTCAATTCTCCTTAGTTACTTTATACCCCAGAAAGACGATTCCCATCCATTCAAATTCAATCGAATAATCGCATTATGGAGTGGAACTGCTTTGATTAACATCGCCTTAGGTCAAAATGGTTATGGAAGAACAGATAAGAGCTAAATTTCATAACCTGTCCCCGTACTGAGTAGGGAATTTCAAACCACCCCGCGATCCGTATCGGAAAGTTCGCTTTGAATAGGACACCAAGATACGCCCTTTAACAAGCTAAGTTCTCGTATTCAGTTACGAGTTACAACTCTGAAACTTAATATGATGGCATGTTGAACATGGCTCGCAGATTCTCCGTAGTCTGTATATAAACACATACTTCCTCCTCCATTTTACTCGACTACACTACTACGTTACTTGATACTTAAAACTTTTATTTCCTATTACGGCCCCTATCTACCCTATTACGAATGGCTGCCCCCATTGTCCTCAAAGGTGGCTGCGCATGCTCCAAAATTCGCTACACCAGTACCGCAATGCCCGAGTGGGTTCAGAACTGCCTCTGTATAACTTGCCGCAAGGCTTCTGGAGCACCGTATCAAACCTTTGCCGGCTACTTCCTCCGCAGTTCTGTGACCTGGATCACAGAACCGCCCAAGTACTACAGATCCAGCGACTTTGCTAAACGTGGATTTTGCGATGGATGCGGCTCTAGCTTGACATTTGAGATGGATGCATTTCCAGATAACATTTCGCTAGCAGCTGGATCATTTGATGATTGGGATATTGTAGGAGGTCACAATGCGCTTACCAAACCGGGAGGCTATATCTATGTCAAGCAGAAACCCGTTTGGTTTGATTTGCCCAATGACGGGTTGGAGAGGTTCGAGGAACTTCCACCGGAGGCCCAAGCTGAAAAGGACAGTCAAGCTCAAGCAAAGTAAGGATATTACCGAACCAGTGTCTATATCATTGAAAGGAATATCCCATGGTCTATTAAATAATTACTGAGAATGGGATGTTGCGATTCGATACAGAAGTTTAGCTGTTCAGTATGGAGTCATGGACGTTGTAAACTCAGAGAGTTCAAATGCCTATGTAACGATACATGCCAGGTAGTAGTCGGAGTGGGTAGTTATGGCCTCAGCAGAAATACATAAAAGCAACCTGTCAAAATATATAAACACTTGCAAGGTTCGCTCAATCAGAAAGTGCTAGTTGCTAAACGACTGGCTGCATTCTTCGCATCCACTCGATCCTCATCATCTTCCATAGTCCCGCTTCGTGATCTCGTATTTCCCTTTCGCGAATCCCCAGCTGACTCCTCGTCGTCTTCCGGTAAAGACGGAATAAGGCTCCCACTAATACTCCTGCTCAAGCTGTCACCGCGCCTAGGAACGCCACTCCAGGCATCACCTTTTGGGCCTTGACTTGAAGCAAGGCTAGCGCGACGGGCTGCGGGGTGTGATTCGCGGCCCAAACGACTAAGCCCACCGGAGGAATCAATCGCTCGAATATCGGCACGCACACTCTCAAGTGTACTCAGGGTTCGGCGTTCAAATTCGATTTGGCGAATTGTATATTCTTTAATACTAAGAAGAACATCATCAGCAGTGCGGTTGAACCATCGTCGCTTTTCCTGCAGCAAATTATTCGTAACTCGCTGTGTCTTTTCCGTTAAATAATTCTCATGTTGTATCGCCTCTTCCATAGCCGCGATAGCTTCGTCGACCTTCTCTCCCCGCACAGATGAACTAGACTTTAGTCTATCAGCAGCAGCACGCTTGCTTCTTGTCGCTTGCTGTGCTTGGATCAGTTCTCGCAAAAGAATATGCCGATTTGTTAAGGTTTCTTTGACAATAAGTGCATCGGATGAATGGTAATTCAGAGGGTCTCCGAATGTTGTTGCCTCTGCTGTGCCCTGTGCCGCGTGGTAATCACCCACGGTTTGAATAACCTTGCCGAGTTTCCGGTAGGCATTTGCCAACCCGGGGTGTGTTTCCTGAACATTCATTTGCCCCAGTTTAACACCGAGATCGGATTCGGCAAGAGCAAGGCCTGCGGAGGAAATTAGTTGTATGCGTAGATAAGACGAGCCACAGACTCACCTCTCCGCGCTTTCACAACGCGGTCGACCTTTTGTCCTGCATCCATTGTTCCAAGGTAAAACCGCTTAACCACCGGCCGCGCATCTAGTAGTTCTGGGGTATCATCTGGCGGTGGTGCAAACTGCTTCAAATACTTTCTTCGGACACCAGTGGCAGGCTGCCTCATTCTCACGACCGGGCTGTACCCGAAATCGCTTTCAACAAAAAGGATTATTTCATCATCATGCATAAGAACTTCATTACTGCAAACGTAGTTGAGCCATCTCTGCATAGATGTTTTGATACGGATCTCATCTTCATCGGTCCCAGCACCAGCAGGTGTCAAAGGTGGGGGTACAGCAGGAACGATTGCTTCGGGGTTGGATGATATCAAGTGGTCCGCCAATTTACAAAATTCCGAATGTGTACGTCGTACGTCCCGAAATTGAGTTGTTCTAAACTTCGGTATATTGGTCTACTCAACGGGCTTATTAGCAATAGAACAGTGGTGGACGTTTGACTTTACGCACGTGTACATCAAAGCGCAGAATCGGATCTTTTTTCCCAGTTCTTTCTAGAGCGGTAATTTTAGCCTGTAACTTGTACTGGGGGGCAGGTTGTCGTGCATGATGTCTTGCCCCAGTTTGGTATCTTGCGGGAGCCTGGGCTCGGGGAGGAGGTTGGTGCTGTGAGGCTTGCGAGTGCGCCCACCCTGATCCTCCCTCGGCATTATCTGTCTCGTTTATCTGCGTCCCATGGAATCGCTCCACCAAACCGGGGGAGTTAGAATCACTAGCGGAAGCAGGCCGCAGATCTCCGGCTGTGTCTGTGTATGGGGAGTCGTGCTGCGACGGAAATGGGGACGGCGGCACCTCTCCAACTGACGAAGGGAAGCTTCTGTCAGCTCGTGGTGAGGAAGAGCCCCATGGTGATGCGCCAGAATGATGGTCTGAATCCTGGGATAAACTTGAATAGTCCATGCTCCAACGCTTTTGGGAGGGATTCGCACTGTGCGAAAGCAGGTGGGAAACGCGGAATTGCGTGGACTAGGCCAGCATCGGCGGCTGGAAGGTAAGGTTCGTAGGGCAGCACGTATTGAAATATCAATTCGGGATCGAATATAAAATCGTCACTCATCAATGTCAGCAAAGAAGGCGTGCAGAAGCGCAAAGAGTTGGCGAGTTACTCGAGATGCCAGTTCGCTTTTGGGTGGCTACGCGCGCCGCAGCAAAGACTAGTTTAGGTAGTTAGTCAACTGCCCGTGACTTTGCCAAGCCTCCAGTGATAGTTATCCGGATTTGAAAATTCCACTGAATCAACTCTGTCTCCCCTAGTTACTGGTAAAGGCGGGCTGTGCATAAATATACTACAATAAGGCTGAAGAATGCTCTAATTTTCCCGTAACTACAATCCGGCATGCTCAGCTCTACATATACCATACGATGGATATGTTCGCAGTGTCGAAGGAGCCTGAAGCGCAACTTTACGCCACTATTCAGGCCTCCACTGCCCAATCTTCGTGCATATTCCACCTCAGCTGCGCGAGATGAAATTACGGATCTTAATCGCACTCGCAACATCGGTATCATTGCGCATATCGATGCTGGGAAAACGACAACTACAGAGCGTATGCTCTATTACAGTGGCTTCACAAAAAGAATAGGAGATGTTGATGACGGTTCAACTGTAACCGATTTTCTTCCGGCAGAACGTGCTAGAGGAATAACTATTCAGTCCGCTGCAATTACTTTCCACTGGCCTCCGGAGGGCCAAGGTACCTTAGTCTCAGAGGGACCAGGTGTACCAAGATCCGCTTTGCCGCACACCATCAATCTCATAGATACCCCTGGACACGCTGACTTCACTTTTGAAGTTTTGAGATCCCTCAGAATTCTTGATGGAGCAGTGTGTATCCTTGATGGAGTAGCTGGAGTAGAAGCACAGACAGAGAAAGTATGGCACCAGGCTGCCATCTATGATATACCCCGGATTGCTTATGTCAACAAACTAGACCGTGAAGGTGCTGCGTTTGGTCGGACAGTGAGGGAAATTGGATCCAAACTTTGCGGCTGGCCAGCTGTCTGTCAGATTCCCTGGTTTGAGGGCAGGGAAAACAAGTTCAAGGGTATTGGAGATGCCATCTCACTCCAAGCTCTCCATTGGGATGCTGGAAAGGATGGAAAGCAGATATCGGCTGTAAGTTTGGAAACTCTAGAACAGACTGAGAGTAAATTTGCCGAGGAGATAAAAAGAGCTCGCATTGCCCTTGTTGAACTCTTGAGCGAGCACGACGATACCATGGTGGAAAACTTTCTAGAATACGACGAAGATCATTTGGCTGTCAAACCAATTGAGATTTGGGAAAGTCTTAGACGCTGCCTACTTCAGCAAGACAACAGAATCACCCCAACCTTTTGTGGCGCAAGCTTTAAGAATATCGGCGTGCAGCCACTTCTTGATGCAGTAGTGAATTTGTTGCCGAGCCCAAGCGAACGCCCTGACGCAGAAATTAGTGTCGGATTGGTGACCGGTGGACTACAAAGCCTCCTCAGGGGAAAGCTCTCACTGAAAAGCCTAGATAGGCCTGCTAAGCAGAAACGGAAGAAGAATTATATGTCTCTCTCGGCAGGTGCAGGATTTCTACACATTGTAGAAAGCTGTGCCCTCGCTTTTAAGGTAGTAAGTGATGCCAAGAGAGGTGTTCTGGTGTATGTCCGCGTCTACTCCGGCGTGCTCAATCGAAACTCACTGTTATTCAATACAAATCTTGACGTATCCGAACGAGCGCCTCGACTCTTCAAAATGTACGCCAATGATGCTATTGAAGTTGAATCTATTGCAGCTGGACATATTGGGGTAATAGCTGGTTTAAAATATGCTAGGACTGGGGACACTTTGGTCACATTCGGTGGAAACAAGCAGCATGCACCTGAGCCATTCAATGCCCTTCAACTTAGCCCCATCACTGTTCCTCCGCCTGTATTCTTTGCTAGTGTCGAGCCCCAAAGTCTCAGTGAAGAAAAGAATTTGCAGGAATCCCTTGCATTGCTACTTCGAGAAGACCCAAGCCTTCACGTTACCGTTGATGAAGACTCTGGACAAACCTTACTCAGTGGAATGGGTGAGCTTCACCTGGAGATTGCCGGTGATCGTCTTATTAAGGACTTCAAGGCTAAAGCATCTATTGGTAAAATTGAAATTGGATATCGCGAATGCGTCACAACTCCTTCGAAAAAGATAACTCGAATTTTTGAGAAAGAGATCGCGGGTCGCAAGGGGCGTGCGGGCTGCACTGCAATGGTAGAACCCCTTTCGGAAGCTGGCTGCACTACAATAGTAGAACCCGCTCAGGACGTTGACTGCACTGCAATGGGAGAACCCCTCCATGAAGAAGAATTTGAAGATGAGGACTCGGAAGATACTGATGTCATCTTCACGGAAGAAAAGGATGGCAATCGTATCACTATAAAGATCCATGAGTTTGACGCGACGGGCGGAGCCCAGGCGTTTGAAAGTGGACTACTTTCTTACCTTACTTTAGTTGACCTCCGAAACTCGCTATACAATGGCTGCCTTGCTGCTCTCGCACGAGGGCCCAAGCATTCCTTTCCCGTTAGCAATGTCCACGCCACTCTCATCTTTGATATTTCTCGGCATCTATTCGGGATCGACACCACACCTTCATCTCTGTCCGCGGCAGCCCGTCTCGCCACGCAAGCGGCTCTTAAAGAAGTCCGATCAAAGTGCTCTCTCATGGAACCAATTATGAATGTGTCAATTAGCGTTCCTGGATCAAGTCTGGGAAACGTCGTGCATGATATTTCTTCTTCTCGAGGTGGTCATATTGTGTCCCTAGATGAGGATACATCTTCACCCCTGACTGGAAGTGTCCAAGATCTCCCACCAATTGACCTGGCTAGAATTTATACGCCTGATGACCCGTTTGTCTCGTCATCATCATACAGTAACACCGAACTATCTGGTGCAAATGACTCTCGAACTATCTCTGCCAAAGTTCCACTGAAAGAAATGGTTGGATACTTGAAACACCTTCGAAGTTTGACGAGCGGAAGGGGAACATTTGTGATGAGTGTGGACCGTTTCGAGCGGATGAACAGCCAAAGAGAAAAAGCCGCTTTAAAGGAACTACGAGGTTTATAGATTACCTATTTTGCTACTTTCAGCATTCCTCTTAACATCAAAAATCAGATCACAGATCGTTAATGCAGTATTTGATATGGTAGTTTCCTCTTTTTTGACGATCTAGTATGTCTGTATTAATTCGCTCTATATATTCTTTCATAGAGACTAGGTTAAAAAACAAAATTTCGAGAAGGTCATTCTCATTCCCTTGATCAAGAACTTGCACAAGGCCTCCTACCCCAAACTTCTGTGCTGATTGTTCAGCAACGCTCTGCTGAATACCTTGTCAAGCGGAGACCTGCCTAGGCTATGCTAGGCACGGAGACGTAGCTTTGGAACACCCGCTAGGCGCTAAATCACGTGCCTTTTTGCCACATATGCATCATCGGAGCTTCACTCTGCTTCGCTCTGATTGGCTCTTTTTGCCCCACTTGGGCTAGCTACTCACTTATATAAAGTAGCCTGGATCTCTCTATAATATGAGATCAGATCTCCAGCTCGTACCTCGTTATGAGCCCGGCTCACGCTTAAGCACTCTATTTCCACGTCCTGATTATATACGAATCCCTTACGATCACACACTCGATAGAGCGAATTCGATATTTGCAGTGAACAAACACACGGTTAAGAACACGGAGCACGGAATAGCATGGAGATGGAAAAACTATCCCCATCGAAGGAAACGTGATCAGAAAAGATTGGGAAGCATGGTACATGATTATTAAATCACATGCAGTGTCACACGACGTTTGGCCCTACATTGACCCGACAAAGACGACACACCCTACAAATATAGCGCCAGAATGTCCAGACCTAGACAAATTCAGGGAAGGCGGAGTTCTGACAGAGAATAGCAAAGCCTTGTATGAAAGCGCGTACAGGCTATTTACAGCTAACCAAGAACGTTACAACAGAATAACATCTGGCTTGGGAAAGATAGGTGTTTACATACACAATAGTGTGGATCTAAAGATCTCATTGGATGTGGCCCGCTATGACACAACAAAAGAAAAATTAGCGCATCTTTATAAGCAGTTCAGACCCACTACTGGTGAAGTACGCCGCCGCTACCGTATATTACAGAAGGGTTACACGGCATGCAATCAACGACACCAAATGTGGGCACTAGCCTGGAAAATGATAAGCTCCGACCTAGAGACCCGCCTAAATATGTCAAATGCGGAAATATGCAGAGATTTTTTAATGGCTTTGCAAATAACGGATCCTGATTGGGCAGTATTCTACATCAAGCGCTGGAAAGAGCAACTAAAAACGGGCACGCTACACATCAATGACGCAGCTGACGAATTCATTGAAGACAAAGATCTGGAAAGGTCCCTACAAAAAGGCACGTGATTTGGAGCCTAGTGTTCCAAATCTACGCCGTACTCCGTACAAAGAAAACGAAAGAGAATCCTCCAATCTCCATGCCTAGCCTAGCCTAGGCAGTATACATACCTGTCACGCTATTTTTCTCCGATAATATCTTCGCAAGTATGTAACTGCATCCGGAATATTTCAGCTTGAAAATTCGGAACTTTCTTGGCATATCGCGTTACTTGTACTAGAAGCTGATCGTGATTTTTCCTGGGATTTTCAGTGTAAAAGTCAAGATCATGGGTGGTTTCCCTGGTTCCCAAATTAAATGGTATTAAGTTTCCCTGTTATTTACTCCGTACAGTGGTACATACTCTCTCGCCCATTCTACAGAGTTTGATGCCACAGAGTATGTAAACAGGACTGAAATTACTGTCTATTTATTTATCATTTCTACATTCAGTTGCTGGCAATCTGCTTTTCAATATGCAGCTTCGAGATTCAGCTTGGACCGTTTGCTCTTGGGTGCATTCAATTTCGACTATACTAAATATCAAGAAAATCCCAAATCCACCCTCTCCTACGGTTTCCTGGCTACTTGCCCATCGTGAACCGAGACAAGCGCAAGCACGCGGGCGCGCACCACTCGCTTCTTTATACCGCATGTACGAATACTTCGTTACTGGCCACTACCTTGGCCTTAGAACCGAAATCGAGTTCTTTTTCAACAGGTCCGACTGGCGAGTGTCCGATATACCAGACCCTGCCGATCCGGATCCAGAACGATATGCACTTCTCGCCGTTATGCCAACTTGTATGGTGCGAGCCTTCAACCGATTGATCGAGAGGGGTCTACCTCGAAATGCACCTGCTATCATTATGGGAAGCGACGAGCTCGATGAGTTGCAGTCACGCCCACGAGTGCTCGAAACGATACCAGCATGGTGTGCTAAAGTTCCCAGGCTGAACACAACACTCGTCATTCCCGGCAAAGATGGTGAAGTTCCTACTAGCGACGTTGCCAGCTCTGAGTTCCTAGAAAAAAACATTCTTGCCTGGGACCCTCCCGTTTACTTCGTTTGATAAGCATACTAGCTATAAACAGCAAAATGATATCTCCTTCAAGATACTAGATATTAATCGTTACTGCTCCTCTTCGCTTCTCATCGCGCAAGCCTCCAACCACGGACGCATTTACAAGCCACCCCGAAGGCAGTTGTTTCTCAATCCCCAATGCCGAAAGTATGTAGACATACCATAAATAGATCAAAAACAACACGCCTCCACCAGATAAGATGAAATCATCGTATGCCTTCTGAACACGGTCGTAAGAGACTTTTTCAATTCCATAACCTTCATGTATATGACCAAATACGTGAAGCTTTGGCTTTGTAGATAATCGCCACAACTCTTTCAAAAGAAACCCACATCCCAGTTTGTTCAGATCTAAATGGCCCTTTGGGGGTCCATGGGTTATCAAAATATCTGTGTTCTCTGGTATTGTGCCTTCCCATATATCGATTGTTGGTGGATATTGGAATGCCCAATTGCCATGGCGGGCGGAGAAGGGGCTCCCGTATATTTTAATAGTTCGATCTCTCGCGCACTGGACGGTGGCCGTATTATTCTGAAGATAGACGATGCTGCCCCAGTCAATGTTTTGTCGATCGCGAAAATGGGCTGATGGAAATGAGGCATCCAAGATGAGATCGTGATTGCCAGCAACAACAAATTTGTGTTGATGGGGCTGTGAGTTTAACCAGTTAAGAGCGCGCTGGACTTCAGCCAGAGATCCAGACTGAGTGAGATCTCCAGCATGAACGAGAATATCGCCATCAGGGAGGTTCGGTTGATAGTTGTGTGTGTCAGAGATACACACCACTGTAACAGGACACGAATGCGTAGAAGGAAGTCTTCGTGGTAATTTATATATAGACTGCGCCAGGAAGTAGGTTGGATCTGAGCAAAACTTTGAAAACGCGCTTAGCTGCTTTCTTTTTAAAAGGGCATCAAACCCATCCCTTCTGTTATTAAACATCACAAGGATGAGCCTTAGGAATTCGATAAACCGGTGATTTTTTGGGTGAGACTAAAATTAACCAAAACCAACTTTCACTGTTATATAAACATGCTTAAGTTACATATGTAGCTCAAAGAAGATATATGGTTTCCATGCCCGGGCCCTAAAAGTAATTTTTTCCCTGAGTGCTCAGAGATATGTAGGTATATATATATATATATATTTTAAGGACACATTGTCATTTATTTTTATGGTCTAGGCTATTTTAAACTAGCTCTAAAGGTAGCATTTATATTAGTATATGCGTAAAATGTATTGCGATTATGAATGAGAGTTTTCTGTTAAATGTATCACATTTGAATTTTCCCGTGCCATTGGAACCATCCTTTGTCCATTGAAGCTCCTCAGTTAATGTGTACATCTGCAGGGTAGGACATCGGCATCTGTGCGGGAACTTTCTCAACCTTTTGGAGACAAAATCATATAAATAGATAAGGGTATAGATACGGAAGCTTAGGTCAATATAGAACAGCACCATATTACCAATTGTCATCCCAATCATCCTTCCCCTTTCCTTTGGCTGATGCTGCTGTAGTTGAAGCCGTGGCCGATGGAGAACTTTTCTTCATCGCCGCAGTCCCGATTGCTCCAGATCTAGTCGGGGTCGTACTCGCATTTGCTCTTTGGTTTCTTTCTTCTCCAAGTGCTGCAAAGTCATCCCAGAAATCTTTTCTTTCGGGCTCAAAACGGCTGTTTCCAGGACCCGATCGGCTTTGGTTGCCTGGTCCGCTTGCAGGCCCTTCGACGAAGCGGCTGAAAGAGTCTGTAGCACCACGAGCACCAGTTTGGATGTTCCGACCTACCTCCACTGCAGCTAATCTGGCTTGAGCGGCGAGGTCTGATTCTGCAATCTGCCCAGGAAGGAAGAATCAGTAGGTTGCCACGAATCATAGTAACAACTAATTTAGAAATCCAACATACCGATTTAGCTGCAGGCTGTATATAAGAATCATTGACGGTTTTCGCACCATTTCCAAGAGTGCTTGTAAACCATCCAAATCCTTTGGTTAGTGCAGCGACAGGGTCGCTCTGGAAATCATTTATTCCTGGCATATTACTCTCTTGCTGAGTGGCTTGTCTTGACGCTGGCATACCGCCTCCAAAGCCAGTGAACTTCCCGCCCTGCGAGGGTGGCACATCGGCCGATCTGGCCGCGTTCTCTTCACCTAACCGAGCAAAGTAGTCTTCATTTTCTTGTTTCTTGCTTTTAATACCATCTGTATTTCTGGGTGATACCACCCTGGGCTCATCTCCGTTTCTGATCCCTGGTGTGCCAGGTGTATTGGTTCTAGAAACCGTGTTCTTTTTCTCCTCGCCCGGAACATATTCCCTTCCTTCAACCTGAGCGGTCAATCTGGCTTTCCACTCCTCGCCAACATCACCACTATATCTTTCCTTCACTGTAGCGTCATCGAACGTAGTTCCCTCCGCGATCGTGGTAGGATGGGCGTCAAAGAACTCTTTCCAAGGCTCATTGCCCCCAAGTTCCATTCGTTGTATTTCTGCCTTTTTGAAGGCGTCCATGGTTATGCTTCGAACGAAGGATATGTGAACGCCCAACCCTCTGTGTATTCCCGCGCAATTGAGACAGATGAAGGTACCAAACTTGGGAGAAGCCTGCAACACCAAGAAGTGAACCATTAGCCATGTGCTGCATTACAATGCGCTGCCTCAGGAGGAAGGAGACGATTTACCCATTGCGGCGATGGAGCACCGCAATCGCAACACCGATCATTTCCTTTTGTCTTCTGGACAAGGAGGAGCTAAAGATGCCGTATGTAATTAGATACGTTTCCACCGCAGTGCGACTTCCCCACTGGTGTGGCATACCTTGCTCCTCGTCTCGGGGTCTACCTCCCAGAGTTTCGACATCGCGTCCAAATCGTGCTGCGCACGCCTGGTAAAGGCCCCTTCCGTGAGGTCGCGATAAGCACAGGGGAAACTTGGGACTGGCCAACTAACTAACTAATATTGAAACACCCCACACCCAGACACCTGTTAGGGTAAATGTGGAGAGCGTCTAAAACGTCCGCTGGACGGGTTTAGATCTTTGGTAACTCGCCCCGCTTCAAACCATATATGTGCGGTGAGAGATAATATCAATCAGAGAAAGACTGCTCCGTAAAGGGGGAATGAAACAACTATTGCAGAATTGCCCTAGAAGTTTGGCTTTACAAAGCTATTGTTTATACGGTTATGTAGTTTTGTATGTTGTGTGGTCTTGGATGCAGGATTGATTGTACCCCAATTCTGCAAGCAAGAGGAACTGAAGAGAACTTAGAATCATCAGGTCATCAGAATTTTTTTTTTAAGATACATTTATTAATTGACATGAGGAAGCCCATTCAGCATATTAGAATAAGTAAATATCACGACTAGCGATTTGAAGTCACCATCCAGACAACCCAGACAAGAAGGGATGCCAATAGGTTCAGATAAAATATGGCAATGGCACTCCGAAGTCCCACCAACCGTTCAATCAACTACTCAAGGAGCCTCTAGTGGAAAAAATATTCACTTAAGCAGCGACATTGGCAGCCTCCTGGGTAGTAACCTCGCCAGTTTCAGCGCCAAGAGGCTCGTCTTCCTTTCCGGGGCTATCAATGGCAACCTTCACTGCGATCTCGCGTCCATTAATATCTTTGCCGTGCATTTCATTAACGGCCTTTTGCTGAAGCTCCTCGGATCCAAGGGTGACGAAGCCGAAGCCACGACCCTTGCGAGCCTCCCCACGAGCGTGTAGTTTCTTCACCATGAAACGTGGAATTGGGCGAAGAGCGATCTTGGCAGAGATTGGGTCGTAGGAGGCAAAAAGCTCTTTCAACTGCATCGAGGTGATTGTCAGTAGTCGAAGACAAAAAATAAAAAATAAAAATTCAATAATAGTTAAAATACCTTATCTTCACTGAGGTCATAAGGCAGATTCGCCACCATGACTTTGGTCTTGGAGGGAATGCCGTCTTCAGGGGGACCTCGCTGCTTGCGGGGACGAATCTGGCCCCTCATAGCATCAGTGTCATCCTTTGGAGCTTCAACTTCTTCTGCTCCAGCCTCAGGGGGATTGGTGACTTCCGCAAGAACCTCGTCACCTTCGCCCTTGGCTCCGTTCTGGTGATAGAATACATTAGCCAAGCAGTGAGAGTGATAGGGAAGGAGAAAATCAACACACAGCACGACCACCACGACCAAATCTGCCACCGCGTCCACGTCCACGGCCACGACCTCGTCCACTACCTCTCTTGCGTTGACCTCCATTAGTGCCCTCAGCACCACTTTCAATCTTTGGTTCTGTGGGCTCTGGCTTGCGAGCAACTTGAACAGAAACCCGACGCTCCAAGATGTCTTTGCCAGTCAAGGTGGCAATGGCAGCTTGAGCTTCTTGTGCGGTAGCCAGGTCAACAAAGGCATATCCAACAGGACGGTTGGTTCGAGGGTTCACAGGGATAGAAACACTCTCGCTAATGAAACATAATTAGCAAAAATAAATGCACAAAAAAAATGTGCGTTACGCAGCAGCAGCTAGTGTATTTTGTGCACATCTACTACAAAGAGATCAGATCAAACACTTACACAGTGAAGCCTTTGAAGAAGTCCGTAAGCTCCCCCTCAGTGGTCGCGTACGCGAGGTTCCCAATGTACAACCGACGACCCTCATCGGCACTAGCTGTAGTACCATTTTGGGTAGCAGCGGGAGTACCGTTGGTTTGTTCATTGATACTAATGTTGGCCAGGTTATCGGCAACTTCATTGACGGCAGTAGACATATTGAAGAGATGAGTTTTCTTTATCGGACACGGGAAAGAAGCGTTGATGGATGACCGGTGTGTTGATAACTTGACAAGACTCAAAAAAGCTGAGCTGCCTCTGGGACTTGAAGAGGGGGTTGAGGGTCGCTTGGTGCCCTAGATACTAAAGAGGAGGAGGGATTTAAAGTGAGACAGAGCGTGTCTTGATCGACGAACAGAGTCTTTGCTGTGGACGAAGAAAGAAAAGAAGAGAAAGAGTGAGTCGGGAAGGCGAAACGGGAAAAAGAAAGAAAGGGGCGGCTGACTCAGAACTGACTAACACAGGCAAAGCTCCCGTTGGGCTTAGCGCGGGTTGGGATGGTCAGACTGAAAGCAGTTTAGCGCCCTCAATATTGGCGAGTTCCAGAGCAATGTTAGTCATCCAGCATATTCAGGAGCTGCTGCCTAAGTTCTAACGCTGCCGACGTCAGACAATCAACGAACCATAGTCGCAACGACAGATACTACTTCGGCAAGGCAGGAAGCTACCTGCGAAAAGCGATGGAATGCAGAGTACTCTGTTTGGAGTAACCACCCATTTATCTACTGGCTGTGAGAGCCAGTCTACGCGTCGCTGGATCCCACGTCATATATACCCTTTCAATCCTGGCAATCCGGAGTTGATGCGTATGCTATGCCGAATCAGGATCACCTCTTACCTGATTATTGCACGGCAATACATGGCTCCAAGAAAAATTTTGCCTCCTGATGTAGCCGTCATTTTCGAAGACACACTGATTTTAAACAAAGAAACGAAGCATGCTCTGCTAATGGCGCACCACGTATGACAGCGCATTAGTTCTTGACGAAGCCTCCATCTCCAAAAGTGCGATGAAAATGTCTAGTTTCGGATGTATAACTATGGATAATATCAACAAACTTCTATTTCGCTGTTCGCCCTCGACGTTCTGTTGTGTCGCCTTTTTCCTTCTATTCCCACCTGCCATCCTTGGTTTGGCGATTTTAGTTTCTGTTATCGCCGCCATTACTAGTTTTATGTGGAAGGCAGACCTTCAGACTTGGACTAGGTTCCCTTTGCTTTGGTGATTGTTGGCGCATTTCCGCCCAACGGTTCTCCTGTTCGATTGCAACCATGGACTAATATGACTCACTTATGAACCTGCTCATCATTCATGTCTGCGTTATCTTCCCATATATTTTTGCTGTTTCCCTCTCTTGACACCTTTTTTGACAAACATCATTCCCATCCTTTGTTGGACACTTCTGAACAGCCCCAATAAAGATAAATACTTTCAAAGTGGTTTTGCTCCTTTGAATATTCTACGCCCTAGATAAATTGAATCAGAATACCTAGTTTCTTTTCTCTATTGCTTATTCCAAAGCTGCCGGCTTTCATACGACTCTTATACGACGATTCTATCTGTGGTAAAGTTCTCCTAATCGAAATCCACAACGTGCCATCACGGCCTCGACTCATTTTACAATGGCAAATATACCAGTAGTCAGCCTGGATGAATCAGATGACGAGCTTTGCTTTATTTCGAGCTGCCCTGTCCATAAGAACGCCCATAAGAACGTCCCAGAAATGCAGAGCTTCAATGATTCAAAAATACATTCATACCTCAGCCCAATTTTCAATTGTACGACTTTAAGTCTCCTTAATCATTTACTCCTGAGTTTCCAATGTGATTTCTGCCTAGGATGGAAGCTGACTAGGGCTTTTAGGTGAACGATTCCTCCCAAATCCTCCTGCTTCTCTCAAAGTTTCTCATGTCAAACCTAAGAGAGAGGTATGGGCCAGTATCGAACCAAGTAATGAGATATTTGAAACCAGTTTCCCACAAAGCAATGTCAATCTGCCAAATATTAATTCGGAAAAGACACATTACGGCCCAAATTTCTTTTTCGACTTTGCTAAAGCTATTACCAGGAGTTTTCCATATGAACGATTTGCCAGAGCTCAGGGATGTGAAATTTCTGACATCAAAGACGTTATGGTTGATACCCTCATTAACCCTTTAATGAAACAAAGAGCGGTGAACGAGTTAAGGGGCAAAACATCAGATCGGGGAAATGATAAAAATAACTATCCTATTGAACCCGGGGTTATTGTTTCTGCTGCATCACTTGGGTATGACCTGGTGCCAAAAGATGAAGCACCGGAAGTAGGAGCTTTAGCTAATCGGATTCGACATGCAAGACAATCAGCGAAAATGAATCAACTCAAATATGAGGATGATGTTAGCTGTTTTGATAGTAGTGCCTCCATGGCGAGAGCACAAAGCGATGTAACTTCTGAAGACATCAAGGCCAGGCAGGATGATGGCCAGTTCCACTTGGAAACGGACGAAGATAATATCAGCGAGCCGCAGGCTGATAGCTCTAATGAATCAACGCCACCAAATTATCGCAAAAGGGTTTATGAGGAAAAAGTTTTATATGAAGCGAGGGTTCTCGGCCGGCGTCTCAACGAAGGTATATATCAGCCATCACACCACTCAAATCCCCCCAAGAAGCTCAAAATGACATGGCCAACACGCACATCCACATCGGCTGCCCACCCCACTCATCCTTCATCCATTGCCCGAACAAGTGGGCGCCGTCCAGTATGCCGTGACTTTGCTGGCAGTTATTGGAATCTTAACCCCGAACAAGGACCTGCAATCACTGGCTATGGTGGCACCTTCGGTCACCTGGTGGAACTAAATCAAATTAACATCATTAAGCGACGCTGGGATAGAAGAAACTTTGGAGACATCCCTGTACCGCAACAGGACATTACTGGGTTTGATGATGATACTGACGAAGAAGTTGGGGGGGAAAGTGGGAATGAGGCAGATGATAGTGAGAACGGCACCTACTATGACTTTGCTGATCCGGATATAGCGGAAAAATTTTTTGACATCTCCTATTGGAGGTAAATATGGCTCTGGAAAATTGTCTTGACTCTCCTTGAATCATTCATCTACACTTTTATTTTTGTATGTACACATGTACCAATTATTATTATAGCCCTATACTTAGAAGTGATTTCACTCATTTAAGATGTCATTCTTCTCGAATAATACTGTTGTCCTATCGCCACACATTTAAGCTAATATACTGGGCTATGATGTTTAAACTCCGTTTTCTCCCCATTCTGCGCCCTGAATAAAGATACACATGAAATGCACACCTGAGATATAACATAAAAAGATGCAACTATACGTGCACATGCTAGGACAGCCCCCACTCTCACAGCTAAATTTAATACAATCAAGAACTATAAAGTGTTTTAAGAAATATAGGGCAAATGGATACAAGGCCTAACAAACAAGGAGGAAGAATGCAGCAGGGCCCAATTCATGAGAAAATGCAAACTCCAAAAGAAAGAAATGAGCCAAAATTCAGTGGTCCAAGTACTAAACCCCAAAAATTCAATGAAGATAAAGGACACAAGTCTCATACAATAGCTTAAGGGGTTTGAAAAAATTCTAACTTTTTACAGCACAAGCTTACCGATTGTAAGGGTTGTGCCCATAGTTGGTCGGCGGCTGCGACGTATGAGAGTAGGGGCCACCGTAGCTCGTATCATAGTCATGCATCAAACCGCCTGGCGCCATAGACCCTGCAGGGTGGCTCGGCCCGGGAGCAATTGGCGCGGTGGGATCATATGCAGACGGAGGGGGGCGAGCGCCGTGATGGTGCATATCATCGGCCTCATTTTGTTGAAGCAGGGCATAGTCATCTCCATCTTCGCGGTGGTTAGAGTGTAGCCCTCCAGGACGGCCAGTTCTGAACTCGGCATCGCCTTCTTCGTCCATCTCGTGGGGGTTGGAAGAAAACGCTGCTTTGGACTGCGCTGCCAAAGTGGGGTCGGAGCCGTCGTATGGCATCATGCCGGTTCGACGGAAGTCCATAACGTCTCGCAAGGATAGAAATGTGGTTACTACAAATAGCAAGCTGATGTAGATGTTAGTGATATATTCGCGCCAGCGTAGCAGTAATGGGAGCTAGATGCCTTACAAGACAAAAGCGCCGAGAACAGCCGTGCCTGTGCTCAGTCTGCATTTGGCTGGGCTGCCATATGCAAATGCATCGCACCCTTTCCTGCCATTCTTCTTGTTATTGTCATCATTTTCGCCTTTGGCCTTCCCACTGCCAACGTACGTTGCGATGGCCACCCAGGCAGTGAACCACATGAACGCATACATACCATCAACAGTGGCAAAGGCATAGGGATTACCGAATCGCCGTGCTCGCGGCCAAATAGGAACGGCAGTCAGATATATTAAACCCGGAATCGAGAACCAACACTACAGGAGCAAAGGGCAACAACATTAGTCACAGACTCCAACAGAGAACTTGGCTTCATTCGGTTCCTGAGCGAACTTACCAAAGCGAAATACCAGGCGGTGCGACCGTCAGTTTTCCCATCTCTTGTGAACACAGCAATCGTCATCGCCCAGGCTAGGAATATGATGAATGCCTGAAACGCATGGAGGAGGGTTTTCGTCCGGGAAGTGTTGAAATGTGGGAGATTCATTGTCGTCGAAGTGTAGACGCTACCCAATGCGCCCCGGTGCCTTGATGCCTTTGCTTTGATGCCCTGATATAATGATTCCCTGAGCTGTCTCAAAATCCTTCAGCCAACGTCAAAGCTCCGAAAGCTGTATGCAGGTGTAATCGCGTGTGATGTGGCTTAAGTATGAATGCACGATACTAGGAACGACGCACAAACAGTCAAGTGAATTATTCAACAGAAAGGTGTGCAAGAAGTGTGGTCATGACGGCACTGTGGATCATGGAGCAGATGAAAGCAAAGCCACACCAGCATGCATGGGTTTGTTTGTGTCCAAGGCTGAGCCGGGCCGGGATGTTTTTGTTAATTTAGCCTGCGTCAGCTCTCGGCGCAGGCCGTCATTCTTGGCAGGCTGAGATGCCTCACAGCCCACGGCTACATCCAACACCTTGTGTATTAGCCAAGTAAAGTGCTTCACAGGAGCTGTATGGGCAGCGGGGGTCATGACTTTGGAGTGGTGCTGGTTGTTGAACAACACACATGTTTGTAGTAGGACTCAAGGCATTAGCTCGTTAACTAATAGGTGCAGAGTACTCCGTAACTACCTGTTAACAAAATACCTAGCTAAGATGGTTATTGAACTTCTTCACACAAGATTTACCCCTAGATTCTTCTAATTAGACATATACTACTCCATTCTACTAAGATTAGAAAGTGAAGCAAGCAGGTAGCCACAATTAACATTGGTGAAGGCTGTGTCTTGTTAAACATGAGGTATCCCATGCACTGTACATGCAGGGTGCTTCAGCAATACATATGCTCTAGACCTTCGCTTGCCTCCAAACAGGCCTGCCCAGACCAGAATTTCCCGCCTAATTGAAACTGTTCCCATAAGAATCACGAAGTCGAAGTCCCCTGAGCATGTTTAGGCTTGCTGTAGTAGGTACTGCCAACCTCGATAGACAGGCCCCGCCTTTGAGGCACTGATTGTGGATTCCAAGCAGGCTGTTTTTTGAGATGTCTGGAGTATATGGAGCTGTAATAGCTGAGTCAAATTCGACACCGGAGTTTAAGAATGTTCGTGTTCTTTTTTTTAGAGCAATGTCAATATTGCTGCCTCGAAGAAACTGTACTCCCCATGTCTTTCATGGCTCTTAGAATGAGGGCCAGGCATGCCCAATCCAAGTTGACTTCAACAGGGGCATCGAGTAATAGGTGGAGGCAAGAGTATGTCTGTTTTCTTGTCAAAAGGGAGTTTACGATAACATTATGGAACGCGAGACACCTGGATACATATATCTTGACCTGAAATTGTTTCATAGGAACTTATCGCAGCATGTGTTGAAGAGAATCAATTCAAAGTGGCGAGAATAGAGGGGTTTTTGAACGTTTGTTAGCAGTTTCGCCGTCGATGACAAGAGACCCGATTCTTTTCTTTTAATATTAGAACAGATGCCGGTGTATCCGTTCGGCAACGTTCACGAGGCATGGCATTTCGCTTCTGGACGGTTCTGACGGATCTCCCTGCATGGGTCCGGCGTTACTTAAATACGCCATTCCCTCTCGCTCCCTAGGTTGTACCCATTATATACAAGGAAGGTCTTGTCTGGGGTAGTACGACAACCTGTCCCAAAAGTAGGGTCTTCAATATATCGCCAATAAATGCATTGCACATCAATCCCTTCAGAGAGGCCAAGCTTGCACTGCGTTTCGTTTGGAACCGGCTGGTGAGGTATACTCCGGACCTCCGTACCTATATACATAGTGGCTCCCACATTCAACTAGCGAACGTGTCACCAAGGCTAGGATTAGTACATAACTACCTAGTTAGTTTATGCAGTTGGTCTCCATAAAGTTAGGCGCTTGGGGCAACGCGCATCACAGCCGGCTGACGTTGTATTGATTCAGGGGACGCTGCTTTGCGGGCCTGACAGCGAAGTCCACACCGGTTCGCCTTGAAAGAGCCTTGCGCTTTTCCTTTCGAGCGAACCCTGCACCGAGAAGGCCGAACACCCCTGATTCACCTGCCAGCCCAGCTGGAGTCGGTTCCGTTTTGTGAGTTCCGATCAAGGGCGAGCGAATGGAAAATAGTCGACGTGCCTGGATGGAGGCATGGCGCGTACAGATATGAACGCAAAGTTACATGCGCGGAAACGACAGGAACAGGCACGTTAGTTAAGCTCGGCGCAGGAGACTGGGGGTGAGACGAGATATCAAATACGACTTCAAAGTGTCGCGGGCTTTGCACTGTAACTAACTTGATCAAAAAATATCATAGCCATGTAGCCCAGGTCTCTTGCCTCCCCCCGGGTTCTATCGCCCGCTGGACCTTGGGGCTGGATCAAGGCGGGATTTCCCGATCCAAGGTCGCATTGCGTGTGGATGCGTCGGTCCCGTTGCGGGAGCTTGAGGTCGTTCAAACCCTAGTTCGCCAGGCTTAAGCTTCACTAGTTACATAACTAACTAGGTAGTTAGCTAGTTAGTTGGTTAGTTGACTAGTTAGTCGTCGCGGGTTGTCGGCGCTTGCTGTTGGCTCACACAACATTATTTGTTGAATGGGGGTAGCCATCCTCGCTGCATCACACCTCAATGGCTGAATCCTCGATCCTCGAAACCTGGTACACTCAACATCGTGGCGTTTTCCCGCGCCTGCATCGATTGTTCGCCCGCACGAACTTATTATATATTGCGGGCCTCCCGTGATGAACAGGCTCGAAGAAGCTCAGACGGACTTGCCCAATTACGCTTAAATCGGCGTGCCCTGTGTACATGGTCTCTACAAGACTGGCGAATATCCTGTCCACTAGCTTCGCATCCTAGCTCCGAAACTTCAAGCGTCTCTAGCATTAACTTCTCTGGTATTGAGCGGAGTGGAATACAAATACTGTTTCTGGCGGTTGGAATTTCAAACCTCTCTTTAAAATGGAGGAGAAAGATGTCAACGGCAATCAATACTACCTCCCGAAGGATTCAAAATTAAGGAAGTCGGTAATATATTACTACAAACGCTTCACAATTTTCAGAGGAATTATATTGCTGACAGGATGTGTGGCAGGACGATCGACGCGAAATTAATTTACTACATTACATCTACGCCCAGAAAAACCTCGATGAGATTAGAGGGTCTCCTGAGAAAGTTCTGGCTCTAATAGATGAGTTTGGAAGGAATAAGGCTTTCTTGATGAATGTGGGCACATACAAAGGCAAGATCGTCACAGATATTATTGAGGAAATCAAGCCGCAAACCATGATTGAGTTAGGCGGATATGTCGGCTATTCTGCTATTTTATTTGGGAATGCCCTACGCAATATAGGCGGTAAACGATACTACAGCCTGGAAAGAAATCCTGAGTGCGCTGCTGTGGCTACCATGTTGGTGGACCTGGCTGGCCTACGAGATATCGTTACGATTCTTGTCGGAAATAGTGATGTCGTGCTGCACAAACTGTGTACATCTGGCACACTTACTAAAATTGAACTAATGTTTCTCGATCATTTCAAAGCCGCCTATGTGACGGATTTGAAGCTGTGCGAGCAATTGAAGATGATAGTTCCAGGGACTGTTGTTGCGGCTGACAATGTGATTATTCCTGGAAACCCCGTCTATCTCGAATATGTACGCAGCAGCGTCCCCGCAAAGAGAGAGATGGCGCAGAATCCTTCAAGCGGCTACAAAATATTCTCTCCACAGATTATTTCTTGGTATGCGAATAAGGAGGAGAAGCCCACATTTGATGCTGTGGGCAATCCGAACTTGGTCTACGAGACTAGGTTGTTTGAAAGCATTGAGCCAACTGGAGAGATTGTATGTTCCTTGCATATTATCCGACATATCTTTTCTCATACTAACGAGATGTTCATCCAGGATGGAGTTGAAGTTACGCGCTGCGTTGGCATCGAGGAGTGAGAGGTGTTTGTGTACTCAATGCTTACAAACGGCACACTAGCACTGCAGAAAAAAAGAAGATATTTTGACTGGCTGGTCATATAATTGTGTATGGTAACTACTGAGTACCCTGGACTCATTTAATGAGTAGCCAGCAAGGGCCAATGGTGTTGTAGGCAGCGTAAGGAAGATTATAGGTATGTACTCCGTACAGAGTAGCTACCCGTTCAGATTAACTCAAAGCTACCATTCATTCTGCTTGCCTTCGCCTTGGTAGCTTTTATTGTGAGCCGTATGAAGGCGTACATAGATGCGAGAGCTATGTGATAGCCAACTAAAAATATCATTGCAATTGATTAATATAGGGCACATATTTTATTGTGATATTGGAAGAACCTGGATAATGGTGACCTAGCCCAATGACCCCCCAGCTCGCCGGCCTACCTTTGACTCCAATTCCCTACATGCAAACGTTCATTCATCTAACCACTAGTTACCAGGCTTTGTGAAATTTGCAAGTACCCTTTCCTCTATAATGAAATTGAAACTTACCGTTGATTTGTCAAAATAAGCTAGGCTAATGATGTGTGAAATGAAAATATTTTTTTTCACGATTGGCCCTTGAAAACATCAGCGCCTGTTGCTGTCATCCCATAATGTTGCTTTGACCACGGGTATGGACGCCAGTATCACTTGCCCCCTGGGTGCATGTGACAAGGATCATTTTGGATAGATAGAGGTCCCAACTACTGTTTTGATAATCCACTATTGGGGAGAGTCAGACACAAATGCCGTTGCTCAATACTGTGACTGGGGTCATTGGAATCATAGAGGCATGCCAAATTCGCTCGACGAGCGATTCCTAGGCGACTTGATGATGGATCCATTTACCATGTAAAAATTCCGTTTCAACGGCGATCACGAATGTCAGCGTTTGGTGGCGCAATGGCTTATCATTCGGACGATTCAACGTGGGTGGTGGGTGCCAATAGTCTGGTTTTCGACAGCAAGAGAGTATGAGCTGCAGTCGCAACTCTCGCCCAATACCTTCGCAAGATTCTGATAGAAGAAAGTGGCTGGGCCATGAAGTTCTCGAAAGGTAAAGAAGAGACTAAGGCTCACACGCGTGAATCCGAGGCTTGGAGCATTGGACTTCAAAAGTTCAAAGCAGCCCAACCCGATTGAAATTGTGGGTTAGCTACTCCATACTTCCGCTACCTATTATATATGTCGTGGAACTTGGCGAAAACAAGGTGCCGTTCTATTCTCTCTTCGAAATGCAGCGTCTAGTTCGGCCCATTAAACCGTGCATACTGCGATCCAGTCACACGGGGCCTTTGCTCTTGATATCCACTAACTAGATATCGACACTTCCTTTACAAAGTACTCCGTGCTCCAAAAAGAACACCCCAGTCCGGGGCTGTTTCGAAGAGCCCACTCGCTCGTCGTCCCAATAAATGTCACTACGGGGCACTAGCCTGCATTATATCCCTAGGAGTCACTTATACTCTGTGCTTTTCCTTTGTACCACCGGTAGGGGCTAACCAGTCTCTTTCAATTTTACAAGGCTTTGTTGAAGATACGTTGCAAAAAAGGACTTCGAGAGAGCCCCCTGGAAGCTGAATTCAGAGTGGATTAGCTCTGGACTTAGGCTATTGTCAATACCATCTTCAAGAAAGGAAAACACTCCGTGGGCATTTGATCTTCCAATGGATCAAAGAGCCTTGCAGTTCTCCGTATTGGGCAAAGCTTGGAATTCAACTTCGAATCATTCTTGAAATATGATGGGTTTGAAATTTCATACGGGTTTAGCGTGAAGATCGCCCTCTCTGATCTTCCGATCAACGCCGCGCTCCGCCATTTTCAGTACAAGTGTGTGACACTGACAAGTCATGGTCAAGACGGGCCCGGTGTGTGCAGCGAGTAAGGACTACAGACGCATTCCATTTTGTGCAACAAACCCACGCCACATGAAGGACACGCGTTACCACCACGGAGAGCATCCCGGCTCTCAGCCTTCCGACAACCAGCTGTTATTTGTGAAGGCGGCTCGTGCGTCAAATGATTGACAAATCTAAACGGGGAATCCCATTGACTGGAACAAGCCTTGCTATCCGGTGGCAATTCCGATTATTAATTCCTCTGAAAGTGTCTTGCTTGGTGTTTTCGTCTGCGTTTCGACCGCCGGGTCAGGCGAGCCGTGAGAATTCGGTTTCCTTTTGCAGGCATTTGTTCTAAACACAAAGTCGAGATCTTGTCCGGTAGTTAGTTGTTTTCGTTTCGCGATTATTGTACTCCGTACAGAGTATGCGAATGCTCCAACAGACCATGCTCTCCCAGTTTTCAGTTCCACGTGGAAGTGCGACGTCGTGTTGGGAATTCACTTATAGGCTGCAATTCGGAGACGTTACTCAAGGGCTTTGCCAGTTCACCCTACTTGCACGGTGGAGAAGGGAGCCCGTTTTGGTCTTTCATGGTTAAGGGGTCGGCGCGCATCGCTTCCACACGTACGGAATGCCTCATGTATACTAAACCCACGTTGACCCGACACGAAGACGTCCACGCCAGAGGCCGGAGGACACGGAAGACACGCCATTTCAGTCGCCGCTATTGGCTATCATTGGCCCAGATGGAAAGCATGACAAGCATGACTTTCTAAGGGATCTGCAATTGGACAAAGGCCGTATTGATGAGCTGAATAGCGCCATCTGCAGAAAGAGGTTCGGTGAGCCTTCTTGCGCCCTCACACCTTCTTCTTGCTCTGATTCCACCCGCTCTTCACACTCACGTGTGCTTGGTATGGGACCTCAATGATAATAATATCACACCCGTCGCCAACGACGAGCTCTCCTTGATTTCTGCTCTGGATGTTTTATCCGTTCGGAAGACCTGCTCCTTGAACAGGGCAGGCGGAAATCGTGGATGGTTCGGCTGCCATGAATACTGCACGGCCGGGAATCTGTCTATCTCGTCACCAATGGCATTTTTGGAGGGTTTTTCGATAGGTCTGAGCTTGGTTGGAAGAAGTAACCCTCAGTTTGACCCGGGACTTCAAAATACGTCGAAAGCTTCTCTGATATTGGGTATCTCTGGACTCTTTTCCGGTATTGCGCTTCTTGTGGTTCTTGTGAGACTCTATGTTCGAATATTTATAGATAAACGTCTCGCAATTGACGACTACTTTACTATACTGGCATCGGTGAGTCTATTCCTTTTCCACGGCGATATGTCTCACTGTACAGACTCTGTTAACATGTGGAAATAGGCATGCGCATCACTAGTTCTTGCTTGTTTGATCATGGAATCCAAGCATGGACTTGGCCGATATACCCAATTTATTACTCGATCTGACCATGCTGCCCTCATAAAACTCGCATACTTCCATTTTATAATTCTCGGGATTGCGATTTTCGCCGTGAAGTTTTCATTTGTATTTTTTTTGTTAAGAATACTTCCAAGGGGGAAGGCCTATATCTTCCTAAAGATTATACTCTGTGCGTTACTTCACTCTCTCCAGCATGCTATGTAACTCTAACAGCTACTGATGTTCTCGGGTGAAAAGGTTATATTCTTCTTCTTGGGCTGGCTAATTTTGGATTCCAAATATTCCGATGCATCCCTGTAAGCGCCGGGTGGTCACTCACTGAAAGGGATGAGGCAAAGTGCTTATCAAGGAGGGGATTCATGGTGTTTAATATGATAATCAGTGGTAGGTTCCAGAAACATGTTTATGAGGGAGAAACATCATTAAGTGGAAAATAGGAATGGATGCCATTGTTGATGCCATCGTTGTCACATTTTGCACATTCGTGTTCTATAATTTTCATCAAACACAACGGTATCGCCTGGCTTTTTGTGTCATTGCCACATTTGGCTATATGTAAGGAGCTGTACTCGACGTTGAACGCCACAGTTGGTTCGCAATACTTACGATTGCCTAGCACATGCTTCGCTTCCATAATCAAGACTGCTATGTCAGTTTACGCTTTAAAGGTAAATATCAAATATCGGTATGTCACTAAAATTTGAACTGTCACTAAAAATCCAAAATACTAACAAGATAAATTAGTGGCGTTGACTATGGACTGTGGTCTCTGTATGTATTGAAAGGAGGAATCCTAAGTTTCAACCAACCCCATCTTACGGAAATAAAAAAATCAGTCAGGACTTACGGATGCTTCACTTCACAGGCTTGAGCTAAATCTAGCTTTAATCGCGGCCTCTCTCTCAACACTCAGTCCTCTGTACAATATAAATCATCCGCGCCCTCGCCGTGAGTCGACGACGATTCGCTCAATAAACAACTACTCTAGTCACTATGAGGAAGATATTGGCCTTTCATCTTTCTCCAACGAACACCCCTTGACTAAATTTCCCCGCCGCCCGAGTACAGCTCATGTTGAACCCAACGATTTTGAGAAGAACCCCGGAAATCGGTCAAGCGTTTGCAACTATTCAGTTGAGGTTACTGCCTTAAACAGTCATAAGACAACGAGAAAAAACTCATTCAAAGCAAGTCGCCAATTTATTAGCCACCAGGTACACAGTATTCTCGAGAACAAGGATATTTCTTCTTGTCCTCCGACTGCTTCCCTAGCTGATGAGCTGTCTGGCCCGTGGCATGACGGGATCGGATGTAGTTCTCCGGCGAATGCCATTGTACGAAGAACGGATGTCTACGTGCGGATGGACGACGTACTGGATGAGGAATGTATTGTAGAGAAAGAAGAGCCAGAAAAGAAATCTAAATGGAAACTCTAAGAAAGATACGAATGAAATTCTACATTCTTTATATTATCCCGTGGTGCAGGATCGATAGGGGTTTTCTCTTCTGAAAGAGGATACCAGGCGGAGGCTGCAAATGATAATATATTGGAATCCAGTCCCGAATGGATTTTACCATGTCTCCTTGGTCTCTTCGTGTTGATAGACCTCGGCTGCCTGAAGAGGAAGGGGGATGTCCGCCTAGTTGGCCCCTTGAGAATGACGTGAGACTTCAACGTTTTAGTAGGGCGGTTGAGAACTCGTTTTATTATTGCGGACGTATATTCCAGAATGAGTGCTGTTGCAACGATTACGAAACTTGGGAGCCACAATGATGGTCTTGTAAGCCAATGAACTAGGCAACTACTCCATGAAGGGTACGGAGTACACACTCGCCAACCCAACATAAACGCAACCTACCATCCGCCGCCAAAGAACATAGTACTCCGTACTTAAAAATTATTCCATATATTGATATAGCAGAGACTCTTAAAAATTATGAATGGTATTATTAGGATAATGAATTTAAAGTAGGAACCTGCATATAGCGTGGAAAGGGGGAAGGAAGATCTGATGAGGAGTAAATTACATACATGAGACATAGAATACAAGCTCATACATGTTTCGAAGATGCCAATTGGCCATGGTTTAGCGTGCCTGGAATGTTTTGGTATTACCAGAACCGTTACGGAGTTGGTGCGGGGTGGTTCCGCGGAAATACTATCATTGCTGTTAAGATAACTCTGGTACATTATTTCAGCCAGCAAGCCAAAGAGTCAAACAAAAAGAAAGTGCGGGCGGTAAACTAGCTTCGGCAGAACGGCAGTTCCGTCTACTTTTCTAGATGGCGATCTGCTGTTGGGATTCGTTCTACTTTTTTGCACGCTCGATTTTTTTATAAAAAAGGAGTTCAAAAATGCTGGCTCCCAAAATTCCATTCATAGAAGATGCTCCCAACCTCCAGACATTAGAGATAGATATTGACCGCTTTCTGAACCGATTCATTCCCCATCCGCGATGGTATCTTCTGCCCAGGCCCTTAGCCCACTTCCTAGGGCATCGGCTGCATCCTCTTCCGAAAGTTGGAAACGTGCTGGTCATGTTTTGGTCGTTGATAGGGATATTCACAGGCTTAATTGTTGTTACAGTGGTCTCAGCCCACATTCCTTCATTCCAGCAGCATGGAGCCCCAATTATCGTCGGAAGCTTTGTAGGTTGCAGCCATAAACCGCACCTGGCATACTATATATGTTTGTATTAACAGGCAGCAGGGTGCGGCCGCCGTGCTGGAGTATTGCGCCATTGAGTCTCCGCTGGCACAACCTCGAAACGCAATTTTCGGTCAGTTTTTCTCTGCCCTGGTTGGGATTTGTATCGTAAAGCTCTTCGAGCTGAACCCAAACCATGAGAAACTATACTGGGTTGCTGGCCCTCTTGCCTGTGCAGCAGCGACACTGATCATGATTGTTACGAAGACCGTCCACCCGCCAGCTGGAGCCACGGGACTGCTTGCAGTGGTCGACCCAACGACGAGGCGTATGGGCTGGTTCCTACTGCCTGTGGTTCTTCTCTGCTCAGTCTTGATCCTTGTTGTGGCCCTCCTGGTCAACAATGTTCAAAGACAGTTTCCTATGCACTGGTGGACTTCAGAAAGCCTTTTGTCGACTGGCCAAAAGAATGAAGACGACTCAACGGAGACTGAGGAAGCAGATCCTTTACCTCTTCCTGTAATCAAGGAAAAGGCACCACACAACCGTCGTCAAATAACCATTCAAGCTGGGCAGATAATTGTTCCTGATTCTCTCGTTCTTACTCCAGGAGAGATGCGGTGTCTGGAAGAAGTTAGTAGGCGGCTTTAAGCCCCTTTTCCAATGTTCCAATAGACGGTATAAGGATACAATGCTAGTAGACTTTCCTCTTGATTTCCTGCTCTCTGGCTTTTCCACCATACAGTTGGCTGACGTCATGGAAACGGTGGCTCAACGGAGCGGAATATTATACTTACGGCTTGGCAAAGGTGGCGGTGGGTTGGCTTACATAATTTAACAAGGCTTTTTTCAAAAAATTCAGCAACGGTGCGAAGAGCTTCAGCATTGATTACTGCCAGTCCGAGGTGCATTCTAGAGAGCTCTCTGTGTCTTTGTAGTCCTGGTCTTACAGCGGTGTTCAATAAACTGACTTGGTGCAGGCTTGGTAATAGACCCCACTGATTTGTTTATTTCCTAGCCCGCTTTTCTTTTAGTTAGGGCTTCTATCGATAAGACCCCAAGCCGCCCCCCACCTATCGCAGCGTCAACCGCAAATCCTTTCGACTGCTTCATATTTTTTTTTTCTCAAGTACATCGACCCATTAATCCGGGTCCGCTTGACGGGGATAAAGCTTTCGTGTCGGTATCCATATCCAGAATGGTGTCTGCGTCAAAAGCCGCCCGCCAGGCTAAGCGTGCCGCCGAAGGCAAGGAGAAGAAAACGCCCGCTTCCCGGCTGTCTTCCAAGGTCAACTCAAAGAATGTCTCACAGGCATCATCTGTGAATGGTGACGAAGTGGAGGATACCAACCTTGTGGAGGAGCCTGCCACCAGTGCCTCAAAGATGTCCGATGTCAAGAAGCTGACGGAGCAGATGGATAAACATGGTCTATCCGATCGTGTAACAACCGGTGTGTTATCATCGCTTTCTTCTAGCAGAGACGTAAAGATTACATCGGCATCGCTTGTTTTCCACGGCCGAGTTATCATAACCGATACCACACTCGAACTCAACTACAGCCGACGATATGGCCTCCTTGGTGAAAACGGCTGTGGAAAATCCACGCTTTTGAAAGCGATTGACAAGAGAGAATTTCCGATTCCAGAGCATATTGACATCTACTTACTCAACGAAGGCGCTCCTCCAAGTGATCTTGGCGCCTTAGAATGGGTTGTGAGAGAGGCAGAAAATGAGATGGATCGGCTCGATAAGCTTGCGGAAGAGATTCTGGAAAAGGATGGCCCTGAAAGCCCTGTTTTAGAGGACTTATACGAGGTAAGCCTGGCTCCTTAAAATAGAATTTTTTCGGCTCTCAAAATTAACGTAAGTATAGCGAATGGAAAACATGGACCCTTCCACCTTCCACACAAGAGCATCTTTGATTTTGACTGGTTTGGGCTTCAATAAAGTTACCATTACAAAGAAGACGAAAGACATGTCTGGTGGTTGGAGAATGCGTGTCGCTCTCGCAAAGGCCTTGTTCGTCAAACCGTCGTTGCTGCTTCTCGATGATCCAACTGCCCATCTTGACTTAGAGGCCTGTGTGTGGCTCGAGGAATACCTGAAGAAGTGGGATCGCACCCTCATCCTTGTTTCGCATAGCATGGATTTCTTGAATGGTGTTTGCTCAAACATGATTGATATGCGCGAGAAGAAATTGATTTACTACGGTGGTAACTACGACTCTTACCATAAGACTCGTTCCGAGAACGAAACAAATCAGATGAAAGCATACCACAAGCAACAAGAAGAAATTGCTCACATTAAGAAGTTCATTGCGTCCGCCGGTACATATGCTAACTTGGTCCGACAAGCCAAGTCCCGCCAAAAGATTCTCGACAAAATGGAGGCGGAAGGGTTTATTCAACCTGTTGTGCCAGACAAAGTCTTCACATTTCGCTTTGCAGATGTTGAAAAATTGCCACCGCCTGTACTCTCTTTTGATGATGTGACATTTTCGTACAGCGGAGAAGCGAAGGACAACCTCTACGAGCACTTGGACTTTGGTGTTGACATGGACTCCAGAACCGCGCTAGTCGGCCCCAACGGTGTTGGAAAATCAACTCTCCTCCGTCTTATGACTGGAAAACTGAGCTCAACCTCTGGTACCGTCACTCGTCATACTCATCTCAAACTGGGATTATACAGTCAGCACTCTGCAGAGCAGCTAGATCTTACTAAATCCGCCCTTGATTTCGTTCGAGATAAATACAAGGAAAAGTCCCAGGACTACCAATACTGGCGCCAGCAGCTCGGCCGCTATGGTCTTACGGGTGAAGCCCAAACCGCGCTGATGGGTACTCTATCTGAGGGCCAAAAGAGTAGAATTGTTTTCGCTCTGCTTGCTATTGATGGACCCAACATGCTTCTCCTTGACGAGCCTACAAACGGTCTTGATATTCCTACTATCGACAGTTTGGCAGATGCCATCAATGCCTTCAGTGGTGGCGTTGTTGTGGTTTCTCACGATTTCAGGTTCGTATTCCCTTTTATTTTCTTGTTTTTCTAACCTTTAATCGCACAGTATGCTAATATTTCTAATCCCGCTAGACTCCTTGATAAAATCGCAAAAGATATCATGGTATGCGAGCATAAAACTGTCCGTCGATGGGACGGCAGTATCGGCGAATATAAGGCATATTTGAGGAAAAAGATGATTTCAGCTGGTCAAGTTTAATATCGTCTCTCTTGTCGGAAGATTTCTTTCGTCTCATTTTGATAATCTGGTGCCAAACGGCATTTTGTTTTTGTTTTCCCTCTATTGCATTGATAAAAAGGGATGGTTCGCTTTTTTCTAGCCACTATTTGGCTTGGTTTTAGAGTACAATAAAATGGTATTTGGGAAACTAAATAAATAAATAAATTGGTTCTGGACTGCCGTATACAAGTACATGCTTGAGTTTACTCCATGTTGTTGGTAATATCCAGGCAAATATAGGTAAAGACTAGATAGCTAATTTTTCATTGCATTATGGCACCAGATCTGATCCCTTTATGGAGGCCCAAAAAACAGAGGTTTTGTAGCACTTAGTTCTTACATATCATTACTTTCATCGCCTTCGATGGTGGTACTGCCTTGTAACTTTCTTTTCTTCGGGGCATGCGTGTCAGTCTGGTCAGCATCGCTGACAGGCCCGATCACCGCCGCCGGAGTTACACTTCCTGAGCCTTCCCTTTTCTTTGAGCCCAAGCGCTTTTCTGGGTGCTGGCACAGGTAAAGCTTTTTGCCTATTCGTTTTAGGTTTGTCATCCTGGCAGGGTCTGGAGGGACGTTGGGGCCATGCTTTTTCATATAGTCAGACAATAGCATGGAGCATGAAGCCAAAGTTTCTAAGAGGACTTTTCGCATGGAAGCCACCGCAGGTGGTGAGTCTTTTGAGCTATCAGGGGCGGCTGGGTCGGAGGTATTAGGGCCAAATTTTGTATCTAAATAAAAATCCAAAAGGGGCTTATCAATTAGGAGCAGAGCAGAGAGCCATATCTGGGGGGGTGAAAAAAGAAAGTAAGCGTCTGTTGTTTGGGCAGCGGCTTTAAGAATATGTCTTGTTTGGTTATGAACAAGGCCAATTCGGTCCGCTATTGACTTTGCCGCTGAGCCCGCTGGTGGTGGATAGTTAGTTTCAATATACTGTTGTAATTCTGTAGCGCTTTGTTCTCGTGCATTAGGTTTTAAAGGGCCTTGCCCATTCACTATAGCGTGGAGTTCCATCATCCCACCGTCTAAGCCGCGGAACGGATGACGAACATCAAAGGTATATCGTAAACCCTCGCTGAGAAGATATTCTGGTCCAATGATTTCTTCGGGAGATAATTTGGGGATTTTCTCCGCGAATGAACGTAGGGGCATATAGTAATTCTCTGTTTTGGTGGCGAGGAAAAGAGCACAGGGCATGATGTCCTTGGGGTGGTAAATCATGGCTGAGTTTGTAAGGTAAAACCGGCGAATATATTGGATTGCGGTAGCCTGTAGTTCATACACAATTAGTATTCAGTTTATAAGTTTATAATCCCTTGTCCGGAATTCAGCGGGCTTTGTACCCTCACAGTTGTTGGCAGTGGAGGTTGGTACTCATCTGCAAGCTCGAGTGTTTTCTCGCAGTAGTACTGCACCAACTCTAGTTCTTCTTCCGGCAATAAACAATCAATGTCCAGGTCGCTATGCCCTACCGTGCCTTTCTCCGCATCTGGCTGATTGACAGACGCACGCTTGACACGTTTGCAGGCATTGGCGTTGGTCTTAGCTCGGATGGAAGTCAGGCCTTCTTTCGTAAAGGACCATAGCCGGAATTGAGAAGACGTTCGGTAGCGGTCATCTTCTGGCATTGTAAGCTCGTGTCTGAATCCGAATTTCTATGCAGTTGTAGTGGCGGAGGGTTGTGGATGAGCTTAGCTTAGCGCCAACAGCACAAATTCAGGTTGATTGTAGGGTCTCTTTGTACTTCGTAGGTGAGTAGGAAGTGGCTGCCAGAAAATAGAACAGGCGATTATTATATCTATGTATCATATTTCTTATAAAATGGCACTGCCTCTTGCTGTGCAAAAGGTGTTTTGAATACTCTGCAAACAATACAAAGTCTAGGCCACACACTGGAAGCTAATGTAGTTACATAACTAGTTAACTATGAAGTTGCCGCCAAGACCATCATCAGCTTTGTGGAAGCTATTGAGATTGACACTGATACATATGTAAACGCAGAGAAAATCAATATGGAAATTAATATTTTCAGAAAGGGGGCGATCAGCCCATACTAGTATTTTTCCACAAACCTGGAATGCGGCGAGTTGAAGCTAGTCCAAGAGTAAGATGTTATATTGAGAAGTTGTAGGTCTTATGTAGGGATCTGGAATGCTCAAAATAAAGATCACACCTCCGTCCTGCCTTATAACGCCAGTAGATTTCGCCAGACACCTTTCGCTATCCACTCCTTTCGTCAATCTGGCCCATTGTAATCGGCACGTATAGCGAGAGCACAAAGCCCCCTGAAATGGATGGGGCGCTGAGAACAGAAAATACCAGGATGAAAATCCAAGCTGGACAAAGAAAACCAACCAGTCCCCAAATTTGTTTCATGGCTCTCCCAAAAGGCGCGCGGTTATATCACCCATATATGCTTCCTCTAACTCATAATCTTCACCATCCATTCTGTCAATGCCAACATATTTGAAGGCAGACACCACCCTCTGGACATCAAAACCCATTCCACAAAAGCGGTCAACAAGGTCTTTGTTATATCCCTCGTAACTGTGGCTAGCCGTTAGCGTGAAAGGTGCGCCACGATGATAAAAGTCAGATATACATACGCAGCGAGCTCTTCCTGTTCTTGATCCTTCTTTGATTTTATTTCCTTCGCACGGATAGATGCTGCCGTAGCCCCACCGCTGCTCTCGCCTACATGCTTTTTGGGGGCACCAGCATGGATAACTGCCCATTCTCTCGCTACTCTCTCAAATTCCTTCGGACTCCGCAGAAGCATATTTGCTACCTCAGCGTCTTGGGGATCTTTAGGCTCGGGTGTGCTTAGGAGTGACTGTAAAGACAGCAAAGCTGATTTGATAGTGAAAACGGGAGACCATGCTGTTCCCAGAGTGTCCAGGCAAATAGCTCCCTACGCGGAATACAGTCTACTAGTTAGCATCCTCTCTGGGTATTTACCGGCTGTGGATACTCCTGGACTTACGGTTTGACTGCTAACGTTAGGATGCCATAATTTCGTGTCGAATCTCATCTCGGGAGGTCGAAACGGGTAGTCACTGGGGATCTTGATATCTACACGATACGTCCCGCCTTCGTAAGGAGTCCCAGGTGGCCCCCGAAAGGTTCCTTTCAGATGTGTGAGGTTGTCGCCGGCAGTGGGCTCGACAGTAACTTGAGAGCAGCTATCGTCATGAATATCCGCCAGCTCCTTGGCAATACGACGGGTAGGATTAGAGGCCATGACGAACAGATGGAGATCGAGACTTGATCATAAAAGAGCGGCAAAGGAAATAAATCCAATCTAAAATAAGCTATACAGTAGATTTCGGGAATATATTTGGAAACTACTGATTCTCAGGCTTTCATGTTAGCATTCCATGAACTACAGTCGTGTTTCAGGGGCATATGGCTCATGGTTGGATGTCATCGAGGAAAATGCTTAGCGGGGATGACGCAAAAAATTGCGGGAAACTTTTTAACAGGTAAAAGAAGAGGGAGATCGCACTCCAACATCAAGTCTCATGAGACTGGACAACGCAAGAGAATAAAGGTAGACGGCTTACTTGCAGGTCAACGATATTGCACCAAGGCTGATGGCTAGACAGTGGATGGCCGATGACGTTGATCATGCAGCAAAAAGAAAAAAGAATTAAAATGAGGAGGTGCAGGACTGTGAGAGGCGGCGAAACGACGTGAGCGATCAAGATGAGATTTGAGTCAGCTTAGGCTGCACAGCAAACGGTGCAGATCGGAGGGGGCTTGCAGGGTCAGAGCAGGCTGGAAACAAGGATGATGGGTGAGAGCCAACCAGGAGTGAACAGGTGATGGCGTGGAAGTGGTGTCTGGCAATTCTGGCGGCGAATGTGCCTCTTATTGGAGCAAGGTGGCAGCTATTGTGACGGGAGGAGGAGTGAAGCCGTGCAGGCAGAAGATGGGAACCTTTGCAGGGTACTATTATTGTTAGTATTTAAGTTTACTCCGTCACTTTAGCGTTAACGTTTTTCAATCTCCAGCGCCTGTATCCCGCACCTTGAGAGCTCGAGACAAGATGCCGTCAAGGTGGGCCAAGTTACGGTCTTGGTCCACCGGATATACCTGCACTCGGCCAGGAAGATGTCGATAGCATTCGCAGTCACATAAAGTCCTCGCCGTACTCTACTCTCACGATTATGACATCGCAACTGCCACGGCCCCGTACTCGTCTTTCTGACGTGGTGAGGCGGACTGGAGCTAATAGTTAGTACTCGCCTGGCCAATCATAGCGACTTTGCCTAAGCTTGATACCCATTAGTAACTAAGTTAGTTAGTTATGTAAGGTTTCCTGACTAAGCATTCGGGTCGCGCTGCTGTCGTTGCTTCCAGACACTCAGCTAGGAAGAACATTCAACCCTTCAGGCACTTGATTCATATAGCTGTATTCAACTCTGTCTGTTATCCATAAGAGCTTGTATTGACACAAGTGAAGCTCCACATCCTAAAGGCCCTGCCCACATTCTCAAGATGGTATGTCTCTGCTCATCGTTACCAACAGAAACTACGGGGATACTGATTGGAGCGAATTTATAGGGTAATCAGCAATCCCAGATGGGAAATAACTCGGGAGATGGAAAGGACGAGAAAGATAAGAAAGTCGGTTTCTGGCTTGTTCCTATACTGGTTATATTTGAAGCACTTTTTTTATACTAATATGAAGCTTTCTAGAAAGAAAAGCCAAAATATGAACCACCTCCACAACCCACGACTAGAATTGGCCGCAAGAAGCGCAAGGCTGCTGGCCCTAATGCTGCAGCCAAACTTCCCACTATATATCCCACCTCGCGATGCAAATTACGATACCTGCGGATGCAACGAATCCATGACCACCTGCTCCTAGAGGAGGAGTACGTTGAAAACCAAGAGCGTATCCGCAAGTCCAAAGCTCAGGCTGCAGCACCTTCTACCAGTGATGATTTTGACGCCCCAGACCGCAATGCTGATGAACGAGGCCGAGTTGATGATATGAGAGGGAGCCCCATGGGTGTTGGAAACTTGGAAGAGATGATTGATGATGATCACGCCATTATTTCAAGTGCCACTGGTCCGGAGTACTATGTCTCTATCATGTCATTTGTGGATAAAGATCTACTCGAACCGGGGGCTAGTATTCTTCTTCACCACAAGTCGGTCTCGGTGGTAGGCGTTCTCACCGATGATGCCGACCCTCTGGTTTCTGTAATGAAGCTCGATAAAGCTCCCACCGAGTCCTATGCAGATATTGGTGGCCTGGAATCGCAAATCCAAGAGGTCCGGGAAGCCGTCGAGTTACCACTGTTACATCCTGAGCTATACGAGGAAATGGGCATCAAACCCCCGAAGGGTGTTATTCTCTACGGTGGGCCTGGAACTGGAAAAACACTGCTTGCGAAGGCTGTTGCCAATCAAACCAGTGCTACCTTCTTACGTATTGTCGGCAGTGAACTTATTCAAAAATATCTCGGCGACGGTCCTAGACTGGTTCGCCAAATCTTCCAAGTAGCCGCTGAACATGCCCCATCCATCGTTTTCATCGATGAAATCGATGCCATTGGGACTAAACGTTACGAATCCACTTCTGGTGGTGAGCGTGAAGTCCAACGCACCATGTTGGAACTCCTTAACCAGCTTGATGGGTTCGACGATCGCGGTGATGTCAAGGTCATCATGGCTACCAATAAAATTGAGACTTTGGACCCAGCATTGATTCGACCTGGTCGCATTGATCGCAAGATTCTCTTCGAAAATCCAGACCGTGAGTTATATCAACTAAAAATTATATTTGATCCATTAACTAATATGATTGCCTTTTTATAGAAAATACCAAGAAGAAGATCTTTGCCCTTCATACTTCCAAGATGTCTCTAAGTGAAGATGTCGACTTGGATGAGTTTATTGGCCAAAAGGATGACCTTTCTGGTGCGGATATCAAAGCAATTTGCTCCGAAGCGGGGTTGATGGCACTACGGGAGCGACGTATGCGGGTTCAAATGGCAGATTTTAGGGCTGCCAGAGAACGTGTCATGAAAACCAAGAGTGAGAATGAACCGGAAGGATTATATCTATAGAATGATTCCGGATTCTGCTTGCAATGTACACTACGGCGCATTTATCTCGTTCAATAGTTGCGATATCTACATAGCTTTCCCCAACCCATTCTTGGTCCTTTTACTCCAAGTACTTTTAAATTGTTTAACTTTTGCATACATTTCGTTCGTAAATCTCAAGTGCCCAGCATAGAGAAGTTAGGTTTGCCAAGCTAATTATGTATATTCAGCGATCAAACGTCGCAAACAGGTTGGAGATAAAGCAGAGCTCAGTTCTAAATCTCCCAAGGCCCAACAAACGCCGCACATTCGCCGGACAATATGGAGGGGTTCGATGAAGACGCTTTTAAAAAGTTTTTTCCTAGTGGCTTTGGAAAGCAGGATCGGGAGACCGATGTTGCCGCACAGATTGAAAGAACGAAGCGTACAGCCAAACCGACGGCAACACAGACTCAAACACAGAACATTGAGGCTGTAGCAGCGGATGAAGCAGCGGTATCAAGCTCTGAGTCCGATGAATCAGACGATGATGACGAGTTTCCAGTATCGCACGCTCTCGTGTTCAAGACCCATGACCGTCCTGTCACTACAATCACTGTTGATCCTTCTGGGTCCCGAATGATAACTGGATCGACAGATTGCACGATAAAGCTTCATGACTTCGCATCGCTTACCCCTACAACCTTGCGAGCTTTCAAATCAGTTGAACCATCTGCCAAGAAACATTCTGCTGCCTCCGAAACACACCCCGTTCACCTCACCAAATTCAACCCATTGTCTCCCAGCCAGGTACTCGTAATTACTGCAACCCCACAGCCGAAGATCCTATCTCGGGATGGAGATACATTAACGGAGTTCGTCAAAGGGGACATGTATTTACGAGATATGCATAATACGAAAGGCCATGTCTCGGAGGTCACAAGTGGAACGTGGAGCCCTACTGATTATAACCTATGCGCCACCGGAGGCACAGATAGTACAGTTCGAATATGGGATGCCAATATAGGGAGAAGCCAGAAGGAAGTTATTGTTCATAAGTCTAGGGCAGCAGGTTCGGCTGGAAGAACAAGAATAACGGCCGTTGCTTGGGGATCGCCTGGTCAAGGAGGAAATAATGTCCTTGTAGCAGCTGCGTTAGATGGAAGCCTAGTAATGTGGAGCGGAAACGGACCTTACACAAGGCCAAGTGGGGAAGTTCGAGATGCTCATATAAAAGATACCTGGACGAGCGGATTGGATATAAGTCCAGATGGTAGGTTAGTTGTGACAAGAGGAGGTGATGATACCCTGAAGCTCTGGGATACTAGGAAATTCAAAAAGCCGGTAACAACCGTCACACATGCTTCAGGATCAAAATTATATCCCACCTCTAACATACAATTTTCTCCAAATGGGGCAAATATCATTACGGGCTCAGATACTGGGCACTTATACATTATGAACCCTGCAACCTTGAAACCTGAACTAACGACTCCAGTGTCCCCTGACTTACCGCTTATCACTGTGCTCTGGCATGACAAATTAAAGCAAATACTTGCTGGTTCCGCTAATGGGCAAACGCACATCCTATACAATCCAAACCTTTCGCGAAATGGTGCTCTAACGATCATGTCCAAGGCACCTAAGCGTCGCCATATTGATGACGATCCCAACCTAACAACTGACCTCTCTCTTGGTTTCTCTGGAGAAGGCATCAGCACTGGCGGTTTTGCTAGCAAAAATTCTACAATTGGTCTCACAGCATCAGGCAAATCCCGTGACCCACGGCGGCCTCACCTACCAGCACAGACACCGTTTGCGAAAAGTCAGCCGGATGAAAAGCATATCAAGGAAAATATCCCCCTCAGTTCGATGAGAGACGAGGACCCGAGAGAAGCATTACTGAAGTATGCAGAGAAAGCAGAGAAGGAGCCTTTGTTTACAAACGCATGGAAACATACCCAACCAAAGCCTATATTTGCAGAATTAAGTGATGAAGAAGAAGAGGAGTCAAGAAATCAAGGCCCTGACAAAAAGAGATTAAAAAGATGATGTTAGGCTGTTTAATCGAGGTGTCTATTTCTTTGCATTATGGTCTACTAATACTGTATCATTTTTTTCGAGTACTATACCTTCTCTGTATATATCCTTATTCCCTCAAATAACCATTTGAAACAATCACATGGACATAGTGATGTATCTTTCACGGGAGATTGATGAATAAGCAATAGCCACTGCCGACGAGCTAGCCCCTTCAGGATGAACGTGCGTTGCTAGGATGAGTAAGGTAATAACCTTATTCCCACCTTGTTTGTCCTCGAAGCTTTTGATGCAAGTGGGAGAAGCTGAGCTGGACCTCACAACTGCCCGGCGCTTATCGACAACGACACTCGTGATAAGCTTGCTGTCAGATTACTGAAGGTAGCCAACTATGCCTTCCGCGCTGACCCCTGGATCCAAAGTGGCCTAGAGCTTGCTTTGCCTTCGCGGTTTACTTAGGGAGCCGCGACAGGTCGACTGGCAGAATCCCGGCGCTCTCTTGCTGCCTGCTGTTATCTCTCCTACTGTCCGACGGCGCAAATTACGAGAATGTGGCCAGCTTTGTTCCTGGTCGATCGCGCGCTATCGATACCCTCATTGCCATTTTCTAATTCTCCAGGCGGGTTCCATTACAGTGGGAGTGGGCCAGGGGGCGGGAGTGATAATGGCGGGGAAACACCGATCAGTCAATGGTCATCGACGATCGGGATTGTTACGGCGATTGTGGGGAATGTTCTAATATCCTTTGCTCTCAATATTCAACGCTACGCACACATTCGATTAGCTCGAGATCTGGAAAAGAAACGCATGCAAGAGGGATGGAAGCAGGCTGTCTCGGGCTCAAGACTGTCGCACAATAGAACATCCTCGATCTATGGAACTCTCAACTGTAGTAATGAAGGCCGTGTGCAGCAGAGCATGGATGAACCTGCACACGATTTCGCAAATGAAAACGTTCGGTCTCTTGTCAGAGATAGTTCTAGTGATGATGGCAACGATTATTTACAGCAGTCAGTTCTCTCGGAACAAACTGTGGCTTCTCTGGAAAAGAATGCTGAATATGGGGAACCGCAATCCTACCTTCGATCTCCATACTGGTGGACTGGTATCATTCTCATGGCAATTGGAGAAGCTGGGAACTTTCTAGCCTATGGGTTCGCCCCCGCATCAATTGTGTCGCCTCTAGGTGTTGTCGCACTAGTGTCCAACTGCTTAATTGCTCCATTTATGCTCAAAGAAAGATTTCGGCGGCGAGACTTCTTCGGAGTTCTTATTGCTATTGGCGGCGCAGTAACGGTTGTTCTAAGTGCGAACACATCGGAAGGAAAGATAGGTCCTGACGACATTCTTGGGATGGTTACGCGATGGGAATTCGAGCTTTATCTTGGCATTACAATTGGTTTAATTATCATTCTAATGTGTATAAGTAAGAGGTATGGTAGGAGAACAATTCTCATTGATTTAGGGTTGGTTGGTTTGTTTGGTGAGTTAACTCCATATAGATGCCATGGTATTCTCTGACAATTTTAGGTGGTTATACGGCGTTGTCAACTAAGGGCGTTTCCTCCCTGCTTTCGTACACTTTGTGGCATGTGATCACGTTTCCTATTACATATGCCCTTGTTGCAGTGCTCGTTGTGAGTGCGATGATGCAAATTCGGTATATCAATCGCGCTCTGCAACGGTTTGATTCGACGCAGGTTATCCCTACTCAGTTCGTTTTATTCACGATCTCTGTAATTCTGGGCAGTGCCATACTATATCGCGATTTCGAATCTGCTACCATGAAGCAGGCCTTCGAGTTCGTTGGAGGATGCGCCTTGACATTTTTAGCTGTTTATCTTATCACTAGTGGGAGGTCTTCGGGGGAGGACGATCAAGATATCGACCATGATGAGGAGGAAGTTATTGGATTATTGCATGGCGCACGGTACCACGACTCTTTTGATTGCCAGGACCAAGGCAGTGCATGCATCGATCGCAGAACTGATGGAGCAGGCATCGTGGAAGTCCATGGCGGATCATGCCGCGATTCCCTATTGTGCGACCATCAGGTGAATGATGAAGAGACCGAAGAACTCCACACGCCAAGGGCTCCGTTGTCTAGCTCTCCCATGTCGCTTCCTCCTTCGATGTCCGATGCATCTTTACTGGAGCCTCCGCCCGGGAGTTCCGAAGAGCGATTCACGCAGCCTTGGATTCAAGACGGTGAATGCCTTTCTCGAGCCGTGTCAATTGATCGGCACCCGAGCATACCACACATACCTTCTTCAAGCATAACTTTACAGTTTCCAACAGCCCCAGGAGTGGCTGATTCTCCCGGAGAAGCTGCAAATGATCGAGATTATGTTCTCTCACGACGACATACATTGTCTCGTATGCCACGATCTTCATCACGCTCCCGTCTCTCATTACGATTTTCTCCTGGACCTCTGCTAACACCACTTTCTGGAGGTCTAAGCGCGGTTGTAGCGGATTCTCTACGTCGCGGTCAAGTCTCGCCAAAAAAGAGTAAAGACCGACGACGTCGACGAAAAAGGATGATATCGACCACAGATGGGATTGATAGGGACACAGAATACGAAACTGACAGCAGCTTTGTTGGTGGACAAGAAGAGCACTGCAGTGAGGATTTTCTTCGCACAAGCAGCTTAGGAACAACATTACCATTCAGGCCCCCATCTGCACCGCATGGATATACCATGCCTCGGGCCGGCGGACAGACTACTGACAGTACGCCTCGTCCAAGTCGTGGAAGGAAGGGATCTTGGACAGACAATTTGTCACGGTTCGGTGCTAGCTTACGACTCAGTAGCCGTAGACTTGGCCGTATCTTCATAGACGACGAAAACGACCGCCTTCACCAGCCAGACGGGACAACAGACCGGACCAACGTACAAACATCATGAGCTAAGGGGCCTTTTGCTGTAAATAAATAACATCGCGTGCCGGCATCCTACTGTCTTTTCAGAGCGCTTTTCTACGGTTGTGAACCTAATATTCCCTGGGCCACCCGCCAGATTCTACTGTTTTCGGTTGTATATATGTACTTTCTTTTCTCTTTGTTTTATAGAGCAGCTTAACTTGCAACTGCCTGTTGGTAAGGTCGATGTTGATGATTTCTTCAAGTGTCGCACTTCTGAATTTGCTGGTGTTTGGGCGCGATAACCGCGCTTTTTTCTGATTTAAACCGGCATTTGCAGTTTTTTCGTGATACAAGCAAGCTGGATACCTTAGTTGTTGTACGACATTTACCTATTTATCTTGTCGGTTGATGCACATTACTAGGACTCGATGGGGACGTCATTATATTCTTTCTCATCGATAAAAAAACTTCTGCGAATAACAATCATTTCTCTTCGCCTGCATCGGACTTGATACTAGGGTCAAGTGTACCGCTCCCGTCAGGCTCAATTGCAGGTACTGCTGATTTAAACCCAGGATCGTCACCGGGTGTACCGCCAGAATGAGTGGTAACGGGATTGGCAGTTTGACCATTTCCCTCGCGCCTGTTTCTAGCTCCTTCCTTAAGTTTCTCCCAACGGTCCCTATAGCGACCTAATAGAACCTTGAGCTTCTCATTTTCTTTTCCAACCCTATCCAACTCGAGTTCATGGTGTTTGACTAGCTCCTCTAATTTCCTTAATGTTTCGGCATCATTGCTCATAGGTGAGTATGGGGACTGAGCTTCTGGTTTGAGGAAAGGGCCTTTGGACGAAGTTGGGGCTGGCGAGGCCTGCCTTGACACGGCGGCTTGATTTTGAAGAGCGATAAACGACTGCTGCAATGCAGCAGTTGACGACTGTGAGCTAACCTCCCACATATGAAGGCGTTTAGATAATGTATCAGAAAGATGTTTCAGAGCCTGGTTTTCCATTTGAAGCTCCTCCAGGGTTTTGATGTTGTTAAAGGTCGCTGTAGAAGGTGATGCTTGGAGAGAAAAGCGCCCATCTCGCTTGATCCCCTTGCTTTTATCTTTCACCGAGCTTCCTCGATATTCTGGTGATGGTGGATTTTCGCTCGCATCAACGAAGGTGTCTTCGTCCTCCTCGATGCTATTCTTGAGGGCCTCCTTTTCTGCACGCGAGAGAATACCAGCGTACGATATCATACCACTAGAAGTTGGCACAACATAAAATGATTCCGAAGAGTTGCTGGTTAAGTAGCCATCCCTATCTCTTATGGCTCGAAGAGCAGCACTCGACACGAGCTTTTTTACATCGGGCTCCTTTCGGGAATATTGTGTGAAATCGGCGGCGGCAGAATACTTGTCTACTTTTGTGTCCGCAGGCGCCTTTGAAGAGGTTGGAGATACTTCGCCCGAAGTGTCGGTGCCTAGAGGAAGGCTAGCAAAAGCGAGCGGCGCGGAAAGCCTTGAGATTAGGCCCCCAAAAGTGGAATAAAACTTGCGAAAAGGCTCGTCTCCTGAAACAGCCCTAATTGCCATTGAGACATCTTTCCCAATTCCTCGCTGCCGGGTAATTTCTGTCGGGCTCACGGCGGGAGACCAAGACGGTTTCCAACCAGGTGTGTAGCCAGAACGGGTATCTGGGGCAAGAGCCCCGACAACTTTCAATCTATTTGGAGGTTCTGTTCGATGAGTGCCTCCATTTTGGACAGATGGAACAGAAGGAACCCCACGACGGATGCCACGCGCGGACGCGAGATTGCTTGCGAGTGAAGTTGTCTCACGCTGGCCAGAAGTATGTGTAGTCTGCAGCCGCGGGGGCTTTGGTAGTGGTTGAGCTGGTGATATTGCAGTTGAGGGCGCTGATTTCAATGGAGTATTAGGGGCCACTGCTGCGGTAGTAGCAATAGCTGTATTGGGGATGATGGCCACCGGTTCCGCCGAAGAAACGGTACGTGGATTCTCATGCTGGAACTTGATGATCTTCGCTAGTCTTTTGTGATGCTGCTCTAGTAAATAAAGTGTCCGCAATGCCTAAATTCACATTACTGTTAGGAGTCGTCACTCTACCTTCAAAGATAGGGGAGATCATCTCACATTCTTGTCAAGAGTGCCTTGGGCAGCCGTTGCGAATTCTCCTGCCGCAAGGTCATGTTCTTCACTTGCAGCAACAGGATTCGACTTGCGAGTCTCAAGCAGGGCATTGCGCGCGTGAGAGTGGGCCTAGAACGGAGATGTCAGCCCGCTGTGCCAATCTAAAGTTACACGAGAATTAGAGAGCGAAGGCTGCATACAAGAGTGAGGGATGACGACTCCATGGCTCAAAAGTGCGTCTCGGTCCGTCCGTCATGGACGAGCGCACGAACAGCGAGGCACACTGCGGACTTCCACAGACTCGACGTCCTTGGGCGGCCACGAAGCCATCGGGCACCCAGTGAGATGATGACTAAGCTTAATGTTGGGTAACTACCTAGACTAGGCCCAATATAGACTAGCTCTCCCAGCCCAATAAAATCCCGTCACGATCTCATTTTCTCTTGTTTCTTTCATCAAAAACATAAAACTGGCCCCTTCTTATTCACTCTGGCTTTCGTTTGCACCATGGATTGCCTTGGAGGGGAAATAGAAGGGAAGAGAGAGTTTTACCGCTGACTTACCCCGAACCTCCTCTATCTCTTCCATGGAGCACTTTGGAAATATTTACAGCGAAACATGCGAAATACTCCATCCGTGGTACGCCTGTGTGGGTTTTTTTAGGAGGGACATTCGTACTGGAACCGAGCTATTTGCCCCCGAACGCGATGGATACACAGGATTTGCGGTTGGCTGTTGGCAATGTGGGAAGCCCCGCCACTGAAGTCGGATAAGGCGATCAGGGTCAAACACTGACTTCTTATCCTCTTGGAAAACGGGGACAGCCGCAGCTGTTGGTGCCTCTGCGGACTAGCGCTAGACATGATACCTTAGATATGCACTTAACTCTGTATTGTCGAATTCCAGGCTGGCTTCTCCGCAGTAAACATCTAGATGGGCCTCCATATTGACGTCAACGCAGTCACTCCTCGCTATGGATTGAAAAGTACTCCATTTTAAAGGTCTGGGAATAGCTAGTTTGACGGTCTTGAGTCATGTTCCATATGTAGATTGGAAAGCTGTTTGAAGCGGCTTGGCTCTAGTCGTTGGTTGGTTTCGTTGGCTCGCCGGGTTCATGTGCCAGCCTCCCCTAGGCTGCCATGTTGCAGCACAGTATACATACGACTTCGGGGATCACATCTATAGCTGCTTCGTTGTAATATTTCTTCCCGCTGTTTTGTGAGAGAGAATATGGAAAATGGACGAGCAAGCACAGTGTCTTTTGTAAGAAGACGCCGGCTACCATGCCTACGCGGCGCAACTTGGCTCTATCCCTTCAAGGTGAGGAAACGGAACTTCCATCCCGGCTGGTCGAATGGCGCACATTTGTTGACGGCCTGACCTCTAGGGAATCGCTTACTTTCTTCGGCATCGCTTCCTCTGGCCGCTGCTTCATGCTCGTCTTATTCCCGTGGCGTTTCTCTCCGCCTTCGTCTACACGCTGCTCTTCTTCTTCACATATCTGCCGCAAGTCGCTTTTCTAGCCATATTTCACGGATGGGCTCTTGCTTGGATCAACGGCGCGTTCCTTGTCCTTGGTGAAGGAGCCGCCATTGTAGCGCTTCTCTTCGAGGCTTTCTTCGTCGACGAGACCCAGGTGGACATCTTCGACTCGGTTTTCATCGAGAAGGGCAATCAAGACCTTGTTGGGGAGACTCGACTTCTACATCCTGAGGCAGCTGATCCGGTGCAGATGCTAGGAAAGCTAAGCATGAAAGCCGTTTACGCGCCGTTTTCCTTGCGGCAGATTGTCGAATTCATTGCGTTGCTGCCGTTGAACCTGATCCCCGCGATCGGAACGCCTCTCTTTCTTGTTCTTACCGGGTACAGAGCAGGACCGTTCCATCACTGGAGATACTTCCAGCTTAGAGACTTTAGCAAAGCTGACAGAAAGGAATTTGTTGAGAGGAGGCAGTTGAGATACACCATGTAAGTCCAACACTCGCTCTCTGGCGAGGCTGTCACATGCATGTAAATTGGAACGACTAATAATACACAGGTTTGGCACGGTTGCGCTTTTATTACAGTTGATTCCTTTCTTCTCGATGTTCTTCCTACTCACCACCGCCGTGGGTTCGGCCCTGTGGGCTGCAGATATGGAGCGGCGGCGACACCTGCTGGATCAGCGCGTCGATCGAGTTGAAGGAGAGTATCACGATAACCCAGTATAGTGTGGGTAGTCGTAACGTCAAGCGTTTTCTGTCGGCAGTTTGACTGGCGCGGTGCATCTTACGTATGTAGTTCTCCAGCCGCAGGTCTCTGGCTGCTGCGTCGCACGATTCGTCTCCGCGTCATTGAGCCGTGCCGCAAGCCGAGCCCATTGCGGAAATGGTCATTGCCGCTGCGTAGACTTGGCCCTCGTTGTACTCCGTAACTAGTTAGTTCATAACGATGTAAAGAGTGTTCACAGCGGTGATCCCGGTCGGATCGTCCCGCTCCTCTCTTCGACATCATCATCCTCGCAGAGAGCGCGACATGCGCGCAAAACCGGTCTCTGGCTCGTATACATTCAAGCTTTCGCCGGTGTCGTCAGCCAGGCCAGCATTGGGTTTAGAGTTTCATGATCTCACGCCGGTCCCAGCAGCTTCGCAGCCTCGACCCTCCCTATTCCCATCAATGCCTGCCTGCTGCTCCGTGGTGATGAAGCATTGATTCTCGTTACAGTCGACCAGCATTTTCGAGTACGAAGGGTGCTGTAACTGCCATTGCTGTTACATGCTCGTCTACTACCACCGCCGCCCAGTCCTCCTTTAGATGGAGAGCAATGCGAATGAACCTACCCCCTCGCCCTCTCACAATGGCCTAAAGCTCTTCCCCCGGCCAAAGCGTAGCCGGACGGCCTTGAATGAGGCAGAGAACGCACATACTCACGATGGGGGCTCAAGAGGCTTGACCCTCAACATCCGGCCTTCGACAATTAGCGGAGCCAGCCATGAAGCATCTCCCACAGCCCTCGCAAAGTTCATTCCAGGCGCAAAAAAACGGCACCGGAAGAAGGCCAAGGACTCCCATGACAAGAACTCAACGGATCAGAGTGCTGGGCTTTCCGGAGGCTCCAAGGTATCTTTGCAACGGTCGGAAGCCAGTGCGGAGCACCACGGCTCCGACCATACCAGGGCTTCACTGACCGACGATTCTGAGTCCGAGGTGTATGTGATGATTACAATTGTTTTTTTTCCGCTGTTCTTGCTCACATGTTTTGCTTTAGTTACTCCTCCCGGGTCTCTCGCGCAGATATCGACATTGCAAGGCCCCCTTTGATTACCGTTTCCGACTCATCCATCCTCGATGGCCCTCATGCTGTATCCAGCGGGTCAACTGTTCCAGGTTCCGATAGAGCCACAGACAGTCCCACCCCGTCAATGGTTGGTTCAGAACATGGCGGATCCCAAGCTGGGCGTTCTACGACAAAAGGCAACGGGGGTTCCTCAACGGGGCGAAAGTTGAGGGAAGCTTTCAACCCACGGTCTTCCAAAGGGAACTCTAATGCCAGCCCAGATCGAGAGTCTGCAAAATCGACGGAAAGTCAGGGCAGTAAGGGATTGTCAGGAACCGGAGGCAGGAAATCCAGTTTTTCATCCAAGAAAAGCAAGAATGCCCCGGAAGATATCCCACCAGTCCCGGTTCTCCAAAAGCATGCTGAAAATAGGCCCCCGACAAAACCCCATCCTTTGCCATCTGCCGATACGACTCCTAGCACGCCGCCGTCAGGCACACAAAATGCTCCAATAACTACCGTTACTCCTCCCACTCCCACAGACCCTAGATTCCGAGACGTAGGGGCTCGTCTTGTTGAGTCTCCAGAGTCCTCGACAAACGTTTCTACCCTTCCTCCAAATGTTTCTACCCTTCCTCCAAATGCAGTTGTTAGCCCTTCTGGCAATATGATATCTCATCGCCGTGTACGTTCGGCATCAGCGGCTCATAATCCGAGTAAACTCTCGACTTCAATGACTTTACCTCCTACCCCTGGGGTTGATGAGAATAAGACCCCTGGCTCTCGGGCTACCCAGGGAAACTTCGGCACTGGAGCAGGATTTTTCTCGTCAATGTTCTCTGCTGCACAAAATGCGGCGTCCACTCTTTCCATTGGGTTGAATCAAAATCGTGGACGAACTGCTACGGACCCGACAGAGCCTGATAGACAGTCCTTGCCGGAACGAGTAGAAGAAGAGTCTCAGTCACCGCAGGAAGATTCTAAGCAGAAAAAAGAACTGGCTGTCAATACACTTGGTATGGGCGATTTGGACTTCAGCCATCTTGGTATTGAGTCATCACCAGGTGGGACGATGATGACCTCGGATGGTCTTGTGTTTACGAGATCCGATCAGATTGGACGTTCTAAAAATGCGGTATCACAACAAGATGAACTTGCTGCCAGGATCGAGGACCTTCGAGCTGCACGAGCCGTTTCTATGGCATATGAGAAGCAGCCTACTAGTACAGCTTTGCCTGCTACTATCGATGAAGATAATCAAACAGAAAGCCGTCCTAGCATACCGCCCGCTCATATCGCTAAAGAAAATGCTGATGAGCAGACAACGCCTGCTGCAAGTATCATCGACGGTGAGATTCCCGAGCACATTAAGCGTAGTGGGAGCTTACGTAGCCGTCGTGCGGCTCATCGACAACGCGGGTCTTCGACGGCAACGGCTGCTACTGTTGGTGGCATTGGTAACACCTTAGGTGCAACAGGCTCCAACTCAAGCGTTCCCCGTTTAACCGGTTTTGCTGTGGCCAGTAAGAAGAGGAACCGAGATTTTCATCAATTATTTCGGAGCGTTCCAGAAGATGATTACTTAATTGAAGATTACAGCTGTGCCCTCCAGCGTGAAATTATCCTGGCTGGCCGGATATACATTTCTGAGGGGCATATCTGCTTTTCAAGTAATATTCTTGGATGGGTGACTACTTTAGTCATCGGCTTTGATGAAATAGTTGCGATTGAGAAGGAATCGACAGCGATGGTGTTTCCGAATGCAATCGCCGTCCAGTCCCTCCATGCCCGCCACACTTTCCGCAGCTTACTTAGCAGAGACTCTACGTATGATCTCATGGTGAATATCTGGAAGATCAATCATCCTACACTTAAAAGCTCTGTAAATGGCACGCAAGTTGATCAAGGAACCGGCGACAAGACCGAAAAGACGGAGCTCAGCGACGGTGAGACCGTTTCTCTCTCCGACGGGGAGGATGTGTATGATGAGGATGAAGAAGGCGATATGGCTAGTAACACCGATGCAGTCGCCAGTGTTGCCGGTAGTGACATTTCAGAGCCCAAACGAGTGATCCGAAAATCTTCAACTATGCCACTTTCTGCGCTTGCGACCTCCAGACCAGCATCTATAGCAGAAACTGCTGAACCAAAGATCAGCGAGAAACCAGGAAATCTTCAAGAGCCACCAGCACAATTTCCCGGTCCAAAGACGCATTCTCCTACCGAATTTACAGACCCCTCTGGGCGTTACGATAGAGTTGTCAAGGATGAGACAATCCCGGCGCCGTTGGGCCATGTATATTCGCTGGTTTTCGGTCCATCTTCTGGTTCCTTCATTTCAAAATTTCTTCTGGATCATGAGAAGGTGATCGACTTGCAGTTCGAGGATGACAAAAAGGGGCTGACTGAGGAGAATAAAACCCGATCATATTCGTACATCAAGCCGCTTAACTCTTCTATTGGACCAAAGCAGACGAAATGCACCACCGTCGAGCAATTGGATTTTCTGGATTTAGAAAAAGCCATTCTGGTGACTTTAACAACCCAAACGCCAGATGTCCCAAGCGGAAATGTGTTCTCAGTCAAGACAAAATACCTTCTCACATGGGCGCCGGGTAACTCTACCCGATTTTTCATGTCTTGCAATGTAGAGTGGACAGGAAAGAGCTGGATCAAAGGTGTGTAGCGTTCACGATGTCACTAACACTAAGAGTTCTAACCTTGCTCTACTAGGTCCTATTGAGAAAGGGGCTAATGATGGGCAACTTGGCTATGGAACAAATCTCATCAAGGTTCTCAAGGCCGGTGTTGCTCCTAAAGGTCGCAAGTCGGCATCCAAGGGTATTCCAAAGGGCAAAGGAAAACGAGTACGCACAACAATGTCCGGTGCCAACCTTCACGATGGCGATGCCTCTAGGGCTGGTAAGAACTCAGGTGGCAATTGGGGCCTTTTCGAACCCCTCAAGGGGCCCCTCTCCCCACTTGTAAATCTAATCAGGCCAATTTGGAGCTCCAACGTTGCCATAATAATTGGGTGCTGCTTATTGTTTATGATGTGGTTCCGTACCCCTTCATCTTCGTCAATGTCCCTCCATAACGTTGCTCTACATCACCTTTCTGTCCCCGAAAGACTGCTCGCCTACGACGAACTATGGGCAAAAGAGGAGAGCGAGCTATGGAGTTGGTTAGAAGAACGCGTTGGTATGGATGGATTCGCCCTCCCTGTTGCCAATGTAGGCCCGTCCGGCTCAAAGAAACAGCAACATAAACGCCACTTGAAAGAAGCCGAGTCTCGCTTGCGCGATGAAAAGATGTCTGAACGGGAGATTACGGATGCTATTAGAGTGACACAACAACGGCTGGAAACGCTACAGAGAGTAATCGATAAACGGAAGGCCGATCGCCAACAAACGGGAGACCAACCCCGGGCAACAAAATAACCATATATTTGACCTAACAATGCGGGTGCAAATACACCGTCGCGTCATTTTCTTTGAAAAAAGTCTGTCCCTACTGCTCTACGAAGGCGGGTAAGAGTTTTTTATGTGTTTCTTATTTTGAAGATGAGCGTTCGTTTTGAAATTTCCTTTTGTGATTTTATACTCGGCATAGTAGGATTGTACTGGAAGGGGGTTTGAAGGAGTCTCAGCAGTACTCTCTCCCTCTCTTCCCTACCGTGTGGATATGGGACCGTATCTATCTTCTGGTCCGTTTTGCATTGCTACCCTCATTTCTTTGGCCGGATTGTGAAGCATAGAGAGTTTCCAAAACGTATAGTCTTTCTTTACCACTGCTGTATTTGCATGTAACTTTTTCTTTTGTGGATTTTTTCTTCGTCAAAGGCGTCTTTCGTATATAAAGCGAGGTATATACTCTTTAAGGAACCGTTGTTCTATCACATTTATACAGACGGCATGCTGGCAGCTTCCTCCATGAATGCAAAATGGATTACGTCATCAACCCAGATCTCGAAGTTAAATATCATCCCGCCGTCCTGCCACTACTAGCATCTTGTCCTCAGACCTCTACCAATGATTGGCGGATGTATGGGTGCTCTCTCGATCAAGCTGATACCATACGCATCATCTCCGGAACTCACATATATGACAATTTTGCAGCTAGAAACTTTATACGCTGCGGAGCCAAATATTAATCCCACCGAACCCAAGCTCTTCCAAGCTCTCCAATTGACGCCGCATCCTGGGTTTATCCTAGTCGATTCCGGAACATATAAACAGCCTCATGGCAACTTCAGCCGCCGTGAACTCGGCCCAGGCTATCCCCGTAACCCGCTTACCGTCAGTGCTAGGGTTCGATCAACTACCCCTGAGCATACCCATCCTCCCTGTCAATTAGTTGTGTTGAAAATATTAAGATGAGAGGTGATAGCGTCGTCTTCCACAACTCTGCCGGTAAGTATTTTGAGAACCGCCCCCGCATACTCCGTACAGTCTGCAGTGGGCACCATTATGTGAATGTTTGCCATTGGAGCAAGAGGCCACACCACAACTTGCCTTGGCGCTTCAGAATACCGTTTGATCTTCGAATTCTTTTTCTCATTCTTCTCAGGACATAGGTGGGCCAAACGCCCTGGAGATCAGCGGCCGTCTTTCTTTGTTCGGCTCGAAAATAACAGACAACAATCGGCGTTTTTATCTGCTGATTGGCGGTGGTTTGCATCGCTTTTGCTTTTTGTTGCATCCGGCTCGCCAAGCTTTGGCGATTTCCGTCTGACGACGGCTTTTGGACGCATATCTGTCTCAACCCGTAGTTGGCCCACCAACAACTGCAAAGATGCGTTGCTGTACGTCCGTTTGTTGCCCTCCACCGCCCTATTATGGTGATCTCGCAGCCTTAGAATCTCGAAAATCTACCGATTCTCCGGAGCGTTCGAGATACATATCTTCATTCGTGTGAATTCAAGATAGTGTTACCTTGGTTGAACCTTTTCCGGCGGCTTTTTCATCTGGTTTTCTGGAAACGTACTGCAACATGCAGCGACAATGAGACCCGGAAGTGATGCCTGCAGTTGTTGTCCCTGCAGATGTTGATCTTCTTTACAGAAGAGGTTTTATGGCTCTGACAGCTACATACATATATCTGAGCACATGGTCTGCAACATTAACCATTGCTACAGAGTATTCTGTATTAGCACTAGCCCTGTGGTTCTTCCCCCTTCTGGTGCAGGGCTGTCATAATACCTGCACCTTATTCATAGTGCAAGTGCACAAGTTGATTCTCCAAGGTTCTTCGAACACCCAATTGTGCAGTCTGCCGCCTTGTTCTGTTCACACAAAGTTCATAATAAGTCGGATTCCTGCACTGGGCTGCAAACCCTTAAGGGTCATATAACAAAAAAACCCACTTTCTGTCTTTAGAAAGCTTGTACATAAGCTTGTAAGTGAGTGCGGGCAATAGCAAGAAGCAGAGCTCAGGTGAAGAACTGTCGTTTTCTCCCAGCCTAGCTCAATCAGCTGAGCGGCAAATCGCCGAGGAGCTCCTCTCACTTCTTCACCCAGCTTCACGCTCTTCCTTTACTTTTCCTTGCCCCTCATCTCACTTGCTCATTGTTTTTGCCTTTGTTTTGCCCCCATTCGCTCGCTTTTTACGTGTCTGGACGTCTTTCGAGGCTCATCCTAAGTTTCTGGTACAGCCATGGCTCGTATCAACTTGTTTATTGTCGCGCTTGCGGCTCTTGCCATCGTTATTCGAGCAGTGCCTGTTGGAGTGCCTGCTCTTCATTTTACTCTCCGCCAGGTTCCAAACCCTGAGCATATCGCTCGTTCTCCCGAAGAGATCTATGCTCGTGCCCTAGCAAAGTACGGCTATGACAGTCCTGCCATCTTGATACGCGAATCTGCTCCGCTTAATGGCTCTGTCATTACAAACCCGGAGAAAGATGATGAGTCGTACCTTAGCCCTGTCATTGTTGGTGGCCAAACAATGCTCGTTAATATTGACACTGGCTCATCCGATTTGTATGTTGCATTCCTTACCTAGTGGCCACAGTCATATTATACTAACTCAAGAAATGCAGTTGGGTGTTCTCTTCTCTTCTTAGGCCAAACCAGAAGGAAGGGCACATCATTTACACTCCTGGGCCTGAAGCCAGAGAACTGGTTAATCATACCTGGGATATTGGCTATGGAGACGGTTCCTTTGCATTTGGAAAAGTATTTCTAGACAAAGTCGAACTTGGTGGTATCTCCGTTCCAGATCAAGCTGTTGAGGCTGCTACTCGTGTCAGCCCAACCTTTGTCGAGGATAGAAACAACAGCGGCATTATGGGCCTTGGATTCGGTAATCTTAATATGGGTATGTGTTTTAAACAGTACCACACCGATTATTTTCCTACTGACTCATTGTGAAGTTCGTCCTCGGAAGCAAAAGACTTTCTTTGAAAACGCAATGGCGCATCTCTCTATGCCCGTTCTTGCAGCATCTTTAAAACATGGTGCTCCAGGTACTTACGATTTCGGCTTTATTGATAGAAAGAAGTATGCCGGTGAGCTTGCTTACCTTCCTGTCGACAATACCGAGGGATACTGGAATGTTACCGTAGCTGGGTATCAAATTGGACGTAATGGCAACAAGATGAATATAACTTTTTCTGCCCTTGCCGGTTAGTATATATCCCCCCCTCAAGCTCTTTAATATACGATACTTATACTCTCTCTTTAATTTACAGATACCGGAACTACTCTCGCTCTTCTTCCGGAACCTATCGTAAATGCATATTACTCACAGGTTACTGGCGCGGAGCATGTTTACAAACGCGTTTGGTATTTTCCTTGCAACGTCACCGTCCCAGACTTTGGTTTGGTTATCAATGACAATTACACTGCCTTCATTCCTGGGGAGTTCGTCAAATACGCCACTCCATCAGTGGTGAAAGAAAGCTGCTACGGAGGGATCCAGGCATCCAGAAACGGCGCCATCCTTGGTGGCATGTTTCTAAAGAGTCAGTATGCTGTCTTTGATTATGGACAGGTAAGACTAGGACTTGCTCCACAGGCTGAGGGGAACAAGACCTGCAGCAAGTGCTTGGTCAAGACTGCATAAAGGGCTTGCAGTGTCTCTATCTTACCTTTAATTACCCTTACTGCCTGCAGCTTGGAGTTAAAGTTGGGGATAGTCAAGACAAAACTTTAGGTGATTGAAGGACGTCATTTGCTCTGGCATTTTTTTGTGTTTTTATTGGATCTTGGCTTTGATCAGGTCTCATAATAATAATGATGATGATTGCAATGGAATCAAATGTTAAGTTAGCCTAGGTAGTTAATAATATGATGAAATCAAGGGCTGTCTGACGGAAAATTTCAAATGTAGAGATGGTCTAAGTTAAACTAAACTGCCTTGCTCGACCCATCGCTACACTTTCCTCCACATCCGTTGATACCCTTGAGTACCTGACTTGGAGTTCTAGCATAACTAGGAGGTACATCTAACACTGGATTCCTATCAAAGAAATTTCTAGGGCGAAGTAGCAAGGTCATAGGCTCGGCTGGCATTATAGGGAAGTCTTCAGGAGCTGGGAAGTGGGTGATTCCAAAAGTATGCCACAAAACTATATCAGTATTGTCGATCGATTCATCCTTGGTCTCATCGATCCACATGGGCAAGCCTTGCGACGGCTCACCCGAAGTCTGGGGAACATGTCTGCCTGCAGGTTCTATTTGGTTGTCGGCATCTATAAAAATAGTTAGATAATGCATAATAGGAATATGTTTATATGAAAGCAGCATCTCACATTTTGTTACATGTACGGCATGTCTTGCAAATCCAGCGCGTTTCCAAACCAACCCGCCCTCTTTGGGTAGTAACTCTGGGACTTCTCTGCTAACTAATTTATAACTGACTGGCTTTTTGCTGTAACGATTCAGCTTGTTCGTGTTTGCTATCTCCCATGTACGGCTTGTCGACCCTTCATAGTCTGACATGGCTTCCTTTGGGGTACTAAATTTAGTTTTCTTCGCATAGAAGGCATTTCCATGCTTGTTTTCTTGACTGCCTACTGCCCCAGAGCCACGAGCAGCATCGACTTGAAAGACTGTGTTGTTTGGGCCATCAATGTTAGGGTCGATACGAAGACAGAAAAGGTGCTGGTGGTTGTGCGCATTAACACCAGGGTAAACTTCGGTTCCCCACCCATATGTATCTTCACCGGGGTTCATTGCAAAGGTGTTGAGGATGCCAGTTAATTTGATATCCAATTGTACAGTACCATCCTGGTGGAATATCCAGTAGACACAGTACTCGTAGTTTGCCGCAGTAAATATGTGCGAGATTATCAATTTTCGGCCACGAGTTACGATAACGGAATCATCACGGAAGTCTGTGTGTTTAAAAAGGATGCCGGCGTCTTCCTCATGAATGCAAATGGCGTTTTTGATAACAGTACTTGCTCCAGCTGCATTGACAAAGGAAGCATCCATATAGTGGATAGCACCTTTGCAATCACACCCCAGGGTCAGGCTGTTTGTCATATACCCCCCACCATATTCTCCCAAATCAAAAGCATGTTTGCGTTGGTGAGGATGTTCCGGATTGCCGTAAGGAACCACCATCTCAGCGAGCGAAAGTCGATAAAAGATCGGGCGGACGGTTCCCTTGTCATTATATGTAATATTGTTCAAGACAATGCCTTCGCGGTAATTAAAACCAACATGAATGCTCCAATTCTGCCAGTCAATAATCCGGCCATTGACGTTAAAAGACACGCCCTCAGGCTGTGTGATATTGATTGGAGTAATATCTTTTCGATAGCCTCCATCCTTTTCAATGGCGTCGACATGATAATTGTTTGGAGGAGACCGACTGATTGGTCTGCGAACTGGTGGAACATCAATATGGATAAACTTCTTGGTCTCTGAGCAAAAAATTGGACAGAAGTCTAACGGAAAGCTATATTGACAGTCATCAATATTTGGGCGGTAATACATCAGTGCTTGTTGTAAGCGGATGCCGTTCCCAAAACGCTCATCGTATCCAATTGTCCAGGCTATAGTTATCAACTAGTATTAGGCCCAATCTTCTACGCTCACTGCGCACGGGTATAACACTCACAGTCACAGTAGACCTTGTGCATATCTTCCTTTGCAATCCCAACAATCTCGCACTGCTTAATTATTTCGGGATCTTTCCTCATTAAGTCTTCCACTGCCTGCAAATCTTCCATCGTAATGAGCGGCTGCACGCCTGGGGTATGTTTCCATTCTACAATTCTCTTCATCGTCAAGTCAATAACTCCATCATAAATCTTACCCCCAGGAGCAATGGCGACAACATCTGCAACTCGATGGGGCCTTGGAGAGTTTTTCGGATCTGCTAGCCAGGCCATCATTTCCGCCTTTCGCGGCTCCCACAGAGTAATGCCATTGAATCTCACAGAGCCGTGCTTTTCGCGAATAATCGCAGCAGTGGCATCTATTTCCGAAGTTGTGAGAGGGTCAAAGGGATGTGGAGGGGAAGAGGTCCCGCCCACTTGGAGAGTAAGCTGCTTTAGGCGATCTAGTACCATTCTCAACGGCAATAAAAAGAAAGTCTTCTAGTTCAAGGTAGTTGGGTAATAAGAGATATACCAAAAGCTTGCAGAAAAAGCAAAGGTAGAAGGGGACAAAAGCACCGCTATATATAAAACGAAAGGAATGAGGGGAAGCTACTATGCTATATAGTTAGTAGCGGCAGTTCGGTTTAAGAGTAACGAGCTGCGACCCCCGCAAAACGGAAGCGGCACCTTATTGGTGGCACACAACGGTATGACCATGCCTCCAGGTATAATTGTCTGGATGGGCTGTAAGGTTTCCCATGAAGCGCGATGGCTTGATAGCGTACATGTCAGGCGGGATATCTGTCGCCCCTATCGAGTGTCAACTGTTCTGAGAAGGGCCCAGGGTCTCATTCTCATATCAGATAGATAGTATCGTCGATATTTATGCTGCCCAACATCCTCCGTGTGTCCGGTTGTGGCCATTATTCCTTTCCCGACTGACTGCCCTCTTGGATGGTCGTCGGTGGTGAGACGTGATAAGGGACTGTTTTGCCCAAAAAGGCTTAGCGCCGATAGCGGCCGGGAGGCTGGTGCGGCCACTGCACAGGTATCAGCGACCTGCCGGCCCAATCGCCGTTTTGTGATTTGGGAGGTACCGGGTACCCGATGGCGGATGAATGTCCTTGGATTCTGGCTGGGCACTCGGTTTGTACAACCGAAAGGGGCGGGCGGGCTAAAGGGTAAACCATGGAAGAGTGATACGAAGTCAAAGTCTGGACTGCATAGCGATTTACCAAGTTCCGCCCCCTCACAGCAAACAATCTAAACCCCACATTATACCGATTTCCCCGCATATCAACGAGATGAGAATGAGGAACCTGTCTATTATTATTTAGCACTTAATACGGGAGGTATTTCGAATAGATACCCGAGTCTAAGATCGTATCAACCCAGTGCAGAAGCGTCTTCTCATCCCCAATGAACAGTCCAGGTCCAAAAGACACGAAACGCCGGACAAGTCCTATATACAAGACGCCGACGCAAACCCCCAAAAATCGACGTTCCTTATCGTACGAGAAATCAGACTGACTCGCATCAACTAGAGCCATGTAACGCGTCAACAGGACGAGAAGGAGAAATAGAAATCAATAAATTGCTACATTTGAATTCACGCCTGCTCCAGCATGCCAACTGCAGAGTAAAAAGAGGACGAAAGCCTAAACCCAATACCCACTTCAAGTACCCTTTCAGATATGTTTCTCCATATCATTATCATGACCGTCCCAGTTGAAATGCTCCAAATACGCCGCCCCCGCCGCCGGGAGTTAAGTGCGATTGTGGACCTGGTGTCTGATTAGTATTAACAGCTGCGTGTGCAGTGGTAGGCGTGCTTGGTGTCGCTGTGTTGGAATAAATGGTCGCACCGTTGAGGTTCGGGGTTTGCTGTGGCTGGTTTCCTGTCAGGTAGGGCATCGCGGGTATTTGCCCATTTAACCCCCAGATCTGACCGGAATACTTTCCATTGTCGATGTTACCATTGAAGACCAGTTGTCGCATCTTCCAGAATATTTCGCCTGTTACAAGCGAATCTGAGCCAGCTTGATGTGCGATCCCAACACGTTTGACTCCCAATTCATCCGCGATGTCCTGCAGCCCAGACTTCTGCCCGAGGCTAGCAAGTATTTGCCCGGCCGCTTGCGAGAGAGGCGAGCCATTTACAGATTGATTCCGCCCTGCGTGCTTCATGAGGAATTTGATATCGTACAGCGAGGGAAAGAAAATCGCAAGGAGTTTATGGAATTCCTCTTCATCATCCGGCAGCGGTCTGCAGATCATTATTTTCATCAGATAGCCAAAGTCATAGCCAGAATGGAATGAAATCCAGTGTACATCGTCCAACAGGACTAATCCAGAGGTCATAAGTAGAGCTCCAAATTCTAATGGGTCAATCCCATTCTTCTCGTGGGTAGTAAAATCGATTCCGGCCTTAGCCAGCATACTGGTTGACTCTTGTGCGTACATGTCATTCTCGAGCGAAAAATGAAAGTTGAATTGCCATGTGCATGGAGCAGGAACGAGATGGGTGCCATTCGCTTGCATAGGACCATCGCTGGAATAAGCAGGCGGTACTTCTCCCTCCTCAGAGAATAAGGTAATACCAAGCTGTATCATCTTTAATAGATCGACATTACATCGTAGCGTCTGATAATGGTAATCTGCCTTCGTTGTGAAGGTGCCCATCGGCCTCGCAACGATACCAGGGAATTCCGTATCCTAAACGTCAAACCATAGTTGTAAGTATCCTGGCTTCAAATTGATAACTGAGACCACCATCTCACATACCATACTTATGTAGGGGTACTTCTCTATCAAGGCACGTAGAGCTTCCATCTCTTGCGCCAGGTTATGCTTCCATACGTCCCTTATTCTCGCTTTGTCCGTTTTCCCATCCATTACCATTCGGCCATCATGTACCAAATGCCCGGCTTGTGGCTGGGTTTGCTGTTGCTGCTGCATCTGAGCACCGCGTAAAAATCCCATCTGAGCGGCATGGCTTGCAAGGCCCGTTCCCCCGCCATCCGGCATACCACCCGTGGCTCCCCCGGCAGGAAATCCGCCCGCAGCCATCCCGTTCACCGTGGGTAACGAAAAGGGATTTCCATTAGTACTAGAGGCGCCATGGCCAAAGGCAGCGTGCCCGCCAAGCGATGAAGGGGGGATGGAAGCGCCAGCGGTTTGTGGGTGCGGACCATGGTGTTGTTGCTGCTGTGACTGCTGTTGCTGGAGGTGTGTTGGTTGAATATGAGCGAAGGGTCCTGCAATGCCTGACGGGCCATATCGACCCACAGGCGGTGGCATGCTATCTTAGGTTCTTCGAAGCCTCTCGGAACGTGATTGAAATGCCGAAGTGGGATGTCGCATGAAGAAGATTGGGCAAGAGTTGCTTTCCAGCAAATGAAAATTGGCTATAGCAGTTAATGGAGTGATCAAAGATATAGGCACTGAGTCTGGATATGCAGCGAAAACTTGCATAGTCCGTGAGAAGAACTCAAAGAACTCAAGCGGCTACGAGCTTCGCTGGGCAGCTGGCGGCGTTGCTTCTGTCGACAGCTTGCACAGACGGCAGCCCTGAGGCCGGGTCTAGTCATATTAGGACTAGCGCAAGAATGGCACTTCCGCCAATCAACGCTGCTTACTTTGCGATTTTGAAGAACCACGCCTGGTATGACCAAAGTCTGGTCATATCGATTGTGAGTGACCGCATGCTTTTTTGATACCTTTCCCTTCGGATATTGTCTTAAGCCTGTCTACTTGCTTCGTGTCCGCCGAAATGGCCCCCCCCAACCCCACTGGGTTCGACCTTCAGACCTTCAAAGCCGCATCAAACCCAAAGTCAATATGGGCTCAGAAAGACCCATGGAAGCGACGGTAGGCATTCCATTTTTAAACCATGTGTATTTACTATAAGATTTTCAAAAGGTTGAACTAACGGCCTTTTCAGTGAAGCATGGCGATATAGCGGACCTTTTTCGCGGATGAACCGTCTCCGAGGCAGTTTTCCAGGCCTGGGGATAGCGACAGTCGCTTTCGCAGCTTACTGTGGATACGAATGGGTATTCATGAAAGACGAACATCACGGTGATGGACATCATTGATCTGCAATTTTTGAGAGGAGAACCAAGTAGCAGACCTTTAAAGGATAGAGAAGGCGGATGCGGAATCAAACAACCATCCCGGTTTTGACATAACGAGGAGAATCATTTGGTGCCGTTCTAGCAGAATCTCAAATCAATCTCTCGATTCGACTTTTAAATGGTGCATTGAATTTATCTTTGACACTTCCTTTCCGACGAAATGTACATACACAAATACCATGGCTTCGATGCACAAGACTATACCCTACAAAACAATACATTTTCTTTTTCTTTTTCAACTTTTCATGTTACAGATAGGGGCGAGGCAGGCATTTGTTATTCTGCATCGTTATAAATTTGTCGATTTTTAGACTCTACTCTTCAAAAACCAATGCTACGCCGTCATCGCCGGCAGTTACTATCCTCTTACCTGCTTGGTCCCCTTGCACAAACCCCAGGATTCCGCCAGCTTGCTCTCCCTCCTCGTTCTCAGTAAGTCCTAAGTGTCCTTTCCATTCCTTCAATAGGCCAAACGCGGCTGCAGCAGTTCCGCCACGTGTATCCCATCGTCGTACCACGCCATCCATTCCAACTGAAGTTAACAGCCATGGCCTGCCGGAGGTAACAGGCGTTATGTTGGCAGAAGTCTTGGGATCTCGAACAAAGTCAACTTTAACCACTGCTGACTCTCCATGTGCGCCACGAATATGACGCCTCACAGCGAATCGGTGCGCTGTGTCGAACAGGACTATTGAGCCGTCCACGGAGCCAGCGGCGAGCAGATTAAGAGGAGGGGAAGAGAATGAAAGAGTTTCGATACCGTCTGGCTGTGCTTGGAGCGATGCTAGTAGTGTTCCTGCACCACCACCAGTCGAGCCAGCTTGAGCACCCTTTTTGGATGCTTGTTTGGGGTCTGGAATGCGCGGTAATCCGACGACTTTTATATGGCCTTCAGCTCCACCGACAACAGCGAATGTCCCAGAGGGAGCCACAGCAACGGAATATAAACCACCATCAACGGCGAATCGCTGGTCCTGAGCTGTCAGGGCGACCACAGTCTGCGCGCCAGCAGCGGAGGCAATACCAGCAGCCGATGCCGCATGGAAAACGTCATATACATAAAAACTTGCGTCTTCCGATACTGTGGCCAGTAGATTACCGTCTGGAGTCCATGCACCGGCAGTGCAGGACGCCGTATGATTGAAATAAGACGCTATTAGATTCAACGGCTCGTCATCGCTTGAAGTATTCACCTGGTATACCCATACGCTCCCATCGTTTGCGCCGAGGGCGACAACATTCAGCTTTTCTTCTGAACTACCCTCTGTCGCAGGACACGCTGCTAGCCAGTTTATCTCTTGCACTTCTTGTACTTCACCCATATATGTCCACGGGGCGCCAGCTGTACGTGGGTCTTTCCATGCTCTTAATTTTCCATCCAGCCCCGCCGTCAGCACGCTTTCACCCTTGGGTTCTGTAAAACAAACAGCGTTGACCGAATCTGTGTGCCCGTCTAACTGCATAATTGGCGTAAGCGACTCTCTCTCCTTTCTCAGTTCCGGTGTAGTTTCATAGCTGCTGGGCAGTAAAGGTCTATCGTCCTGTGGCGTTGAGTCGAACAGGTACGCAGTATCGTCGCCAGAGCCGGTGATAATAATAGATGGGTGTATGGGATGTTGCGCAATGCAGAATATCGAGTCTGTATGTTTATCAAAATGGGCGAGAGAATCATTTTGGAAGGTGAATTCAGAGTCTACATCGTCGGGGCCGTCTTCCATGGGTTGGTCATCGTCTGCCAGGATCTCTTCGGCGGCATCTGCAGGGTCAAGGAAGACCTCTTCTTTTTCTGCATCTGGGTCGGGGTCATTTGAACGGGGTGGTTGCGGCATCGTTGATTTGTCGCTCTATAGAACGCACCGTGTAAGATTTTCAAAAATGGAATTTTAGGTGAAAGAGGGGCAACGCGGGGTGGCTCCCGGATGAAAAAATCGAGTTGAGCAGTATATTAAGAACACACCTTGACATAAAACTAGAAGAAGGCAGAATCGCTGGGAATGCTTGGTTATATGGTGGTTTATGGAAGTGGATTATAAATCGAAATGCCATGGACAGAGAGCTAAGAAATAACGTACAATAACCTTCTACCTAGTTAAGCTACGTAGCTCACGCCAGGCGCGACCCTCTGTGTAAAAACAGAACAATCTATCTGTAGAATATCTCCAAAAGGAATACATAGTATGACAATTGCGCCTCACCTCGGATAGTCTTTGAGTGAAGTCACATCGGCGCACGTACATCAGCACTTATATTTTAGCACCAGCTTTGCGCCTGGACTCCCGCTCTTTGTCTCGCAGCAGACGCCTTAGAATTTTACCGCTGGGACTCTTTGGAACAGCATCCAAGAATTCCACGCCTCCCTTGAGCCATTTATGCCGCGACTTGTGATCTTCCACGTGCTTGTGGATGGCCCTGATGGTCGCGGCATCGTCTGAGCCTGCTGCAGGACTTTTCACGATGAAAGCCTTGGGTAGCTCGCCAGCGGAGTCGTCGGGGACAGGGATAACGGCGCAATCAGCAACCGCGGGGTGGGAAAGCAGATGCGCTTCGAGCTCTGCTGGAGCGACTTGGAGGCCCTGAAATACGAGCTAATTAGAACAAAGACGCGTGGACAGCAGGGAATACACGCACCTTAACTTTGATCAGCTCCTTTATACGGTCCACGATAAAGACATGCTCGTTGCCGCTTGGCGCAACGCGGATAACGGCTTCATCGCCAGTGCGCATCCAGCCATTCTCAATGAAGGTTTCATTCGTTGCTTTTTCATTGTTCAAATAGCCCAACACTACGGATGGGGACCTGACAACCAGCTCGCCGGGTTCATTGTAGCCTGTCAGCTCAACGCCCTCAGGCGATACAATTTTACACTCAAAACCTGGGAGAATGGAGCCAGAGGAACCGAGCCAAACATCATGAGAGCTTGTGGTACACACTACAGTGCAAGTTTCCGTCATACCTATGCCATGTTAATCTTTGCAGAAAGGGGTTGTCCGCTGCGATACATACCATAGCCTTGTCGAATCGACCAAGAAGGCTTCCAACTCTGCAATTCGTCCGCAGGCTCCTTGCCCAATGGAGCTGCACCCGTAAATATGGCTCTCACTGCACTGAGATCCCTCTTATCACATAATTGTTTATTTCGCAACATCGCAATAATGATAGGAGGTACCTGGAATCGAATAAGCGGACGGCTAGGTATGATATAAGAATGGCTCTCGAAACTCACAACATAAAGGGTGCTTATTTTATACTTTTCAACTGTATCGAGATATTGATTGATGTCAAACTTGGGCAAAACGACAAGCTGATCACCGCGATATGGCCCGAGATGGCACATAACAATAAGTGAGTATATATGACTTTGAGGCAGCAAACCAAGCGATATATCCGTGAACGGAGCTTGGCCAGGAAGTGTCAACGAAGATCTATACTCCTTCTCAAATGTTTGTACTTGAAGAGTGTTGGCAATGACATTGCGATGTGCGATTTTAACACCTTTCTGAAAAATTATCAGCATTTCATTACAACCAGCTTGGATATTTAGTGCTGGTGCCCACCGGTAAGCCTGAAGTACCGCTAGAATAGCACAAGAAAGCGGTTTGCCTGGCGGCCTGCCCTGGTGAAAATCTCAATTTCTCCAGTTTCGGCAATGAATATCCCTCGGTGATTAAATTTTCAAGGGTCTTCATCCCCTCCAAACCTTTCTCGGGTCCTGCAAATTGCGCCGGGAGATCAAGGATGTATATCCGATTGCGGGGTATATTTGCTTTTGCAGCAGCCTCCAAAGCAGCAGGCAGAGAGGGAATGCAGGTGAAGAGGCTCCGGGAACCAGAATCTTTCAACTGATAGGTGAGTTCATCGGTAGAGTACATAGCATTGGCAGGGGATGCAATGCCGCCGCATCGATGAATCGCCCAACAGAGGACAAGAAAGTCGATCTATGCCGGAGTGATGTTAGCCTACTCTCTCCGCAGGGTGATTTTCGGAGGCGGGATATCGTACGGTATTGAAGCTGTAGATACCCACGACTTTCTCCCATTCCGTGCCCTTGTTTGGCTGCCACCCAAACTCCTTCGCCAGTGCTCGGGCAAGGACGTCAACGCGTTCTGCTACCTTTTCGGCGGAGTAGGTCCGTCCGGTCATCCCACAAGTGAACGGGTCTTTCGACGACGACAACGCATGCCGGCCATACTTCTCATCGAGCATGAAATCACAGATCGCAACATCGTCAGGAATCGCAGGCAATTGGCCCACCCAGCTCGGAGCGTGGAAAACCATCGGGGCAAATGAAATATTGCGGATCTTTGTAAGGACAACGCCAGGCAACTACTTGCAAACAACAATGGACGGGCCACGGTAGGACAAAAGCCGCCGCAGAGTCACTCAAAAAGAGCTCCTCCGAGCTTGGGCCCGAGGTCCAACATGGGCTGGTAGATCGGTTCGGTATTATCCACGACTATGCCCGCCTCTTGGCCCCAGGCCGGTGGAGCGCGGCCACCCCGGTGTGATTGGTGCCCATACTCTGCGGCGAAACGAGAGAGTTCGGTGGTCTTGGCGTGGCCGGAGCGCGCGACAGCCAACACGCTGGGAACAGGCCGACGGAGTGCCCGAAACCATGGGAGCGGAGCAGGATATGGCTATTATTACCGCTGAATTGGGATACTTCGAATGTGGGATCAAGAACAGCTAGTCTGGGGTTTATGCGACAAGTTTTCGATTCCAGTTGAAGAGCCGCCTTAATACTCCGCACTCCGTACGATAACTAATTCAAGAACCCGTCTTTTGCGATAAATCCAATCTCTTCCACATCCCGACGTGAGAGATTCCCTCCTCGTCCCACACCCCCATACTCTTATCCGTCACAAACCCCATCCGTGCGTACAATGCTTCCACCTGGACCTGCGCGTGGACCAGGGCAAGTCCAGTCCAAGGTTCCGCGTCTTTACCCAGCGCAGAGACCACATCTTCCGGGTGGTCTATCGCCCAGTTCAAGGAAACATCCATCAGCTGGCGGCTGAGACCCTTGCCTCGATAGCCTGGCAATAGTCCAACTCTTGTCAATTTCACATATGGCTCCGTGTGCGTGTTGTGTTCTCCTGCGCTTGGGCGGGTTTCGTCTTCACCTCCGTTGCCCAAGAGGGTCTCATGTGGCGGATGAGGTGGCGGCACAAGCCGTATGACTCCGATGGGGACCTTTTGGTCCGATTGCGTGTCATACATGACCCAATGCCAGCTGCGAGGGTCGTCTTCATCGAGCTCGGATTCTGCAGAGCATCCTTGTTCTTCGATAAATACTGTGGTGCGCACACTCATCGCATCGTTGAATAAGGGTGGATTGCAGGACGGGGCGGGGTCAGACGGCGTCGGCCGGCGAATTTCTTTCCCGGGCGGTGGCAGCAGACGAAATTCATATTGAGGTCCGGGTGGCATTGTGAGGTTCAGCTTGCGGCTGGTGATTTCTAACAGTGACTTGGACGAAGATAATTATACAAAGTAGATTCAGCTCACTCGAGCACAGCATCTCAGGTTTCAGGGCATATCATATCCCACCCTTCTCTCCCGCCCAAATGCACACTCTCGCGAGGGATTCCGCCCTATGATCAGCTCCACAACTAGAACTGGGCAACGTCGCCACGTGATCTTTGAGAGGCCTGTCATAGCCCTCTGTTAAAACTCGATAACCCCCTATTGAGTTTTCCACCCACCGCCCATTGCGTGATGTTTGGTTCACATCCAGAACAATTTGCGGTTAACCTTTTGAGGCTGTGGTACATCTCCAGGCTACTTCTTAGATCCTCACTGGCATTGATTGCTGGATCCAGTGCTATCTCTTCTGAAATCACTCTCCTGTCGAATTTTCACTCCTAAATCTAGTTACCAGTTACTGTGTTTATCACCATTTTTTCGTCACATCTTTACTTTCGTCACAATACTTTCATTCACTACTTTGCAACTACCAACAATTCAGTATTGTTAATCCACAATTTTTTGCTTCCAGTTAATGTTTCGACGAAAACATCCTTGATATAGCTCTAATTTCCCTTGTATTATCATGCTTATAGGATATTTCCAACTGCCACTACTGCACAGAGACCTATAAATCCCTAGTATTCTCTGGGCGGCTTCTTTTTCCCCTTCTATCATCTAAACCTCACATAAAAAACCAAGTTTAACAGAACCTTGCTACAATATACTATTACCTTGACTAATGTCTACATACTACTCTTTCGCAGTTTCAATCAACCTCGAGGCGCTCGTTATAACCAAAACAAAGGTCATAGAGATGTCTTCTTTGTAAGACAAAGATATTTAGATAATGCTAATGAAAATACTATGAGCTTCAATATGGATAATGACTATATTAGCGAATTACACCCTACAGAAACTCTAAAAACTCTAGAGCGGTTAAAATAGGTCTACATACGAGACGTATAACAATCATACTAGCATATCGATAACTGCTCTAAGCCTGCAATATAATATTTCATACAAACCGGACAGCTAGCTGGACAGTGACTCTTGCTATATTTAAGAGGGTCTCCAGATAGGATGGACAAGATGGCCTGCCGTTGCTCAGCGGCTATTTCCACGGCCATACCATGCAAAGGTGGCTACTACACTCTTCTTAAATATACAGAACTGGTGTTCTTAATAATTTGATGAGGTGTGGTTACGGAGTACAGAGTCAAGACAGAATCGGAAGCTAACCGCCCTTGCCAAGACTTCTTACACCCCTTGGCCATATTGAATGCTTAGGCTAACGGCTTTCCCTCCCGTCATTCCAATATCAGATTCTCAAATTAAATTGAAAATTACCTAGAATTACTATTTAAACCCTTTGGCTTCCATTTGCTTAGCTAAGCAGCATCATAGTGACGATGGCAAAACTCACCATGGGTATGTGAGCACCAAGAAAAACATGGAAGCTCCGGGTACAAACCATGGCCGACGAACGCATAATGCGAGTCATCGTCGTCTTTCCGAATTCTTGGAACTTTTGGCACCCTCTCACAATCTTCGCAAATTTTCCATTTTCTGTTCAAGACCTAACGGCCAAACGATGCTTCTCATACCAACCATTTTCGAAAAGGGCTGGTTGGTTGGATCGTTTATCTTATATTGCCGAATATAAAGAGACACAGCTTACGGCTGAAAATACGGGCTAATATTCTATAAAGACAATATTTTATCGACGCGGGTGCCACGCAACCCGAATATACGCGCATAGTTGAATATATAACAAGTCAGTGGCTTTCTCTCCTAACACGTACATTGTTCTATTCTTCGGCCAAAGATCCATCATATTATTTGACGTGATCGGACTGATGGCTTTAAACATTATACCATGGTGCAAATTATCTCCATACAAGACATTATCTGAGCTCTGTGAAAACTCCTAATATCACGTGCTGTTGATATTTTGTTCTAATCATGCGTTTCTTGTTTGTCATATTCACTGTTGTGTCCTGCTTCATTATACCTCCTACTACGCGATTTATTAACATCTTCATTCTTTCACGATATTTTCGCTCTATCACCGCAAGCATCATTAGTGGGAGCCAGTATTTCTCGCAATGTCTATATATATTCCAGCGAGATCCTGGAATTTTACGATTCCTAGAGCTCGATTCCTCATTTATCTAGCCCGTTCACGCATTTCGAGGCCGTTCTCAGTATTTTTAACTAACTATCCGTATCCACTCACCCTTTCCAGATACCAGAGCTACAACGCCATTCCCGGCGTCAATCCTGAAGGCAACATTTTGGGCTAGCTATCTATTATTTAAGGGTTTACAATTTCTGCAAAGTATATCCTGTCGCAATTTATATCTCATCAATTTAACCGCGAGACCCATGGCAATAACTCGTGCTACTAGCCAAAATGGCAACAATAAGCATCCTACCTTAAATGGTGGCATAACTAAGATACGAGGGCGGAAGGGTATGCTAAGTTTTCTTCGTTACTACTGTCTGCTATTAACTGACTATTCCAGCACACGACAAAACTGAGCAATCATTATATTCTCAAAACTTCGATGTGTATGAAGATGAGGGCTTAGTGTTTAGTTATCCACCACCTCGTCGGTACTCCTCTGAACTAAGTGCTCCGCCTATCATACTTTTAGAGGACAACTCTTTACGACCAGAGCCATTCGGCGTGCCACCAGCATGGGCAGCTCACCGTCCTGAGCTATGCGATTCTTTACCATGGTTCCGCTCGACTCAGGGTGGATGTTATCACCTGGACGGCATTGCATTTGGTATGCTCATTGACGGCGATTCTGGTAAAAGGGCATACCTAGATCATGAAGTTGTAATTACCAGAGTGTACATTTAATACTGGAATTATAATAAAATATTTGATGGCTGACTAGTTTCTAGGGGCGGTGGTTGCTCGAAAGAAAACGGCGGGCTCGTTCTTAAAAGGGATATTGATGATAGGAACCATGCTTTTACAGCACTTAGGTTCAACTGGGAACATGATATCCCTGTCGGTGTTATTATTGGTAAGACACTCTAAATAACGAGATACTCAATTTATGCCAGGCTGATTGTATATAGGTGATCGTAATACTGTCTGCGAAACGAAGATGCCTTATCGATACAATGTCACTGAATTTTTTCGGATTACCGATATCTGGTTTGAAAGAATTGATGGCCGACTGGGGGCGCAAGTACGCTTGGAGAAGTTGTCTCTCACATCTAAAAGCTGGTGGGCTCCGAAGGATATCGAAGAGCCACTCCCCATAAATCTACGTACTGATGCTGTGCCGCCTGAACTCCCAGCCTGTGACTTTTGTAATGCCCATAGCCGCAAAGTTTATGATGAAGGGTGGATGTGCTTACAGCCAAGCTGTCCCAAATTTTGGACTTTGAAAGGAGGAGAGCCGCCGAAAGAATTGACCTTTGCTCCAGCATTCCTGAGAATGAGATCCCAAAGTTTAAGGTCAATAGTGCCTCAGCATAGTTTGGTACCAAATCTCCTTGAAACGTTTCCTCGAGATGGAAAATATTCTCGAACTGCGCGTGTCATGTGGAAAGGGATTGTGTGTCCAAAATGCCAAAGATGTGTTGCCAGAACACTTTGGAATGGCTGGGTTTGTCCTTTAGAAGATAAAGGCTGTGGGTTTTCTTATTTTGATACTCCTGATCCTGTCGAATTAAGGACAATTCTTTCTGAATTTGAAATGGGCGCCGTCGGCCATCGTTATCCGGCCAACAACAAGTTGGCAATCCGGCCGAAAATTCAGTACCTCAAGAACTATCGTGTCGATACTTATGACTTGGGGATGGGCAATATCTTATCTCATTTTGCTGCAAATAACACCGTCAACTGTGCCGATGGCGGCCCTAATTTTTTATTTCGAGAATTATGTATGCAAGACATTGGATTGAAGCGACACAAGCTTAAGGCGAGTGTTGGTTAGTACCCATTTTTATACTCCCCTATATATATGCCTGCTGATGCCGTAACCGAACAGTCAAGAATACTCTGACCTCACATTTCGCTGTTAACTTTGTAGGTTGCATGTATGCCCCCGCATTTAGACTGTCACTTATATTATTTTAGGGTATGCCATATAAATATATCGTTGCGGTAGAATCGAAATCGTTTCAGGATACTCCCCCTTTTTTACTTCAAGCCCTTGGACGCCTTACCTGGGCTGTCCGAAAGACCGTGCCTCCTGCCGAATTCCAGCGACCTAATGAGCTGCTTACACTTGGCTACTTTGAAAAGATGGCCATTAATGTATGTATAAAAGCTAATTTGTGCCGTTTATTTCGACATGTCTGACTTTCTTTAGTATCATGATGACGGGGAAGACACACTTGGGCCGACGATTGCGACACTATCACTCGGAGTGGAAGCGACGATGCTCGTGCGACTAAAGCAGAAGTATTTTAAAGTACCAGAGCAGACCAGCAAAAATTTCGAGATGGAAGATCTTGTCCTACCCAGTTGCTCAATGGAGGCTGAGCGGCGCGAGCTTAAAATCCGGTACGAAAGTCAGCAAATATCTCGTAACGAATATTGGAAAAGACTAGCACATTTGCGGGGAAGGAATAGGAGACGGGAAGCAAGCCCGTTTTGCTCCTTGGAGCTCCATCATGGCGACATGGTTGTCATGCATGGGGCCAACCTGCAGAAATATTATGAGGTAGGGCTGGAATCGTCAGTTTTCCAATGAAATCGGAACTAATGGATCACTAGCACTCCGTAACACCAAATGGACAGCTTCGGTTCGCGTTAACAGCCAGATATGTCATGCCAGAAAGGGTCGAGCCAGAACATCACTGGAAGGGAGACTACGAACCCAATCCTGACTACGAGTATGACGGCGACGAATGATGTGCTGGCTATATATATATATATATGTACATTTCCGCCTTATATATGTCCTTCATTCATAGTCGTGAATATCTGTTGTCCTCCATTACTAAGGGCGTATGGTCTTTCTGGCATCAGCTGTGATGTACGGATGGCTTTCTATACTTCTAAATATTGAAATTCATGCAGTTGGTATTTGGGCCGTTGCTGTATTTTTGCAAGGTAGACATTTAATATCAATCTCTAGCACATCTGTAATGTACTATACTTCAAGACAGAATCTATTCCTAGGATGCCACCGTGTGGCCCTGACATGCCCCTAAAACAAGCAGATTAGATAAGAACTGCGGGGGTTAGTCAGCCAAGCGCGCTAGGCCCTGTTGGGCGGCGGAGGAGGCTCGCGGGCGATGGAACCTCGCAGCGTCCCGTCATTAACTCGCTGGCGCACCACATCTCAGCTGAGGCCGCTCGTTTCGCTCGTTTCCACCCATGTCCGCTCCTTAAATGAACCTGCGCTACTTTTTAAGCCACCAACGATCGTGGGCTCGCGAATCATTCGTTCTAGCTCCGCCCTGCGAAACCCCCTCCCACGCCAGCTAGAACTATCCCTGTGGCTCGTTTCCATTGCTTGGCAACTCGCCCTAATCGATGTCGAACTCGCACGCGTCCTTCGTTCTTTTCTGAAAATTTCTCCAGAGCTCGTCTGTTCTGAGACCCCAAACCCATATTAATGCAGCTCTAGGTGGTTGCGGTTCTTTGTCGCGCAATGGCATACCAGGAGAACATCCAACAGCGCTTTTACAGCCAGACCGGCAGCTCTGAATCGCCGTCCCATGCGCAGACCCAATACTCATCTGTTCCTCAACTTGCTGCCCAGCCAAACCAACCCGCTTTGCGACGCACTCCAAGTTACCAATCCGGCGATGATGCAAGCTACTTTCACGAGACACCTGGAAGCGGGGGATCGCACAATCAAACTGGGCGGAGCGGGGGGCAGTCGGCATATGGCGGAGGCGGCTCGCAAAGTACTCACGGCTCAAGGCACTCGCAGTTTTCTGTCGGCAGTTCTCAACATTCTGTGATGAGCCAAAACTCATCGCATGGCTCAGCGATGTCTGGATATCAGCATCAGTACCAGCCGACTTCGTCCCTATCGCCAAATCAATCTTCCTACAACCCGCAGCAGTTCGCGACGCAACCATCGCCGCCCTCCTCGTCCCAGTCGAGATATAACCCCCAAGCGTTCTCAGCGACCAGCATGACGCAATATGGAAGCTACCCCTACCAACAGTATAATCCCGCGGCATACCAGTCTCCGACAAGCTCTTACCAGCCCTCCCAGCCGTCCCCGAACTTCCAGTGGCAGACCCCTCAGACACCACACCCATATGGGCAGTCTTCACAGCTCCAATACCAACCATCTCAGTCCCACTCCCAAAATAATCCACGACCCATGCCCATGCGATCGCACGATTCACCTTATACATACCCTTCGCCTCAAACCTCCAATCCCCCCGCGCACCCATCTCTCGGATACTCACCAAGTGTTTCGCAGCATCTAGTGACCTCCCCGGTATCAACCGTTAATCACAACTACTCTACCTTACCTCCTCTCCCCTCCACTGTTTCCTCAACATCGAGTAACTCTTCCAATGCCACTTATCCGAGAACTTTCCAGCAGCCGCATCATTTACCTAATCCTCCCCCTCATGCTACAAGCCCCAATGACTCGGGCCCGCGACCCCCCGCTTATCGCCCACAGAACGAAGAGCCACCGTACCGCAACAGGCCCTTGTCGCTATCAGTCTCATCTCAACTGCCTTCAATGACTCCCGCACCACTTCCCCCACTCCACCAAGCCCAGCCAACATCCCCAAGACGTGCTGATACCCAGAATCGCCACCCACAGGCGCGCCCATTGCCAGGCCCCCCAATCGATTCTGAAATATTTCATCCCAGCAGGCCAGGTGCATATAATGCTAGGTTCGAGAATGAAATAAGCTATGAAGATACCATGAAGGAGGTTGAAGCCGCGATTATGGAAGGAAGGCCCACAAATACTAGGCGCAACAGCTCTCGTGCTAAGCACTCAATCCAACAGCAAGCCTCTATACAGGAGGGGGATGAAACTTCGAGAACCTCTCCAGGCCGCCTCCGTGTCTCCCCCGATTTTACACATAGCCACACGAATGGGCATGAGGATATTAGTGCAACTGGCACAGGACAATATGTCAATTATACTGCGTATAGTGATGACAGTGAAGCTGAGGCAGCCGCTGGGCTGGCGGCTTTACGAATGGCTGAGGAGGAAGAGGCGGCCCTTCGCGCAAGACGAAATACACACTCATCAACGATAGCTCCGTATTCATCACAGCATAATTATCGGTTATCGCCCACCGATGCTGTTGGGTCAAGCAGCGATGGGGACTATCGCCGTCATGATATGGCTCTTTATGGTGGAAGTCACAATGCGCAAATGCAATATGGCGAAACTTTTGTCGCGGACTCCACTGTTAATCAATCTGCACTAAGGTCCAGCTCCCATCGAAGCTCGAATAGATCAACGGAAGACAGCGCAAATGTTTCTGACTATGAGTACCCTAATATTGATGATGACTCTATCCACCCTTTCCCTTCTTTGGCCCCAATAGCTCGAGTGGATACTTTTGGGACCGGAGGTTTGTCCGAGCCATCGCTTAATACTAGAAGATTAAGCTTTGATGATGGTGATGAGGTTACTCTTTCAGGCAGAGCCGTTCAGTCCAATTCATTTGGCGCCACCCCAGAGGAAGGTGAACCACAAGACCTATTTTTCCACCCGGGGATGACTGGTCGGCCTCTGCCCCCGCCACCTGTGAATACCAATTTAGCACCGCATCTTATACCTGCTGGGACTTATAGAACCCATGATCATGCTCACCCAGATCCCTACGGTCAATATCCAGAGGGGTATTATCCAGTAGCACCCGGAGACGTTCTTCAAAGCAATGCCGGGTCTACAGTCCCGAGATCAACATCCTTCACTGGGCATACTGCTACACCCCGGACGGATCCGATTATTCGGTCCAAGACTGATGCTGATAAGGTTAAATTGAAACAAGCTTACGATGCTTCAGTATCCTCTCCTTCGGCACCCATAGACCTACCAGCAATCCCGGCTGGGAAGCGTAAAAAATTTAGCCCATCGAAACTGTCAACAGAACAATTCAGAAGGTGTACTGAGCCTTGGGCACTAAGTGCCATTGCTGCCTGGGTGAGAGATCTGAGTGAAGATGAAACAGACCTTAAAGAGCAGGCCATTGTGGATGCCATTGTGGCCTTGTTCACACATAAAGTTCCAACTATGAACACCGCTGATGCTGAAACCCTTGGAGCACGCGTTGTAAAGGGCATGCTGGATGCTGGTGCCCTGATTGAAGATGAGGAATGGGTCAAATTTGGAAGTGGGACAATATCTGGTGTCTTGTGGCAGATTACTGGCCAGGGCTGTTATTCATCTCGGCTTCATGTAGTAGAAACTGAAGTTTTTGGCAGATGTTATTCTCATCATTGTATGAGAACCTTGAAGAAGATCAATCTGCATTCACATGTTATGGAGCCACAAAAGAAACTCGAGGACTGGGCAACTTTCTACAAAATTGGCAAAGATGTGTTCGAAACACATTCCAAGAAGGATATTGAATTGCAAAACAATCTGCACGAAATTGTGACTACAGAGGATTCGTTTATCTCGCAGCTTGACGTACTGCGAACACTGTACCGAGACCATCTCGCAGCATCTGATACTATCCACCCTAAGCGGCGAGATAGGTTCTTGAGGGATGTTTTTGGCAAGGTGGATGCGGTAAAGAGAGTCAATGAAAACTACCTTCTCGCCCAACTCAAATATCGCCAAAAGGAACAGGGGCCATTTATCGTAGGATTCAGCGATATTTTCCGGGAGTGGATTCGAAAGGCTAAAGCTGCCTATATTGACTATGCTGCTACGTTTCCCAATGCCAACTACCTCTTCAGACGCGAAGCGGAGACAAATTTATTATTCCAGCAATTCTTAAAGCAGGCAAGAGAAAACAAGTTGTCTAACAGATTAAACTGGGACACTTATTTGAAATCCCCCATTACGCGTATCCAGCGATACACGCTACTTTTGTCTACTGTGCATAAGAACATGGCCAAAGACTGTGAAGAGAAAACAAATCTATGGCAAGCAATTGAGGAAATCAGGTTGGTGGCAATGGACTGTGACAACAAAGTCGGCGAGATGACCAAGAAGGTTGACCTGAGGGAACTTGGTGCAAAACTGCAACTCCGCCCTGAAATGAGACACCTTGTTGAATTGAATTTGGAACATCTAGGCCGCGAGATAATTTACCAAGGAGACCTTCAGCGACCAAGAACTAAACGATTCAATTGGGTCGACACCCGTGCTATTCTATTCGACCACTATCTTGTACTGGCAAAGATTGTCACGAATAGGGATGTTACCAAGTCCGTCAAATACGAAACTTATGATGTATCTAAATTGCCAATCCCCATGGACTTACTGATTCTTGAAAGCTCAGATGATGACCCTGTCATGAAGTCTGCTGTCAAAGGAATAACGGTCATTGCTGCGCCTCAAAAATCTGGAAGTGGACCAGGAATGCTGAGCCATGCGAGCACGAGCAGCTCCACCAGCTCCGGAATTTCCGTTAACTCTGGCAAGACCATAGTTTCCAACACAGTAATTGACCAGCCCAAGGATGATAAAATCTTGTACCCCTTCAAGATCCGGCACCTTGGACGACCAGAAGTCTTTGTTCTATATGCAAATACAGCTAAAAACCGGCGTGAATGGTGTGAAAAGATTCGAGAGGCAAAAACAAAGCATGCGGCATCTCTATACGCACAAAATGCAGAGCCCTTCAGATTGCGCGTTTTATCGGATTCAGCTTTTGCTTATTCCGAGATGGCTGTTGCGCCAAAAAGTGTCGCAATACACGGTACACCGTTGGATAGAGCGATCCAAGAAGTCGAGGCCAAGTATGCTGGTAATTTGTCACGTCCTCTACCAGTCTGCAGAGCATCTGTAAACTGCGCGACCGTGTTCCGTTTGCCTAGCGACCGTAAAATGTGCGCGGTTGGAACTGATTACGGTGTTTACATATCCGAATACAATAATCCTCGTGGATGGACAAAGGTAAAATGACTCATCACCAACAAGAGCTCTAGAATGCTGACGACTTTCACAATAGGTCATCGGAATGATGCGAATAACTCAAATTGCTGTATTCGAAGAGTTTAATCTTTTCTTGTTGATTGCTGATAAATCTTTAATTGCCTATCATCTCGACGCCATTTGCGTGGAGAAAGGCGCAGCCCCTCCTAATGATTCGCAACGACGTGCTCCACAAAAACTATCCGGCAACAGAGAAGTAGGCTTCTTCGCCGCCGGTCGAATGAAGGACCGCGCTCTCGTATTCTATAAGAAACGCGATGGCATTTCTTCGACTTTCAAAGTATGTACTTCTTCCTCTTCCATCATTCCTTCATACTGACGTTAACCCTTTAGGTTTTGGAGCCCGTCATTCAGAAGACATCGTCCACTAAATCTCGCTTCTTACGTAGAGGCAATACTGACTTTTTCCGCGAGTACGACGAATTTTATATCCCAGCGGATAGTTATAGCATTAATTTGTTCCATACTTCTCTTGCCATTTCAACTGCGCGAGGAGTTGAGGTTCTAACACTCGACAAGAAGCAGCCATGGTCTGTGCCCAATCTGCGATCTGATCAAGCCGAAGCTCAGGCACACCTCACAAGAATTTCCAACAGAATCAAGGATCTTCGCCCGCTAGGCATGTTCCGTCTCAGCGAGAGTGAGTTTTTGGTGGCTTTTGAAGAATGTGCTGTCTACGTCAATAAGCACGGCGACGTAAGTCGCAGTGTGGTTATGGAATTTGTCGGGAGGGCGCATTCCGCGTGCCTCAATGGAAAGTTCCTCATCCTATTCCACGATGATTTTGTTGAAATTCGAAATGCAATGAATGGCCGTCTGAGGCAAGTTATTGCCGGCAAAAACGTGTCACTCCTTGACGATGGTGGAAACTGCAGCAATGCAGTTGGAGGTTCGGCTCAGTCGGCATTATCATCGATTGCCGGCAACTTCAATGATGCTGCATCCATTGCAACTCTGAGCGGTGGGATGAACGGGCTTGGTCTGTCAACTGGATTTAGTACCGTGCCTCGGACGGTGAAGATTTGCATGCAGCACCCTGCGTATGAAAGAAGCCAGATAGTTGTTGAACTAATTGAAAATGAAGGACAAAAGGATTAAAGAAAATACTGAGTTTGGAATACTTTTCTTCCTTTTCTATCGAATGGGAGTTTTTAGTTATGATTTTACGACAGTTTTGCGACACGAAAGGCCCTTATCTTTTACTGAGGAGGATTTTAACTAAAGGGGAGGCTAATGTTTACTGTTTCGGTTTCAGTTCATTTCGCCTGTCTCGGGTTTAGGGTAATGTTGGATTATGGAAGACTTACGGTTAATGATTTCGACATTTCTTATGACAGTGACTTGGTTTCATTTTGATATAATAAGGGTGATACATGGGCACTATGCAAAGGAGGCTACTTTTTGAATTTCTGTTATTGGCTTTTAATGGTTTCTCTTGTGCTAATTATTGGGTTTTTAATTCTTCCCCCCTTTTCGTCTTCAGCAAACCACTTTTGGTTCGGTTCGGCTTGTTTTTCAACTATCATCTTAAATCTTACTACCATACCATCGGCAAAAACAAAAGAAACGGAAATCTTTTTTCAGTAATCTAGTTACCCAGTTGATATGAAATAGTTTCTGTGCATCATACCACTTAACATTTTATTACTATTTATTTTGTTGTTCATAATTCCAACCACAAAACTTTGCCAGATGAGATAGTTCGTTACCATTGTTGAATGCTACATATAGTTGTGTATTTGGTAGGTAATGTTTAACGTAGCCAACAAAATTTCGCATAGAAGTACAGAGTATAGAATGGTACATATATATATTTAACAAACAAGCAGTAGTTCCTAAAGAGTTTGGGCTTTTTGTAAACTCCATTGCTCTGAAAAAAAGTGATGGCACAGACCCCAACTTCGTGGGACAGAGACTTTTAAAATGCAAATTTAGGAGGCCAGCCGGTATTGTCGTCGTGAGAACGAAGTTCTGCTATATTTCCCGTATTGCTTATAAAGATTTGCTAGGTTTTCTTTCATTCAGCGTCAAATAGCATACAAAGTCATCTAAAATGTCTATTGTGATACTAAAAAGTATTTGACTTAGCGGGAAAAAACCAAAGCAAAGGCATGAATTGCTCCGACAAGCCAGCGACCCCAGCTAAATACTCTAAATCGTGCCAATATGGCTCCATCATCAAACCCAGGACTCACTCGCTCATAGCATTAAGTTTACATAGTGGATACATATATAAAGCAGATAGAAACAACTAGAATTTCAGATGCCTGGTATGTTATGCGCAACATCAAGGCCCCTAACAGGTGCCGAATAAACAATAGTCATGGAGGGGGGCCATACTGTAGTGATGCTTTAAGAATCAAATTCTACCTTGTTGACACCGCCAGTAATTGGTCTCCTTTCGTCACCACTGACCGTGGGCGATGAAGCTGATGGCAGAAGTTGGTCCTTTTCATCCCTTTCTTTGACACTCATAGCTTCAGCGCCTTCGAGAAGATCTCTATCCCTGTCTCTCGCCATATGAATGGACCTATTATCTCGTTTGCGCCCATCATACAGTCCATCATCATCATCTTCGTCTTCATCATCTTCCGTATTTCGACCCAGTGCGTTTCGCTCCATCTCGCGCTGTGCTTCGTCCATTCTTTTCTTGACTTCGGCGGCCATACGCATACCGTCAGAGACGATATTATCTAAAACACCGCGCAGTCCTTTATGCCCGGGTGGTACGATGCCGCCAGATGCACCGGCAACCGTGGCCGTACCACTTACTTGAGCGATGGGAGGACGTGTCCCCAAATTTGCGAAAGTGGTAAGATTTGAGGAAAGGGATGCCGACCGAGACGTAGAAATGCTTTGGTCAGAGAGGTGAAATGACTGCGGGAAGAAATTTTCAAAAAATTGTTCAAGTAGTTCATCAGCCAGTATTACCATGCGGAAAGTTGGAAGAGTGATATGAAGTGGATGGGCCGGATCAAGAGCGATATTAGCCGTCTCACTAGCTCGCTTGGCCTGATGAATTGGTGCAATATCTGATGCTGAAGGAGGTATATGAGTAGTTGTGGATGGTGGTGCGGCGACATGACCTTTTTTGTCGTCACCTAAGTCTGAGAAATCATCGTCATCGTCGCCGATGCTGAAAGCATCAAGTTTAGCATTTGCTTCTTCGAGATCACCCACCACGGTGTTGTCTTTATTTTGAGGATGGCTTGGATCTGCATATTCAAAACATCTTTGAATGAAGTCACTGACGCTTCCTAAGAATTTTTCTTCCGGTGTTAAGTTGTTTCTTGTTCGTATTGACATATGATCTTGTTCCTCAGACTGAGTCGAAATAAGCCTCCCTTCGAATCCACGGCGGGATAAGAATAAAAGGGCCTCTGACATCCGTAGAATACCTTCTCTATCGACCTGCCCAGTCCCCTCATCATCATACAGACTGAAAAAATAGTTGATAGTGTTCATGATATCTGGAGTCCCTTTTATCTGCGCCAGTCCATTCACCACATTTTGAAGACTGAGCCCCTCGTTCGTCTCAACACGCCATTTAGCAAAGAGTCTCCGAATGAAGTCATGATCAGCAGGCTCTCGGTAGTTACCACTGTCGAAGGACTTTGTGCTACCTCTAATACTGGAGTCACGATATGGGCTCTTGTCCCTATCTGAGAACGATTCTTTATGTGAGGAGCGGGGGGAGTCAGCAACAGCCCATCTTGCCGTGACAGCTAGGAATTCGCGGAAGCCATCATAGTCCATATGTGTAGGACTCGGGCCGAGTCCTACTCGGCCCACTTGAGTGTCGACATTTGAAGCCATGACTGAGTAACGAGCAGAACTCTTCCTATTCTCTTTCTCTTTTCGTCGGTTTTCCTCCTCAACGAGTTTTGTCCGCTGTTGCCGATCATAGAGAATTTCATAAAATCGATCGTAAATCGCTCCTAAGTCGTTCACGCTCAGTTTCTTGCTTTCTGGTCCTAGATTTCGAATAGAGGTTCGCTTAGCGAATCCTTCTATACTATCCAAAACTGAATTTTTGTGCTTAGCTCTCTCTTCAACGATAGTAGCATGGGTTATTCCAGAAAACTCTTTGAAAGCTACCACCATGAGTTCCTGAAACCGAGTGATAGCGCGAAGTTTCGAATTCTCCGATCGCGGATGAGCCGATTCGTCGAGCCGTGCAAAATAAGATTTAAGTATAGATATAAAAGTGCCGTCATCCGTAACATCCAGCAACTCCTCGCCGTTAATTCGCAAAATTGCCAAGCCTACCTGAAATAATACCTTTGGACCTTCAAGGAAAAATACGTCTAAAACACGAAAAGCAAACACAAGGGGCATTGAGTTAATATACAGGGAGAGAAACCAGGGAAGAGATACGACTGAAAGTTGAACATCTGATCGCACCAAATGCTCCCATAACACGGGCATTGTTTTCTCGACAAGAGATTCAAATACCTTCTGGTCTAATAAGGTTCCGTACATGGTAGTAGAATAATAACCTGGGAGAAGGCGGTCGCATAGAACCGATAAGATGAAAAAAGCTTGAGCTTCAGACATGTAGCTATAGAAGTTAACATATGTTGCATTCACAGGTAGTATGGCCACTAACATCAATAAAGCCGCAACAACGATATTCATTGCTTGGCAGTATCCGACCTCTTCATTTGTCCAACTGTAAGCTGTCAATACTCTCCGAAGTCGTCCAATGCCCTCTTCACTCTGAAACCCAGGGTATTCTGGGAGGCTGCGGTTAAGGTCTTTCTCTATTTCATCGATTGCAAGAGATTCCCTGCCGGAAAATTTGACTAATGTCTCTTCATATAAATTTGGAGATCTCAGTCGGAGATAAAAAGATCCCGAAGTAATTTCCCATATTTCACCGCGTAATCGATTTGGGAGGCCCACACGAACAAGTTTATGAAACGTAGGCTGGCGGATTATTGTTGCATTGCGACCATTCTCTAAAGTTTTTATAACGTTAGCACCGGGTTCGAATCCTTGAGGCGTAACAGGCATACCTTTGAAGTACTCTCCCCACAGCCTCATCTTACTACGGTCTCTGAGCTTTCGTGCATCGCCAGGATATCTGAAAACCAAACCTAGGCCAGTGTCGGGTGGCTCCCTCGGCGTTGATTCAGGCTCAGCCGCATCCTTGGCTTTACCTCCTCTCGCAGCGGTAAACATATATTCCGAGTGACACTCTGCAACAACACCCCGTAAGCTATCTACTTCTTTCATGCTTTCTCGTAATCCCTTTTTCAGTCCATTGCAAAACCGCTCGCAAGAAATGCGGCTCCCAATAAGATGAAGGGTAAACTTTTGAGGCGTCGTATGTGTATCTTTGCCATTTCCCTTAGTGAGAGCCCCGTTCCACGTCGTCAATGCAAGAGAAAACACATGACCAAGGCTATTCAATCGCTCTACTCTCCGTATAGAGCATAGCGGTATGGTGAACCCGTTCCCTGATGGACCGGTCCCGTTTGTCTGTCCAGTAAATGTCGAGGATGTGCTAAAGCTTGCGGATTGCAAAAAGCTCGATGGCTGCGTGGAAAAGCAGAGGAATCGTTCGCTTAGGTGCAACCTCCCCTCGTATGTGTTCCCTGGACGCCCCGCACCTTGTAACCGTTCAGTTTGTAAAGCACTGGAATTCGTTGATGGAAAAGAGTAAGGAATAGGTAGAACAAGCTCCGCTGTAATCTCTTGCAGCGGATTCTGGGAATCTGGGAGTCGGAATTGTTGACGGAACAATGATCCCTTCGAGGAATTGCGATCTGGAGGCGTGCTGGTAACAAAGGCGAAGTTGGCGGAATCGACAAGTGACTGGGCCTTCTGAACAAGAGACGAGAGCTGGAACATGATTTTAATGATGCGTATAAAATGGCCATAAAATGGTATCGCCCGCCGACTTATCTGCCAGTATGAAGCAAGCTGCGAATGTATGGGAGGTTAGGAAATCGAGGTTCCGTCGTAGGAGTCGAATAACATCATAAAATGCAACCTGTCTATATGAAAAGAAAGGGCAGAAACCGCAAACTTCTCGATATTTCAAGCCATGATGCGAAAACTATGATACACTCTGGGATGAATATCGCGAGCTGTGTCTGTTGCTCTCCCCTACATGAACGCCCTCCGCCACTCAGCCCAGCGGAGACTCAGGCGCCGGACTCGGGGATACGATATTCCGCTACTACGTACACCGGAAATAGCACACACAGACTTAGGCGTAGAGAGACTAGGATATAAAGACGTTTGACAAATAGTGATTATCCATAATACAACGAGCTTTCGGATATACTAAAGATGAGAGAGCGAAGAAAATACGCAAAACCTGTAACCCTAATAACATATAAAACAAATCAAAGGCATCCAGCTGTACAATTTAATCGCAAGCCAACCTTGTACTCTCTTTGAATGTATTGCAACATCGTTGATGTGTTTATTTTCCCAATAATTTATTCCTTCTCAGCGGGTAGAGTAATCTTCCCGTAGTCCGCCTCGTTATACTGGGGCGGTTGTTCATCGTCCATCAAGGCTTCTTTCTCTACGTCGTCTCCTCGTTCTTGGTCCGAAACACGTTGTTCGCGACGCTGGCGATAGAAAGCTCGAACCGCAACAATACCGCATGCAAGCTGGAGGCTGAATATCAAAAGAATGATACCGGCGACTAGGCCAATAACTCCTGGAAGAACGATAGTTTTCAATATGTGGCAGAAGCGGTTAGCGAACTTCATGGATTTATGGTGATGGTGGACATGGCTATTTCCATCTTGCTGCATATTTTCATGGGATGGGCTCTCATGGTGCAGGTGGCTGGTTTTTGGTCCTTTGTGATGGCATCCCTTGAAAGAAAGGGTCTTCGCAATATTAAGTGCTCGATGTTTCGCAGCAAGAATAAAGGCACGAATGCGAGCAATGATGAGATGTTTTAGACATTTCCGGTTTCTTCGGCACTGTCTCAATGATTTCATCGGCATCGGGAGAACATCCGCTTTATCTTTGAGAAGAAGGAGATCTCCATTAGGGGATACCACGGTGGGCAGATAGACAGTTGAAACGGGTACAGGAAAGCCCGCGAGGTTGAGAACAGTGAAATGGAACACCATCATATTGGTATTCGAGTTTGGGATCTTCACGGGCTGGAACTCTAAACCATAGCTCACAGGAACTGGCTGAGATGTCATCATATCTGACTGGCGCACGAGGATAGCCTCAAGCTGGACTGGTTCGCGGGGAACGGGGAAAATAGGGTGGTCGTTCACCGACAGTACATTGCCTTTGGTTGTGACATTAAGAGACTATGAAAAACAATCGGCCTTGTCAGTCAAATTCTGAAGTCACTCCAATGGGCCTTAAAGAGAATAGTAACTCACAAGCCAGCTATCCCATTCATCATTCAAAGTAATACCAGAACTCTCTGTGACAGAAGGGAAGGGACATTCGTGGCATTGTAGGCGGAGATTCATCCGGTGGCCGCTTTTAGAATGGGCAATATCTTTGGCCTCTGGGACTACAAGAAGCCCAGAGGTTCCAAGTGCAAACAGGGTGGCGGCAAGGTATTTCGACAGCATTTTGGCAGACTCAAAACCTGATCAAAGTCAGGCACCGAAGAAGGGTCGATAATAAAGATCTGTCACTTTCAAGGCTGTTGTAAGATGAAGGATTTGGATGTTGGCCCCCCGTGTTGATGGAGGATGACGAGGCTGAGACGGCGATGAAACTGGGGTGGGGGCGGAGTACCTCTGTTGTCGCTGGAAATCAGTGGCGTTGAAGGTACCTCCGTACGGAGTAGTTACGGAGTACTCCGTAGTTAGTCTAACTTAACTCGCTGCCAATTATAGAAACCCCGTGACTCGTTACCCGATTTGGACCGATTTCCGAACATCAACATTCGATGTAGCAGCTGGGCAATTTCCCACACGACAGCTGTCTTCATTCGTCACCATTCACAAAGGGCTTCGAATCCTTTCCGCACACTCGCACGCCCGCGACTTAACTTAACTAGCCAACAGTAATGGCCCGAAGCCCTAAATACACAGACACAGCGAACTTCAACTCCAATCCCAAAGGAGGGTTAAATGGTCCAGCTATATGCAGGGAAAAATACATTATTCTGTTTTAACCATCTTCCAAGTACCCGAAGGTAGGATGACTAGCCATAGAATGAAATTCCATGCTCCCAACCCTTGATATCGCGGGTCAGCGACACGTCGAAATTGAACAACTCCGAGTCACTGGGTAGCAGCTTGGCAGCTGAGAAGTTGCTGAGACCCTCACCCAAGCATAACCCGGTCCACCTGTAGCCATACATTGAGGTTATATCTCAACTCTGGCAGGAAAAAGATACTAGATATGGGAGCCAACCCTGACCCATCATTGGCCTCCAACCACATCTGCTGCTGTCCATTGCGGTTCCAGAAGATTAGGAATACCCAAATGAGCATTAGGAAAACAAGCATAAGACCTCGCCACCATCCACTCTCTGAGATTATCACTGGTTCTGTTTGAACTGGGGTATCTTTCATCTCTGGGAATATTTTCGCATCTGTCTGCATAGAGACGTCCACCACAGCAACGTCAGTACAACAAGCAACGTCTAAAACGTCGACATCAACGGTCTGGCACGCCACTGATTGCACGAATGTATGAGCAACATCCACCATAGCAACCGGAGCTGGCGCTGGAGACGTGGTAACACCTTCCTGCGGGGGAGCTTCAATCTCTGGCATCAGCAAGTACTCCGCCAATGGACTACCTTCCATGGCTTCAAAAATACCTTCACTCTCCAGGGAAATGAAACTTGTTTGTTCCATAGCTTCCTGGGTTTCGAAATCTCGAGGTTTATCCTTGTCGTTTTCGATTTTCGGCTGGACATCCATTAAATCATATTGCAAGCCCTCGATGTGCTTGCTAGCGGAAGTGATTTCGTTGACAAGCTTCGCCATTTGAGATTTGTACTCCGCACCGTATTCCCAAACCTCTTCATGGGTACCAGCAATCCCTCTATGCGCTTCTAACAGTTCGGTCAATGCCCCGCTGGCCACCACATGCGCTGCAGGTTCCACAGCCTGTGGGTTGATTGTCTGGGAATCCTTTGACACCGACTGAAGTTTGGTCGAGAGACGATGGTTTTCCATTGTCAGGGTTTCAAACTCAAATCCTTTCTGCTGCTCTTGGACTGGCTCAAGGAGTTGTTGAAGTTTCATTTCACCACTGAGACTGTTGTTATTCAGCACATTGTTGTCAAGCTCAGCAATGTCGAGATCTTTGTCGCCGAATACATATTCATTCGTTAGCGTATCATGTACACGAATTGCCTCCGAAAAGTTAGCCCACTGGCCAGGGGGTGCCGGTCGCTCGGTGGGTCTAACTTGTGACTTGATTGCAATATGAGGTTTGTGCCGGGCGAGGGGCGTCACCTTGGTATCCATTCTTTCACCACTCTGAACTCCAGTGCTTGCCTTTCTAGCGGCCGCCACTGGTGTTTTGCTCAGGTAACCTTGCTCTTTTATCTGGGCCGAACGGACCAAGAAATGTCGGTCAGGCGCGTCGATATCGCCCGATGTCACTTTTGCAACTGGGCTGCTAGCGGTAGGTTGAAATACCAGGGCAACTGGTGTAACGGCCTTTGGTGTATTTGTCTCACCCGTTGCCCACAGATGTCCCTCTTGGTTTTTCTTCCGTCCGTTTTTTATGTGGGACTCCATCGGAGATCCGTTGGTTGACTGTGACATCTGACTACCAATATTTGCTTCGGGGCTAAGAGGAGGTTGACTGGGTGTCGTAACGCTCAAGTGAAGAGGAACCTTGCCACCAGGTGACTCTGGACTGTGTTGATTGTTATTCACTCCATGGGAATTTAGGGGCATTGCGGTCTCATGGTCCTTATTGATACCCAAAGCCTGAGCTTGATTAGGGGAATTTGAGGTCGAATTATGTTCTTGGTTCTGAACCGGCTGCTTACCGTTATCCTGAGCCTCGTATTGTCCGCCTGGTACCATTTTGTCAGTTTACAATAGTAACTATTCAATGCCTTGTTGCCACGACAACTGAGGTTAGATAGCGGCTAGTCGTGGTATCTTATCGAGCGATCGTTTAATATAAATATCATCGGTTATGTTCCAACGACTAGTTTCAACAACTTGAGAAGGAATTTTAAGTACCCAGATACTACCATTAAAACGCTGCTAATAGAAAGGTAACGTTCCAGACCATCGAGATTAAACACGAAGCTTCGAGAGATGCCCCAAAACCGGAGCCAAGCGGTGACGAGCTATATGTAAGGAAAGGTAAGGTCAGACCGTAAGGGTCGAAACTAGAGTTGAAATAAGAGTGGTGTGAACCGGGACAATGAGCAGCGATTTGCTGTCGAGACAAAAAAGGCGAGGGAAAAGCGAATCCTAATGTTAGGGGGGATAGATTGCTCTTAGAATTGATAGGTTTGTGAAAGGGTATCAAGGAACCGCGAGGCGATGAAATAAAGGAAAGCAGAAATGGAAGAAAGAAAAGAGAGGTGCTTTTATATTATAGCCTTGGACCAAGAGCCCACTCAGCTATAGGCTGGGAGCAAGCCTTTCTGGGAAGTTCCGTCAGTGGAAACTAATGGAATTCAACGGCTGCATAGCAGTGGCTCTTTGCACTGTTACCTTTTAGCGTGTAATTGATTGTCTGGATTTCGAGCTGACCAAAACCAGGAAATCAGGTCGATCTGTATCCCCTTCCTTAAACTCTAGGCCTTGAAAGAGCATTACTTCCGGATGGAAATAATCAGCCAACTACGCCATTCATTAAAAGGACCTCGAAAGGCCCCCTGAACTTCCTTTATATAGTACTCTTAAGGGTCCCTTTTACCGTCAACGAAGACCCGTAGTCTCCCATGCTCATTGTCTCCCATGGCAAGCTTAGCGCACATTGCTATTTTGCCCCTGAAACGCCTCATTGTTTCCAGATTGGGTAAGACGCTCGGTACAATTTGGCCTTTTTTCCCTTAATCTGATCATAATTACTAAATATGAAAATGGGAATATATAATAGTTGAATGGCTGATGTCTACGGGGAAGTTTTCATGTGAAGCTATATATTATCCGATTCTACAGTGTACAAAAACATATCAAATACTCCAGATTCATATCTATAGCTTGCGTGAGCTATGGGGACAAGCATTCCAAGGACGAGAGACCAAACAGCTCATGAGGCTTGAAGGGGCTCTCTTTGTAAGGACAAGTGGAAGGGTCACGACGAATTGTATCATAGCTTTGCTTTTTTCAATCCCTCAACGCCAGTTACCGCCTTTCCAGAAAGAAGGAAGTCAGGGTATTTGAAACCAAGATTTGTCCTCCCAGCTTGAGTCCTCCAGGAGCCGCCGTCGACTGTGCTTCATTAGCAACGAAAGATTTATTTTAGGCGTAGGTGAAATAAAAATAGAGCACCTACCAACAACCGTAGAGCCGGTGACATAGTTTCCCGAATCAGAAAATAAGAATACCGTTGCGTCAGCAATTTCTTTTACAGTGCCATACCGCCCAAGGGGGATATTGGATTGATCGTCGCCCTTACGTGCAAGTCGTCGCATACCCTATATCATCTAATTAGCCAAATAAGCTCAGCATTATGCTCAGCTGCCAGCATACCTCAGTCTCCCCAATAGGTCCAGGAGTGATGATATTCGAGGTCACGCCAAAAGGACCGTACTCAATTGAAACATTATTGGAGAGTGCGTCAACCCCAGATTTGGCTACGTTTACATGTGTCTGCAATGGCAAACCAGTGTAGTGCATAGTCGCACTAATAAAGACAATTCTTCCTCCGGTCCCCGAGGGAGACGCTGAACATCAAGTTTTTAGGCTTAAAACTATTCCAGAAGAGTTGGGAAGTACTTACGAGTTGTCCCGTCAGATTTATGCTTAGCAGCAGATTTTATGATATGTGGCAAAGTAGCTTTTAACGTATTATACGATCCAAGTACGTCAATATCAATGACCGATTTAAAAGCATTGGTGGATAGCTGTTCAATGGAGGCAAGGAAGTTGCCCGCAGCACCAGCACTAGCCATACAATTTTAGCAACATATCTTTCACGTCTAATGCGAAAAGTAAGAGAGACATACATCACATAATCAATAGCACCTAACTCCTGCACGCACCGCTCTACGGCACTGTTCAAGCTGTCAATGCTTCGAACATCGACAGCCCCAATGCCCAGAACTTTTGAACCGGCACGAGCAGTAGCGATATTCTTCGCCATTTCCTCTGTTTTTTTCACATTGCGGCCGACGATGCAGGCATTTGCGCCAAGATAAACCATGGCACGAACCTGGGCACTGCATATGCTGCCAGATCCGCCAGTGCAAAACACGACCTTATCATCTGTAAAGTAGTGTTCAGCGTACAGGCCCATAGCTGTCACGGATTGGAGACATACTGAAAATACCATCCCTCCAGACATCGCTCAAATATGCCGATCTTGGTAAAGCCATGGTGTGTTGACCCCTGCAGACAAAGCCCGAAAAAGAACAATCGAACACACAGCGTCTGTATAAGAGAGAAGAAGAGGGTCGATCAATCTCCGAGGCTAGTTAGTTCTTTCTCTATCGGACTTCTGGAACAAGCAGATATGGAATGAAAGATAGAGGATGCAGTTCAGTTATGTAGAAAACGATCTGTTCTTCACGAGCCTCGGTTGAGTGGGGGAATGGCGCGCGGCGACATTCAAGTGCGAAACCTATTCTGTATGGAGGGCGATAGTAGGGTCGCGTTTCCTGGGCAAAATTAGGCCAGCTTCACTCACATCCCAGAAGGATAAATTATTACTCCGTACGGAGTCCTACGTACAGAACCAAACCTCAGGAGTTACGTCCGTAAACCGACCAGCTAATAAAGCACGACAGATACGCATGCTATGCCGAGCCACGACAAATGCCGATGGGAGCCAGGGTACTCCGTATAAGCAAAGCGGGCCGAGTTATTGTACTAGGCCTAATATAGACTAGTTTATGCCAAAAGCCTTGGCATTATACGCGCTGTGCTAGCTTAGTTAATAATAATAATGGATAGTTAACAATTTAATCTGGACTCCAGGCGTGAAAGTTAACTTGATAGTCAACTTTACTAATACTTAGCTAGTTACGTAAGCGGCCAATCGTGATGACGGTGATGACGGCAAAACCTTCACGTTGGAGCAAACCTGCTGGCTGGCGGACTGGTTGCTTCAGGAAGCATCTCTGGGCTCTTCAGAGGACACGGCTCGCACAGCGTCAAAAGCAGCTTTGTTTACAAGCTACAGCTTCTCACCGGGTGAAAACCTGCGCCCTCGCCCGACTCTACGTGGCGAGAGCGCCGACTCGCATTCGCGCTAACATCGTGACCTGTTGGCGACGCCCGTCATGGCCTGCCCGATCACAGTCGCCAAATTCGTCGGCACAATCTCCCTTGGCCTTCTGACAGTATGTGGCTAGGATCTCCTGCTGTCACCCGCCAATCAAAACCCTATACACTTGTTCTGACTTTTCGCATAGGGCGTTTCCTACTCCGCCTCCACTATCACAATCCCCGCCTTACATCTTCTTCCTACCGCAAATGACGCCGCGCAGACTTTCAAAGACATTCAAGTGCGCACCCGCAGGCGCGTCTTCACACTGTCAAACCTCACCGCCATCTCTCTTCTCACCGCCTTTTCCCTCTCGTCTCCTCGTCGAAAGCACCCATACCTCGTCTGGACCGGTCTGATTGCCCTGATCGGCGGCACAGGACTGGAATGCTGGGCCAACCGTAAGTCTATGTCCTGGGTAGAGCCCTTCACAGCGTCAATCTGCTGTGTCGGCTCCAATTCTTCCGAATCATCGCTCTGCAACCTTGGCTTCGGGTCATGGGCTGCAACCCATCTTGGATGCCGCAGGCAGCCAACGCCCCATGATCGGAGGCTCGAGGAGGAAGAATCCAATGGAAATGGAAGCGAGATTGAGATTGTGAATGAGTTTGATGCCATACCGACCCCTAGTACCAGAGAACAATCCGCCAGTCCTGACGATCTAGTGGTTGATGTGAACGGGGAGACTGTCAGAGATAGTATGGCGAGAGAAAGGAAAATCCAAAAGATGAGAACCTGGATTCTTGGAGTGGCCTTCTCCATGGCCGTCGTTGGTATCTGGGGTGACGGTGCTTGATCCGGACCCTTTGTATCCTTACTACACTTGCGCATTTTCTCATCAATTGAGGACCTCAGCTTCAATCCCCAGGTGCAAACTCACCGACTATCAATTTTCCTTGAGACATACATACTCTGAACAGTTGATTCTCTGTCCCTTGAGGACCCCCGGCAATATTAATAGGGAGCTGAGCTTCCAGGAAGCACGGGAAAACGTTTCATTATGGACAATGATTGCATCTTTCGTTTTGACTACTCGCACACATCTTCTCTCTCTACTTTGTACTTCTATGGGATTGTATCTTCAGGTTTAATCCCCGCAAACAAAACAAAAAGCACATCATCTCAGGGAGGCTTCATTTCTAGCTAGGTGGTACTGATAAACATATGTAATTGGGATTTGCAATCTGTACGTTGCCATTCAAAATATAATGAATCTCTATGTTGAAATTTTCAAATATATATACGCAGGGCGACATAACACATCAAGCAAATCACCTCTCAAATATAACCAGGTACAAATATGCAAGGTTTTGCTGTATGTATACTACACGGAAAAGATGCAGAATTACAATCTCGGACTGACTATACCTTTTTGTATATCCTTCTTTGCTTCTTCCCTCAGAAGCCTTTTCAAGATTTTCCCGCTGGGATTTTTGGGGATTGAGTCCACAAATTTCACCCCACCAGTTATTTGCTTATATCTTGCTAGCTTTCCTGTTGCAAATTTGATCACTTCTTCCTCTGTCAAAGTCTCGGCTTCTTTCACAGGCTGTCTCACCACAATTGCCCGAGGATACTCTATATTGTCTTCTCCTGGAAGCGTTATACCAATAACAGCGGCATCCATAATCAATGGGTGTGAAAGCAAAACTGCTTCGATCTCTGGTGGCGCAACCTGGAACCCACGAACTTTGATGAGCTCTTTCTTTCGGTCAACAATGTACCATTTTTTGGTTTTGCCGTCACAATACCCAATGTCACCAGTTTTGAAAAATCCATCAGCATCGAAAGATTCAGCGTTTGCGCCGGGATTTTCAAAGTAGCCTGAAATGACGGTTGGTCCTCGGACGCAGATCTCCCCATGGGTATCATAAGCGGAGATATTATTACCCGCATCATCTATGAGCCTTAATCATTTTCAATATTACTATCATGCTCAATTGAAATATTGAGAATATGGAAGGAAAATGATAGAACCTACTTCATCTCCAGGCAGGGAATCGGTCTCCCTACAGAGCCAGTCGTATCATCTTCCGGCCACACAAATCTAGTCGCGACGCAAGACGTTTCTGTCATTCCCCATACTTGATTGTACCTCGCTCCATCACCGAGGAGACTGCGAAATTTTGCTTGAACGCCTTTATCAAGGGGAGCGGCACCCACCGCTCCGCTTCGGATATTTTTAAGGAATGGCTGTTTCGACAGCGGTGACTTAACAATAGCAACCGCCATTGGCGGCACTGTCGTGGCCTCTGTGATTTTGTACTTGTGTGACACCCTTAGAAATCCTTCAAGATCAAAACGGCGCATGACATATATGACGTGTCCTGCTTTAAGAGCACTAGTGTGGGTTGACGGGACGGCTGACGCATGGAACATTGGCACCGCCATGACGCGCGAAATCTGCGCGAAATCAATACCGAGCTCCAGTTCTTGCCGTTAGGGAGCACCAACCTCATATGGCAGTTTTACAACTCCAAAAACTAGTTCGTGCTGGGCAATTAGATTATAATGGCTAATCACAGCAGCCTTTGGGAGTCCTGTAGTTCCACTGCTGAATAGCCTGGCTGCGGTCGTAGTTTTACATTTCTCCAAATCATCGAAACGTACCCAGTTGTCTTCGCCATAATTCAAGAGGTCTTTCCACGAGTTGCGCCCAGGAGGGACAGGTCTGCCATTGGTATTAAACACCCAAATTTTGGAGGGACATAGCTTGTTGTCCTGCGCCGCAAGGAGGGCATTTTCCAAAATTTCAGGCTCGGAAATCAGAAAGCTCACCCGTGCCGTTTTGATATGGTGTGACAGCTCAAATTGAGTGTAACTAGGGTTCGTCCCTGCAAAGACACCTCCAGCACCAACCACGGCAAGAAAGATGATTGGATAGTAGATCTGGTGCGAGTTGCATTAGCGTTCGGTGATTTTGAAAGGTAGGAGTGTTCCCTCACATCATTGAACGAGTGGACATTCAGACAATCGCCTTCCTTAAATCCGTTTGCTCTCAAGCCAGCGATGAGTTTCCTAATCAATACCCGGGCCTGATTGCAGGAAATTGATTCAGACGGATTATGTGGGTTGATGTAAATCTGGTACGGAATAGACGTGTCAGATCTGCGCCGCAGGATGGAGTCTAGGAACACATACAGGCTTATCTTGGTCGTACGAAGGATTGTCGAATATCCACGACAGAATGTCCTTTGTGGGTAAAGACAAATAGGCCTCCGGCCTGAAGAAGTCCATTGCTGCGGCCGGCATCTCTGTAAGCTTGACTTTGGTAAATGTCGTTCACTGACAGCCGTAAAGCTCCGAATTCTGGAACTCTCAGCATCTTATAGGCATTAATTTGCACCACTGTTTTACGATCAGGTTAAGCGGGCCCGGGACGAGTTGACGGATCTAAACCCCGCAAATGATGCTCGGTTCCCACTGAGTACGAGGCAAAAACACTAAACACTATCAAAGTCCGCTACAGACAAAGGCGTGCTCGGAAGGCAAAGTGAACAGACACTCGCATTCCGAGCAACACGGCCGTATTTTGGTCGAATGACATCTGGCTCAGCTCGCAATCGAATGTTGCCCATTCGGCACAACAGATGGCCTCATCGCGCCACCGGCCAAAGCTGTCGTTGCCTTGGGGATGGCTGGTTAGCCGAGCCCACCGAGGGTGCAACGGCGTAGAGAGGAGAAGAAGGAGTTGCCGTGGGAAGGCGGCCAATGGCGGCGGGGTAAAGTCGGCCAATCGACAACGCGGAGCCGGCAGCAAGAGCGGCTTCTGGTTGGTGGGCGGCCGGCAGCCAATCAGCCGTGCCCAAGCAGTAACCTTAAACGAACCGCCTCTCATCGATCTCGACAAACACCTCATCCGCCAACACCGCCGACGATCTGCCCAGGTACAACGCTTGTGGCGCATCTTCCAGGCGTAGGGCGACGTCAAGCAGACGATGTGCCTCAAAAAATCTCGAGCTCGACTGATCGCATTTCTTGGATGCATCATTTGCGCCACCAAGAAGCTCGGCGACATGGCTTGCAGGCAAACAAACGACAAAACAGATCTCGAGAATCCATACCTCCAATGCAGCTAGGCATCAATGGTGGAAAACAAAACCAAAAACGCAAGACAAAACATCAATGCCTCCATTTTCCATTTGGGGCATTTTTATTGTGCTCTCGATTGTGCTCCCGCAGCCAAAGAAAACGGGATTGTTCGTCTTGAGGGCATGCTGATTCCAAGCTAATCCAGCAGATATTTGAGCCGAAGCCACGGACTATCATTGCACGCACACAATGCCAACTGTTTCTCTTTTTTTTTTTTTTTTTTTTTTTTTTTTTCGTTTATAATGCAGCGTCCGATTTGAGGGTCGCCTGCAGCGGACCGGATAAAAAATAGATTATAGGAGAATACAAACCTACCTTTCACCGCCCAGAAAGTGAGGTGAGATTCTCGCGGCCGTTGCCCGCTATTTGTGTTGCGGCGTGTCAGCGGCTCCTCGGGCGTCGTTTGCGGCAATACGGCCGTCATGCAGGGTATACGGCTACCTGCAGCCGTCGCACTTCTTACCACCCGGTTGCCACTGGGCCATGTGGGGGGAAATAAAAAAATTGAAAGAATACATTTGGTGTCCAAAGTCGCAGCACTCTGTACTAGACAATCTAGTCTCGAAATACTCTATTTCCAAACTCGGATTACCTTGACGTACCTTAGTTTGTGACATCTCGTTTCGTCAATCAACCTGCTGGTAAAATTTTATACCCGTGTACTAATTCTGCAGCACGATGCATCTTAAGCTTTAATCAGAGCTGTGCCCTCGCAGCGTTGGCACAAGCTCCATCCGGTAGCTTCGCCACATCCGTGGATCTATGCCGTTTGTGCTTCGATAAAATACTCTAGAATAGGGCAGTTCGTCTTCTAGAAGATCTGATCATTGCTTCCGCACTAGGGATGACTTGCTTCTTATGGCTTTTCACGGCTTGCTACAGTTTCGTTGGAAATCTTTTTAGATCCGGCCTTATGGTTGATTGTTACATTCTTACGGGAAACAAGCCGCATCGACACTGAAAAAAACTTTTTCAAGGTGTCGCAAAAGTCGGTAGTAATGGTTTCATGCGTATGTAGAAGGTTCAGATCCTTCTGCACCCGTATGCTCCACTCTCGTCAGCATGCCGACCGTTTTCTGCCACAGCCTCTGTGGAGTTCTCAGTGCGTTGAACAGGATAGCTGCTTCAATTTCCCTTTATTTGGATACTCAAAGATAAGGGACTTCGAGCAATCATTATCCTCTTTTGTGCAGCCGCAGCTCGATGCTTCTCCTTATGAATGATTGAGGTGCACTTATACCCATATATAAATGGTAGTTTCCTGATCTCTTGTAAATGCATTTACGCATCTATCAATCCCTTTTTTAAGGCTACCTCAAAAGGAAGCTCGTACTCCAATTTTTAGTTGTTGACCGTGGTTCGTGGCCCAAGCTGCGGCAAGGCGTCTGTCATACATTCTGTTTTCGTTGATATCCCGCCCCGTTTGTCGCTTCTCCCGCGAGCTGCCCTGAAAAAGAATTCCTGTCTAACAATCTTCACCCCTTTCCTATCCATTGAATCGGAGCTCTTGTTTGGATACCTCCTTCCTCTCCCCATTTAAAGCAGCTGCCACAATCCCCCTCGTCTCTGCCTATTTTCTTTTCTACCTCCAACAACATTTGTTTCTTACTTCAATTCAAGAATTTTTCTATTCCCCTTTCTGTTCCCTGTGTCTTGTTATATTATCTTATTTAGACTTCTCGGTATCCAATGGCGCCTGGGCTACTGATCGAGGCAGGGTGCGGCCCCAGCCATCCTTGCTGTGACCTTGAGAAAATATCAGATGATATCGATGCAGTCAACGAACTAAAAGCTGCTATAAGCCAAACGAACGCACAGCCCAAGCTCTTCGGAGATGACAAGGATAAATCCAAATTTCGTCAATACGAGGAAGCCGTCGACCGAGTCAAATCTTTCTATGAAGAGCAACACACGAAGCAAACAGTTGCATATAATCTTCAAGCACGAAAAAGCTTTCAATCCAATACGAGGGCGGAAATGAGTGTATGGGACGCAATCGCCAAATTGGATACATTGATCGATGAATCAGACCCGGATACGTCGCTCTCCCAAATACACCACTTGCTCCAATCTGCGGAAGCGATCCGTCGAGACGGGAAGCCAAGATGGATGCAACTGGTGGGCTTGATCCACGACCTCGGCAAGCTTCTTTTCTTTTTTGGTGCGGAGGGCCAATGGGATGTTGTTGGGGATACTTTCCCAGTGGGATGTGCATTTGACGAAGCAATCATATACCCCGGGACTTTTATCAACAATCCAGATTACACCCACGAACTATATAGCACTAAGTACGGAATCTATGAGCCCAACTGTGGAATGGATAAAGTTATGCTATCCTGGGGCCATGATGAATATCTCTTCAACGTGGTCAAAGATCAATCTACTATTCCAAAAGAAGGTCTGGCCATGATTAGGTACCACTCTTTCTATCCGTGGCATACAGCTGGTGCATATGAGCACCTGATGAACGATGACGATAAAGACATGTTGGAGGCTGTTAGGGCTTTCAACCCTTACGATCTCTACAGTAAATCGGATGAGATGCCTAATATCGATGAGCTGAAGGTAAGACCCCAGCTAGGTTCTTTTGATTCATCACATCCAGTGCTGATTCTGGAAACTTGTTTTTAGCCCTACTACCTTGACCTCATTGATGAATTCTTTCCTAATAAGATTATTAAGTGGTAAAGGAGAAAATGAGGGCTATGTGTTCCATCCTGACACCCCACTCTAATGTGCTCCTTGTAGGACAATTACTCAACATCCTGCATTCCTCTGATACATTTGACCAGTTGAAATACCCATTTATGCCCGCATCACTTGTTCATCCTAATATACTTCGCGATCAAACAGGTTTCCTAAAATTATGAGACAAACATCCCGTTCCTTGTGGAACTGGACTGTTTCTGTGGCACCACCGCAACCCCAAAAGTTTTGTTTGTTAGACTGTTACCTGGTCATATTATACCATAGAACTCCCTCTAAGGGGTAGATAATATTTAGAATTCATTGGAGGATAGGGATTATTTTGTGTTCCCTTTATGTGTCGCAAAGATATATGAGTATCAATATTATTTAAACCATGCATGCACATACCATGGTTGAAATGATCAGACATGAATATCAAAATATAACAATCATACCAACACTATCACTATGTATCATAAATTATCACCCCCTCTCAAAACTCCTTTTGTGTAAGCCAATTTCTATTTCAGCACTTGGTATATCCCGCCATAATCGTCACACTTGATCCGCACCAATGATCAAATCACTGTTGATCTTCCACTATCTATAGTATCAGTCTTCATCTCCAAAGCAATATCCTTATCATACCCAGCCTTAAAGAAGATGGCCGGATTAAACACATTCAACGCCAACACAGCAACGATGATCATCACGCCCTCCAGGGCAATAAACAGCGGCTCATCTCTCATCAGCGGCCCATTCCACCCTTCCGACAACTCCGCCACGCGAAACACACACCGGACAAAAATACACAGCGTAGCCAGCGCCAGCGCGCCCAGGAACGCGCGGAAGCCAAACGAGCGGCGCAGCCGCGCATGGCGCGGGTCCAGCGCGGCGTCGCCGATGGCGCGCAGCCGGCGCCACGCGCGCACGGAGAAGTCCACGGCCAGCGCGATGAAGGCCGACAGCGTGACGACCTGGGCGACCAGCCCCGCGATCATGAGGTTCTTGCCCAGGTTGGCGCCGGCCGGGTCGGTGCTGGTGCTGGCGATGCCGCCGCCGGCGCCCTGCAGCGCCAGCGCCAGCACGTCGCAGGGGATGAAGATGCGCGGGTACCAGAGTGGTGGGATGCGCGAGTTGTCGACGCCGAAGGCCGTCACGATGCGCGACAGCGTGAAGTAGATGCCTGCGGCTAGGAAGGCGGGGGCGATGGTGAGGCAGCAGATCTGGATCATGAAGGGGATCTGTAGGGTGGGTAGGGGGGTTAGGATGCGATTCTATATCTCTTGGTGTGGGTGTGTGGGCGAGTGGGCTTACCTGCTTCCAGGGGTTCTGCCACATCAGGATGCGTCCGACGTAGCCTGTTGTTTCGCCGGCGGTGCCCAGGGCCATGGCGATGCTGAAGCCGATGAAGCGTCTGGTGGCCACGCCCTGGACGGTGTATGTGATGGCGGAGAGGCCGAAGATGATGGTGAGGATGAGATTTGCAACGAAAGACGGGCGATACTTGTACCACGAGTCCAGGATGTTGCAGGTCTCGAAGGTACAGTCTTCAGGATTGATTTGGCGCCTTAAAAGCGTGGTAAGAAGATCTGTTCCGGCCGACATGTTGAAGAGGGTGGCAGCACAGTGCACAGGGACCTTCGTGCTAAAAAATCAGGAGGGGAGAGGGTCAATGGATTATTGATGTGGAGGTTATGATTCTCAAGATGATATTATCGTACTCTTGCTCGATGAGAACTGGGTATATATAGGTATAAATTGTCAAAGCAAGATGCGACATCTCCACAGTAAGCACCATCTAGTTCCAGTCAAAATTGGAACCAATGCCACATTAACGACTCCCTTGTATCAAAGATAACGCGCCAATCGCTATCCCAGAAGGGCCTCGTCAGCTCCCTGATAGCGACTCTCTGCCACTAGGCCATCAAAGAAGCGCCCACTGGGGGCGGGCGCCTGCGGTTGCATAGAGGCGTTCAACAAAAGCAGCACGGTACAAAAGCGGTAGCGAGTGCGACAACTCTAAGGCAGGCGAAGAACCACAGGAATAAAAAAAAATGGGATAAAAACAGCATAGCCAGTAAGCCCTGGCCTCAGGCTATGGCTGTGCACTCGCTTGTTGGTCCACGGAGACGTAATCGAGCCAGCATGGCCGTCGTATTGAAGGCAGCAGCATTTTTGAAAACAACAACAACAAAAAAAAGGCGCCTCTAGGGGGGCTTGTAGTCAAGCCCCTTGCACCAGAATTCGGAATTTGCCTCAAGAGACGGCTTGCGGCCGAGAACAGAGTTGTCAGTAGAGATTGATGAGCGCACGTAAAGAATTGTGTGGTATACGGAGTATAGATATAGTGATGATGTTGGGAGGCTGATTCTCCGGGGCTGAGGCTCGGGCAAAGCGAAAGAGCCGCCGGAAATAACCTAATCCACGGAAAAAAAAAACGAAGAGCAGAAAGACCTGCAGAAAGACGCAGGATATGGATATAATTGGGTAATTTTGTACTACTGATCGCACGATCGAGATTTCGGGTGAAGATGGGACGGGCCAAGCCTAGAGTCCACGTCAGCGTGGCTGGAAGGAATGCTTGAGAACGGCCCAAGGTAAAAATATCATGTAGCTATGTACAAGCGGGCAGCATAAACACGAGACAATAGCAGTAGTGGACGATGTAAGATGCTGAGCGTAGGCAACGGGCGATGCGATGCGCCGTGCTGCGCATACGGCCGTAAAAGGGGGGAAGGGATGGGCTGGGAGATATTCCGAGCGCCGCTGGGCGCAGGCACTGTCAAGGGCCGTTCTTTGTAGGCTGATTAAAAATCATCACATAGTTACATGCTGCCATCAAAGCATCTCTATATAGTAAACAAAACGGCTGTGGTCTGCTTGGATGCCAGACCGCCCTCCTGCTCCCTCGAGTCAGCCGAGCAGCCCCTCAGGCGGGCGCACGACTTGGCCCGTTGCCGTTGCATCGGTGCGTCCGCACGCCGCGCATTATTAACTACGCGGTACATGGCTACCTCATACACCCGGGCAGCCCTGTGAGGTCATTCATATGTATCCGTTCTCGCGTTCGTTTTGTTTTTTCTTATTATGTATTATTTCGCGCAGGGCGCGCCCAACCAAACGCCCGCAAACAGGGCACGGGAGTGTTCCAAGCACGCACGCCAGCCGGCACGGGCGGTACATCGTTGACTAACTTAGGTACGGAGTACTTCTTGCCTGCCAACCCAGCACTTACTGCTGCTGCTGCTGCCCAACCCCCCTAAACCCCGGGCGGGTTAGCGTCAAATCTCGCGCGCAGGACAGCTGGTGGGGCGCAACCTGAAACGGGGCAGCCGGATTCGGGATGGCGGGGATCGGAGGGGAGGGGGGGGGGGCCGGCGGGGATGTCATGGCCCGAAAACGCCGAAAAAAAAAAAATAAAAAAAATAAGCAGGAGCGACCCGGCCCTGGGCAGGCACGATGCTCGTCGCCCGCAGTCAGATGACCCCCCCGGAGCGGGCTGGGCACGTGGGCGCGCACCGGCGCCGCGACGGGAGAACGAGCACGACGCAGTCTCGCGCAGCAGAGAGGGCAGGAACGGCGGGAGGAAACACGGAGGCCCGCAACCTTATAGGGAGCGAAGCCCGGGCGACGGCGGAGTCGCCACCCCCTGGCCCCGGCCGAGGGGAATTTGCGGGCGGGTTTCCAGAGATGATTTGTTCCAGAAAATGGAAGAAGAGAAGAGAAGAATGGTAGGAAGAGTAATAATAGAAGTAATAATGGCATGAAAGAAAAGTAAAAATGCACAAAACACCATATGTTCCTAAGAAAAAAAATGTGGCAGACTATCCTCCAAATGCAGACCATCAAAATACCCTATATGCTGCTTAACAGGAAATGAGATGAGGAGGGGGAATCAAACAAAGACCAAGCCATGGAAGGGTATTGAAAAGAAATGGAAGAAAAGTATAAAAAAGAAAAAAAGGAGAAAAAAAGAAGAAGATCGCCCCAGTGCCAGCGGGGCGAGAGAGAAACCAAGGCCAAATATCTAAGAGCGGGATGCCGGTTATCGAATAAAAAAAAAAAAAAAAAAGGGCAAAAAAAAAAGCTCGAGTTAACGACCAATGAAATATCCCTGGACATTTTCCCCTTTTCGTTCTGCCCGTCTCATTCTTTCTTCCCTTTTTTTTTTTTTTTGGCTTTCCGCTCATATGAGTTGGCGCTCCTCTTTTCCCATGTTCGTTTTATACAAGTCTAAAATGGAGTCCAGTCCCGAGAAGCGAAGAAACACTTGCTTTTTTCTTTATCCTTTTTTTTTTTGTTTTGTCGAGGGAAGAGGAAGAGCGGCGGAGCACACTCCTCAAACTCCCTCGATGCAGGGCGACAGACGACGTTATTGTCCTTGCTTGTCGGTGATGTCCCAGGAGCGTTTGTAGGTCTTCTGCGAGCGCGCAGCCGAGAAGGGCGACGACGACGCCGGGCGGCGAAGGTTGGAGGCCTGCAGGGCGGGAGTGTTTCGTTAGTCAACGGTGCAGATGGGGGGTGTCGTCGGCTGGGGGAAGACTCACCACGCAGGTGGTGCATTTGGAGCCCTGGATGTTGACCCGGCCGCGACAGCCGCGCGGGTAGTTGGCGCACGAGAACATTATGGTCGGGAGGGAGATGTTTAAGGGCGTCAGGAGGTGGCGACGGTGTTTCTCTGGCGAGCTGTCTCTCCCCTGCGGTGTGTCGTGGGGAGTGTGTTCTGCTGACCGTCACCCGGCGGCGGCGGTGGTGGTGGTGGTCGTATAGATCTATAAGTACGGGAGTGCCGACGGCCGTGGGGCTAGCAGGGTATCAGCATGCAGCCGTGACACGCAGCGCAAGTCATACTCACGGGGCTCGAGGGCAGGGAGAAAATGCGCAG